AAATTAAATCTGTTACGGGTCACCAATTATACCTTCAGGCGATTATTACCCACCGAGGTACTATGGTGAGTGTTCAAATATTGTGACACCGGTGCAGATGATGAGACCCAAGAATATATATATATTTTTTTTTACTTTCGAAGAAAACTCTTAACAAAAAAAAACCCCCGGTAATCCTATATACCTACCTATATGATGTATAAAAGAAGGTGTAGGTAATGAAAAAGATCAAGGGTTAACTATATAGTTCCGCATAAAAGTTATGACGTTTTTCCTACCTTCGTATAATTTATAAACATACGGGCTGCGGGACCTATCGGTGAAACTTGATGACAAGATGATAAACTATATAGGTATTATATCTAGCTGATATTGATAACGTTCCTGTCATAGATGACAGCATCTCTCAGGTGCACATATTCGTTTACTGTAAAATGGTACCATATTTTGGCTCGACAAAAATTAGTAAGTACATGTACACTTTAAATTTTAATATTCCGGTCTCAATATTGAGACTGGAAATATCGACGGTAAATAATTATTAGTCTGTGCTCTTTAGTTTCAATATATTTAAAAAAAAAAAAAACGTTCAGAATTCCATTATTACGATTGCGGTGAGCACAGATAATACCTGCTTATAACAGATATTTTATTTTTGCACCAAGCAGTGCCATAATGAGCAAGCCAATGAATTACATAATTTATTATAGTATTACATGTTTTTTGTTAAAAAAAAAAAAAAAACAACTCATGATTATGTCCTTCAAACTATCCTCATTGAATTGTATTTACAATATATCAGGTACTTTACCTATATAATATATCATACGTATAATGATATGGCGCAATTTTACTGCACAATTCACTGTTACGCTTGATGCATCTATATACTATAGTTAAATGAATTATTGTTATTTGCCTTCATTATTACTACTTATTAAGCATATTCTGTTTAAACTTTAAATTTATTTAATTGTACTACAGCAATTATTTTAATTGGATCGCGTGGTTTTTTCGTAAATACAAACTGTATACTTTTAAAGCAATCACGCTAGGCTATAAAATCTGGCGAGTGATGACTTCAATACAATATAATGTAATATACTCTTAGTAATTCTAATTGAAATAAAATATATATATATATATTCTACATGTTTCTACATTTATTTCAATTTTTGTTTTTAAATTCAATTTACCTTTATTATTGATCCTTATGGTTTCACTATGATGTGGGACTTTTTTTCCGTCTGTAAACACGATTTCGTTAGCAAAAGACTATTTCTCCCGTTTATATACGTGAATAATGCATATTGAAAACATTACACATTCTGTCTACATTTTAACCTATTATTACCAAAATGGTATAAACAAACAGTATAGTGCAAGAGCATCATTTGTGTGGAGGCAAGGCGCACGGCGATTGAATAGTGCTACAATATTCTTCCCCTACCTAAACTTAAAAGTGGAATATCTCGTGAATTTTATGATGGAAATCAAATATTTTAGTGTCAACATTTATTTAAACTAATACTCTTTGTACATGTGAAATTCTTAATATAGGTTACCATTTGAAAATCAAAAGTTGGTAGTCCGTTCATCCCCAAAAATAAGGGTGGCCAAAAAAAAAATAGTGAAGTAATATTTTATATCCGTTTGTTTTTTAAATTGTCAAAATATTATTATTATTTTTTAAGTCAATTTTGCAAAATATTTATTGTTCAAAGCTAAAATAATTTGATAACAAACATCTATTTTATAATATCAGTATGAAATTAGTTGTCAACAAAGCACCATAGTAAAGTGGCATATCTAGGGGAGGGCGATCGGGGTGATCGCTCGCCCTCCCCCCCCATTCACTCTCCAATATACTCTTAGCATTATACTTGTATCTGTATTATACTCTTAGCTGCATTATACTCTTATAGCTGCATTATACTCTTACCCTAATTCATCATTGAACTCGTCATAAATGCGTGTCCTATATATATTTTCAAAATCGCTCCTCCCCTGCGTTATCTTGTCCTGGAACCACCCCAACCATGGTGCAATAAATTAAAACTTTCCAAGGAAGTAAATTATTTGTTGTTTGTACGCGATGGTTATATTCTGTACAATTTTGATGCATCTAGTGCTAATAAATTTAAAAAACGTTAGCAATATCGTTATAATTTTACAAATACTCGTGTAAAGCAAGAATTCATACAACTATTGAAACTTTGGAAATGGTTTAATATTTCTTCATCAAAAACCGACTTTTCTACTAACCAAAAAAATCTAAAATGTAATAAAAATAAATGATATTTGTTTTTTGTTTGACTATAAACAACATTTTGAACAATAAACTTGTTTCTATCGAAAAATAACAAAAAACCTCTTTTATTGCATTTGTTTTTTAAAGATTATTTTGACTTACCAAGAGGTTTTCAAAATAATTAGGGAAAACTGTAAACAAAATTATAGGAAAAATAGCAAATATTTTCGACACCCAACAGTATTAGCGATTTCATTGATTTTAATTTTTATACACTACATTTTTACCAGAAATATTACTCCAGTCGAAAAACGACAATGATTTTTTTGTTCCATTTTAGATCTAGTTAGTGAGTAATAAAGTTATTTTGTGTAGTTTTCTTAATAATTAAGCAAACCCAGAAAAAAACATAAAAAAAGAATGGGAAAGATTACAAAACTAATAGTACACTATTTTCAATTTTCTTTTTTTCTTTTTCTTTTTTTTTTTCTAATTCAGTTTAAAATATTCATAGAGACTTGAAATGTTTATATAAAACTTATATTTACTTTTTCTAGATGCGATCATATTTTTGAGCTATTTATAGGCATTTTATGTTTGCGAGTTTTTTACCTAGTTTTTATTTGGTAGGTAATAACGTAACCAGAAGTTTTAAAAAGGGGGAGAGGCAAAACCAAAAAATTAAAAATTAAAATAATCAACAATTATTTAGACTTGAATATTTTTATTTAATTTACGAACATTCATTTTGATTAATCTTATTTATTAAGAAACGTCGGTGACGTTTTGAAGAAAAAACATAAAAACATGCATAAAAATAACAATAAATAATGGCACTTGACGAAGTTATAATTGTTACTAAAATATAATAATTAATAATACCACGATTAAATATATTGATATTTAATTTGGTACATCTTAAATCTTGAATAAAACTAAACACAATAAGTAATAACATTATTTTCAAATAACGAATGATAAATGATTAAATGTATGAAAAAAACACGATTTACAGTAGAACCACGTCAACCATATATCTTTTAATAGTCTACTTGCTACTAGTATAACGACTATGGTGTTACCACAGGTATAGAACTGTATACAACATAAACCAGGTTCAAAGATCGCTATAACCGTAAACCATCGATCGTTTTGATAAATAGTTTCAATTCAACAAATTGATAAGAATTAAGAGCACTCACCCATAGTGAAATTTTTCAAACGTATAAAATAAAGTGTATATATATGAAAATACATTTATATGATCAAGGAGGGGAGGGAGGTATGACCCACTACCCCAATCCATGGCTATGCGTGAAAGTCATTGTTTGACTAAACAGAAATTTTTGAAATGTTAACAGGAGGTTCATTAAAAATTATACTAATGGTAAAATGAAAAAAAAATTAGAGTTATTGTAATCATTTTTATTTACTTTTTAGATTCCGCGCGTAGCGAAGGAGCCATTGGTTTCACTAAGATGTTTATTTTTTTTTACTTCTTCTTCTAGTCTGTGGACACGGTTTTTTTCCTAGTAAAATTGAAAACTTTTCTAAAAGCTCAAGTTGTCTAGATGGTACTTTAAACATTTTAATTTTTGATTTTCGACGTCATTTTTTTAAATAAAAGCATTTAAGTGGGAAAAAACGTAGGAAAACGTGCAATTTCACGATATCATTATTTTATAAAAACACGGCCGATGTTTTCTACCAGAAAAGATAATTTAATCAAAAAATCACAAGATACCTTTTATTTTTATTTTTTGATTTACATTTTTACCGTATCATTACCAAAACTTTTGAGCCACTTTTAAACTTTTTAGGAGTTTTTTTTTTTTGCTGTAATTCGGTTATAAATACACGTAGAAACTTGAAACTTGGAAATAACATTTATATTTGACTTACCTAGACGTAAAATTTCCAACGACTTTTTTTTTTTAAATAAACGTTTTGAAATCAAATTTAAACGAAAATCGCAAAAAAAATTTACGGCACTTCAAATTATGTATTACCGAACTGCGCTCAAAATCATCTTTCGTCAAACAAAGTTACATCGTTGCTTACAAATATAAATGAAATAACCTTATGTATCCTACCTTCACAACTCCTCACCTACAACAATGGCTGCTCCCAACCCCAGTATCAACTCTTTTTTATAGTGATTTTAAAATAAAATAAACTGTAAACGAACTTCACTCACAATTGTTTTTCGTTAGCAATGGTTTATCATTGCTTACAGATATAAATTGAAAAACTTTATGTATGCTACCTTCCAAACTTTCCACCTACAACAGTGGCTCAAATATTATCAACAGTATAATCAGCTCTTTTTTTTTTTATGTCTATAGTAAAAACATAAAATATCTAACTTACGAACTATATACCTATATAGGTACATAGTTTCTTTTTCTCTCGTTTCCGAAACTATAACAAAGGTAAATAAATTGTCAGTACTTTGTGGGGACTATACACATTATAGGGCCTACCCTCATATAATCGTAGACAAACGGGAAATATCGAATGACAAAGTTGTCGTTTTCATAAAAAAAGAAAAACAAAACCGAATTTATAAGAGCAACATTGAAAATATTGGTAGTGATTACCAACCTTTGATTATTATCAGAATATTATTATAGCTGTCGTCCGCGTGATAAATCGGCTTGTGTTTTAGAGAGGATGTGTGTCGTGTGTGTGCGTGCGGGGAATCGTAATGTAAGGTAGGTATGTACCAACGAACACGAGCACTAGCAACTGAATATCGCATTGCGATCGGTCGTGCAGTGCGCCACGTGGCCTTGTATGCGTTTCACTGTACAGGTCGCCGCTGCTACTCGATAGTAACATTTCAATATTTTAATTTGTTTTTATATTTTTTCCTCAAGAATCGTCCGACGTGTTACGGAAATACGTGTCCGGTGAATTAATATTCACGTGTGCGACCCCAATCGATTAATTGTATGCGCGTGTATACGTATTTTCCGAATTTTTTTCGCCTAGAACGATAGAATACATAATTGTAAATACCCCGCCGTGTTAATTATCGCGATACCTGTCGAACAAATACGCTTAACGTGCGGCTCGTAAAACCATTCTAGTATTACAATAAGGTGTATGGTTCGTCCGGGAGAAAGAGCATCGGTACAATATTATCACTACGGCGCTGTTGACATGGATATTGTAAAAATCAAAGTAAGTAACGTTGAAATAATATTAACAAACAATCATATTCCCGGAAACGTCGGGAAACATTTCGTGTTCAATTTCTGTTGCCATTTTTCAACGGTTAATTCGCCGGCAGAGAAAAATTTATAATAATTACGACATTTTTACCGCGGGACATATTTTTCACATCTGCACTGCATTATAATATGTATATTGTATACATTTGCACAATTAATTACGACTTTTATTTGATTAGTAATTAAGATTTCAAATTATATATTTTAATTTTTCGCAAATACGATAAGTGTAAACAAACAGTATGGTTTAATAATTTTTTTTTTTTTTTTTTTTTTTATAAAAACAAAATATTCTACGAGAACAATCCGGAGTGTTGTTTAAGCGTATATAATTAGCTCGTTTCAATTAGCTCGGTTCGTTATTATTTAGATTTTTTTTGTTCTACTACGTTGTAATACATAATCATTGTACATTAGACTATATCTCTAAATGAATAATAAACGGTAGTAGGTTTATGGAAAACCAGAGTCGCTGAAAAATAATTCGCATTACAAAAAAATCAAATTAATATTGTCAAGTGTATCTGAAACAAAACAATTAAACAAAATAAATTAGCAATTTATTAAAAATTATGCTAACAAGTGACTAGAAACAATCCATAAACCAAAGGTTGTCTATTATGAAAACATTAGTTACACGCTTATCGAGTTTACGATCATAGTATTAATATTGTTTCCTAATCAATTTATTAATATTAAACATCTTTAATCGTATAAAAACGTCCGTACAGCAATAAGTAGGGAAAAAATACAATTCATCATCAAACGCAATTCAAATTTAATTAAGTAGGTACATGCATGTTACTCATACTCGATAATAAATTGTATTTAAAAGAACACCAGATATTGTTAAATTAAACGTATAATAATAATATTACAGTAAAATCTGTCTATAAGGGACACTCACGACACATCAAAAGTGTCCCTTATACACAGGTGTCCACGTTGTAGAAAAGTTACAGCGTTTTTATAGCCAAATTTATTCGACTGCTTGCATTTTCCCAATGCCGAATTTGTCAACGAGATTTCCGCAAAAAAAGAAGCGCCATCGCAAAAAAAAAAAAAAAAACCTACTCAGAATTGGCAACGATGAATTTCGGTTTCTGATTAAAATAGTATAATAAGAAATAATATTTTATCTATATTGACCCCGAAATAAACGTTATCGTTTTCAACTGAAAAAATAATCAATCGAACGTATAAGTCGTTTATTTTCTATGTTTAACTGTATAATTGATGTACGTTATTATGTCAACGCGGGAAAAAATACTACTGTCCGCGTCCATTTTAGGCAGAAAATTCGTTATAGACGAGACATATAAATACCCTATCTATTTGTCGGAACCTTATTATTTTGTCCGATAAAAGAGATGCCCGTACAGACCGATTTCACTGTATACTGTTTCTTGTTAGACCGTTAAATATAAATAATCATGAACTAAGCAATACCAATAAGCAAGTTCGTCACCTGGTAAAGTTTCTGAAAATAATATTTAAAATCAAATACAAACTTATCAGCTACGATTACCTTTTAAAAATATTATAACATTTATCTACGGTGTACCTGGGATTCCTATAAAATAATGCCATTATGTAAGTATATAACAGTATATTATGTAGTTACACATAATATAAAAACTGAAAACAAAAAAAAAAAAAAAAAAAATAGAAAGTGGTTATAATAATAAATGTATACAACTTGCGCACTGCAAAAATTAACACAATGTATGTATTACACATCGAAATTTAATCTCTAAGTTTATTAAAATATGAATGCATTAAGTATCTACCTAATACACTTGTGTAAATTGCACTATTACGGATGATAATCGATACATCGATAATAATTCAATACAATTACTATTATGATGAACGCCATAACAATATTGTATGTGTGAAATGTGCAGATTAGTGATGTGGTACATAATTAGATAAATCTGGATTATCCGAAAATCAGAATTTTGGTTTACAGATCTCAAATTCCGAAAATTATAATTTTAGATTTCAAAATTTGATATATTTTTTTTTTAATCTATCATATATTGTTTTGTATAAATCCCCGGCGCTACGCGTATAATCTAAAATGTATATTTAATAATTTTACAGAAAAAAAACACACATTTTATTACATATTTGTCAGCAGCCACCTTATACAAGGTCACCAGAACCTGGAAGTTTCCTAAATACTAGCCTTTTCTAGACGTGGCCAAATTTAAGAAATAATAAAGATTTTTGAGCTATTCATAGGCATTTGATCATAGAAATCACGACATTTCAAAACATATTTGTTGATTAACCTAACAATGATTAATATCGTTGCGTATATAGTTATAAATAATTCTTAGACTTTATGTATCCTACCTTCCCACCTATAACAGTGGCACAACCATCAGCAGTTTTGCTCAGTTTTTAATTTTAATAATTTAAGAATGAATTCATGAAATATGACAGAAACATACATTTGTTTTATTGTATTTTGTATAGCGTACCACTTATAGAAACTATAGTACGAGATAAATCTTTCAAGTACCATTTTATGACAAAAATTAAAATTTAACTATTTAAAAATCCAATATATTTATTCCGTACCGACTACAGTATAAAATACTACATTTTAATTATTTATACAGGTTAAGTATAAACCATTATTAGATCCGTTAAAAACAATTATACAAATATGTATATTTGTTCATTCACTACCTCCCCGCAACTTTCTGGTACCGCTATGTTACCCACCAAGTCTCATCATAGAACCACTGTTCTAAAACTACGCAATGAATTTTAATACGGTTTTCACTATTATTTAGAAAATGTCTTCCGTAAGGTAAATATACTCTTATATTATAAATTATATTGCATGGTTATATTTTATAGAAAAAAGTCGATGTTTATTGTAATCAAGTAGTAAAACAAATATTTTTGAACACTTACGTTGCTAACGCAATAAAGCTGACTAAACCTTATGAGATACGGATAATCCACAGTTAACATGGATGTGAAAGTTTGTTTGGATGGATTTTTTTTACCTCTTCACGCCAAAACTACTGAACGAATCGTACTGAAACTTTGCATAGATGTAGTTCTAGACCAGAAAGAACTTACAGGTTACGTTTTTCAAACAAAACAAAGTAATAAATAAGTGTAATAGTAGTTAATGTAGAAACTACTCACGATTAGTTCATTGTTAGAGTGAATTTTTTTTCTTTTTTGGTACGACCAACGCCGGGTAGACAACTAGTAATGAATAAAATAGAAAATGTATAACTATATAATAGTAATACAAATGTATGAAAAGAAAAAATATTTACTACCTAATATAAAATTATAACTAACGCATAAGTACCTATGGTACTAAAAAAGTTTTAATTTCACCTCAAAATAGTTATTTTTAATTTTTAGAGGTATTGATTTTATATTAAATATTAATATCAGATTTACTTCGCACCACGGGTAGGCCACTGTTTTAAGTGAGAAGTTGGGGAGTTAGGATTTAGCGGGGATTTAATTCAAATGTGTACACAAAGATTAATCATTACTAATGAAAACCGACTCTAAGCTAATAGTATTGCTTTTTCAACAATGTGCGTTCTCACAACAACGACGATTGTTTAAAAAAGATTAATAAAAGATTAAAATAATATGAACTTAAAAATTAAAAAAAAAAAAATAATATTAAAAACGGTAGCCAATGTCAGCCTTATTTTTAATTTTTTTTTAACTTAAAAAACCAGTTTTTCCTCAATATCTTGAATATTAATGAGAATTTAAAAAAAATTACCTTTTTAAAGTACCAAACTTAAAAACTTACAAAATCAATGCTAGAAGTGCCTAACTAAATTATAGTTATTTATCATTTGTAATTTTATTATTTTTCACATTTGTGGTAATTTAGAAATTCAATCGACGTAATCTATCTCGAAATATAATAATAAAATAATACACTATTCAGTATTCTACTAGTATTAGACATAGTTCCATAACAGAAATTTAATGCTGATTATAAAGTCAGTAAAAATATTTTATTAGCATTAATTATATTCTGTATAGCGACCAACATTATTATTAGTATTTTATTAGTACAATAATATGATAATATGAGAAAAATAGTTAATTTAAGCGTTTAATTTTTTTTTTTTTTTTTTTTTTTAGTTAGTCAGTTAATAAAAACAACAAATTTAAATTTATTAAATCTAATATAAAATTATTGCAAGGTTTATTGCAAGTGGTATGCACTATGCATGGGTACATCTTGATTAATATAAAAAAATAGGTACAACAATTATCGAATTATACATATTAATATGTATTGTTTACATTGATAAATACATTTTAAATTAATTTTATTGCAAAGTAACTTAATTATATTATTATAATATTATAATTATATAGAGTCTGAAATGAAAATTTTATTATGAAATATTAATAATTTGAAAAATATTTCTTTATAGATACTTCAATTCAACCAACTCGAGATGCGAATTTCTATTACAACTTAATTTTATTATTTGACAAGGTATTAATATTATAACGCATAATTTATATATTCAGTTAATAGATTCGATTGATTTTCAAATAATATTTTTCTATTTTAATTAAATTGAAATCGTATATTATACATGTGATACATAAATACCAATCAATCTTTAATTCGATTAATTACTGTTTTTTGCAACCCTTCATGATAATATAAAATTTGTTTAATTTGTATTTATCGTTTACTAGATTAATCTTATATTTGTCATTGCGATTTTAGTAATTTTATTTGACTTACACTATACTTATAAAACCAAAGTAAATAATAATAATTGACAATAACAATAAGACATTGTTAATTAATACCTACGTATTTGTTAGAGATAGTTTTGTCATATACTTATTGATAGGTCGTATACGACCTCGTAGATACTTATATTATATTTAAAACATTCATTATAAAAGAATTTATAAATTAAAAAAATACAGGAAATAGTGTAGGTAGCTATAAAATAATATTCATGGATTTGGACATAGTATAATATTATTTATTTTTAATATATTATGCGGCACGTCTACAGGTATTGGCCAAATAATTATTAATAGTTACACAATCCAATCATCCTTTAAAAATAATATGCATAGTATTTCGTTTATTCATTGAATAAATTAAACAAGGTCAGTATTTCTTTAAACGATTTAACTTATTCTAATAAAAAAATCTCGTGATCACATGTTGTTTATTTTACATTCAAATTATTTGTTGATTATGAGTGTATGGTAATAATGTATGGCAGTATGACTGAACGAGTCGTAAATTTCTCTTTAATTTCTGAAAAAATTGTGATTAAGTACTAAGAAATAATAAATTATTTAATAACTACTTAATGAAATCGAAATATAATATACAAAAAATATTATATAGTGTGTTGCGATGCGTGTATATTCTAGTAAATATTAATTTTTTATATTATATGAACTTTTTTGTTTTTTAATAGGATATTAAATATTCATAATTTATAAGTCAAAGTCACATTAAATATATTTTTCAACCAGTTTCAGTTAAAACTCAAAATTTAATATTTATTATTTTTCAAAAATTGACCCGAACGCAGTAAGAATTGTATTTATTCGTATTCTCATATTAATAATATACGACCATATAACTATAAAACCATATAATTATCTACTAATGGTTATACTATTATAAAACTATTAATCTACTAATAGTTTATTATAATAAATGCATCAATAATTAATGTTCATTTAAAAAGTAACTCATTTAATATAATGAAAATCACAGGGTGTACAAAAGGCGCGACGGCTAAAGAAATATGTATAGAGCGATTAAAAATTTATGTTACAGCCATTTTGTCATGTAAATATTCAAATTTAAGAAAAATATATGATACCAAAGTTTTTCGATTTATAAACATCTAAAATAATATGCACATTTTTTTTTTGTTTTACTGTTTTTGGGGGGTAGTTTTAGGGGTCAAATTTTGAAATTCAAATAGGAAACTACATTCAAAGTTCCATAAATATACTGATAAATACATTTTAATGTTGAGATTTTTGATTTCTGTCAGTCCGTTTACGAAATATTTCACATTTAAGTTTAAATAGAGGGAGAATAGTGGAACACAATTCAAACGCCATGCACCGTGTCGTACCACCACACAAGCGCATAGTGCAATTTCAAAAATTGACACTGATAACTCCACCAAAAAAGAAAATGAAAAAAAAAAATGTATAAATTATTCTGTCTACAATACTATCTGCGTTGTCTATAATACAAATATTAAATATAATGAAATGTTGCCAAACATCATAAAATTATCTGTGATGACAAATTAAATATAGGTACATCTGGTACAATAAGAAATTTACCAACGAAAACACAAGGTAGTCGAAAGTTAGGTAATGATCCCGACTTTACTCCTCTATTCCTCTTAAAACTTTAAACGCTTATAAATATAATTAAATCATGACTACGGATTTTTAATATTTTTATATTGTCATAAGAAGAATTTTTGAGAAGCTAAACAAATTTTATCCACGTAAAGCCAAATTGAAACTAAATAACTCAGACAATTTTAAATACCTATGAATAATTCAAAAAACGCAAGATTATTTTCTAGAATGTATTCGACGAAATTGTCAGGTCTCTAGGATTCCTTTTTTTTCCCGCTAAACAATACAAAAATGAAATAAAATAAAGATTATATCACCAACGAAAAAGGTCGTATTTCGATTTTCATCTAGTCCAGCATTATCTACCACGAAAAATATCGTAACTCTCAAGGGGGGGGGGGGACTAGGGACCCAGACATATTGTTTCTCTGATTTTTTTTTTTTTTATAATTCTATAGATCCAAAAATTACTATATTCCAATCACTGATATGTATGATAAAATAATATACATAATGTATTACATTATATTTTAATTGTATAAGTGTTATAAAAAAATTGTTGCCTCCCCCCCCAGATTATTGCTCTAGATCCGTACCTGAAGTGGGAGCACATGAGTTGCGTCCCGTAAAAAATGTATACAGAACTGCGTCCAAAAAAATCCCAGATGCAATTCGTGTATTTTAATCAGGGGTTCTTAAACTAAAATAATTAAATATAATCATGAGCAGAGGCAGTCCAGATGTACATTATGAGGAGCAATCGCTCCCAGGCGCAAAAAGGATAGGTGGGTGGTGGATAGTGGATAGATGGGTAATTCAGTAATTTACATTTTATACTTAATACCTAGTTTGAATAAAATGAGTCTTATTGTAGTCAATAAGTACCGAAAATCACGGTTATTCTGTGCAACGTTCATACTACGATCAAATAGGAAAATATAGTTTGGATACTGTATATCTTTACTCCTTTTTTGTTTTATATTTGTTAATCTGTTAAAAGCTCAATATAGCAGGTCACCAATCAGTCGACCTCCGGAGATTTTTCGACAAAATAGTTAATAATATTGTATTAGTTCACCAATATTGAGTTGGATTGGAAAAATATGATGTTATTATTCTATGAAGGTCATAATGAGATTGATTTGGACCAAACCATAAATCGTAAGGAAATAAGATCACAAAGTTCTACTAAACAACTTATGACACCTTAAAATGTAATTACTTTCTTTAAGATGTAAATAATTTTTAATTATAATATTAACTTCAACCTGGTATCTTCAAATTATCACTATTCATTTATGTTTTTTGTTTCTCCTTTATTGTGATCCTGATGTCTTGTGTTTTTAATATCTTACAGTTTTGAGACATTATCAAGGAAATTGCATTAATATTTTGGTTGGTAGTAATAAGTCTGCTTCTTGCGTACTACATCCTCGGGCCGCCACTGATCACGAGTCAATCAAAAATTGGTTTACCAAATATAATTAAAAAAATAAATAAATATTAAATCACTTAAATCTAAAATCTGCTACCGGAAACGCCACTGCGGAGTCACTAGTTTCGTGAAACGTACTGTACTTAACATATCACAGGTTAGATGGTACAGGTACTGTTGTGACCATTTAGCAGGTCTTGCGCTATATCACAGATTAAATAAAATTTTATCTAACCTGTGATAATATGGTTTTATCAGCTAAAAAAATTAATTACTAAACTAAAACTTAATGTGTATCCTTGAACAAAGTTTGGAGAAAAGAAACGTAGCTTCAATAGTTCCTGGTAGGATCAGTTTAAATGACTTAATTAAAGTTTAACAGCAGATAGAGCTGTTTGTTTCCCATGTCGGTTATTTAATAATTCACCCGGTATTAATGTTGATCATGCAGAAGTAAATTATTATAAAGTTGGGGTCAATAATTGGAAAAATACCACAATCAACTTTAAAAAGCATCAATTAACCAAGACTCACTTAAATGGTACTAACTTATTAACAGAATTTTTGCAATCTAAGCCTATTGACGTAATTTTAGAAGAAAATTTAGATCAAATTCGATCACAAAAATAATTACAGATTTAAAAATAGACAAATTATGAATCGTCTAATAGACAATCTAATTCAAAATGACTTAATATTATCAGTAAGTGATGTCATTAAAAATTCGCTTAAAGAAAAAATAAGACATAAAAAAGTATCAATTATTGCTGATGAGACGAGTGATATAGATCATCATGAACAGCTCTCGGTTATTATACGATATTTTGATAATTTCAAGAACTATCCAAGTGGCTTACAGTTCATGATAGGAAGGATTTATTTTCAAATGTATTCAAAGCCTTTAATATATTTGTAACGAGCTGTTCATGTGAAAGGACTTTTTACAAACTACGTTTTATAAAAACCAAACTGAGGAGCACTATGAATCAAGATCACCTGGACGGTTAACCATCAGTATCGAGCAAGAACGACATGATTTGATGATGTCAATTGAGTCGTTTAAAGTATTAAAATCATATGAGAGAAGAATGTATTTATAAACACTTTATTTTTATCAACAGTTTACAATACTATGTATGTGTTTTTAATTTAATTTTAAATGTATCTTTATTGTTTTACCGATGGTTATACTTTATGGTCACAATTAAAAAATGTCAATGCGAGTTTTTCAACATAAAAATAAATGTTTCTTCATGTGTAAAAAAGAAGAAAAGTAGGTCCTGGAAAACCGTCTTTTTTTGTTTCGACAGGTGACAGGCGATAATAATATTATCATTATTGTAGAAAAATCAATACGTTTATAAAAATCTGCATCGGTTCACCGGGCGGTATTATGACGATGACAATATGATGGCACAGTCTTAGAACGGGCAAGAAATAATAATAACAAGAGTAACGACGTCGCGGTCACCGTGGGCCACGAACAAATAATTCACTCGTAATTCACAAGCGCGACGCGCCTACGTAATACGTTTTATAACTCGTGACTGCGCGACACTCTCGCGGCCATAATGCAGTCGCAGCGGCCGCCGCGCCGCCGTCCCGCATAGTAAAGTTACGAATTACAGTGTACGAAGGCCGTCGGCTACGACCGAGCGAAATTCGCAAGCCGACCGACATTATTATTTTACGTAAAAATATATTATTATTGTTATTATCGTTATCATCATGATCATCATTATTATTATTATTATTATTATTATTATCAATATATATTATTATTGCACAGTAGCGCGTCGGTACACGCCAGTGGTGACCAACTACGGCCCGCGGCCCGAATCAAGCCCGCGATCATTTAATAATCGGTGTTGAATCAAAATCCACAGAGTACCTACCGAATAAAAATTACGCAAAATGTTTTGAAAATTTGATCACGTCTAGAAAATGTAAATATAAGTATTCCGTCAAATTTCAGGTCTCTAAGAATATGTTTAACTGAATTAAAACAAATAACAAAACTAAAAAAAATAACAAAAGCGTAATTTTCGTAAATTTCCCGTTTGTCTTACATTTTTTCTCAATTTTCCCTTTTATTGGGAAAACTATCGGGAAAATCAAAAATGACCACTTTGAAGTATCACCCCAAGAAAATTTTTTTTCAGAAAAGTGTCTACACCGTATACATCGGAGCAAGATTTCTGGAAGAATTTTTGTACACAGTATAAAAAATAAAACAAACATCTTTGTAAAACCAATACATTCTTCGCTACACTCAGAATCTAAAACATCAATGTAAACTTTTGTTTAATTCTTAATGAATACAATGAAAAATTACGACTCGGATCCCGGCAAATAAATTACACAAACCTCCGCTATACAACCCTGTATGTATCACAAAAAATACGGTATTCTAATAATTTCCCCACGTGAGTTCGTACTAATTGGAATTACCCGTGTGTTAAAAAAATATAGTGGGTAGGTAGGTACGTAATTATTATTTTTTTCAACCCGAAAATCTGAATGTTGATTTAACCAGATTAGTAATTAGTTTAGGGCAAAGGACATGAAGCTCTAAAACACCACGAAACATTCAAGCACTTATGCCTACCACCTATACGAAAATATGCACTAAAAATAGGTTCTACTCATTTTTTCCAGCAATTAAATTACAAATATTAGTTATTTGAAACATCTGAAATTAAAAAAAAAAAAAAAAAAATTACCCACCTAATTTAATGATATTGACATATTATTATTTTGGTCATACCAGCTATGACCGAATTAATAAAGTTTTTATGAAACTTTTAGTTTTAGTTTGTACTGATTTAATTCGGTAGACATTAGTACATTAGGTACATTGATTGATTGATGAATGAATTTATTTTTTTTTTTTTTTTTTATGAAATCGTCATATTTTTTTTAAATAGATAGGCATATTTAGTTTGAAATTGTCTTCTTCGGACGCTAAGTAAAAAATCGCATTTTAAAATAATTAATTTTTGATTATATGGTGGGGGGGGATGAACGGCGCATTATTGAAAACACGATTGGAAATAACGTTGTGAACACACGAGCCCAAAAAAATTGGTTTCATTCCGAATAGCGCCCGCGGAATACAACAAACAGTCCAACGCCGGGTGCGCCTACGTGGGGCAAAATCGATTTCGGAATCTGCACAGACACGATGCGACGTGGGAACCCGGCGACAATAACGGCATAATTATTAGTGCAACGCGGTCCCGCGTTACCGATGATCATCAACACGTGCGTATATTATAATCGTGCGTGCGTAGGAACGGGGCACATAAGAATCGCCCGAACACATTACGCTATCGGCTATCTACCACGTCGTCATTTAAATACGCGCAGGGTAATAATCGCCCGTTACAGCCCGCGACTATACCCCCCCTCTACCCCCGCCGCCGAGCGGTTCTCCCGTGAAAACGAAATCGCGTTACCGCGAAACGGTCCTGGCCGACTGTAAAACGGAAAACGATTATATTGCGCATCGTGGGGGGCGACTGAACACAAAATAATTAATATTGTTATTTGCTTTTGTGCCGCTGCGCCAAAAATGCGGTCTATTAAACTATTGATAATTAGTTTCGTAACGGGCATGACGGGTGCTCGCAATTTGTAATTATTATTGGGTAAAATTATTAGGTAGGTACACGGCCGAATTAACTAGTTGATTAAACCACCGACTTGAATAATTATAATATCAATTAAAATAAACAAGATCGTACTATAAAAAGTGATATAAAACGATGGATTTACCTATGCGTTTTTAATATTCAATGATGTTAAAATATCTTTCGTTAATTATTATCAAACGCGTAGACGTATAACTTGCAATATTTACATAACATTTTAAATTACAATTTAATAGAATTATAAAAAGCATGTAACTATAGCACGCAAAATTAAATTATCATAATTGAAACTCTTCGTTGAAAATGTACGTTATAAATTGTAATTCTGATTTTAATCAACAAAATATAACGCACTTTTTTTTCCACAAATGTTGGTACAAAGCTACGCGTGAAACAAATTACATACCTACCTATTAGCCATCCAACTAAATTAAAAAAGACATACTTCGCACGTAGGTGGGCCACTTTTGTGGGTGAGAAATTGTGAGGATAGAGGGGAAATTTAATGTACGAGTATATTATCTGTACGCGACAATTAACCGTTGATAACGAAATACTATTCTGAGCGGAGTTCGGAGCTCAATTATAGTGTTACTTTGTCAACAATATATATATGTCATATAATGGTAAAATAATTACATATGTAATGTATATTTTCTTTTATAATATTTGATTAATATTGTACGTTTTTTCCCGGTTTTCCCATTTCCCCCCCCCCCCCATTTATTGTAAAAACACCTGAAAAAATCAAAAAATGACTTTCCTAAAGTACCGCCCCAGTCAGGTTTATTTTCAGAAAAAGTACAATAGTATAATTTAAAATCGGAGCGAAACTGCTGGTAGAAAAGTTGTTTATAAGAAAAAAAATTTTAAAAATTTAACACCATTGTAATACCAATATATTCCTCGCTCTGCTCAGAATCTAAAAAAATGTAAATTCAAGTTCAATTGTATAATAGGTATACACAGGACCGTACCTAGGGGATATGAGAGATGGTGTCCACGCACCGGACGATATGATCACAAGGGTGCCAATGAAAATTTTTAAAGTTCTGTAGTTTATTATATTTACAATAAACGTATGAGTGAACGTCCAATAGACAAGTTTAGCTTTTATTTTTATTTTTATTTTTTTGTTCACCGGTAAATTTATGCGGTACCCTGTACAGATTTTGATAACCACGGTACTAGGTATACACAACACACATTTAGTTAGATATTTTTAAATGTTTAAATTAATTGTAATAGGTTTTTTTTTAGACGTTCTTTGTTATATCTTATTTGTATGACTTCAAATTACGTTCCATTTTATGACACATTACAATTTGTCTATATTACAAAAAATATCAAATAGGTACTTATACGATATTATGTAATAAATATTATAATAATCATTGATAACTATCAATAGCACGTATATTATTTTATAAACTTTGGATAGAAAAATGTAAGACTACAATTAACGAATGAACTAATAAACGATACGTATGACAGGTGTAAATACCTAACAGCATTTGAACACACCCATTTGTTCTTAAATTCATAACTCACAGCTAGCATATTGCCTATACAGTTTTATTAGATCATTTTTCATTTTAATTATACCATTTCGTTTAATTTTACTGACCTACGAGTTTTTTTTAACTCCATTATGCGTGCTAAATTAATTACTATTTAACACAATAAAACACAAATTCTTTACACAACTTAATCCATTTAACAACTTTAAATTATTTAAAAGTTAAAAACAAAAATTAGACAACTGCACCTAACATGTAAGTATTTTTTTCGAGTCCAAGTGAAAAACTATAATTTATAATCTATGACGAATTACCAGAAAATGACCAACTGCAAAACAATCGATAGTTTGATTTGATTTAACAATAACAAAGAATAATAATATTTTGTTTTTCTCTTAAAGGTTCTGCTCGTGACTTCTTACAAATTGTTAAGGACACAGTGCTAGGGTACTATCTTTCTTGCGTCAGTATTTCATTGGAATAGCTTTGATAGGTAAGTTTAAAATTTATCATTTTCTGCTAAAATATACTTTACCACGCTCCCTCACGAATTTCAAAGTTTTTATTTTTGAAAATGTTTGATTTTTTGCGAGGTCCACTATTAAAAAAATTGCCAATAAATAGCCAAAAAACTTCTGCATTATGACTTTTAAAACAGCCTTATTTTCGTTGTAAAGTCACGAATAGAGTTGGCCGAAGGCCCGGTCTCGCGTATATTTCTTAGTTTATTCTTAGAACACTATCCTCCTTGCAGCAGTATCAGGTTGAAAATGCTAGGGTAGATAAGTTAGCGATTTAACGTTTGTCCTTTGTAATCTTTGTATGGTTTGGCTCACAGTGCACATGTGTACCGTTCGCTTTACCGAATGCGAAACCATTTTTAGTTTTTCGTCCCGGTTTTTACCCAACAATGTTTTGCCGTGGTGTTATTAGTTTTCTATAATGCCGTTAATGAGTTAGATTAACTACTTTATAAATATCATAGTAATGTAAGTGTATAATTGAAATTTTTTAGTGGAAATGGTATAATTGATGGTTCAAAATATATTCTTCCTTACCCACCAATGACCGGCCATTTTTATTCGTCCGATAAATGATCCATTTCTGAATAATTTTAATTTACAGAAGTCAGTTATGTGACCATTATAATGTTAGATATATTTATTTTAAGCACTGAGGTATTGATTTTTTTTAAATTACCTTTATTTGTATTTATTTTTTTTTCTTTGCTCATACAGGCCTCAAACTTTAAATAATATACTTTAATTGTATTCTTACATTAATATATAAACTATTTAGTTATGTATTCTGTATTAATATTTTAAGATGACACCTTCACTAAAAAGATGATAGCTACGCCACTTGTCAGTCAAATTTTAAATTGATATGAATACCTGTATAATATATATTATAGGCACTGTTCAAAAAAACACCTATAATAATGATAAATGATATTAGGATAATACATGTCTATACGACTAATTAATTAAAAATGTCGACCAGTATTCACTATTCACATACATTTATACATCTTGTCCCTTTAAACGAAATTAATATTGTTAATCCTCCTCGCTAGTTGTATATATATACATATTATGACGACCCTTGACGAGGGAAATCCATTTTACCCAATCTCTTTTCGAGTATCATTATCCCTTTGGGTGTGTAAGGGTAGATACCCTATTAGCACACAACTTCTGTGTATTTTTCTCTTAATGAAACATAACATACACAAGTATTACAGCCAGTCAAGTATAGAGGAAGTGTTATTTGTCTATGGAGATTATTAACTTGCAGCGAATTCTGATGGAAGCGTTTGTTCATATTTTTAAGTTCTAAATATTAGTTAGATGATTAGAGAAAAATTAATTCACTAAACTGAAATATCTACTTTCCTATGTAATGAGTATAAAACCAAAAGTCACCAAATTGTATTATAACTTCTATGTGTAGTACCTATCTACATTTTTTTTAATCGGCGAATGTATAGTTTCTATAAATTTTAATGTATTTAAACTGTATTTATTCGAGTTCTAGTTAATTTAATGGATACATTCTCTTTTTTATCTACAGTAGTAATCATCATTACAATTATTATTATTTTTCATACATTATTTATGTCATACAGGTGTTCTAGAGTGTTATCCGAATGCTAATAACTCTGTCAGCCTAATCGAGTTTTATGCTAAGAGGACACAAATGTAGAGCAAAATTAATTTTTATTTTCATTTCTTAATGGCTTAATCACTGGAAAGAAACAGCTTTTTTTTATACTTTCACTTTTTAAAATTTTCAAAATATTAATTTTCTAAGATATATTATTTTGAACATTTCAATATATCATGCATTCATATCCGATTAATAGTTTCTTAGTTATAGCGGTTTTAATGTATAGAAAATAGGCGTCAAAACAATAAATTAATATTCAATAGAATATAAGGAATTACCATGCTGATTGTGATTCCTAATCGTGTATCGTGTTACTCTATTTAAAATTAATTGATTTCACAACAATTTTCTAGAAATTAAAATGGCTATTATTAAGAAACTATTATTTATTTATTGAATATGTAAGTATGGTACGTTAAAATGTTTAGAATGATATATTTTACGAATTGACTATTTTTGAAAATATAAAAAATTAAAAAATAAAGTCATTCTTTTCAATGATTAAGGGATTAAAATATAATTTTTCTCTACATTTGTGTACTTACACAAAACCCGATTGAAAATTTATTTTATTTTTAAATGAATATTGAGAAAGTTATTAGCATTTGAATAACACTATAGGATACCCTGTTTATAGATAGTATATACTTATACCTATTCTATTCTATTAAATATCCTTTAAACCTAAGGTTTCAGAGTTCCTGTTAAAACATGTTTTTATGGATGTATGCACATATTGTACAACACAACTACAAGAATAAGATACATAGTCGTACAAAGAATCTAAATTTTAAAGTTTTTTCCGTATATATTAAATGCATATATATTGATGTTAATTTGTACTTATTTCACAACAAATTTGGCATACATATTACTTAAAACCTTGGGAAGGTTTATATAAGATGACCCATCATTCACAAATTGATTTCGTTTCGGTTCACGAAAATCGCGTATATTTTTATTTATATTTTGGGGTTATTGCCATTGGTTACGGACAATAAAATAGTTGTGATAAAATATAAGCTATTCTATATAGTATAAAATGTGAAATTCAATGTTCTTGGTAACGGCAAATCTCAGAAATAACTTGACCATTTAACACGGACAAAGCTGAGCGAAATTATTATATTCACGGTTAAAAATATGCATTTTTAAACTTTTACGAGCAACAAATGTTAATTGCAAGGACATAGGTGTAAACTAGAAATCACCGTAAAACACGTTTTTATTTTTATTTTTTTCACATACATTCAGAACTGATACGGATAAAGCCGTACAAACATCCAGTACAAAAATATAATTAACAAATTCGTAATTCAAATCATACTAATTAAAATAACGAAAAGACGTCACAGGATATTGGAGACGGGTGCAGCCACTGTTATAGATAATTTAATGTACATAAGTAAAAAACGATAAACCATTGCTAACGAAAAAACGATTCTGAACGCAGTTCAGTTGACAGCGATGCTTTGTCGACAAATAATATATATATCATATTATGGTAAAACAATTAAATAGGCATTATATAATTTTTTTTATAATATTTATTTAATATTGTATCGATTTTCACATTTTTCCCGGATTTCCCATGTTTTTTCCCGGGTTATAACATTTGCTAAGAAAACTCTTGGAAAAATCGAAAAATGAGCTCTTAAAGGACCTTCTCAGTCAGATTTACTTTCAGAAAAAGTGCTATCATTGTAAATCGGAGCAAAATTTCTGATAGAAAAGTTGTACACAGAAAAAAAAAAGGCCATAATATTTTTTTTCTAATACCTACATTTTATACATTTTCCATTTTTCCGACATTTTATCCCAGTTTTATCCAGTTATTATGAAAACCGATTGAAAAATCACAAAAATGACCTCCCTAAACCATGGAGATAAAATTTCCGTTTAGAAAATAAGTTACATTTGGTACATGAAAACAAGATTTCTGTAGAAAAGTTTGCACAAAAAATCGAGAGGTATTTTTCGATTGAAATCGTCCGAGCGAACGATAGCTAGGTCTCTAGGTACACTTAAAATGCATTTGTTTTTTCCCTATTTAGGTAAAAGAAAAAAAAAAGTGCAAACAATTTCTTTTCAAAACCTGGGTTTTAACTTGCGACCCTTAGTATGATTACGTACTCATGATCATTCGACTATAACAAACTTAGAATAAAACAGACAATATAGAATTATTTATCACAAACATGTAATAACTATAATTTCGAAACTTAATCCACTCAATTCTAACTTCACCATCCTTCTTAAATCGGCAATACACAAATGTTCGAAAAAAAATTTTAAAATTAGATTTTTTTCACATAGTTTTTTACTCAAACAATTTTCGTCAAAATTTAATATCAAAATTTCTTTCCACAAAGTAAGACACAATGAACCTTCTGTTAAATTTTTAAGCATTTCTGTAAAGCTTAACAATTTTTTACAGAATAGCTACCGAATAAAATTTACATACAAAACTCGCAAAATTTAAATGTCTATAAATAGCTCAAAAATGGCTTAATTTTTTTTTTTTTTTTACCGCATATAAAAAAGGCAAGTATAAGTTTTTCGTCTAAATTTCAAGTCTTCACGAATATGTTTAACTAAAAAACAATAAATAACAAAATTAATAATAATATGTATTAATAATAAAAGCATTAATTTCGTACATTTCCCGTTTTCCTTACGTTTTATCCTGGTTTTTCCCAGATATTATGAAAACCGCTTGGAAAATTACTTTTTTTTAAATACCGTCTAGACAACTTGAGCTTGCAGAAAATTTGCTACACGTATAAATTTGAGCAAGTTTACTAGGAAAAACGTGTCCATAGACTAGAAGAGAGAAAAAAAAACATCTTAGTAAACCAAGACATTCTTCGTTCTATTCAGAATCTAAAATCATTTTGAAAATAAATAATAATAAGTAAAAACGCATATTCTACCTGATGAACATAAAGCTACAGAAAAAATCCTGGTGTTATAGAATCTGTAGTTTGTAATTTAGGTCTACCTCATATATACCTATGATCTATATGTATACAGATATGCATTTCATTTCATGTTTATTATTTTAAAACATCGTTTTTTATTCTCTCTCTTTTAGTTAAAATATTAAATCAATATTTTTAACCCGAGCCACTTCTATTATAGTGCAGATGTGGCATAACATATATATATATATATATAACTGAAAATTTACGAACACTTATTAATAAAACATAATATTAAAATATTGTTACTATTTTACTTCATAATCTATAGATACTTTTGAAAGAATTTTATCAAACAATTTCAACCGAACCAAAAAAAAATCATAAATCGAAAAATAGAAAAGCATTTTAATAGTTTTGACAAATTTAAGTAAAAACTGAATAACAACCAAAACCATATGTGTATAAATTAATCAAAAGTCAATAATTTGAATACAAAATAAAACTACTAACTACTAACTAATTGTTTCTACAATTTAGACTTATTAGGTATTCGGTAATACATAACATTTAAATTATAAACAAACTCAAAATACAATTTGTTCAAATATTCGAGTAACATCTAACCGATACAAAATTCGTACACCTACCTAGGTACCCAGTCATTATAATAAGTTGGTATCTTAAGACTTGAGTTATCTGAAGTTATATACTTGTATAAAACGTTCAACAATCTGTTGTATATAATATATAAGTATAATACCTAAAAAAAAAATATCGATATTGAACATACATACACATCGATACACTTTTATATTTGTCATATCGCAAAATTAATAACAATATTTCAAAGTCTATAATATGAAAGTGATTTTCCATTAGACAAATAAAAATAGTTAACCTAACAATAACTAATATAGATAACCTAGCTTTGTTACATCGGTTTGAATTCTAAATTATTATAATTTTATATTTTGTGCGGAGCGAGTATAATAGGTAATTTTTTAATTTTCCCATGGGTTTTCATTTTAAATGGGAAAAAACGGGAAAATGTACGAAATGTATTATTTTAAAATCGTATTAGTATTTTTCGTTTTTATAAGAGTTTTAATAACAAATTTTGACGAAACTCGTAAATATTACGGCCTTTTAAAACATGTATATCCGAACTCGGCCAAGAATCGTTTTTCGTTGGCAAAGATTAATCGTTGCGTACAGATATGCACTAAATTTCGCTCTATATCCTATCTTCCCAACTTCTCACCTACGACAGTAGGCCTACCTATCGTGCGAAGTACATCCGTGTCTTTTTTTTTTTTTTTTTAAGTGATACTATATTTATTTCATTTTATTTTATAACAGTACAGACCGAGGCCCAATAAACATCAAGTGATTTATATAAATATGATAATACAAAACAAAATTGTACAGCTATTTAGTTATTAACAATAATAATAACAGTAATACAAATATTAAATAAATAAATAAAAAATTATATGTAAAATATATTAATAAATAAACTCCATAATAAACTCTGACAACCACTATCAATACGTTTTACAAAAAATATGTATACAAATTCTCGCGGACTACCACATGACATTTCACAGACTAACGGTAATCCACGGACGATAGGATGGGAAACACTGCTTTGAAACATTGAGGCCAACTGAGCGTCAAATATGGAGCTTTGAAATTGTGTAAAATACGTATAATATTATATATATATCTAAATAATATGTACGATAATATAAATAATTTACTTAAAATATTATTTACCCTGTCCTGAGGGTTTAGTACCGCTTTTGAGTATCTCCCAGAATGGTTAAACAAACGTATTCATATTACATACCTATATAAGTATAACATCATTATAAAACTAAAGGACTTTCAAATTGAGCTTAAACTCTAAAATATAAGTTGCTATATTGTAATCCGCAGAACCGAAAAATACCTAAGTAAACAAATATACCAACGTATCAAATTTACAATAAATGTACAAAATATTAATAATTGATACTTTTTAAGGTATTTATTTATTTATTCATGAGGAATAGTATGACTATTATACGAATTATTTTATAATTCGAATTTCTTAATAATACAATTTACTTTAGCTTTAACGAAATACGTCGTGTTATTTTACTCATCATAGTTGATTTTATTTAAAACTGTAGTTTAAAATTTCAAATCTATGTCAAACACAATTAACGTGAAGCGCTTTTTTGTGTCCCAACACGAGTACGTAATGCGTATTAAAAGAAACTCACGATTAATAAATTATACCCGCACACAGTCGATAGTCAACGCAAACAAATTATTTTATTTGTTGATTATTTTTATTGTTTTATAATAACTCCTACTAATGAGTTGAATTTGACTACTACACAAAGTAGGTATAAATAAACATTTCTGCAAATATGTACATAATTAAAATTTGACTAAAATCAACATTTTTATAATGTCACATGAACGCATATCAATTTTGTAAGCATATTTTAAAGCCAAACAAATTTTATCTATACATAAAACCAAACAAAAATACACAATTTACAATCTACAAAATCCTACACAAAAATTTCAAATAATTACATAAATATCTCAAAAATCAGCAGATTGAAAATTGTGCCACGTCTAAAAAGTGCTAATATAAGTTTTCGGTGCAAATTTTGGATTTCTATGATTATTTTTAACTAACTTACAACAAAAAAATACAAACATACTTCGCACGATGGGTGAGCCACTGTTGTAGATGAGAAATTGGGAAGGTAGGACATAGAAGGGAATTTTATGTATAAATATACATTAAATTCCCCTCTATATACAACGATAAATTATTGCTAATGAAAAACGATTCTGAGCGAAGTTTGGTTACATATGTCTTAAAAGGCAGTAATATTTACGATTTTTGCCAAAATTTGATATTAAAATTCTTATAAAAAAAATTTAAAAAAAACTAAATTAAACTCAACTTTTAGTTGTCAGCCAATAAGTACAACTTAATGAATCTAGTAAACATCTTGTTAAATGTTCAAGTACTTCTGGTTTATCTAACAATTTTATCCACAGAATACCTACCGAATAAAAATTACGTAAAAACTAGCAAAATTGAAATGTCCTTAAATAGTTCAAAAACTTGAAAATTTTACCTCGTTTAGAGTAGTCAAATATAAATTTTCTGTCCAAATTTCAAATCTCTACGAATATTTTTAACTAAATCACAAAAAAAAAACAAAATTGTTTTCGTTAAATTTCCCCGTTTTTCCTACGTGATTTTACGGGTTTTCCCTAAAATAATCATATCACATGAAGTATAACACGAGTTTTAGTAGTTGGAATAATATTTCCAGACGCAATCGAAATTCATGATTTTTCGTTTGGGACGAAATCGGTTGCATATCTGCTAAAACCGGACGCAATTGAAACTCGAGAAGGGTTAAAAAGATCAAAACGGGACGCAATCGGATGACGACCAATCAATCATATATACTACATTGTTTGAACCATGCAAATTCGTAATCCATCACACGGTGAGGGGTGGAGCAGTGAATTCGGAGATCTGATTCCCCTCGCCTTTTTTTATTTTTACGTAATGTACACAATTTTAGAGATGTAAATTTAAAAAAAAAATTTTCATCAGAAGGAAATTGTCGCTACCTCATAACACTTCATCTTAGTGCTAAAGTTTTTTGCACGCCGCTGGAACCGTGGTAGAAATAATTATTTCTACCGTGCATTTTCAAAGGGTATCAACCTCAAGCGCGCGCCACTTGTATAAGAATAATGTGTCTTATAAGCACTTGCGAAATACAACGCGACCGAACGAAATAATACAATAAAGAGGCCGGTTATCATAATCGCCTGTAACAAAATTCGACACAAATACTTATGATCACGCGTATACTGTATTGCATTGAGACCCGCATCAACTGTCTTAGTTCAACTACAAGATGACCATACGAAAACAATGCTTGTAAAACTAGTTTATTTTTGATTTTAGAGTAAAAGTACTTGTCATGAAATGTATAGAGAACAATATTTTGGTAAGAATGTCATAGGTATTTTTTTGAATTATGGACAATTAAAAAAGTTACAGTCATTTAAAAAACAAAAAAAGTTTTTTCGGTTTTTTATATCGAGCTGTATATTTTGAATAATACAAAACCCATATGACATTCCGTCGAAAATATTGTTCTCTATAAATGTCATAATAGGCACTTTTACTCTAAAATCGTCCTCGATTATTATTATAATATAGCCAGTATGTATAAACATCTCGGCAACCACGCGTCACGCGGATTAAAATAATATTATTAGTCATTATCGCATTAGGAGGATATCGCGCGCATTAATGTGTGTCACAGATTGCAGTAATGACTTTAAAATAATAGACATTTATTGGACAATAATATAGCGTATAATTCGCGCTCCAAAATCTCCGAGGCGAATGATCAATAAAATTAATAATAATATATTACTATACAAATTATTATTATTGTTATTAAAATGCGTGCTGCTGCGGTTCGGACATAACATTTTGAATTTACTAATGAAAACCTTTAATACGGATGCGATCATTCCCGTTACGCCGCGCAGCGGTAGGTATAGGTGTACCTATGTACCTACCAAAACGGTTAACCGATAATACCGTTAATGGCAGCGTTTTGGCGCTGTAAACAGTTTAGCGATAAAAGTCAACAGTCACACACTTACTCCGGTTAGTTGGTCGACACTAGACCGGTCACTGAATCGCCAAAACACAATACACGCAATATTAATAATGACTGGTAACCTGCTATTCTTCTAATTACCACGGTCGATACAATAGAATCTATAATTATGATGTTAACAATAATAGCGTGGTCATTTTGATACCTATAAATTATGTCATCTGAAAAGTGTGATTACGTACCGGCGTTCAGTAATTCGGAACGAGCCGTCCGCCCGAAAGTCAATGGCGAAGAACAAAATAGGGATGGTAGAGTGCGGGTTACATAATCGCATCCGAGTTAGATAAGGAACACTGCCGTATCGACCAAGAATTCACAACTCGCTTGATTTTCTCCAACAAGCTTGCCCGGAACTTTGACAACGGAATTGTGTCGGAATACCTACGTTAATCAACGAAATTAAGAGTAATTTTCCATTTGTAACTACAACTGTCAATATTAGTACGTTGTAATACAAACACTACGGACAACAATATACGCGCGCCGCGTATTTGATTTAATTAAAAACGGTTATTATTCATCTGTACGACGCACGTGTTCATCTTGGAGTCCAAACAGTAACCGAACACCGTCGAACCCTCTCGCGGTATACCATACTATTATTGTTACCTAGTGCGAGCTTTTAATAAACGCCGTTTATCGCCAAGAACAAATCGGGATCGGCGAGAAACCGCGGGCGCCGGTCGTTAGTGTTGTTTATACGGCGCACACAACAATTCTTCCGCGTGTTGGATACAGGTGTTTATGAGTACGAATGCATATTAAAATTAACAATAATATTATTTTATAACGCTATTACTGAAAATGTGTACGTTCGTGTCGATGAAACGATGCATTTAGAAAAGAAAAAAAAACCGTATGTTTTTTAATGATAACAATATTGCTGTCCGAAAGACGGTTTTCGTCGGCCGTGCTCAATTACTATAATAATTGTTCTATTCGTTTAGATCCGGTTTAAAACTTCCAACAAGTATTGGTGCGCAACACCGCTGATATAGTTTTTTTTGTTTCTCGTCGTCATAAATCAATACACTGTGAGAAAATACCGATGTTTCCTTTCGTTGCGTATTACGCATCTAAGTAGACATTTCTGACATTGGCCGACTAGCTACTTTGACCGTAACCGTCGTCATATATTATGACCACTGGAGAATAGGCAATATTCCTGTTGTTATTTGTTTGTGTCCATAAGATAAATCTACCCCCCCCCCCACAAGTCACGGCGATCTAATCAATGTCCGATAGTATTTAACGACTTTGTTTACACGTCGGTCCGGTCAGAGATATCCACAGACAATAGGAATATGGATAGGATATCCTTATCGGTGTTCTAAGAGAGACGGGTACAGACGGGTACGGTTATTCCGAGACTCGATTCAAAAGTGCGGCATTTTATCCATGGTGATGAATCGTCTCGGTTTTCCGGGAACATCGCCTGGCCCACGATTTTGTGATAGAAACGTCCTATCCATTTCTTCATTATCTTAATCATTAAGGCTTACAATATAATATGTATCCAATAGGTGTCAATGGGTATTATAGGAATCTATTACGATTTTGTTTTTCAAACCTATTAGTGGCTTATCAAAACGGTTTCTACGGTCGAATGTACACGGGGACTATTAGAAACCGCTACTAAACGGTTATGCTCAACGTGCGAAATTGAGGAGAATAATTCGGCGCCTAAATGAAATGAAATGTTTTCCGACGGGCGCCCTCGGAAAACGGGCGACACGTAAGCAGACTATCGGTGGTAGTGTAGTAGCAGTTGTCACAGTTCCAATTGAAATACTGATAAACACACGTGTCGGCTGCTGTGCGAGATGCGCGCGCACACTGTAAGGTTATGTCTGGAGCACCGTAATTAAAATACCGAGGACCTACGTACGTAGGTACGAGTGTATGACGTCTTGTGAGTGCGGTTTATGTGCGGTGAACTGGATAATGGATGTAAATTCGATGTCGATCCAATAGTGTACACGACGTACAATATATGTATTGTGTATTAAGTAATTATCATTATTATTATTATTATTATTATTATTTTTTTTTTTTTTTTCAATACCTATAGGTATCTATATCTGTACAATATATTATTATATTTATTAGCATACGTATTATATACATACATATTATTAATTTTTATCTTATCTGTCACAATATACGTCAACATTGTTGGAGTATAATTTATATTGTAATCGACTCGTCGCTGTGTATATGTGCGTGTCCCCCTCCGGTAAATCGTTTTGCACGATTAAAGAAAAAAAAAAAGTAGAAACAAATTAAAAAAATGTAAACCATTATTCGATGTACCAAGAATCAAGTAGTGGATACCTAACACTAGTAACTAAACAGTGTCGAACTGAACACTCATATACATATGCATTTTTATGGTTTCGATTTTTTATTTTTTTTATTTTTTTTTTTTTATTGAATTATTATAAACACCAGATAATTAGAGAATAACACCATGACCGATTACCATCTAGTGGTGAGAATGACGCCCCGGAGCGATTTACTAATTGATTTAATTTAATTTGAATTATTTTTTATTTTTAAACAGCCAACAATGGACGAGTCACATCTTAGGCCGACCGAAACCACCGGGTTGGCAAGTAAAAAGGAAAAAGAAGTAAAGGTTCATATACCTGATTCAAGTTCGGTATGTTTATTAAAGAACACAATTATTCTGAACATTAATCCTAAATAAGTATCTGTTGAGAATTAACAACAAATCTGTTTTATTTTGTAGACTGGATTTAGCTTTCGAAAACTATGGGCATTTACGGGACCTGGATTTTTAATGAGTATTGCCTATCTCGATCCAGGAAATATAGAATCTGATCTGAAGTCTGGAACAACTGCTAGATATAAAGTATAAAATCAAATGAGTATTTGTTTTAAAATATCACTTAACATAATTAATGTATTATAGTTATTGTGGGTGTTAATGAGTGCTACCATATTGGGTTTGGTAATGCAAAGGCTGTCAGCTCGTTTAGGGGTTGTTACTGGTCTTCATTTGGCTGACATGTGTTATCGCCAGTACAGAAAATTTCCTAGGATATTTGTGTGGCTAATGATGGAAGTGGCTATTATTGGTTCAGATATGCAAGAAGTAATTGGCACTTCCATTGCGCTTTATTTGCTCAGTAATAAAATGTAAGCATAAATCATATTCTAGAAAAAACTAAATGGGGTTATCTAGTATTATTTCTAAATTTTATTCTTTTATAACTGAACAATCTATACTTGGTAAATTTTTATTCTTAATTTATTTGATCCAAATCACCACTATTTGGCCTAATTTTGACCATCACAACAAATAAATAACAAAATAATATTAAGATGCATTTTACTGTAGAATGATGACCTAAAACCAGAAATGGTAAGGTTTTAGGAAAAAATAATTTTTAGAATATAATTAAATCTTGTTTCCCCATTGAATGTAATGTTTTTAGATAAGTTTCTTAAAATTTGACCGAAAAATGTTTTAGGGCCTTCTGATTTTAATCTGGAACCCTAATAAGTACATACCAAATGCTTGGCTGGGTTTTTAAAATTAATATTGTTTTTAAAACATTTTTATTTACATATTAAGAGATTTATCAAAAACCATAAATAGCCTAAAGAAATGTTTATGACAGAATAAAATGAATTATTCATTCTTAAGAAGTTATTAAAGTCTTAAATTAATCCATATTATTTCTAAAACAATACTTTTTAATATATATGTATACACAAAAATAAAATTTGTATTGAATATTTAACAGTTCTAATTGTTGTTCTAATTTTGTGCACAAAACCACACCTTTTATTTTTTAATAAAGTTTTCTAAAATAAATGTTTTTTAATTGTATAATTTTTTCGATCTATAATTTATTTAATAAAACCTATATTATAATTTAAAAAAAACATATGATAATTAATTTAGGATACCACTTTGGGTAGGAGTGCTGATCACTGTCTTTGATACTTTATCTTTTTTGATGCTGGACAAGTACGGACTCCGAAAATTGGAACTCGTGTTTGGTTTATTCATTGTTATAATGTCTTTGTCATTTGGATATGAGGTATTAAACCTTATAGTTTTTCTTTACATTTGTGATCTTTAAAAGTGTATAATTAAGTGTTTTGTACTTTATAGTTTGCAATTGTTCAACCAGAATTAAAAGATATGGCTAAAGGATTAGTAATTCCTTGGTGTTCAGACTGTCAAGAATCCGCTCTTCTTCAGGCTGTAGGCATTATTGGAGCAATTATCATGCCACATAATCTTTACCTTCATTCAGGTCTAGTCAAGGTAAATTTAATAGTTATTTAAATTGTTTAATGGTTTTAAAAAATGATTCATTGTGCACTCAATAATTTGTTTAAATAATTACACAATTACCTATATATTATATTATTTATGGCATATATGTATTATTATGTCATTAATTTTATGATCAAATGTAAATAATTAAAAAAGATGTATATATATTTAAATTACTATAATTTATAAATGCATATAATGTGAAGGTCATACAATCTAATTTGCAATTATACCCACTGGCATAGCCAGGGGGTACCATTCCCTATGGTCCTCGTTTTCTTTACCAATTTAGTGAGTAGTGCATTTTTTAAATGTATTTTAGGAAATTAATTATATCATTTAATTTTGGATTTTTTTTTTTTTTTTTTTTGTGCTCTATTCAAAATAAGATTAAACGCGCAGACTGAACTGTAAAGCAAATCTGCACCTCCTGGTCAGCGCTACTTGTCCTACGATTGACCATCAATTCTCAGTTCTCATTATTGTCACTATCCCCATGCTTATAGGGAATACATGCAGTTGGTGAGGGAAATGTAATGGTGGAAATGTGCAATGATGACAATAGTTAGTTCTTGATTAATTTTTCTTTCTATTCAATATGACTAAAAATTAATATATTGCATGTCAAATTTATTTTAAAAGGTTTTAGATTTGAGTGCAGATAATAATATATTAGTTCCATTGTAATCTATGATTTTTATTTATTATTTGATTTAGTAAAATAAATGCATTTTAAGATCATATAGCCCTAACTAAAAATTGATTTTCCTCTTAAAAATTATTATTAGGTAGTTATTTCCCAATTTATTCAAAATAGACAGTTAAATATACAGTTAATATTATTTTTAGATTCTGAGTGTAGCGAGAGAGCTATTGGTTTAATTAAGATTTTTCTTTTTTTTCTTTCTTCTAGTCTGTGGACACATTTTTCACAAGAAAACTTGCTCAAATTTTTACGTGTAGCAACTTTTCTAAAAGCTCAAGTTGTCTAGATGGTAGCGTTTTGAAATCAAATTTAAACGAAAATCGCAAAAAATTATGGCACTTCAAATTATGTATTACCAAACTACGCTCGAAATTATCTTTCGTCAAGCAATAGTTGCTTACAGATATTTAAAGGAAATAACCTTATGTATCCTACCTTCCCAACTTCTCACCTACAACAGCAGCCACTCACTCCCATCCCCAGTATCAACTCTTTTTTTATTATTTAAAATTATTAATATGCACAATATAAGTTTAAACAATTGTTTTATAATATTAAAATGTAATTTTTTGATATTTTCTTATAGTTTATTGTGGTTGCTTTAAATGTAGAGGTTTTTTCCTCTATGCAACTAAGTAATTAACAAAAGAATGTTCATTTTAATTTATAGTCTAGAGCAGTAGACCGAACAAAAAAAGATAAATTAAAAGAAGCCAATTACTATTTTTTTGTTGAATCTTCCATTGCGTTATTTGTATCATTTGTGATCAATGTATGTGTTGTATCAGTATTTGCTCATGGTTTATATAATAAGACAAATAAAGATGTGGTAAGTAAAAAATATAATTTTTTTAAATATTGTATTAATATCTAATTGTGTACATTTTTATTTCAGTTGGATATCTGTATTAAAAATAATAACACATATACAGATATTTTTTCAGTAAGTTATTAAACCTTAGTAATTTAAATATCTATAAATAATTGTGTATAAATATGTTAAAGGTCTGTTCAAATAGTTCTAGAAATGTTTGAATTGTGTATTAACAAAGTGTCAAAGAGCATTAGGATTAATAACACTGTCATTTATGACTTCTCCATAGGACATCTGTTTTTGTAAATTTGCTGTAACCTTCTTTGTTTTATTGAGACTAATGTTTTTCATACTTGGTGATTTTTTTAAATAAATCCTAAAGAAGTGTAACTCAAAGAAGATTAACTAATGTGCTTTTTGAGAGATCAGAGAAGATTTTTCTAATATTTGTATAATTATGTAGTGATACAGTTAATGATAATTATTATGATACAATTTCTAAAAGTTGTCACTTACTATACCAAAAAGTTTCTTATAAATCTAAACTTAGCTTTATTTTTGATACATAAAATTCTCGAGACAAATTTTGCTGTGGCTCAGCATATAGCAGTATTTTTCATGTAGAGAATCTTCAAAAAATAGATTTACCTCAAAATAAGTCACACATGATGTGAAATAAATCCTACTGCTTTTTAATGATCTGTTAGCGTGCAATTGAAACAGCTCTAAAACTTTTTGAACAGACTTTGTATGTGTATTTTTTAATTTTAACCATAATTTCTCTAGAACAATACTGAATTAGTTGAAGTAGATATTTATAAAGGTGGAATATTCCTTGGTTGTCAGTTTGGCATAGGTGCCATGTACATTTGGGCAATTGGTATTTTAGCTGCTGGTCAAAGTAGTACAATGACTGGTTGTTATGCTGGACAATTTGTAATGGAAGTGCGTGGTCTTAATTGATATTTTGTTTCGATAATATATATGACACATGGATTTTAGGGTTTTTTAAATCTTCAATGGAGCCGTTGGAAAAGAGTCGGATTTACTCGAGTAGTTGCTATAGCACCCACATTTTATTTTGCATTCTTTACAAATATTAATGATCTGACAGGCATGAATGACATATTGAATGCTGTAATGAGTTTACAGCTTCCTTTTGCTACACTTCCAGTAATTGCATTCACAAGTAATCCTCGGATAATGGGTGATTTTACCAACGGATAGTAAGTTCAATAAATAATATTTAAATTATTATTAGGAATAACCTAACACTAAATTTATTAATTTTTCAGTAAAAACATTATAATAACAATTATATTGTCTATTGTAATAATTAGCATAAATATATACTTTGTAATCTACAACACCATAAACTATTTTACTCATAGTTGGATTTTAATGCTTGGAATAATAGCATATGGTTTTATTTATATATTGATGTGTGCGTATCTCTCCCTGCATCTTTTTATCAGCATGCTGGATGATTGCAGCCCATTGCGTAGGAATCCTGTTAGTATTAATTTTTGAATAATTATAATAATCTATCAGCATACATAATTTTTTATTTTTAAATATTATTTTATTTTTAGTTTATTATGAAATATATTGGTCCAGAGATAGGTAATAATTTTTCTCACCATCAACAAACAAATTCTACTTCTACACCACCAAGGTAATGTATTTTATTTATATTATGTTATAATTATGTAATTTAACATTAAAATAGGTTAAAATAAAAATAACCTATTTAATAATAAGGCTAAGTTAATTTTTTCTTTTTTTATTTGTAGCGGGGCATTTTACTCATAATTAGTTATTGTTTGACTTTATACTTAAACGCATTATTTATCCATACCTAAAATTACATAAGTGATTTAATATTTCTATTGATTTAATGTATTATGATATTAAATCTCAAGTAAAATGGGTTAAATCTATACTAAATGTATTAAATATTCATTACAAGTGTCTAACATAATATGCTACAAATTTTTTTGGGACTTGTGGTTTGCTAATTGCATGCATGTAAATTGGGCTTTTTTTAATATAAAATTAAATATAGAGTTAATAATAATATGATTTGTTTTCATTTTTTTAGTCAATTTTAATGATTTAAAAGGAACCTTATCAAGGGACTTCATTTCTAACATTTGCTGTTTGTCAATAACTAGCAACAAAAGCATTTTGCATTTTATAAAAAATCATTTAATTTGGATCCTACAAAATTTTTTTTTTTTTTTACATATTTCTTCCATTTCTTAAATTTCATAATTTATTAATGATTAAAATTAATTTTAACACATATATCAAATGTAATAGATCAATTTTGCCTTAAACTCAACCAGAGAATTTCAGTTGTAGTAGTGAAATGTTGCTATTTATTACGGGTGAAACAGATACAGTAAAAAAATGTTGGTGATGAGGGATCTTAATAAAGTAATTCAATAAGCACTATATTATATTAAAAACGGTCTTTAAAAAATATTTAAACATATACTAATTTAGCTAATTAAACTTAAGTTTTGGTCTAATTTTATTCTTATTTTATTTTACATTAAAATGATAGCAGCCAAGATGACATACCAAATATCAAGCTATAAAAATACTAATAATTATGATGGGTTGTATTGCATGTGCCAAAAGGATTGTACTTAACATCAATAAAACTAGCAAGTATATAACTAATATAATTTATGTCTAATGTATTAGTCTAAAGAATTATGCTTATTTATAAATATATTTGTATACATTAGAAAGTGTTAACATAATATTTAGTCCAAATTTGGTTAGTTGTCTCACTTAGCTCATAAAGGCACAAACCAGTATTATCATTGTTAGTGATATTTGTATGAATTTATTGTGTTATAAAAATTCAATTCTATCTTTAACCCATTTGATAGAAATTCTTTATAATACGTTAAACATTAATAATTATACAAAAAACATGGTCACAAAAGAGAAGAAAAAATGTTCTGTTACTTGTGTATATATTGCCGTCTATGTCCGCAATCAGTCATTATCAATAATGCCTAGTCATTATTGGTAATGACTAAAATTAAAAGTGAATATGAAAAATATTAAATTTATTTTATTAATCTAGTTAATAAAAAATGAATATAATGGTATCTTTTGTGATGTTATAATACTTATTTTTAAGATCAAATACCACTTGACCACTTTGATGAATAGTGTATTAAGAATATCTAACAAATTCTTCTTAGTTATGTAATAAAGGACATCTGATGTGTTATCTTTTACACTCTTAATGAAACATTATTTTCCACTTATTGATAACATGTCGTATGTACTAAAGTTTTTATTATCTTCAGGATTTTCTTTAAACCAAATATATTCAAAATTTTGGAATTTTTTTTACTTCTTCCAGTCTATTCCTTTATAAAAAAAAGTTCTATTATCCACAATTTATAATTAATACATAATCAATATTTTTTATTAAGTTGTTCATGCATATTGACTAAATTCATTATTAATATTTATTAAGATTTACAACAACACAATATGTAAACAAAAACCAACAAATTTCCACAGAAAAAAATTGTGTAATAAAAATAAGATAAAATAAATTATACAATTGTATGAGCAAGAATCAATAATCAGCTTAAGAAATATCAATAAATGACAATGATTAAACATATCTGTATCTGAAATTGTTCACACCATCAATACTGACATTGCTTAGTCATTACCTACATTTCCTGAATTCCCGATGTTGACAGTAATATATATAAAATATAACTATCATTTAAAAGGAAGAAAAAAAATCAGTGTTTTCTTGTAAATAATCATTAGTATATAATTTAATTTTTATTGTTACATATAATTATAAATAATTAGAAAAGTATTCAATTCTTCACAAAATGAAAGTAAATAGTAATTATTTGTAAAATAAGTTACAACAATAAAAATCACAATATAATATTCTAAATTTTAACAATGATAATAACAATTGAGACTTGAAGGTAAGTTCTACAAAAGTATAGTGAGACTACCTATTTTTTATGGTTTGTAGTGTTGAGCAAAGTATTGTAAACAGAGAATAAATATAGCAGAAATTAGGTTGAATGAGTGGAGTGATGAAATAAATAAAATGAGGATGAGTACATAAGATGTAGCTTAGGACGTGGCTTCAAAATTAGAAAAAATGAGAGAAAATAGACTAGAGATGGTATGGACATGACACGAAAAGAGAGGAATCTGAAGCAGTAAGAGTTACAATGAAAATACACATAGGTAGAAAGAGATGGAGAAGGACAAAAGAGAAGTGGTTGAATGTGATTGAGAACAACCGGTGTAAGCAAGGTGGGAGATCAAGTCATGAAGTAGTTTAGAACGAAGGTGGCTAACTCTAAAGAGTTAGAATGAAGGAGAAGAATAAGAACAATTACAATTACATTTACATTTTAACAAATATCATCACATAATTTTGTTTAATCATTCATCAAAAATTAGTTTATTATGTGTACATATATTATAATATGTGGGTATAACATAATTATCTATTAATTAAATTAAATTAATAACTTAATTATTATGAACTTAAATTTTGTTATTTAATATACTCAATTATTTTGTTTTTTTAATTGTTTTAACTCTAGAAATATTCAAGAACCACAAATGGCAGACCATAATATTTAATTACCATATTGTAATGTTAAATCTGTTGATTATTATGAAGAATGATTATGAACGGTTCACTAATGAACAAAATTATAATATATTTAATTATTATTGTCTTAAATTCAATTTTATATTTGTTCAAGTTTAATTTTAATTTTTTGATCAATTTAATGGAGGGAGGGGGGATTTTTATCTTAATGTATTTTTTTTATAGTAATTACAAATACAAATAATTACCTGTTGACTATTAAGCAGTATATGAGGACTAAAAATAAGATAATCATAGTCTTTGGTGGTATACGACTGAAATAGTGATCCAATATCTAAGTATATCTAAGTTGATATTAATAAATATGTCAAAAATGTATAAATTAACTTATTATTTATTATTACCATATTTTCTAGTTTTAAGATATACATTTTAAACCATAAATTAATAATAATGTGCAATTTTGTTCATTTAAGAGGTGAAATAATTTATCTTTAAGTTTTTTAAATATCAATTGATATAAATTTGAAAACAAAGATGATTTTTTATATCAGTTAATTTTGTTTTAATTTTAAAAATGTTTGAATTATTATCAGGCTCATTTTTAAAACTAATTATTTAACTTTTTAAAGTTATTATTTAATTTTAATTCAAGTATCTTTATTTTCAACGATAAAAAATATTCATTAATTTTAGTATAGTTTACCATAAATATGAGTTTTAATTTATACTAAATTAATCATCTAATGTACACATACATGTGATAAAATTTATGTTATTGAAATTATATATTAATTAGATCAGTTTATTATTTGTTATAAATTGATATCAAATAGTAAAAAGTTACCTATGTATATTTATTAACTTGTATAAAATTATGTTCTTTGATTAAATAATAAATATATGATACATATTTTTTTATTAAAATATATGTTGGATTTTTATTTTATAATAAATATATTTATTTTTGTTTGACATATATGTATATCTTATCCACACATTATTAATGGTACCCTGTTTTTTTTGTGGGTGCAATTACTATATAATCAGCAAATAAATGTATAATTGAGATATTATGTTATCAGACATTATCATCAAACAATACAAGTACATAGGATAATATTTAAGTGAACTTTTAATGTACCTTTATTATTAATTTGGTAATTTACTTATTTGAAATATATATAAGTGGTTTTATTTCTCTAAAACTTTTGGATTTATCCATCTCTAATTTTAAAGGGGGAAACCAGATACATATAGGTACTTAAATATTTATCAATATGTTAATGGGCAAAATACATGATCTGAATTAAATATATACTGTTACAGAGAATAATGAAGGTAATGAAAATATAAACTAACAAAATAACAATAATCTGAGATGATCCCTATTGTATTTAACTTATGACTACTACAGCAGTAATTAATAATGGGCTAGCATGCATGTTGAATCTGAAAACTCAAAAGTGACCAGTGGCCAAGGAAAATATTCAGTGATTATAATTAACTGAAAATAAATTATTCACTGTTAAAGATTAATATTCAGATAAATAGGTTAATATTGGTACTGCAGTCAAATTTATTAAATTCCTGCTGTCAGATAACTTGTACCTATTAAGTTAATAACTATAGAACAAAGTTATATTACTTCAATAAACTGGACAAATCAATTTTATAATAAATTAAGAGTCATAACAAATCTGTACCACAAAAATAAATTTATATATTTTATAATATATTAATAGATACATTAATTTGCCCTGTTATTAGAATGGAAGACAAATTAAATGTCTCGATTAAAAAATTCAACAGTCTTTAAAAGTTATTTTTACAAACTCAATATTTTGTCATTGATTAATTTCTTTCAATAAAACACACTTCATGGAATTTTTTGAACATTTATACAAGTCTTAATATTATTGTACTAAAACTATTAAAATGTAAATCACAAATTTTGAAAGCTCATAAAATTATTTGTATTAGAAAATATAAAGTTTATTTTATATTAAACAAACATCTTTTTAATCATTATTGGTTTTTTTTTTTTTTTTTATACATAACAGAATATAATTAAATCATAATATTATATATACAAACTATTTTTAAAAATATGAGACCTACTTTTGTTTTAGACAAATCAATATTTTATTTGCTTGTCAAAATAATAATTTTATACTTTGTAAAATAAATATTTAAATAGAAAATTATTATTTAATAGGGGCACACAATTTTTATATCTCGTTAAACAATTGAAAAATTGAAAAAAAAACATCCTAAGCAATTTGTTTAAGTTTGTTTCTTTAACGATATTAATATTATGGTTTTACAATTCTTAGTTATATTCAGTTATTAAAGTTTAATTAATAGAAGGCGTTACTCCTCCTTTCCATTGTATTTCAATAAATGACCACTTAGATTGTAAACAAGATTGCAAGTTGTTGTCCTCAGATATACATATAACATCAGATTCTTGAATAACAGCATTACCTTCTATATAAGTGACCTTAGAATTAGGATTAGATCTTGGCTGTCCGTTGTAATGAAACACTATGAAAACATCTGGAGTTCTAACTTCTTGCTCAGAAAAAAATTCATCCATAAACGATGGCAGTAATATAATACCCAATCCTTCAGAGTCCAATTTTGAACAAATTAAATTCACACTAAAAATAATAATTATATTATATTTCAGACAATTTACAATAATATTATAGCATATAATATCGCATTATTTTTACATACTATTCTTCATCAGAAACAAGATCTAATTTTTCCAACAATGGTTTTAGACTTTGAGTACTTATGAAATTGTTCCCACCTTCATCAAATAACTTAAATGTTCGTCTAGCAATATCTGCTTGAGTTTCCATGCTTACCAAGTTACGGTTAAATGAAAACAGTACTGTAATAATTGAATATATTGAGACTTAACTTACTAGTTTTTGTAATTTGTAACCTGATTGAAAATGCTTTTAAGTACCAGTGAGATGAGTATCACTACCCAACACCCAGATTGGATTGCAAGGATTTTTTAAATAAGTTCCCACTTGACAATACCTTAAATGTTCCAATAAAGTCATAAATCCAATTTCACTTTGTTTTTCAATGCCTTGCAATTCTACGACAGTAAAATAATTAAAATATATTTTGTTTATTTAATTTTAACATTAAACTTACTTAGCCCAGCTACTATTTGATCATTATTAAAAACATTAGAAACTGCTCGTCCAGTTATCATCATATTAATTAAACTTTGACTACCATAGCCAAATTCTTTATCAATTAATGATACTTCTAAATCACCAATTTCTTCTTTTAATTTAACTAAACCCTTTGAAGGAAAAATAACTATAAATTTATATTTTAATTTTTTTATAAATATTTTATTTACCTTAGAGTGCATGACGGTATATAAAAATAATAAAACACCAAATGTATCGCGCATAAAACTAATATTATTGCTAAAAAAAGTCTCTAGATTATCTTTATTGACTTGTTCTACTCTAAAACCAAAAAATAATAATTAAACACAGTTTAACAATGTACATATATAAGAATTAAATAAATACATACTTAAGCACTGAATGAAACTGATAATATTCAGGACATGCTTCTTTATCATCAATATGTACAAATTTTAATATATCACAGCCGGCTGTCGCTTGGCAAAGTATATCACAAGCGGCTTTACACAAAAGACGGTTTTGATCATCATATTCGACCTGTGGGATATTATAAAAGTTTAATAATATACTGATTACATTTTTTTTGATCTTATTACTTTTTTCCAATCTTCATCAATAAACTTATTGTTGATAATGTATTTGATGATGTACGCTTGCATTGGCGCTAATACAGCACATGGTCCACCCTCAAACTGCACCAGGGCTGTAGGCTCGTCGTCACTGAAACAAAACCCTGACAACGATAATTTGAGTAATCGGTCAATAAATAATTACGACGACTCACCTTGGGTCCATCGTAGGAATATATCTTGTCGTACTTGCAGACCCCAAGTAAGTTTTATAATCTCTTCCAGCTCTCTATCTGGAACTGATTGTTGCTCCTCTATTGCTGCCATTGTAACTTGTTTATGGCCAACTCATGTCGTGGAAATAAAATTAATTAAACAACAAAGTTTAGAAAATCTGAAACAAAACTAGAAAACATCAAAGTGCTTCAAAATCAAAAACAAAAAAAAAACAAATTTAAAAATATGTAACATAACCTTAAAAACATTCGTTATCAATTGTTAAAATAATAATATTATAATAGGGCATTCCTTAATGTATTTTTTTCCAAATTTTTAATTATTTTACATTTTCGTTCGTAATCAATACAGTTTTATGAAAACTCATTTAAATAAATTTGAAAACTATAAGCTTTATAATTAACTATTTATTTTGGTCACACTGCTGTACCCCTTTTCACCCTGAATCACAATCATAAATTGTGTTTGGATTTTGGATAGATAATAATAAATTAATATGATCTTATTGATCTTAATATATGAGTATTGAGTATGTATGAGTAAGATTAATTTTATTGCGATTTCTTTTTGATAATTTAATATTATTATCTAATAATTACTAATTAATTATCACAAATTGGATCATTAGACGAAGGACAAAAAACTATCTCAGGGATATGGAATAGCGGACATTAGCAATACCACTGACACCCTAAGGTAAACCAAAGTGTGGTAATAATTTTCTAAAATTTAACACATTTCTAATTGCGGGTTGCAACATGTCAAATCCAACATTCTTTTAAATAGTGATGCATTATGTGTGTTCATCATTTGATTTAATATTAATAAATAAGGTTTAAAAATGATTACCTAATTTAATGTGTATTATTAAGTAGTAACAAACATCTGATCATACTAATTTTAATTCAATGTATTTATAGGAGTATTAACGTTTTTAAAATGTTGATCTTTTATCTTTATCTGAAGTCTAAAACTATTAATGATTATTTTTAAAGTAAAAGTTGATAATTACTTAAGATAAAATGTTTAAATTGGATTCAAATGTATTAAAATTTGTATTCGTATATCTAGTAATAAGACCTGTTTTTTAATTATAAAGAAAAAAATTATTACTTATAATAGTGTAAATATTATATTTTAACACAAATTCACAATTATGTATTTTTATACATATATGTTCTGTTTATTTATATTATCTAGTATTTCAATCTTTAAAGTGTTAATGACTAGACAATTGCAATGAATACAAAAGAAAACTACACTTTAAGGTTTTAGAAGTTTATAAAATATAGATATTTTTCTTAATAGTCACAATAATTCTTGACTAATATAATCGTTTTTGTTTTAGATTAAAAATATTATGTACATAGGTATGTATAAAAAAAATAATTTTCAAAATGATATACATTTTTACTTTGGTTTATTCACATCTAAACAAAAAAGTAATAGATATTATAAATATCACATGTTTTGCTTTTTTGCTTTTTTTACATACATTTTTTAATAGCATAAAATAATCTGTTTTATTATATTATACTTATTTAAAATACATTGTTACTTTATAAGTAATTTAGTTGTGGTTTATAAATATTTAGACTATTTTTAAAATATTCAAAATTAATTTAATAATTCATGTCCAATAAAATATTCATTAATTAAGTTCTTCGCAATTAATGGTTCAATTAATGATTATTTATTATGAATTTAAGTTAAAATACAATTTTTTTTTCAGTTTTTTTTTTTTAAAGTACCTATTCCAAAAAAATGTCATTGAAACCAAAAACAATAAATTTTACTGAAAAATGGAACAGTTTACAAGAAACTATGAAAGGTGTCATAACACTAGATCGAGTTCCTAGGGATGCATGGAATGAACGGTTCAACGATGTTTATTCTATGTGTGTGGCTTTTCCAGAGCCACTTGGTGATCAGCTTTATGACTCTACAAAATTATTCCTAGAGAACCATGTCCTTGAACTATTAACAATCATACAAACTGGAGGTACTGAAAATCTTTTGCAAAATTATTATACATACTGGCAAAAGTATAGCAAAGGAGTAAAATACTTACATTCACTTTACCAGTACGTATTTTATTTATTGTATTAAATATTAATAAAAAATACATATTGTGAATAAAGAATACATTATTAAAATACATTTTTTTTCTAGATACCTTAATAACCAACACATTAAAAAACACAGAATGTCTGAAGCTGAAATTTTATATGGCAACATAACACCTGATATTGATGTACAGATGGAGGTTGGAGAACTAGGACTTGATATATGGAAACACAATATGATTATGCCTCTAAAAGATAGTATGCTTAAATTGTTGTTAGACGAGATTGACAAACAAAGGCACATCAAATCTATGACTAAATCTACTGATATAATTTCTACTGTTATTAAATCATTTGTTATCGTCCAGGCATTCAGGAAAAAAAATCCACTTGAAGTAATTAAATTTATTTATAATACCAAAAATTATTACTTAGTGGTATTTTGTTGAATTGGTACAATATACTTTATATAATTTTCATAAACAAGTATATTATATAATATATGTATTATTGAATTAAAGGAGCAAAATTAAATTTCTAAAATAATTATATTAGGTGTCATAGTCTTATTGTTTAATATTTAGTATTTAGTAAATTAAAATAGTTACCTATTCTATGGTGCTTTTATTGCTATTTTAAATATCGTTTCTGCTATCGTGTGACAATTTATAGTGTATACTGTTTTTAATCTTCATTTATTGAGCCTATTTGATTATCTTCAATTAATTTGACAATCTCATTTACCAGATTTAAATTATGACCTATGCCATATACTTGTTTGTGTTCTATATTGTTTTACTATTAATAAGGTAGTGAATCAATAAAACTAAAATTGATAAAATCATTAAAAAAAAAATATAAGTTTTAAACAAAATTAATTGTTCTATATTTTTACTAAAAATATTTAATACTTCACAAACTTTTATGTTTAAATGTATTTTTGAGACTATCATAAATTCTTCATTTTTATTTAAATTCACATTATCAATTTTTCTTAATGCTAGACCCGTTTAATATTTTGTATTGTTGCATCTGTTAATTCAATTGTTTCAGATGTGAAATACCAAAGATGGTTGACAAATTTGTTTTCTATATATCCGTAATAAATATGGCGTAAAACACTTGTATCAAACATGGCTTTACATTCTTCATAATGTTGTTCTTTTCTAGAATTTTCATTTTATTGTCTTTAATGTAAATTTCTTTAAATATAGGAAAAACGGGAGAATAAGTACAATGTTAAACAAATATTATTAAAGAAAATGTATATGACTATGTAATTATTCTACTATAATATGGCATTTATATTGTTGATAAAGCAACACCATCAACTGAAATCCGCTTAAAATTGTTTTTTCATTAACAACGGTTTATTGTTACTTGCATATATACATTAATTTTGCCATCTAATGCCTTTCCAACTTCTCACCTACAACAGTGGCTGAACCCACGTACGAAGTTGCCCAGCTTTTAATTTAATTTTTCCTACTAGTATATAATCTGTTCTAAACAAATAACCCGATCTTATTAATTTGTATGCTCTTTCAAATTCTTCATTTCTAGTACTTTTACTACTAAATTTAAAAAAAAATTATCTACTACTTTTTGATTACTACTAAAGATAAGAGAAGAATTATTAAGGATAGAAGATTTATTCATAAGTTATATTGAAATTAAATGATGTGATCATAGGAAGAAGCAAATATTGAAAAAGGAGTTAGACAAGGGTGTCAACTTATGACCCACACTATTTAATCTATATGTTTGAAAATGTACTAAAAAAATTAAGGGAAGAAGTTATTTGGGGAAAAAAAATGAATGGTATGCTAGTACAAATGTTGCGTTTTGCAGACGACAGCAGTGATAGCGGAAAGTGAAGAAGAATTAGGCAACATGCTAACAGAAATAAAAAATGATAGCTGTAAAGAGTACAAAATGAAAATATACAAGAACAAAACAAAAATACTAATATGCAGCAAGCAAGTATTGATTTCAAACATAAAAATTGAAAATGAGAAGCTGAAAACTGTTCAATGTTTTACATATTTAGAGAAAATTACATATGATAGAAATAGCAAGATGGACATAAAAAGCAGAATAGCACAAGCTAACCAGCAATTATATAATAAAAACCAACAAACACTATTAGTCTGGAAACCAGAAAAACTCTTATAAAGAGTCCTCTATGGGGCAGAAACATGAACTATACTCATATCGGAAAGAAAAAATATTGAAGCTTTTGAACGCTTAATATACCTTGAATAGGGAAAGTTAAAATTGGAGAAGTATACTTAAGAATGAAAAAACAGAAAACAATTGGTGAAAGAAGGAAAAAATGGATTGGACATATAATGAGAAACAATGAATAGATAACGACAATAAGAAGCGGAAAAGCTGGAAGAAGTAAATCATTTATAAAACAGATTATAACAGATATAGAAAAAACCAATTATATATAACTTAAAGTAGCTGTGATGAATGGAGATGAGTGGAGGTCCATCTACGTCTGCACAATAGTTATTTGTTTGACTCAACAGTCGATTGTGTCAAAATAATTATTGCGATTAATCAATATATTTTGAAGAAGCAATTTATATATTCACGATAATTATTTGTCATGTTTGATAGTCAATTGGATTGAAATAATTGATACTATCGATATTTATTTTTAAGTTATATAAATGCTTCGATTTCGATTATATTGATATATCCGATTAATTGATAATATCACTCGTGAAAAACAATTAATCAATATATATCGGCCAGATCTAGGTACATCGAAGTCATTAAACCGATCTAAAAATTAAAAAAAAAAAAAAAGTACTTTGAATGAAAATCTTACAATTTTCCTTTAAGTGTTTCTTCTTTTTATACATATATATTTTATCTAGTATGTTTTTGTTAGCTCCTCCATTCATTATATAAACATTATAATTTGTCTATGCAACATGGAATATCTCTGGTTAGTATACAGGTTTTTTCTTAAAATGATATTGTTTCTTTTATTAATAAAGAAACACTGTGCTTTGTATTGAGTTTTACTTTCCTAAGATTATAGAATATTACTTTAAACATATTTTTATTTGATCCAATTTACAATATCATACAACATTATATGAGTATACACAATATTAATAACAGGTACAAAATATGTATTACAATAGAATATACAAGTATGTAATATTCCACGGAAACATAATATAATATACACTTAATGTTTAGTATTTGACTTTATCGCAATTTACCAAACTACAATATAAGATTAAAAAAAAAAAGGTCTAATAGCTATGCACTATATATAGATATTCACTATCATTGTTAAGTAATATCAACCAAAAATTAAAAGTAAATGTGATAATTTCAAGAAAAATGTAGTATTAAACTTTGAAGGATTTGGGGCACGAGTTAAACGTAATCAATTAGTATAGAATTTTGTGTACAGTATTTTTATACTTACTAAAACAAAATAAGGGTATCATTAAAAAAAGCTGTCCTAGAATAATGAGGATAGATGCAGCTACTAATTTAATGTATACCTGTAAGCCACGATAAACCATTTTAATGAAAAAACAATTCTGAGCAGAGTTCAGTTGATAATAAGGCTTTGTCAACAATATATATATATATATATAAGTCATATTATAGTAAAATAATTAAATAGGTATTGTATACTTTCTTTAATAATATTTATTAAAAGTACCAATTTTCCCATTTTTCTTAAATTTTTCACATTTTTGAGAAAATCAAAAAAAATGACCTCCCTAAAGTACCTCTCCACACCAATTTCCTTTCAAAAGAGTTACTACACTTAAAAATCAAAGCAAGATTTCTGATAGAAAAGTTGCACACAGATAAAAAAAAAAAAAACATTTTTCTAAAACCATAAGCTTCTTTACTCCGACTCGGAATCTTAAAATTACTTATACAACTAAGGACCACCCTAGTCTACATCCTAAAACCTAATCATAATTTTTACGTAGAAAAAAATATATTTTTTTATTCACAGTTATATCAAGTTTATTTTGAGGAGCCTTTACTAAAACAAAGTAGTGAATACTTTAAATGTCAAGCTGCGAGATTACTACAAGAATGCACAGTATCTGAATATATGGTTAAAGTTTTAGAAATAATGAAAGAAGAATCACTAATGTCAAAAAAAATTTTTGATGACAGGTAATTGTTCTTAAATTAAAAGTTACATAAATATTATTGAACACCTATCAATCATTTGTTTAATTTCTCTTAGCACATATGACAAATTACGTGAACGGTGTCGAAAACATATGGTAGGTGACCATTTGGATGTTTTACATGGAGAAAGTGAAGCTATGATAAAAGAAGAGCGCCGAGAAGACATGCTACATATTTATTTACTCCTACGTGATATCAAAAATGGAATGACTACATTGGTCGACATTTTTAGAGAACACATAAAACAACACGGAATTCGAGTTATTGAATCTTTAAAACAAGAACAAGTATATTTTTTTTTAATTATATTCTTTGAATTACTATAGTATCAAAAAAATTAATTTTTTTTTATAGATTTATTTACATTTTGTTGAAGAGGTATTAGCTGTACATAAAAAGTACAAATGTATGGTTATTGAAGTGTTTCAAAATGATTTAAGTTTTAGTAGTGCTCTTGATAAAGCATTTACTGTAATCATAAATTATAAACCAGTGAAAAATCTACCATCAAAATCTCCTGAATATTTATCAAAATATTGTGACAATTTATTAAAAAAAACGTCGAAAGGCATGTTTGATTATGAAATAGACCGCAAGTTATTACAGTCTATTACTATATTTAAGTATATAGATGATAAGGATGTATTTCAAAAGTTTTATCAGAGACATCTGGCAAAACGGTTAATACATCATCAAAGTCAGTCCATGGATGGTGAAGAAGGAATGATCAATAAACTTAAAGTAAACTAATTTAAGTACATCCAATTTTCTTATTTATTTAATTAATATATATTATTATGTTTTTATTTTTAGCAAGCGTGTGGTTATGAATTCACCAATAAATTACACAGAATGTTTACCGATATTAGAGTATCTGAAGGACTAAATGCAAAATTTCATAATGAATTTCTTAAAACTGGAGAGGAATTAAATATTTCTTTTTCTATGTATGTATTGCAAACTGGAGCTTGGCCCTTGGGATCTTCTGTTGTGTCATCATTTGTTATTCCTAAAGAATTAATACCTTGTATGCAATATGTATGTATTTAAAATATTTATAATTGAATATTGATGACAAATTATTTGTTTTTTTTTATTGATTTATATTAGTTTGAAGAGTTCTACAAAGCAAAATTTAATGGTCGAAAATTAACATGGCTTCATCATCATTGTCAAGGTATAATTATTGTCTCGCTACTAAAATATTATTTTTTCTAAAATTATTTATACTCTATAGGAGAGTTAAAATTAAATTATTTATCAAAGCCATACCTGGTTACCATGCAAACATTTCAAATGGCAATCATGTTACTATTTGAAAATCGTGACGTTTACAAATGTACAGAACTCTCCGAATTGCTTCAATTATCCAGTGATCATTTTCAAAAACACTTCAATAGTCTTCTTGAATGTAAATTAATACTAATGGAAGATGATGTAAGTATCTTATTAGACTTTTTAAATTGTAAACTTGAAATTCCCTTTCACCGCATGCTCAGAACTCTTTTCACCTAACTCCCACTTCTGGATTCCCTCTATATTCAATATACTTAATATTTTTCTTATATTTATAATTAAATATATATTACATTATTGTTTTGTTTGTACACAACAGTACAGTAAACAATATTACAACAATTACTAACTAGTTTCATTTTCTACTCCCCTTGTAACTGTTGTTTAATGTATACACAAAAACAACATTTTATTTATTTTTGTTATTATTATTATTATTATTATTTTTTAGAATGTAACTTTAAATATGGAATATGCTAATAAGCGTACAAAATTACGCATAACATCTGCTCTTCAAAAAGATACCCCACAAGAAATTGAACAGACTGTTAATTCTATTGAAGATGATCGCAAAACTTACTTACAGGCGGCAATTGTTAGAATAATGAAAGCACGCAAATTATTAAGACATAATCAACTTGTTAATGAAGTAAGTGAAGTGTGTAATATAAATTATATAGTATTTATGTATCAAATATGTATTGTATTTTAGATATTAAGTCAATCAACGACATTTGCTCCAACAATTGCACTTATTAAAAAATCTATTGAGACACTTATTGATAAAGGTTATTTGGAACGTACTCCAAATTCAGCTGATGGCTACAGTTATGTTGCATAATGTTTGTAAATATTATGTATTTAATTTTATTATCATTATATTATATTCTTCCTTTTTTTTATTGTACATAGGTATTTAATATTAATAGAATTATGCTCATGTAAACTAAATTGTGTAACTAATTATCTTTAACAGTAGATAATAATAATGTTTGAGATTTATATAATCAGTGCTTTATTATACAAGATATTTAGAAAATATTAGGTTGAGTTTTCTTATTTCTATTTTTAAATTTACCTTAGAAAATATAATAATTGATAACCAACAGAACTATTCTAAAATTAATATAAATGTAATTTAATGGTACTATTATTTTAATATTTCAATAATAATCTAATGCAATTCAGTTATCATTAATCAAACTTTATTTATAAACCAGCTCTATGTTTTAACAAAGAAATAATTCAAATTTAGTCATTAAAATATTATAAAATTTAAATGCATACTATATATTTGTAATAGGTAATGATTTCGGAAGTATATTAAATAAAAGGTATTTTTTTTTTTTTTTTTTAAATAAATCACTATTTAATATTTAACATTAAAATATTACAAGTGTCCCTTAAGGGGACTTTTTGATAAGAAAAGTAAGTTTATTGGTGTCGTGTAACTTTAATTGCCTATACTACAGAAATTATAGGAGTAATATATATTCAGGATACTTGCCCCGGCCATTAAGTAATTGTGGGCAATTCAATTCAGATGTGTTATGGCAACGCACCGCACTGGCCATGTATGTTTGTTTGTAAATCGAAATTATTTGAGTGAGCTATAATTATTATACTCTAGGTGGTAGCATTTATTGTAAATGAAAGTAAGTCTATCTGTTACGTTTTCAATCCTACACGGCTGAACTAATTGTGTTGAATTTTTGTAAAAAGATAAATGGGACACCTAGAAAATTTTCATAAGCTACTTTTTGTCGCATAAATAAAACTTAAAAGGGGATTGAAACCTTGAAAGGTTTTTAAGTGTTTTTGGTACAAAAATTAAATCATTTTTTTTTAAATTATGGATTAATTTAATTACACGGAAGAAATGAAAAAAACTTTAAAACAAAACAAAAAACTGAAATCCAAATGTCATAACAATTATAACAACTTAAAATATTGAGTTTATATGACTGTCTACCGGTTTATTATTGCCTATTGGCTTTAAATAAGATGAACAACCTTGGTAACATGAATAAACAAAAAAAAAAACTATGCCCTGTACTAGGCGAGTAAGTGAAAAGTGAAAACGCATAACTTACCCTTATTGTTAATGATAGACCATTTGAAATACCAAATGAGGCCTCACTCTGTTAATAATATAACGCACGCATTCTTTTGACAATCTAATATCCTTAATAAATTTATTGTCATTTAAGAGAAATGGATCTTCAGTATCTCTTGAAAATAAAATGACCAAACATTGAAATTATGGGTAATTTAAATTATAAAAAGAGCTGATATTGGGAATGGGAGCGGCCACTGTTGTATGTGAGAAGTTGGGAAAGTAGGATACATACGACACATCCGAATTGTATCCCGTGTTTAAAAATCTACTCTAGTTGGATCCGAGTTAATGCGGGTACTATACTAATTGAGTCCTGGGTTTCCGCAGGAACTTCCACTTCACCCAATCATTTCATACCACGTTTTTAAAACACCCTTTTACTCACGTCATCCATCTCATTTCATTCGCTGATATCACTTACCTAGAACACCTAAATCACATGTTTTCATCTCATCACATGTCATCACTCTCATCGAACCCCCCCCGTGCGGGTATTTATAGTAACACAAATGAAAAAACTGACTAAAACCACAAATATTTACGGCGCACAAATTTCGTTATTTTTATTTTTACAACTTGTGTTTTATACCAGAAGCATTGCTCCAATTGAAAAATGACAAGGTATTTTGTTAAATTTAACCTAGTTCACCAACTAGAAAGTCGTTGTTTGATTTTCTTCGAAGGGTTTTCAGTAATTGAGCAAATCGAAAAATATCTACGTAAAAAAAAATGGAACCATTTATGAAAATAATTCTTTTGTTATTTTCAATTTTTTTTTGTAATTCAGTTTAAAATATTCGTGAAAGACTTGAAATTTAAGCAGAAAACTAATATTTGCTTTTTCTAGGCGTGGTAAAATTTAAAAAATTAAACAACTTAAATATCCTACCTTCCTAACTTCCCACCTAGAACGGTGGTACTCCCTTTCCAGTATTGGCTATTTTATTATATATTTTTATTTTTGCTTTCAAATAAGTTTTTTTATTTGAAAGAAATATTTGCAGGTCGAATAGAAGCCAAAGTTTTCATTTGACTTTGAATAGCGCTAGAAAAATACGTTTAAAAAAACTCAAATATTGTCATTATTTGCAAATGCATATTTTACTTTAATAATTAGAATTTTGAAAATCGGGATTCTATCCGACCTATAAATATTCTCTTAATTTTAATGAAAAAAATAACTAACTAAATCCGAATTTTCTATTAGAAGTGAGAACTTTTTTTGTAAGACATATTCTTGTACTTAAAACACACCGGCTCCGACACCCTTAACAAGGAACATAAAAAATCAATTATATGCACGAACTAGACAAAAGTTTATTTTATAGAAGACGCTACACTTGAAATTGGCAAAAGAATTTCTGGTATGACAATCAAAAAACTTTACTTGAACAAAATTTTTAACGCAGTTAATTTGTTTTTGGTTTTTTCAAATTATTATGAAAGCCGTTGGTAAATTGAAAATCCAAAGTGCCGTAAATATTTGTCTGTTTTTTCTATACGTTTTTTCCATTTACTATAAAAACTTCTTAGAAAATCAAAAATGACTTACCCAATGCAACGACTAGATCCAAAATTCAACAAAAAGTCTCTTGAAATTTTATGATTGGATCAATATTTCATTCAACTGGATACGATACTGGATCAATATTTCATAAACCGATTACAGTTTACATTATTTACAAACAATTTGAACATTGATTTTGGTTTTATTACTTATTTGTTTAGTTGTATTTCTTTACTGTTTATTAGTTTGTAGTAAATTTGTAGAAAGTAATATACAATTTTAAAAAATATATTAGGAAAAAAATCGTCAATGTAAATATTACTTATAAATGGTTTTTATTAAGTTTACTTATCACTTCCATATTGATATTCATAACACTAAAATATTAGATTTACCATTAATGAATTTTAACAGTTTAAAGTTTAGACCGGAAAAGTAGGAAATAAATTGCGTATCGAAAATCGAAAAATACGTAGAAATAACGGGAAAATAATTTTTATTATTTTAAATTTTGTTTTTTTAACGCAATTTAGTTATAAATATTTGAAGACTTAAAATTTAAAAAAAAATATATATTTGCTTTTTTTTAAGAGCGGTAAATGTTCAAAACATTTTTGCCATTTTTGAACTATTTATTGACATTTTATTTTTGCGTGTTTTTTACGTAATTTGTATTTAGTACGGACTCTGTAGATATAATTAGTAGACTTAATAGAAATGCTTGAAAATTCGAAAGGTTCATTAAAGTTCGTAAAAGAAAAAAAAAGGTTGAGTATAATAGTATTTTTTTTTTTTTTTATATAAATATATGATTTAAATTTAAATTCTGACGAAAATTGTAAATATTATACGGCCTTTCAAAACATGTATAACCAAACTTTGCGTCGAATAGTTATTTTTTAGCAATGGTTTATCCTTGATTACAGGTATAAATTAAATGATTATGTCTCTATTAGGTTAGGTATTGGTTATAGGTACTCTAATGTTTACGTTTTTTTAAAGAATTAAACATTTTATGCAACTTCTCAACTAGAAATCTTGTTCCGATTATCTTCATATTAAGTATCTAGTATTAAGTTGTGTCCAGTTGGCGCCTTAAAGTCATTTTTTTTTTATTTTTTTTCAATAATGGTAAAAACAGATAATAACTGAAATATTACATTCAATATAATCGCATCCAAAATCCATTTTTCGGCACTCCTCCTTCTCCCCCTAATTTTTTTTTTCATTGCAATTCTTAATGATTCTAATTATTCTCTCCTCCAGTCTATTTCTCTTATTTTGTCTACTATATCGAAGTCACGCTAAGCTACCTCTTTAATCGTTCTTTTAATTTCACTGAGTTTGACGTCTTGTTTATAATAATGATTTTGTTATTTTTTTTTTTTATATTGTTACATGTCGAATGTGTTTATCAATGCATTTTTCCATCTAGTGTTAGTTTTCTTTATTTCTATTACAGTTTTCTTGGAAACCATAATAATTGGGTTTGTCCAAGAATAATATATTACAATTTAAATTGTGTATAATGCTTTACCATTTATAAATTTAAATTAAATTCATAAAGTAGCACTGAATCAGAATAAACAATTAAAATTATCATTTATAATGATTTATAAATTACTGTAAAATTATACATAACATACTACAGTCAAATATATTATCGTACCTACTTTACTTGTTATGTTAATATATAATATATATATGAAATAAGTGATATTTTTTTTTGTTCAAACATTAATTATTACTGTGTTATCGTTACATTATTTTCTTTAATATTACTTATTACAAGGTTATTATTAAAATGTAATAGTCCACTAAAAAGTATCAACCAAGATATACAATCTATTTGATTTATAAACACGCCTTAATAAATACTATGAGGATGTGAAGGGCCAAAGACGACAATGTTGATATTTAATATATTATTCTACAGTTACATGAAAAAAAAAAAAATCAATGGGTTATGCAAGAGAACCATCAACCGAATCCATTCGTGTTAATAAGGAAAGCATTTGTACTGCTTCTATAGAAGCTCAAAAGTTCAAAACGTATACACTATTTTGTTTTGTAGAGTGTGAATCGTATTCTAATATAATAGCGTGGTACCCTAGGTTGTAAAAATAAACAACACTGTACAAGGCATCCTAACCGAATTACTGCTCATTTAATTATAGCCGTTCCAGTGACATAATTAAATTTGTCATCACTAAGGTCAGTAATTATTCACAACCCGTATAAATTGTATAGGTACCTCTACTACATATAGAAATTCTATTAAACATGGAGCATTTAGGGATATGGAAGAGAAAGCTATTCTGGACATTTCAGACTTACGATGTACCGAAACAGACTCCAGGGACACTGTGCTGGACGGTCTTTTGGGAACAGGGTCTCATCACTACGGTATGATTAAATTTGATTGATTTTATTGTTTTCGAATCATTCATTTTCTTTTACAGATTACGGTGACATGACAACAAGCCCGTCAGATCGATGTGACGAAAACGATCAATCGTCCGGATCTTTAAGCACCGACCAAAACTCTAATAGTAACGTGAAGAGAAAACAACGAAGATATAGGTAACACCACTAACACTCATCTTTACTCAACCAATAACTATATACATATATCTGACCTACAAGTTTAGAAGTATAAGAAGCTTGTTGTACTATTTTAGTATAAATTTGGAATTGTGTTTTCAGAACCACATTCACAAATTTCCAACTAGAAGAATTGGAAAACTCATTTCAAAAAACACACTATCCCGATGTTTTCTTTCGTGAAGAATTGGCCATGCGAATTGACTTGACCGAAGCTAGAGTGCAGGTATTTATATAATTGCAAAGAGTAAAATAAAACTTATTTATGTGTATAGGTATTTTATTTAAAATATTTGTTTGTAGGTATGGTTTCAAAATCGTAGAGCTAAATGGCGAAAACAAGAAAAAACTTTGATTTCACAACATCAAAACTCAAACGAACAAATCATAAATCCTTGTATAACAGGTTAGAAATTAGTAACAAGAATTTCAATTTTTTTTTTTTTTTATTGAAAAACACATGTTTTTTAACAATGATTTTGAACATACTATTATTAAATTCTGTTATTATTTTCAAAAAACTATAAAAACATCGAATTTTTAAAATGTAGATTTCAACTTAATTTTTTTTTAAACTATTATTTTAAAAGTTTTAGTGATTCGAATACTGTAGGTATTTTAATAAAAAATACAATTTGTACAGGTCTTTATTATTTTTTTAATTTAATATTACGGAAAACTGAAAAACAAGAAATTTAACCCTCTGATTACCTCCATGGTATATTACCTCATTACGTAAGCTTATATAAGTTCATAAAACCAAAAAAAATTAAAATAAACCCTAACTAGATTTGTTAAGCAAAACTTCTGCCGGGTAGATAACAAGGGAAAAAAAATGAAGAACCAAAAATGCAAGACCAAAACTTAGGTGACCTCCTGGGTGGCTAGGTTAGCTTCACGGTTTTAAATCGAAAATAATGCTGTTTTTATTTTACGAGTTGAAATCTCAAAGTCTTTTTCAAAATCAGCGTCGAAAAACACTTCTTTAGAAACTAATTTAAAAATGTTTAAATTCAATAGGGGCGTGGTAATATACACTTCAGCCAAAATTAAGTACCTATTAAACAATTTAATTAATTCTAAAAGACATGATTAACTATAAAATGTCGTGGAGGTACTTAACACACAAATAATGTAATAGGGAATTATTGAAACTCAAATATTTGCACTTATTGGTGGTACATAGAATTTTATTACTTATCATAATTCATAATCGATATTTTACATGGTCGTGTATTACAGATGGACTCTTAATAATTATTTAATATTAGTAAATATACTAATTAGATTCTGACAACCAGGTAGTTGTTAATTTGACAGTGACTATATTTGACCATATTAGTTTTCTTTCTTTTTATTTTACCATAATTTGAGTTCTAAACACAATTTTTAATTTATGTTTTACCGAGAAATATTTTATAGTTAATGTCAAACTCTGGTATAGTTTAAATAACCAAGTATTTAAAAATTCTTGTATATTAATTATATTTTATTTATTTTTTCCTCGAATTTTCCTAACGTAACAAAGGTCTATTTAAACATTTAGACCTTAAGGTATCTTTAATATTTTAAGTCAAGCAACATACCTATTTTTATATATAAATATATTTATTTTTTTTTTTCAGAAAATCCATTGTTTGGCGATTCTTCTAATCTGCTTCCTCAGCCGGACTGGAACAGCTTATGCTCATATAATTCATTTCAATCTACAGCAACATTTGATAAAGATCTACAAGCAATTGACATTGACCATGATTTGCTTAGATTTAAAACAAGAGATATGCATGAAAATGATATGCTCATGTCGCCACCTCTATAGATATTTGTTAATCATGTGTCAAGCTGGATGTTAATTTAAATAACAATACAATTTTGTTATGTTACACATATTTTGTTATTTTATTATTTAGGAACTTTTAGTAAAGAAAACATGGCATAAAGTGCAAAAAGAGTTATCAAATTGATTGATGAAAAATTAACTTTCCTTCCCTCCCTTAAAATAAAAAAAATATATTATTTTTAATTTAGTCATTAATAAGGTATATCTATATAATATAGGTATATTATATATTATATTATATTATAGTATATTATATACATAGTGTGTTCCACAGAGTTAGACGGATTTTTCTAGTGCTGTTAATATTAAATTTGTTTCGATTTCATTTTTTCATTCTCGGAGAAGGACATCGATTTGGAAAAAATTAAATTTTTATTTTCACCACCTAAACAAAAAAAAATAACTTTATTTATTTACATAAGAAAATATTCAAAATAGCCATTTTGTGAAAAATATTATTTTAAAAATTTTAATGTATCATACATTTATATCTGATTAATAGTTTCTTAATTATAAGCGTTTTAATTTCTAGAAAATAGGCATGAAATCAATTAATATTCAATAGAAGGTAAAAAATTACCATGCTGATTGTAATTCCTTATCGCATAACGAGTTATTTTATTGAATGTTAATTGTTTTTACGCCTAATTTAAACGACTATAGCTAAAAAATTATTTATCGGACATGAATGTGTTACATAATAATTTTTAGAGTGATATTTTCACAAAATAGCTATTTTGAAAATGTTCTAAAGTGAATAAATAAAAAGTTATATTTTTTTGTTTTTAGAAGATAAAAATAAAATTTTTTTTTTCCAATTCGATGTCCCCGTCGAAGACAAACCGATTGAAAACAAAATCTAAAATTTTAATTAACAGCGCAAGAAAAATCAGTCTAACACAATGGAACACACTGTATATCTATATTTAAGTAGGTACACTCATTATCTCCGAAAGAATTTAACTTTAAAAATTTAAGAAAACTGGTTAGCTCTAAAATATTAAATTACCATTATTTTTGTCATTCTTATTTTAGGGAGTGAAACGACTACATTCTTTTGATTTTCAAATGGCAACCTATATTAAAATTCCATAAATAGATTGAGTATTAGTTTAAATCAATTTTGTTGTTGAAATTGTTTATTTCAGTCAACCCGAGATATAATATTCCATTAAAGTTTGAGTAAGGGAAGAGTAATGGAGCATAATTTGTAAGGCAACTCGGCGTTTTAATAATGCCAAGTAAATAGTTATTTCACTTACAAAAAGGTAATGGAGATAATGTTAACATAACATTTTAGAAATGCTAGTTTCTTTAATTTTCAAAACAGAAATTGTTGAAAAAAGTTAATACTTTCCAAGATAATGAATGAATGTACCACTTAAATGGATCACCCGGTATATTTACCTGGTGAATATAATATACATATTCAATATTTTTCAGTTTATAAAATAAACTCTACTCATAGCTGAAATGTAGTCACAATAAATGTATATCTATACTTAGTGCATTGTAGCTGTATACTGTGTAGTGTTGCTAAGGCAACTCTGGTCACAACAATAGATAAAAGCAAGTAAATGGTTTTTTCTACTATTATAATTAAACATATTGCTTACATCACACCATGGTATAATTGGTAGACATTAGTTGATCTTTATAAAATAATATAATGGTGCAATTAGAATTAAGAAAAATGTTAGCTGTCTCAGCAGATGAGATGAACGAACAGGATCTAGATCAATGGTACAAGGAGGTAACTTTAACTGAATGTACTCAACTGGATTTTAACATGAATCAAAAACAGTGCGAAAACATGTTTAAAATTTTTAGGCGAATATTGATGTATAAAGGAGAACAAGTGAGATGACTATAAAACTATTTAATAATTATTAATTACTAATTATTTATTATTTCATTTTCAAATTTTAAGGTCGATTCATTGATGACTGAAATCGAAGATTTAGCCACTAAACAAGGTGAAGAGGAAGCAAGAAAATTGAAAGAAGAAGAAATGAGATCAATTAATGTGGATGATTTATCACAAAATGAACGTATGTCATTTTACATAATTAATTTAAAAATATAATATGTTAAAAAATTAGATTTTGGTACGATATAATAATGCATACCTAAGCCTATATATATTATAAAGTGTAAAGTACACCTAATAAAAAGATGGACATACTTTACACAATGGATAGGCCACTGTTGTGGGTGAGAAGCAAGAAAGATAGGAATTTAATGTATTTCTGTAAGCAACAATAAACCATTGCTTACGAAAAAACGATTCTGAGCGGAGTTCAGTTGATAGTGAAATCAACAATATATATATGTCATTTTATAGTTAAAAATAATTAAATAGGCTTTATATATTTTCTTTAATAAAATTTGTTTAATGTTGTACCGATTTTCCCAATATTCCTACGTTTTTCTCGATTTTTTCAAATTTGCTGGGAAAACTCTTAGAAAAATGACCTCTTTAAAGTACCTCGCAAGTGAAATTTTCTTTTAGAAACATTGTTATCATTAAAAGTTGGAACAAAATTGCTGGTAGAAAAGTTGTACACAGAAAAAAAGAAGGCCGTAATATGATACCTACATTTCTTGTTTTTTTTTTGTTTTTCAAATTTGATGAGAAAACTCTTGAGAAAATCGACAAAATACCTCCCCATACCGATTTCCTTTCAGAAAAAGTGTTACACGTAGAAGTCTTCTGGTAGAAAGGTTGCGCAGATATAGAAAAAAAAAAAACATCTTTGTAAAACCATAAACTTCTTCGTTACACTCAGAATCTATTTAAGAACCTTAGAATAGAGTTTTATATTTATACATAATAACAAATACATATAGGTTAGGTATACGGGGGTGGTGAATTGGCTGCTTAATAAATTGTTCACAGCAAATTGTCCAGATATCAATTTATTTATTTATCAAACTATTATATGCTAATATACAAGTGTAAGCAGAGGCGGAACTAGGATTTTTTATGCCCAGGAAAAATATTAAAATTATGCACAATCATATAACAACATGTAAATGACAAACGGCAAAATAAAGTGTTTATAATTATGGTAATTAATTTTGTACTATTTTTATCCTCATCGCGTATCATTGTCGTGCGTCAACGATAACGCGGCTAAAGTTCATATTTATGTACATTATTTTGCAAAATATTTACTTTTTCGGTTGAATACTTTAAACACCACACAATTAATACAAAAAATACGTAAATATAAAATTTTATATCTGCTTGTTTGTTAAATTGTGAAAAAATTATTTTCAAAAAAAAGTCGATATTTTGCGAAATAATAAGTGTATAATGATAAAAAAAATCACTCTGTTTATATTATATTTATATTTATTATTCATATACGTTTATGGGTTTATGTTTTATGCATATATTATTTTTATTATTAGTCTGTAATTTTGTAATCTGTCTGTATGCAGTATGTACTGTCCACCATCAACGTACGCCGATTGCGCTGTATCAGATTAATAAGATAATGACGATTAATTATTTTAGGCTGTGTATGATTTTATCTTTTTGATTTTCATTCCTTCGAACGTGGCCATCACCACATCATAAACAAATAATGTGAAATAAAAATGTTTTTCTAATTTCTAACATCAAACACTAAATATAAGCTCACAAATAAATTACGCCCAGGGATTAATCCCGGGTTTCCCCACCCCCCTAGTTCCGCCTCAGAGTATTAGTACACATCGAATGGGTTCATTTCGAAGTTAAACAAACGTTGAAATAATTAAATATAGATAACTGTTAGTGTTTGAGAGGATCATGGAAGTAAATTCGAATATTTTTTAGATACATGACAAAATGAATTAGTTTTTTTTAGTTTGAAAAATATTACATTTTCTACTTATATTTTAATTGATATTAGAATTTAATAAATATTATGTATACTTATGCAACAAATGTCCTATGTATCTATAAATGTTTAATAGGTATATTGTACATCCTAGTACATATATATATATGTATTAAACAGTTGATTAACACTGATTGAATCAATCAATAGATACTAAATACTAATTAATTATACTAATTCAAAATTAGAAACAGAATTAATCCGAAAAGAGTTGACTAGACTAGAATTGGAAAATGAACGTTTATTATCAGATGTTCAACAACAAAAGCAAGAAGTGGATTTTAAAGTTAAAGAAATTGATAAGGTTGGAAACAAAACTTATATTTTTTTAATAATTTTTAAAAATCAAATCACAATGTAAAAATGCAATAGATATTTTCGCAATTATCAAAAGTTGAAACTGAAAGAGATTTACTTCGGCGAGAACTCGATGCTATACAAGACGAAAGTTCTGGGCATCAACTTGATGATCACCCACTTGAAGATAATTTAAGCATGGCGGAAAGATTTAGGGATCTAACAGAATCAGTCAGGCAAAAGAATCAACATATTACACAAATACTTAACGATATTGAAGTAATTATACCTAATACCTATTGACATTTTATTTAGCAATCTATTTTGCTAATAATGATTTTAAAAATACTAAATCTTATTTAATTAATGTTATTTTTTAAACTTAATTTTATAAATATATATTATTTTAGTCGTCAGAAAAGGAAAATAAAATGTTAAAACAATTGTTAACCAACACAAAAACTGAACTTCAAAATGCTACAATACATTTAAACACATTAAGTGCCGAATTTGGAAATATGAAATGTTTACAAGATGAATATATAGGTAAAAATTAATGTTTACTTTAATACATAGGTATTAAACATGAAATCACCATTGTCGAAATATATGATAGGCTAATCAAACTATAATTGTACAGATAGAATTAAAACATTAGAATTGAATGACAAAGGTCTACGGAATCAAATTTCTGAATTGGTGACCGAAAAAGAAAGATGTGAAGAACAAATTGAAGAACTAGGAGAAGAACTTGAATCCAGAATAAAACAATTAATGGTGAAATATTAAATTTATTTATAAGGTCACAAACATATTAATATCATTAATAAATATTAAAGGAATTATTGTCAAAAAAAGATGAAGAAATCACTAATTATAAATCTCGAATAGGATCAACAGATTCAATTGCAAATCAAAATGCATATTTAGCAAAACTACAAGAAGTAATAATACGATTAATCAGCATTATGTATACATAGGGTTAAATTTAAATTAAATGTTACAATCATTTTTTCTTCATGTATGCAAAATGTATAGAAAAATAGTATTATAAATATAGTAATGATATAATATAATAATAAATTATAATTTTTTGAATTAAGGGCATTGGAAGCAATGATTTTCTGTTTTTGTTTTACATATGTGCAATGTAAGCATTTAGATATGTTCTATTTCCAATGTACTCATTGGTCTTATGAAACGATACAAATTATGAAATCAGATTTGAATTTGTCATTATTTTTAAATTTTTTATTATGGCTTTTTTAGTATTTAGGTAATCAAATCAAAAATTTGAAAGTTAATTTCAAAAAGACTTGACAACAAATTCAAATCTGTTTTCAGAATTTTTGTCTTTTCATTTTACCAATTAATAAATTGGATATAGAACACGACTAAATTCCTATGTTGCATGTGTATAAAATAGAACACAAAAAATTACCGCTTCCAATCCCCTCAACAAATATTTCTATTTTTTTTTAATATTTAATCTGAACTTCTTTTTACCCATTTATTTAATATATATATATATATATATAATTACGTTTAATTGTACACACATTTAAATTAATTAAAATATAAATTAAAAGACTGTAGCTAGACAAGAAGATCAAATAATGGAATTTCAGAAACAAGTCCATCAGGCAACTAATGATCTGAATAGAAGTTCAGCTGCACTTGAACATCAAAAAATATTACATACTGAACTGTAATATAAATATCACATCAAAATTAAATATTTATACACAATTTAATTTATAATATTTACAGACTTCAAAAATCTAATGAATCCCCTGAATTAAAAGATTTACGCACAAAATTATCAAAAACTCAAAAGCAGTTAGAATTAGCTTTAGACAAGAGTCAAAAAGCAGAAGAAGATGCAACAGAGAAAGCAGAACAAGTAAAATTTTATATAGTTTATTGTATTATTATTTTATGTTATGATCAAAGTAGAAAATTGGTCAATGTTAAAAATGGTTTTAAGATTAAATTTTAATGTAAAATCATCAAAAGTACAGCATTTCATAACATATACATCCAAACTTTGCTGAGAATGATACAGATATAAATTAAATATATTTATGTATTCTACCTTGTCAACTCCCCACTTACAACAGTGATACATTCATCTTTAATATCAATTCACTTTTACACGAAGCATGAGATTTATTGGCTTTAGTATGTGATTTTTTTTTTAGTCTGTAAATAACTTAGCTTAAAAAATATAGCTAATAGTTTAGAAGAACCAAAAAACACAACTTACAAATATTATTCTAAGCATTTTTTTATTCTGTTATACTAAATTTAGAGTAATCATCTATATCATAGTACTCATATATAATCAATATTTATTTGTTTTCATGTGAAAAAAGGATTCTGACTACATCTCCTATTTTGTTTATTATATTTATAAATGATATGTTTAAATCAAGTAATTTAATATTAATTATTTGCTGACAACCTAAATATCTATCAACCAATTAATTCAATTGAAGACTCAGACCAGTTAAAAAATTATCAAGATAAACTTTCGACATAGTGTATTCAAAGCGGTGTTTTAGTAAACCCTTCTAAGTGTAAATATGTTTCATTTACGAGTCTAATAAATAAAACTATACAATATATATATATATATATATATAAAAATAAACCATTTTGAATTACAAATTTCATTTACTATATGAGATCTAAATATACTACTGTTCTCTGATCTCACATTTAATATTCATATTAATGCTATCTATATAGCAAAGCTCTACAGGCCATTGGCTTTATAAACTAAAACTGTTCCGAATTTAAAAACATTAACAGACTTAGGGTATTATATTGCTCTATGGTCAGGGCCATATTATAATTTGCATTAGAAATTTGGAATCCTAAACAAAATTATCTTATCAACAAAATTGAAAGAGTTCAACAACATTTTATACAAATTAGGTTTAGTAGATATCCCTCTAGATAGCTGAACTGTATAATTTGATTTAGGATTATTAGTCTCTATATAGATATAACTTTTTAGCTTTTATTCATAAATTAATGAACAATAAACTATCTTGCCCAGAAGTTATTATAAAGATTAACTTTAAAATTCAAACTTTCAATTCAAAAAATAATTGCCCTTTCTTAGTTCCAAAATGCTTAACAAATATAATTAAACATAATCCAGAGTATCACCTTTTAGATGCTTGTACTTAATTTGATTTTTCTTTTGATTCACAATTTAAATTAAAAAATATAATAATGAATAATAGTTAAACTTACATGTAATGATTGTATATTTATTTCATTTTTTATTCCCTTTATTTCTGCTAAAATATTTAATATTTAGATCTATACTATGTAAACTTTTGTACATCTATATAACAGTATTGTATACTAATTACCCATTTAGGGTGTTAAAACTTTAAATAAACAAAAAAAAATAAACTGTAACTGTTCAATAAACAAGCAAACAGTAGTTAGTTAACTCGTTGGGAGCTTATATGTTACTTTGTTAATGTGTTTAATTATAATATATTTTATTATTATAATTTTTTTTTTTTTTTTTTTTTAATAGATAAGCAAATTAATAATACGCGTTCGTGAATTTGAATCTGGGGAATATGGTTTAGAAGAAGCAATGGAAGATATAAGGAAACTAAAAAAAGAATTAAATACACGAGACAATCAAATAAAAGAACTAATAGAGTCAAGTAATCAACTTCATCAGGAAGCTGATCTTTTAGAGCAGGACAACTTAGCTATGAGGGAAAAATTAGGTTTGTCTGTGGACGATGTTGTAAGACCTAAAGGCATGATGGCTAGACACAAAGAAGCATACACAAAAATAACTACTTTACAGAAAGAACTTGATGACTGCAAGGAAATAATTGTCAATCTTAAATTAAAAGTATGTGCTTAAACAGTTTAATCTTTCATACAAAATATATATACATATATTAACCATGCATTCTCTTACACACAAAGCAAGTTAATTTTATTGACCAATTGTGTATATATTACTGATTTATCGCTTGATAAAAAATTATTTTATCCCAATTTCATAATAGTTCTAAAGCTAAATTATTATTTATAAGCAAGTCCATTACTTCTAAGGCACAGACATACTTAGCAGCAAGTTATGGTTTATATTGTCTATCTGGGTGACAAGAAAAGAAATTTTCCTGATATCCTTAATAATTCTGACATCAAGTTACCAAATGTTTCTTTTATTCTTAATCATTATACTTCTCTTTTTGCTATCTCATCCATCTTTTCCTTTATATTGTGTAACCAGTCACCACAGAATATAAAAAGACAAATAATTTAATGAGACAAATTTATCATCTTACTATTCTATGGATTGTACTTTCAACAAATAATACACTCTATGTACTTGTGCAGGCTTAGATAATAAAGTTCAATATAATATTAAAAGTACCCATTAAAAAATTTAACTTAAAAATCTAGTTTCAGGGTGTTTTCAGTACTCCCACTGTCTGCTAATACTCAAAAAATTTAAACCAGTGGGTAACAGATTTGGATATATATCTATACTTATATCAGACATTTAGGAAAATACCTTCATTTATTATATTAGGTTGATATTAATATTAATTAAAACATATTTTTATTTCAGAATCGTAGTTTGAGTAAATCTACTGACTCTGTTAAATATATTTCATCAAAAGAAAAGGATATTATAGATAATACTATACAATCTGAAATGTCTAAACAAGATGTAGATATTGGATCAGAACTTGAAGACAATGTAAAAGAGTTAATCGAGGAAAATGAATCCCTTCGGAAAGGAATGCATGAAATACTTGATAGTGTACATAATCAGGATGGTATTAAATATTTTATTTATACTTTTTTAAGAAATATGTGCATCCTAAAAATTAAGGGTTATAAAAATTAAAAAAATATTGAAAAAAAATGTGCGAAGTTAAATTTTAATTAGCACATTTTTTTAATTAAGTTAAATTTTAATTAATATATTTACTGTTAAATTTATTGTAAAAAATAAATAATCATTACCTAATAACTAGGATCGAGTGTTGTACGAATTGAATGTCAAAGCTTGGAGAGACTTTTAGAAGCTATGGACGCTAGACATGTAGCTGGTTGGTATCAACCTGGCATGAGACTATTAGCTCGAATCAATAATTTAGAAGGAGTAAACTCTAATTTAAGACACCAACTTCATTCATTACAGTAATTATAACTTATTTGAAATTTTAAAAAATATTATACATTTCTATGTACTTATAATGAAGTATATAATATAGTGACTCATTAACTGAAACCAAACAACAGCTTATTAATATACAAAATGAAGAAAAACACAAAAAATGTAATGTAACTGAAGAAGAAAAAGACGATGAACTTTCAAATTGTCTTAAAGAGGTTAAGTTACAGACATTTATTTAAAAGTTTCATTTTCAATACCTAATGTTCTTATATAGTTACAGAACGAGAGGGAAAAATCTCATGCTCTAGAAGAAGAAATCAAATTATTTCAAAATAAATTTCATCAATTGCGAGATGAAATGAAATTATTAAATAATGAATATGATAATGAAAAACATAAAATGCAATCATTAGTAGATGAATTAGAGACAAAACTAAAAACAAACTGTGATAAAGAAAACGATTTAAGAAAACAATTAATTGAATTGGAATCATCATGGAAAACAATGCTAGAGGATCCTGATGAAAATAAACGTCAGTTATCTCATAATATTATAAAGTAAGAAATATATACAAAAATTATAAACAAACAAAAATACGTAACTATTAAGTTCACTGTTTTGAGTAGGTACTACAATCGCTCAACATAGGTACTATTTTCATGATACACTGAGCCTTGATTAATATCACTTGAATAAATTGTTATGTATACTAACATTGGTGAAATGGTGAATGTAAAAAAAAGAGCTGATACTGAGGATGAGAGTGGTTATTGTTTGTAGGTGAAAAGTTGGGAAGGTAGGATACATAATATTATATCATTTATATCTCTAAGCAACGGTAAACCATTGCTTGACGAAACAGGATTTCGAGCGCAATTCGGTTAAATATAATTTTTGCAATTTTCGTTTAAATTTGATTTCAAAATACGCGTATTAAAAAAAAGTCATCCGGTGATTTTGGAAATTTTACCACGTCTAGGTGAGTCCAATATAAATATTATTATAAAGTTTCAAATCTCTACGTGTATTTATAACCGAATTACAGCAAAATAAATCTCAACAATTAAAATTCCTTCAAAGTTCAAAAGTGACTCATAAGTTTTGGCGTAAGAAAGTAAATCGAAAAGGCAAAAAAAAAGTGTCTAGTAATTTTTCGATTAAATTATTTATTCTAGTAGAAAATGTCTGTTTTTATAAAATTATAAAATTGTGAAATTATACGTTTTTTTCTACTTAAATGCTTTATTTAAAAAATGGTACCGTCTGGATAACTTGAACTTTCAGAAAAATTGCTGCACGTAAAAATCGGAGCAAGTTTAATAGGAAAAAACGTATCCACAGACAAGGAAAAAAAAACTTTATAAAAACAATAGCTCCTTCGCTACGCTCAGAATCTAAAATCAGTTTGTCAAGTTTTACTAGTAAAATATATTGACATTTACCTAGCAATATTGATAGATGTCGGTAATACCGATTTTGTTTTCTTTAAACATAATCTTGGAATTACGGAAGTAGTATCACAATCATAATTTATTACTATGTATTACTATAATAATAGGCATCATGAACATATTATATACTATAGGTATACTGAGACTAACTTATAACTACTAGAGTGCCTTGATAGAAACATCATCAAGGCACCCTAGTAACTACTAACTAGTAAGTACCTATAAAATATTAGGTGCCTATTGTACAAGTTAATAATTTTGATAAAATTAAATAATTAGTTTCATTCATCAGTTTTTATGCATTTTGAATTGCGACATCATCTTTGTCGAACAGATTTAAATCATTTAACCTAAAATAATTCAGCAAGCTGTGGACTAATACAAATTAAGATATAAATTTCGTGCCTAATACCCAGTGTCGGGTTTGTTGAAATAATGATAACAAATGTTAATCAACATTATTAATTTATTTTTTTTTGAGGTTACACCAATACAATGTTTATTTATTTTATCTGTGAACAACTGTTCTACTATAAATCAATAAATCAAGTTCGGATTTTCGAGTGTAGTACCTTTACTAAAATTAAATTTTATCTGGGGGGTATTTTAAATCGGTTTTCATTATAATTGGGAAAAAGAGAAAATATACAAAATAAATTATTTGTAATTTTGTTTTTTGATGCTATTCAGTTTGAAATATTCATAGTCTTGAAGTACAGTGTTACTTCGATTATCCGTCAGGCATCGAACTAAAGCCTTGACGAATAATCAAATAAACGGTTAACCGGATGTATGGAAATTTTGAAAATTGTCTAACGATGATACATAAACGACTTGACTCGGCTACCAGAATCAAACTGAGATGTAAGAGAATGAATTTGTCAATTTATTGTCACACATGATCGAATTCTATTTTTAGCATTACGGAAATTTTTAATAACGATAAATATTTAAATTTGAGTATGACAGTGAATCAGAAGACAATTAACAGAGTGACGTTTAAGCAAAGTTCGACTGCTATATGAACATAAAACTTATACTTGCCTACTTCTATACATGTTCAAATTTCAAAACATTTGAGCCTGTTTTGAGCTATTTATAGACATTTTAATTTTATGAATGTTTTACATAATTTTTATTCAGTAGGTACTCCTGTGGATAAAATTCTTCTACTAAACGGAAATGCTTGACAATTTAACAGGAGGCTCATTACAAGTTGTACTTAGTGGTCAACAAAAAAAATTTGAGTTTAAAGTAGTATTTTTTTTTTTTATAAGAATTATAATATCAAATATCCTACCTTCCCAAATTCTTGCCTACAACAGTAGCCTACAAAGTATTTACATTTATTTTTTTTTCTACACAATCTGTAGTTTTTTAAACAAGTCAATTGTATTTAATGGTTAATTGATTGTTTACATTCACCAGGTGACTGCCAGCATTTGCCAATTTTGGAAATTCACAGTAACATAATATATATAATTATATTAATATTTAGAGTTACAGGATTGACTGAAGAATTACAAGCGACTAAACGAATGTACGAATATTGTGTTCAAACAGAACAAACTTTAAAGAAAGAAAAACAAAAAGCTATAGAAGAAATTTGGGCAGTTAAGGCAACTAATAGCATTGAAATGGAAAATTTACTAAAAATTCAAGTATTTACCTACATAATATTTAAAAAATATCTATAGTAATTTCTTATTATGCATTTATAATTTAAACATTTATATCTTTAACTCCTGAATTACATATTATTTTATTTATTTTCCTAAAATTTTATTATCTTTATATGTCCTTTTATAGGAACAGCAAAAAAATGAATTAAACAAATTGTATGATAAAATGAAAAATTTAATTGACATTAGTGAATATAAAGTATTGAAACAGGATTTTGAAACTTTAACTGCTAAACACAGAGAAATTTTACATTTAGTTTTATTTAAGGTATTTACTATCTGAAAATTAAAAATATTAATTATTATTTTGTTTTTCATTGTTATATTTATCAATATTATTTAAAAAATTTTAATTTAAAATTCTATTTTATAAAATACTTACTAAAATGTTTATAAATATTTTAAGTATTTTAAGATGTATATATACAGCCAAATTGTAGCCAAAAGAACATTTCTGGATGAGACACTACATTTTTTTTATCTAGTTTTTCAAGCTAGACTACTTATTACCTGTTGTTTTATGATTCCCTTATTCCCTTATCACTTATTATTTATACCCACTTAATTTTACAATGTTTAGTTAAAACAAATTTTGTAGCCTTGTAGAAAAATACACAAATCACTAATTCCAAAAAGATTTCAGGGGGGAGGCAGATGCTCCCAGTACTCCTGGCCATGGCACTGTATATAATCCCTTTGCTCACAAATTTCTTTTTGATTATTTACATACACGTGAACTTATAATATTTTTAACAATACATTCCTATCATAGGGTAATAGTTTAAATCTGTAAAAGTTAAAATATTTAATATTTACATTTTTAAATAATTTATCCTTATAGGAAGATACATTAAAATTATTAACAGAAAGTTTAATGACTGAAGTAACTATCTTAAAAGATCAAAGACTTAATTTTGTGATTGGGGTAGATAAGTTTTATGGAACTGATGATGAACTGGCATCAGTAAAAGCTGACAATATTGTTTGTAAACAAAGGGCAGAACATTCTGAAAAAATGTACTCGCTTTTAAAAGGTAATGTATTCAAATTATTTTACAAAACGAAATACTTTTAATTTTAATTCTTTCTTATAAAATAATTTACATTTTTAAGATCAAATGAAAGAAATGGAAACTAGGTGTAAAAGTCTAGAGCAAAATATTTGTGATATGTTCGAAGCTAATTTGCAATGTCAAACTGAAGAAGTTCGTTTACGCGAAACTACAGTTAATATGGTAGATGAATTAGAATACGTTAAAATGGCTAATAGATTAAATGATGCACAAAATAATTTAGTAAGTAATTTTTTTTTATTCTGATGTGATGAGTTATAAATTATTCTTCTTATTTATAGTTATTAGTTTATTAAGTATCTATTAAAACCTTTACATATAAACTTGGCAGTTACTCATGCAATTAAATGTACCTAACATATAGAATAGAACATATAAAAATAAAATAATATGAAAGAAAAATTAACTAGTATTTCCATTTATTGTAACATATATTATAAACCAAATTAAATGTATGGTGATAGGAAGAAGCTAATGGAGAAAGGACTAGATTACTAAGAGTATTAGAAATAGCCCAAAATCAAGTACGTGATCTTGAACAACATCACAAACGACAAGATCACCAATATGATGTAATGCAAAGACGTATCATACAATTACAATCATTGAGTGATGAAAAAGCAACAATTGGTTAAGTTTTAAAAAAATTTTAAATTAATTTATAATTTATCTATTGATTATTTTAATTTAACATTTACAGACAAATTAATGCGCGAAATTGCAAATCACGAAGTTAATCAAATGGCAACCTCTGTTGAAGAAATGAGACTTAAAACACTAATACAAGATCAACAAACTATTATTGCTGGTTTAGAATGTAAAAATAATAAAATTGTAGAACAACATGATTTAATTACTGAACGTTATAAAACAAAAATTATGTATGCAAATTCATAAATAAATAAACGTATTTAAGATAAATATGAAAATATTTTTTTAGGCGGTTAGAAAAAATGATTTTTGAATTACAAAGACGCTATCATGGATCCATATCTTTGGTAACTGAACAAATTTGGGTTCAACACAAACAAAAACTCGAAGAAGCTTTATGTATAACTTATAGAAAATGGATTTCTGATGAGACGAAAAATGTTGAGGAAATAGTCTATATTCCAACAAAGGCTACTGAAGATTTCCGTTCAAAATACACACAATTGCAATTAAAAGTGATTTTAATTATATAAAGTGCCATATGAAGATATACACTTTGTGATATCGCAGAAAGTATAACTTTTTTTATGCAATTTTTTAAAAATTTAAGAAATTAGCTCGTAAATTAAATATTTCAACACCAAGATGTATTTAAACTAATATTTGATCTATTTATAGTATTTTTAATTATGACAGCCATTTAAAAATCAATGGTAAGTAAGTTTATCCCCCAAAAAATAAGGGGGATGAAAAATAATGAAAATGTAACATTTTAGCTTATTTCTCAAATTGTCAATAAAAATTCTGAAAAAAGTTAATTCTTTCCAAGATATGGGTATAACTTTGTTGGACACCCTATATTATACAACTTCCTGATTAAATAATACAAGTTAATTTATTGATTTATAATTCGAAATTTCTTTAGGAACTAAAAATTCAATTAGCCTATGATGATTTACAAAAAAAAAATCAACTTTTTATGGAACGTATTGAAAAACAGGATTGTTTTATCGATAGCCTTGAGAAGGAAATTGTCCGAATAGATTTAGATTGTATGCATAACTACTTACTTTGGGGAATTCAGGATTTTTGTAGTAATGATATAAAATCACAACCAAAAAAACTGGATAAACAAATAAGTGTACAATCTGAGAATAATTTTAGAACTTTAGAAGGACTTGAAGATCTTAATAGACAGTTAAAAATAGTAAGCAGCATTTTTATATATTAATTTAGATCTAATATAATTCTGATAAACAATGAATAACTATAATACACAGACAAATAACAATATTCTTACTGAAAAAGAAAATAATGATAAAATAATCAAAAAACAACAAATGATCTTGAAAGAACTAGAAGACGCTAAAGTTCGTTTAGAAAAAGGAATAATTGAAAAGGATGACCATATTCGAAAATTAGCCATTGAATTAGCAACAAATGAAACTCCTGAAGATGACACTCAAAATCCTGCTTTATTAGCTACAATAGAAAGTTTGGAAACTATTATTAGTAAAAAAGAAGAGACTATAAATAGACTTCAAGAGTTATTAAAAGAATGTCGAGAAGAACATACAAAAGAAATAATAGAATTACAAAAAAAAGCTGAAGCCCAAAATATTGAAGAAAATAAAGAAAAGTAAGTTTTTTTATAAATTAAGAAATCATTATAAGATGATTAATAAATTTATTTTATTTATTTATTTATTTATTGTAATTCATAAGTAATAATTTTAAAACAATTTTTAACTTTTATAGAACTCAAAAAAATATTTCATCACCTATTCACTCAGAAAACATTAAATCAGTTGTAAATCAATATATGCTACGGATAACTGACCTTGAAGACAGGCTTAAGCAAGCCGATGATGAACTCAAACAAACTTATTCTGAAAAAGAACATTGGAGTGGTGTAGCTGAAAGAAGACTGAAAGAAATGGAACAAATGAAATCTGAAGATGACTCGAAGGAAAAAGATAGAGAAATTATTAGACTAAATGAAATAATAATAGGATTTCAAAATCGAAGAGATACATTACCAGCTCAAAGAAACCGACTACGAGTCGAAGTAGATAAAATGAAAAAGAAATTAAACGAATATGAAAGACGTGAAAAAGAAGATAAATCTGAAATTCAAAAGTTAAGACAGCAATTAATTTATAGGTATTTAATGTAAAGAAAATGTGTTATTTTGGTTTGTAAATAATATAATATATCTATTTAGACCTCCTACTGGAGGAAAGCGAGACGAAGCAATGACAGTTGTTAAAGAAGAAGTACTATCTAAAAAAATTAAAACATTAGAAATACAATTGGATGAGTATAAAAAAAAAGATGAACAAAACAAATTATTACGGAAACTAAAGGTAAGTTATTATTAGTTATTACTACACAATAATTATATTTCATAATTTTTTTTAGTCAGATGAAAAAGTTGGTAAGTGGGAGATGAACAAACGACGCCAAGTAACCAATGAAAAACTTCAAAATCAATTAGTAGAAATTAATAGGGAGTGTGATTCACTTCGCTTGAACAACCAACGACTAAGAGATAATTTAATAAGAATGGAAAAGGAAAGAAATGTTTTAGAGTTAAAACTTAAATCAGCTAATGGTAAAAATATCAGATTGTAGTTCTTGTTTAAAATTATTATGGTTATTTTTATTATTAGTTATAGTGCAATCAAGTGTACTGTCAAATAGTTTAGTCAATGAATTAACATTAGAAAAAGATAGACTATCCAAAGAATTATATACATTGCGTGCTGCTAAAGAAATGATTTCAGGTGGTTCATCACTAGCTGAAGTGGTGGTTGAACTGCGTCGTAAAATATCAACTTTGGAATTATTACAAAAAGTAAGTACCTAAAATGAAAATCAAATGATATTAAAATTAAAGTTTAAATAACTATATGTATGGTATTATTTAGGGTGGAAGTAATGCTTTAGTTAAAGAAGTGGAAATATTAAAAGATAGTAAACATAGATTAATTAAAATTAAAGATGATCTTGAAGAAGAAAATGCTCAATTACGAAAAACTATTGATCGTTTACAATCTACAGATTTGTAAGATTTTTGAATGGCTAGTTATTTTGTTAAATAAGTACTAATAATTAAGTTGAAAAATGCATTAATGTTTAGAAGTGGTTTATCCAGTTTAAGTTCAGATTCAGATTATCCTGGCATAAATAAAAAACGTACAGAAAAATTAGAAAGATTAGTAATAATGTTAAGAACTGCCATAGAGAAATTAAAAGAAGAAAATAAAAACTTGTCGCTTGAACGTACTGTTACTAACACTGATGATAAGGTTAGTTTACAATCATTGTTTTATTTATAAAATTAGGTTTAAATTTACAAAACACGGACATACTCTACACGTGGGTGAGCCACTGTTATAGGTGGGTAGTTAGGAAGGTAGTAGAAGGGATATTTAATGTATATCCATACGCAACTATTAACCATTGCTAACGAAAAAACGATTCTGAGCAGAATTTAATTGATAGTATTGCTTTATAAACAATATAATGTATATCATCTATGGTAAAATAATTACATATGCATTATATATTTTCTATAATAACATTTGTTTAATATTGTACCTATTTTCCTCATTTATTGGGAAAACAAAAAATGACCTTCCTAAAGTACCTTCCCAGTCAGATTCCTTTTTAGAAAAACTGCTTTATTGTAAATCGGAGCGAAATTGTTGGTAGAGTTGTCCACAAAAAAAATAATAATAATAATAAACGTCATTATTAAACCAATACATTCCTAGCTCCACTCGGAATCTAAAATGTATACCTATAATCTATATAAAGGGATCAATCCTTGATAAAACACTCATAGAAAAGTATAAATTATTCTTCAAATTTTTTAATTCTAATTTAAGAAACAAGTAGGTCTGAAGTGTTTCATTTTCTTCATTTTGTATCACTTTTATTTCAAGCGCTATAACCACCACTCATCTGATCATCAAATAGCAACTTATATTAAAATTATATAAATAGATAATGTTGAAATTTAAATAAATTTTTTTGTTGATATTTTTTATTTGTTAATTTTTATTTGTTGAGATTATACTTGTAAATTTGCCATTTTATAGATAGAGGCAGAGTAGTTTAAATGCTGACACATGACACTTTAGTAACTACTTTACTATTATTCTTGTTCTACCCCAAACTTAAAAGTAAAATATCTCAAAAACGAGTTAGTGGAAATTAAAAGTTTCAGTACCAAAATGTATCTAAACAAAAACTTCATCTGTTTATGAAGGTATTCAATTATTATAAAGGTTGCTATTTTAAAATCAAAATTGGGTAGTAATTTCATTACCACAAATAACGGAAGTGTAATATTTTAGAGTTGCTTGTTTCATAAACTGTCCAAAAAAACAATATCTGAACAAATTTAATACTTTCCAAGATAATGAGTAGTTTTATTGAGGATTGATTACCTGTATACACCTCCATTCCTCAAAAATTCTTAAATATCTATAATTTATTTATAAGTTATAACTTTTAACCACAATTTAATTATAAATTTAATATCAATTTATCAGCTTATAAAAAATATCAAGTATTTTGAATACTAAAATTACTAAATGGATTATTTAAATACAAAATTATTACTTTTTTTAATGTTTTTTATTTTTGTACTATTTAATTATTATTATTTTTGCAATTAAACAATTCAAAGATTATTATATTCCTTAATGTAAATATATATTGATTTTAAACTGTTTAACTTGTCATAGAGTTATGTCGAAAAATTGCAAAGCGAACTTCAGACTACACAGGGCTTTTATTTAGATTCTACTGAAAAATGCTCTCAACTGGAACAACAATTATGTGACTATCGTTCACAGTATGAAGCTGTTTTGACAGAAAATGAGCAATTGAAGAATCAGGTTGAAAAAAAATGTTATTTATTGGCAAAAACAAAAAAGATGTTAGAAAAAGCAGCCGCCAGAGAACAACTTATAATTGAACCAAATAGACAAAGTTTTATAAATACGTAATACTTATTTTCATAGATTAGTTTTCTTTACATTTAAGAAATAGTTTTTTTTTTTTTATATATACTTCTTTAACTATAATTTTTTATATAGTTTTGAATTATACTATGTTTAAATCCCGGTTTAAATATTGCTCACTCATTATGTAAGTATTCCATTATATAAATTTATTTATTTAATGATGATTTAATATGTATTTTTTTATGAATTTAATTTTTTATACTCTTTCATACAAAATATTAGCACGTGTTTAATTTTGTTATTTTGCAATTATTATATATATTTTTTTTGTATCTATATAATTACAGATAAATAATACTAAACTGGTCCTCATACTTGAACCAATTTTTAAATCAGTGTATACTAATGCATAACCCCCTCCTTACACGAAAATATCCTGGCAATGCCTATGGAATTGGGGATGCCAAAAGAGTTAAAAATTTGAATATTTAAATATTTTCTCACTTCTTGAAAATCAAATTTAAATCCAAGGTTATCGGGCTAAGATATTTAGTGTTACCTATAACATTAAACACACTGTATACTATAAATACCTATTATTTTCCTACATGACTACACCTATATTTCTGGACATATAGTTTCGTGCACATAGTTATTTCAACTGAACAACACTTACAAAATTATAACAATTTTAAGTAAAAAAAGTAAACAAATTATTGTCATCAACAACTATAAATATTGGTTAGACAAATATGTTGAGCATTGGAGTTCTAAAAATAAATTCAAGCATTATTTAAAGAAAATTAGACCAGAGTTTTTAAGAAAGGAAAGTGTTTTAAAGAACAATTTTTATAAACAGGATTCTTCTGAATTATTAAGCAACACTGTTAAAAGAAAGCCAATTGAATATATTACTGTATAAGACTCGCAGCATTGAATATAATAATAAATAAATATAGATTGTGTGTTCTAAATAATTGTTTTTTTTTTATGATATTGGACAATTTATGAATTTTTACATGGTACAATATTCCCAGTCGCTCTTCACAATTATCGATTGAGGTTATCAAAACTCAAAACTTAAAAATGGTAAAAAGGATCAAAAAAGACTCAATCCACTGTTTCTAATAAATGTATAACAGATATGTATCCAATATAACAAATAACTCTGATACCTACCTGAATTGTTTATGTATTCCGTGTATTGCAATAATTGTTCTGCTTTATTTACATTGAAAATAATAATGGAAAAGGACTATAAATAATCCATTAATTACAATAACACAACTATAAATCATTTAATACATGATTTAACGAATGTATAAAAATAAATAAATAAAGGTACTTACTTTAAATAAGCCTTCAAACATCTAATTATTATTTTAAGTTTTGCCAAAAAAAAGTTAAATATTTACTGAAATCATTTAATTAATTTAAAACACAAAAATTGGTAAAAACACATCACAAACATCAATATTACCTACGATTACCTATCTACCTATCTACCTATCTACATTATTAATAATGTTAGTTACCTTAATTTACTAAAAGAAATTAGAGAATATTCATCATCAATACATTTGGAATTATAATATATAAATATAGAATAGCTTTAATTGGTTTAAAATGCTATGTATGTTAATTGCATTCATTACCTTGGAACTATACATTTCAAAATTCTAAATAATTAATTATTTCAAATTAATATCTAAATGCATAGATGAATTTTTTTTTGTATCCTCCTCGTTTTGTGGTTAAATTAACTTTTTCTTTATATGGTAAGTGACAGCTGAAAACTTAAAAAAAATACCCTATACTTATATAATAAATTACAAAAAATAACCTATTTCATTAAAAAATATAAAGTAAATTGAGTTGTGTAATAAAATAAACTCTTTCAAAAATGTATTTACCTAATGATTAATGACTTAACTGTTAAAATGTTTAATGTTTATGTTTATGTATTTTGAATTGGAGATATTTACATATAAAGACCTTAGCAATTTAATTGAAAATGAATATTATGATTGCAACATGACAAATTTCAAAAGAAAAAAATTAAGAAACCTTGAATTGTAGTATAATATAATAATATATATATATACATAGTAGGTAGGTTGGATATAGGTACCTATAAAATAGGGTCAAAATAAAGATAATAATATTAGGTGAAACAATACTTACCCATAACATCTTCATAATTTTCAAAGAGACAAAAATTAAACATTCTCTAATTTCTACTTAACATCTAGTGTTAAACTATAACTAAACAAAGTTTAAGCATCATTTTGTATTAATTTTACAGTATTTCACAAATGTAATAAAAGGTTATTTTTCAATACTCAACTTTTATAATACATTTTTCTTAAAAAAAATCCATAGCTGTATGTAACATAATATGGTATAACATATAATGTGGTAATTAATTAAATTAATCAGTCTATTTAGCTAAAGAATCAATTCAAGTAAAAAAATAATTAAAAATGATACTCATTCTTAACAGCCAGGATTCATATTTTATAGATATTTGTCAATATTGTGATGAGATTATACTTTAAAAATAGGTACTATGAAGATTTAGGGGTGAACACTAGCTGTTTAATATAACTATTCACTCACCTCATCTGTGATTGTAGTTTGGACTTACTACAGACGATGCCAAATCTGAAAAATAAAATAAAATAAAAATAAAAAATATAGAGATAGGTTGGAAGAATAAAATAATAAATACAAAAATATTTTAAAAATTGAAACGTCAAAATTTTCGGAATAATAAACTCAATAAAATGGCTAACTTCAAATTTTTCGAAAATGATAAAATATGAAATTATTTTTTTATTATATTTGGTAAATAACGACACGCTAGACTAGAACACTATAGAACATATGTTTATAGTGCCTTAACTAGCCGATAACGGTAGTAATTATGTGCGAAAATTCAAATTGACCAATCAAAGAGTAAAATTGGTTCGCAGAGATCGAGATCGGTTAAATTTGTTCAAATTTTAATATCAAATTTTGACGAAAATTGTAAATATTATGGCCTTTTAAAACATGTATAACCGAATCGTTTTTCGTTAGCAATGATTAATTATTGCGTACACATATGCATTAAATCCCTACCTTCCAAACTTCTCACCTACAACATTTTTTATTATTATTTGTAATTATTGAGATTTTAATAACAAAGTTTTTTTTTATGGAAGTCAAAATAAGACTATCTGGCTTAGTTTTAGTGTTACAAACGTTCAAACGCCAAGTGTTACACGCTGCACTCACTTGCGCGGAAAATTTAATCGAAAATAATTTTCGATTTGTTGTACAAAACAAATGTGGGTAACAGGGAAAAGTGAAAAATCTAGGGTGTTTCGATTAAAATTGTCCAAGTGAGCGCAGCGAAACACTTAGCGTTTGAACGTTTGTAACTCTAAAACTAAACCAGAAAGCCTTATTCTGACTTCAATAAAAAAAAAATTGTTATCAAAATCTCAATAATTACAAATAAACAAAAACTTTGTGAGGTTTTCCGCCATAACTTCAAAACGAAGTTCGTCCGCTTTGGTTTTTTTTTTTTACATTATTATTGTACACGCAAAAACACACATTTGACCCCCCCCCCAAAAAAAAAAAACATCGCGTGGGAGCTAAATTAGTATTATGCCTACAATTCTTATTTAAAAAAAAAAATTCTACATTAAATTTAACTTTTTTTGTTGATCACCAAGTGCACCTTATGTTATTGTTGCGTTATGGTAATGAACCTCCTGTTAAATTGTCAAGCATTTTTGTATGTTCTAATAATTTTATCCACCTACCTACCGAATAAAAATTACGTGAAAAAACTCGCCAAATTAAAATATCTATTAAATAGCTCAAAAATGAATAGTAAATTTCCCGATTTTTGCCAGTTATTATGAAAATCAAAAAATGATCTCCTTTAAAGTAGGTACTAACTAAATAAAATGTCCATTCAGAATAGGTGGATACTGTACACTCGATACATTGGAGCAAGATTTCTTGAAGATATTTTGAACGCGACATAAAAAAAAAAAAAAAAAAAACTAAACTAAACTCTATTGTAAAACCAATAATAATATACGCCCCCATTCGCTCAGAATCAAGAATGTTCGGTACTCACGATAAGTCACAGTCGCTAGTGGTTTTCTACAACGTGTCGACTGTAAACACGCCGCTGCGTCGTCTCGAGTCTTAACGAACACCGCACTTTCAACATTCGCGACGGCACTCTAACGTGTTATTACCGTAGGGGTGAGGGGGAAGGGGGGAGGGTAAATGGCAGATAAAAAGAAAGAAAAAATTGTACACCAAATGAAAAATAAACGCTACACAGCGAGATATTGTATTGGTGTACTCGGGGACGCGAAACGCGCGAAAAGAAGAGCGAAGACACACTGACCCGGCGTTACGGACCGACCGGTTCTCATGGCTGCGCGCCGGCGGTCTAATAGGTTGCCGGCGTTTACATCAAGCCCAATGAGCGCATCCTCCCGACACGACCGTTGCGTCGCTGCACCGCCGGACGAACGCCTTGTTTCTCGGCCGAGCACGTAATTTGGAATTAGAAAATGCGTAAATATCTAACCGATATATTTCATAGCACCCACATTGATAAACGTCGTCTGTGCTTTAATTTGGCAATATTATTTTTATTCGGTAGTCGATACAATAATATCAACATTGTATTGTTTACGACCAGCGCTTGAGGTGGACAATCACGCGAACCGCAACGCTGACAAAATTAATATGCCACATATCACGATGATTGATGGTTAATAATACGGAAAATAAACACCTTGTGTTTTATTTTCGTTCGTAAACCAGTTTTAACGATAGGTACACAAAGCGGGCGGGTATTTTTCAATTAAATTAATACAAGACATTCATGTTTTTCCAATCAAAATTATCAGATACAAAGAATCGATAGAAACAGGTTGTATAGATAGTAAGCACGTATAATAATAGCGATTCTGTTATTGCGATAACGTTTTATTTCGACACAATACAAACGGTCGCGCATTTGGAGAATGCCGCGATTTCAAGCACTGGCCCGACAGCGTTTAATTGTTATAAAATATTTGCCAATACTACTATTTACAATACAAGAAGTTATATGTTTAAAATAGTGCGCGAAACGTAAATAACATGTTGATTATATGCAAACTGAAATTTTGAATAAATATAGCATCGTGATCAAAATGCCGGGTCCGCACAGAGACAACAAAACAGAAACTTTTTTTTTCAACAATATCAAAACATTTTTAAAACAATTGTGTTTTTTCGAACAAATTGTTCGTGTTCTTAAAATCAAAGTGATGTCCCGAGGGGTGTCGGTAAACATCAAAAGGTTTTGATTTTGTTGTTTCTGTGAACATTCTCGAACGCGTGTGGACAATGTTTTTAAAACAACCAACAGATAATAGTTTTATCGGGTTTTATCGGGTTTTGTCTTATCGGGATTTCGCGAACACTATCAATTTGGTTATTTATAGAAATGTATTTATTATATTTATTATAAATTCGTTGTCTACCATTCAGTATCAATTGGCCCGTCGTTCTGTTTGCGTACACGACACGTATGTGTTTGATTTCAATTTTCAAAAATAAAGAATTTAGTTTTATTTGAGTTTTATTTTATTTAATTTAAATTATTCGGTGCAATTCGGAACAAATAAAAAATGAACCGTTGGTAAATATATCCAGCACTCATTATAAATAAATCTTCATCGTCTTCAATATCTCTTTTCAATTTCCACATTTTCACTCGCAGTAAACAAATTTAAAAAACTTATAAGTACGTATTGCTCAGAGAGCTAGAACTCGGAAGACATACCGAATGACCACGAATGAACGAAATAAAATAACAAATTTATTTTTCTTTATAGATAGTTGATAACAAAAACAAAACACAAACAATTGTTTGAAATTTGTTCATGTTTCGTTTAATTTTTTGCTCAACTCAGTATGGGCACATATTTTTTTTGTGTTTTATTTTTTTAAATCTCTCGAAAGAAGGGTTTGTGTTTTTGTTTTGATTCTGTGTCGTTTCTGTGTGGATCCAGCAAAACTTACTAACTTGCCCAAAACAGGTTTTTAGCCATTTTTATGACACTGTTTAATTTAAGGGGGTTGGTAACACACATTTTATCCAATACATGCATGACGAGCGGAATTTAGACACGTTCTATTTTAACATATTGACTGAACCAAGATTATGAAAACAAAATATTACATATGTCTATAGTACGAATTTCTGCATATTCACTGATGATTTTATACTAAAATTCGAACGGTATTATTTAGCGTATAATTCTATTAGATTCAGGATCTATTCCTTTTTTTTAAATGGTGATATCCTTGTGATATTTGTAATGAAACCTTTTTGAAAAAATGACCATAAGGTAGAAAATATTATTCTTGAAAAATCATATTTTTCAAAATGTAACGATTGCTTTGGTATTAATTTAAAAATAAAAATAAAAACAAACTATTGATTGATCATTTAAATTTCGAGCGAGGCATGTCGATCAATGAGGAAATTTTACAACTTAATAACATTACAGGAAAATGTTGAGTTTGTTCACGTTTCAATCAGACTCCTATTTATTTTATGTTTATTATCCATATTCGTTCAAAACTTTAACTAGCCGCCGACAATCGACATGTAATCTACGTTACACGCACGAAAAAGAATGCGCATACTGTTCAATTTTGTATCTTAATTGTTTATCCGGTTCCTGAAATTGTTCAACGTGTCTGTTTATTGCCTATCTAAGTTTCGAAATTCTATTGCTGTGGTTTAAACAAATATTTCTTTACCAAATAATAATTTAATACAAATATTGCCAATGTTCAATTCTAAGTTTTCACATAAATTTACACAGTCGACTATAAATTTATTTTTTTATATTATTCATAGCTCCTTTAAATTATTATTTCATTATAATTTGATATTTTGAAATACATAATATAGGTCAGTAGGTAGCAACAAGGTACAAGGTAGCAGACAATAAAATATTATAATAAAAGGTACCTATATTACCTAGTCCCTTATTAAATTAATGTCATTATTAACTATAGGTAGTTTACATCCATTAAACAATTCAACCATTTTAAAAGTAAATGATTTTTATTAATTATGAGATATATAATATGACATGGAAATTGTAATTTTTATAAGGATACCTATATAGGTAATGTGTACCTATTTTTTAAATAAATTTGTTTTTTATTTAAATTAATATCGAAAGATTACTAGGCCTCACTAAGAAAAAGTCGTGTGGAAGCCCAGGGTTATCTTAGTTTACAAATAATTCTGATACAGGTACAAATTAAATTTTTAAATAAAGATAAATAAGTTATTTAATATGTTACATACAAAATTTAGTTGTGGACACAGCATATTTATAGCCAGGGTGTAATTTTTATTTTTGAAAATGGATAGCGGCATATAAGCTACATCACTGGGCATTAAGTTAAATATCTGAGTCACCAGAAAATGGGAAAATTTTTAACAACTAATTTTTGTGGGCCAGTCTAAGGAAAAATTACTGGCTGCATATCTAGTACTGACCCCTTGGTTTATAGGTTCCAACTGATTATGTTTTTTCAAATATATGGTGATTGTTTTTATGTATAGGAGCTCTATATTGAGGAAATTAAAGTTTTTGAATAGTTTTTCGGTTGGATATTTCCATTTTTTTTTATTTGCAATCCTGAGTATAGTGTTTTGGCATTTTTATATGCACCACCACACCAAATTACGCCATACGATATTATAGACTCAAATAGTGTTAGGTATATTGTTCTAATATCTTTGAAAGGTAATATCTTACATAGTTCTTTCATTTCCATTTCACCATCTTTCTTAATTCATTTGAAACGGATGAAATCTGGTTTATCTATTTCATATCAGAGTTCATTTCGGTGCCTAAATACTTACAATTTTTGACAATGCTTACTGAATTACAATTAAATTCGTGGATTTTTATATCACTTATGGTTGGTAAAGTTTGTTCAGATGGTAAATGGAGTAAAATGGTCGATTTATTGAAATTGATTAATATACTATTATCGCTTCACCAATTATAAATAGATTTTAGATCATTTAGGGAATGGATTTTTCAGCCGAAGCTTGGTTTTTTTAAATTATTTATAGTTAGTGAAATATTGATTGGCTTTATTTACATCGGTGAATTCAAGTATTTCTGGCCAATTGTGGTTTTCAATTGAATTAGATAGTTTTTGATAATCAATTTTTAATATTTTTAGTGGATTTGGTTTATTATTTTTGTTATCTAATATATTGCCTATACTAAGCATAATCGGGTAATGGTCTGTAATGTTAGAATGTACAATTATTGGTACTATGTTAGCGAGAGACTTTACTTTAATAAAAAAATGTTCTATACAGGTATCTGAAGCAGATATAGTGATGGTTTTTATAAATGGAAAAAACCCGAATTGTGCCAGAGTCAGTAAATACTCTCCTCGTATTTTCTATAGTTTGATCAAATCAATATTTAAGTGTCTTAGTAAAACTTTGTAACTGGCCGTTTTTAAATTGGAATTGAAGAGTATTATAAAGTATAATGTTACGTCTGTATTACTATTAGGGGATCTATAAATAGCGTAGATCAAAAAGTCAATTTTTGACACCTTAAAAGTAATCTCTAAGTCTGTTAATGCTTGTGTATTGATCTCGGTAACAGAGATATCATTTAATGTGTCCTTTAAATAGGCTACAACACCATTATTTTTATTTTTATTATTTGTGGTTGAATATGCTGTATAACCGTTTATTGAGAAGTTATTGATTGATAAATTGTCCAAACCTAGCCATGTTTGAGTTAAAACAATTATTTCAAATTTGGTTTCAATATTATCAATAGTAATACACAATTCATTGAAATGTTTTTTAATACTACAGATATTTGTTGTAAATATATTGAGTGAGTTTTGTTTGTAAACTATGGTATATCGGTATCTAGATTATCAAATGAGTAAATAACTGAGTTCACTGCATTTACATTTTCATGGACTAACGCGTAATTAGTGTTATCATTCATAATAATATGTGTAGGGTATAGTATACAATTTATTATTTATAACATAAAACTGGTTGTACAGCCATTCAGTATTATGGAAAAACATATAGCGATAGCGTTCGATTAATATTTTGTGAGAATAAATTGAGTTGATTGGAGTTTGTAATTCTGAGACCTAAATGAATGTGGCGTTAACAGGTAAATTCTTCAAGACCAACATAAAATAATAATAATTGATGAATTGTTCAGCATTAATATAGTGAATGTTAGTAGATATAGTAAAATGTTTTGGTAAAGGATAAATATAGTTGATAATTGTATGAGACAAGAACAATGACAATTGTATGAAAAGTAATAAGTATAGAGGTTAAAATTCATTTTATTTTAAAAGGTTTAATTTAAGGGAAAAAATATAATTAGTAGAATAATGATAAATGTGTGAGTCTAATAATTACGAATTTTTATTTGGTGAGTTTAAACCTGCATTGATATTAAGTCCATAATTAATAATAATAAAATAAAATTAATAATAAGTCCATTAATATTTTGGATTGTCCTCGCTATCGACACGTATTACCTTCTCTGTTTCGTTTTTGCGTAAAAAGATGATTATTGCGTATTTTGTCCATACAAATTGAAAATTTAGTAGTTTTTTTAGGTCTTTGGCTTCTTTGAATAATTTATTTCCCTTGGTAGTTAAGTCTTCTCTCACACATATTGACATCCGGGTGGATGTCAATATATTTACTAAAGAAATTTCTAATTTTTTGTCGAGCTTTGAGAAGATTAACTTTAACTTGGTGATTACTAAAACTGACTAGGATTCTTCTAGGGCGCGTATTGTTATAGTGAAAACCTGTTCTGTAATAATCAATAATCATAGAATCACTAAAATTTATATTTAGCTCTTTTGCCAATGTTTTGAATAAGTATTGCGCAATTTTTATTTTTGGGGACACTATCAATGATTATGTCATTGGCGATTTGGCGACGTTCCATGGTTTCAATTTTATGTTTCAGTTGGGTTATGTGAGTCTTCGTGTTTGGTTTTCTATGAGAACTTTATCAATAGTCTTAAATTTAGTATTCAGATTATTAAAATTTTTGACCGTGTCATCCTTGATTTAAGTTGAAAGCTATCCTTGTGTTGCAGAATAATTTCTTTGATCTCAAATTGTTCAACATTTTCTGGGTTGGTTGGATTTTTAAGTCTAAAAAAGACTCTTTTGGCACTAGCGCATTTGCCGCATCACCATATGTTATTAGCTTCTTCTAAATAGTCAATATCCTCTTTAGTTAGTTTTTGATACTTTCGATGCCATTTTAATTCACAGTCAATGCATGTTATGAAGGGTTCTTTTGTAATGTTAACAGAACAACTATTGCATAGAAGCATCTTATCTAGATATAAGTAAAAACAACAGATATGTAATACGTAAAAACCAGTGGTATATCGATATACACGGGAGTATAGATAATAAGACGGAATCTGCGATTAGAGACCGACGGAAAACAACACAACCAATAGGGCCAGAGTATGACAGATAATTGACATATAGGAGTTTTTTTGAAAGTATTTAAGAGGTCTAAAAGAACTTTAAATATTTATTTGAGATAATTTTCATTTAGAAATTAAATAATATAAGTCAATTTAAGTTTTTAGACACGTCTAAACACGAATTCACGATTTTAATTATTTTTTTTAGTTTAAAAATAAAGCAATAATATTGGACAATAAATAATGATGTGTTTGATAATTAACTAATAATGTGTGATTAACTATATTTTTGTAATATAGCTAGCTCGGTTATGAACATAATGTGGCTGAACACAACAAAATAAATTAAGTAAATAAATAAATACATTTATTTTGTCATGAGATTGAATAGGAAGCGCACCATCTGGTTTTAAGTAATTTGCGAATTGTGATAACAGTCGGTTTGATAACATCATTTATAATTATCATGATATTCTTGATCAATATTGTAATACGTTTGTTCATTGTATACATTTATCAAACTTGATAAGTTTTCATTTACAAGCGGTTTCCGTTCTATTTACATTAGTATACTATTTAAAACGATGGCCTGCAGAAATATCAATGTACAAAATGTTTCAAAAATTGTCAGATATTTCTCACAAAAAGTCACTGAACAAGGTACGTGTAACATTGTTTCAAAATTATGATTCAATAAAAAAAAAACTTATAGGTTCCATATAATACTGTAACATACAATTTATTATATATAAATTGGATTTTTTTATTTATAATTCCAATGAAAATATTTTATTTCTTATAATACAACTAAATTGTTAATATTTATTTTTTCCCTTTAGAATCGAAAATTTCGTCACGAATGGGATTTTTACTCGGCAAACCACTGTATTTAGATGCCCAGGCAACAACCCCACTTGTAAGTATATAATATTACTGGAAAACTTGAAGTCACTTGAAATAGTATAATAGTATTCTGACCAATACAGTAATTTTATCAATATATATAACTGGGTCCAATGTAAATTTTATTCATAAAATATATTTTTATACAAAGTATACATTTTACTTGTATAGCACAGTTAATTGCATAGTATGTGCATTATATGTATTATGATGTCTTTAAAATTTATTGTATAGTTCTTTAATAATTTGATAATTATATTATTTTAGGATCCTAGAGTTTTGGATGCTATGATGCCTTACATGACATACAGTTATGGAAATCCACATTCTCGTACCCATTTGTATGGATGGGAAAGTGAAGAAGCTGTTGAAACAGCTAGACAGGTGTGCATTTAAAATAATTTAAGTGTAATATTCTTATATTAAACTTCAGAATTTGTTTAGCATATTGCAGATTTGGTTGGTGCCAATCCTAAAGAAATAATATTCACATCAGGAGCAACAGAATCTAATAATTTAGCTATTAAAGGTATTGCTCATTTTTATGGATCTAAAAAACGACATATTATTACTACACAAACCGTAAGTCTTTACAATATTTTAATTACAATTGAAACAATTAATGTTAATATTTTATTGGCGAAATAGGAACATAAATGCGTTTTAGATTCTTGTCGAGCATTGGAAGGTGAAGGTTTTGAAATTACATATTTACCAGTTTGTTCTTCGGGTATAATTTCCCTTGATGAATTGAAATCTGCGATACGCCCTGATACTTCGTTAGTGTCTATTATGGCTGTAAATAATGAAATTGGAGTTAAACAGCCAATCAAAAAAATTGGTAGTTTTTTTAAAAAATTGTAGTCAAAATAAGATTTTTAATTTAAACATTTTTTTAGGTGAGCTATGCAAGTCTAAAAAGGTGTTTTTTCACACTGATGCAGCCCAGGCAGTTGGAAAAATTAATATTGATGTAAATGATCAAAATATTGATCTGATGTCTATAAGTGGACATAAATTATATGGACCAAAAGGTAAAATGTAAAAACTATATTTTTCAGATAATATTAAAACAATATATTTTTATAAAAGGTATTGGAGCACTTTTTGTTCGACGTAAGCCGAGAGTTCGTTTGGAACCTATTCAGAGTGGTGGTGGTCAAGAGCGAGGTTTGAGGAGTGGAACTGTTCCAGCACCACTTGTTGTAGGATTTGGTGAAGCTTGTAGAATAGCTAAAAATGAATTAGAGGTTAGTCAAATATTTTATATTTCTTATTTTGTATACATTTCAAGTTATTAATATTTTCAAGATAAAATATTAATTTTGTAATTATTTTTCCTTCATATAGTATGACCATGCATGGATGACAAAACTTTCAAATTTACTTTTAGAAAAAATTACTAAGAATCTTCCCGAAGTGGTTCGTAATGGTGACGCTGTCCATACCTATCCAGGTTGTTTAAATTTATCATTTGCATTTGTTGAGGGAGAATCACTACTTATGGCCCTTAAAGATATTGCTTTATCCAGTGGTAGTGCATGCACATCTGCATCTTTAGAACCTTCATATGTATTACGCGCTATTGGAGCTGATGAAGATTTAGCACATTCTTCTATTAGGTGATATAATTTGTATTTTTAAATATAATCATTTCCATGTATAACTAACTAACTATTGTATCCATAATAGATTTGGTTTTGGGCGTTTTACAACCATAGATGAAGTTGAATATACTGCTGAAAAATGTATAAAACACGTACAACGATTACGAGAAATGAGGTTAGTTTTTTCAAACTTTTTACTAATAAATACAATACCTACATTAGTTAAATTATATTTTAGTCCATTGTGGGAAATGCATCAAGAAGGTATTGACATTAAATCAATCAAGTGGTCTCAACATTAAAATTCAGAAAAGTGTTGTTAGTGATTATCAATAGGTATGTCTGTGATTAATCAAATACTAAGATGTAAACATTTTAGTTATATGACTTATTTAAGTGTAAGATATATTTAAATCAAAATAAAGTAGAGCAGAAAAATAAATCTTTAATGTATTAATTGCTCATAAATTAAAACAATATTATTTATTAGTTTTTTAAATCCAAAGTGATATCACTATGAGTTCATCCCCCAAGTCTGTAGACTTGGTTATATACAGTCACATATTGCTTATTGTACTATATATACACACAAATTGTATAACTATCTAAATTATATATAAAAAAAAAAATAATATATTTTTTTTTTAGTAAATTCATTATCAGAATGCAACTATTAAAATAACTTATGAATATCAATACCTTATGATTTCATTGTTATTGTTTATTAGTAAATATTATTACTTATCTAATAATTTATTTCATGTAAATTAATTTATTCAATTTAATTGTCATTTAAATATGTTAATAATTATTTGCTTTTAAAATAGGCCCCTTCTTCATGTCTATTAACTAAAGATAACTCAAAATGTATTCATTATACAATTCTAGTTACAATATAATTTTTTGATATTAATTCCTGAATCTCTGATTAAGAAAGCTAGTATGTTTGCATTTTTACTACGGAGAAAATTCAAGACCAATAACTATTTTAAAATGAATTTAATAGAAATTATCTATTTGTGTAGTAAATTAATTTAAAATATATTATTAGTAAAATGATTTTGAGTAACTCATTTTTATATTAAATGAATTTATATTACTCAAGAATGCCTAAAAGATAAACTTTTAAAATAATATAATATATCATTTTTATGATATAATTCATGATCTGATATTGAAAATATCTATGATCTGTACTGAAATAAAAGGTTTTTAAAATAATATTCAATGTCTAAAAAAAGAAAAATACTACTTAAAATTGCTCTTTAAATGTTTCAATAACTGCCATTCTTAAAACATACATTTGTATAACCTTAAAAAATTTAATATATTATCTTCAAAATCTATATTTTTTTATACTCAACATAAACATTTATGAACAAATTAATTTTAATTATACTAATTAAAATTAATTTAAGCTAAAACTCATGTATTACACATACATATAAAACTGCTTGTTTTTAAACATATACTGTATACAAGTTTTTATATTTGTTATATTATAACTGCACAACAGCTAAGGGGTCTGATTTGTAAGTAAGTTTATTTTTTAATTTTAATCCTTAGTAATTAATACAATATTGTTTTTACAATGAAGTATTTTTATTTTTATTTAGTTATTTTCTGGTTGAACTGAAATATGCAAACAGTATATACTTTAATATTCATACTGAATTAAAAATACCAATTCAATATTAGGTATATATTACATAAAAAGTTATTAACAAAATTGATGAACATACTAAGTTAAAATCAATAAAGTGAATATTGCATAATAATGTATTTCATATGATAAATGTACTCAGATGTTTTAGTTGTTATAATTTTGTATACATGTATATTACAAACCTTAATAAATATTATACAATTGTTATATTAAATAATATAAGTACATGCATTACCTTCATAAAATACCTTTTACCCTGAAAAAATTATAAATTTAATAATGAATACTGATGAGATTTTTTTGTTTCTTTGCCTTTATTTATAATTTAAAAAATATTATTTAATTCAACTTTCAATAAAATAATTAAAGTATAAATTAGAATAAATAACAAAAATATCAAATTAATATTACTAAATAAAATTTTTAATAATAATAATTACAATTAAGCAATATTAAAATAATAAACAAATATTTTAAGACAATTTGAAATTTTATTCAAAATCTGGATTGTTTCAGTTTTTAAAAAATGTTCAAACCATAATACAATTTATTTTATCTATATTATTAGCATAAGTAATCAATTACTTTTTAACTTATACTTAATGTACACATATTTATCATTAAATAATTGTTATTTTATTTATACAATATATTATGCAACTATAGAAATGAAAAATGTACAATTAATTAATAACTAACATACAATTTAAATAATAATTTATATTATATAGATTAATTATATATATATATATAGATTAATTAAGACATTTAAAATATTTAAATATATATATATACAGAGTAATTCACTAAGCGTGCTCACCCCAAAATTAAATTTTGCATTTATTCAAATTCTGATTTTTTAAATTTTTAAGTGTAGTTAAAGCTGATACTTTCAAATACCTAGTTTTTTAAAACATTTAAGGAGTATCCTGTGGCGATACAAACTATGGTTTTTCAAATGAGAGCCTATATCAAACATTTCATAAATAGATGGAGTATTGCTTTAAATAAATGTTAGTGTAAAATGTTTGATTTCTGTCAACCTGTTGACGGGATATTTCATTTTTAATTTAGGTAGGAGGAATATAGTGTTGTATCATTTGTGTGAAACACAGTGTTTTGATAGTGTTCCACCATTCTTCCTATACCGGAATTTAAAGTGGAAATTTTGTCAACTGGTTGACAGAAATTAAAAATTTCAACACTAAAATTGATTGAAACTAATACTGTGTCTATTAATAGAGTTTTTAATATAATTGCCATTTGAAAATGGAAAGTAGGTAATGATTTTACCCCCTAAAATAAAGATGACAAAAAAAAAAATAATTTAGAGCTATTCATTATTAAATATTCTAAAAAGTTAATACCTTCCGAGATAATGAGAGTGTTACGCTATGTTGATCACTCTGTGTATATAATATACAACACTAAACTGTTATAAGATTTGGTGGTGATGTTTCATCAATTATATGTTTACGGCGTGGTTTCATAACATTTAAAACGTTAACTAATGTTGCTAAACGACCACTCAATACATTTTCTGGTTCTTCATCTAGCTTTTCAACAGAAGAATCTAAAAATTAGTGGAAATGAGAACAAGTTTAATACACAAATTTAACATTTATACCAAAGTCCGATGATTTAGGAGACTTCTTTAAACTTGGCGAAGTTGTTTTAGTTGAAGATAACACTTCATCTGACTCCTCTATTGTTACATTATTACCGGTCTCAGTTTCAAGTTCTGCCTGAAGTCTTTTTATCGCTACACATTATTGTGAAATTAATATATATATTTTGATATAAATTAATTATAATTAATACCTTTTAACAGGTCCATGTTGTCCATTTCGGTATCACTCAATAGTCGTAATTGTTTACAAAATTTTGTCGCAATCTTACGGCGTACAAAATCAGCTTCTATTTCTTGTTTAGTCCTGGGAATTCGAAATCGCACACAACAGCACATTAACACCACTGTAAAATTATTGATTTTTTAAAGTTATTAAAATTAATATATAATTGTATAATTACCTAATGTGAAGAGTATAGTTATAATGAAAAATAGAATATGCCAAACACGATAACCATTGTATATTGGACATTCTAACCATGCATCATCAACAAACATGTCTAGAGGATTTGAAGTAGATGTGGTTGAAATTGAACTTTCTGGTATACTCTTAAAGCAATCAATATAAATATTTTAATAATATATTGTTATTGTAGTTGTATATTTGCTATACTCAAATTAAGTAAATTATTGATTTTTTTTATTACTTTTTGTTAATAAATCAATAATTTACAAAAATCATCATATATATATATAAACATTGTTAACTATAGGTATTATTTTTGTTACCAAATTTTTTAAATAAATCATCACATTACCTTACAAAAATGTTGCAACATCTTATTTTATTTGTATAATTTGTGTTTGTGCACTTTATGCTTTGAGTTATTTTATAATATAATTATTACTTATTTAAAGTGATTTTCTACTTCATAAATTAAAATTTAAAATTACCCTATAATCATATTTTCCTAATGTGTGTTATGATGATAATTATTTTTGTAGTTCATAGTTACAAGTTACAACCTATTACTTATTCAAAATCTTAGATTGATTCTATAACTATTTATCACCTATCTTATTAAACTGAAAATTTTAATTTTCAGTTGTTTTCAGACTTATTGTTAATTTAAACTTAAATCAAATTTTCAAACAAGTAAACTTAATTATATAATTTTAAAATATAATTGAATAATCAAACCTAAACTGCATGCAATACAAAATTAAAGAATAGTGAATTATAAAATTATAAATAATACCTATGTATATATTATTTTACATGAAACCAAAAATAATTTGAAGGTTAACTCTGTTGCCTGAAATTGATTTAATTATGAACATTAAGTATACTATTAAATGTATTCCTATGATATTTTACTATTTTAGGTTAATCATATTGGTTTAATCAACAAAAACTTCAACAGACGTGCAATTTCAATAAATGGTAAGTACCTATATTTCTCAAAATCTTTATAAATAGTTACGAATTTATGATTATGAATGATGAAGGTTTAAGCACTCTCTAAAACATGCAAGTATGATTTGTAAAACAACAAAATTTGCTCGAAAAAAAAATTGTTTTATTTAAATTGTTTACTAAAACTTGATATGGGTACATGATTTATTATTAATAGTATTTGTGTAAAACCTTAGTTTTGAAATGAATTGCACATCCCAAATGCGCACATACTTATGTTTATTGTGAAAATTGTTTTTTTTTTTTAATTTAAAGCTTGTATTTCTTAATAATAATTATAAAAGGATACTGAATTATATTCATTAATTAACAATCAATTTCTATGTATAGGTATGCTCTTTATAAATTGTAATGAAGTGGAAATACAATTACAAGCTTCTGAAGCTTAATTATTAATAACTCTAATTAAAATATATTTTGAAAAATATTTATAACTGCCTACTAATAACAAATAATAATAAATATAAATTTTAACATCGATTTACCATAATGCAAAAATCCCAATTACACAATACACATTTAGGTCGCAGGTACCTTTAAAACAACACTAATAAAACACGGTGCTTCGTACTACCACACAAATAATACTCCAATACAACCACTAGTTAAACTTAAAAGTGAAATAACTCGCTAACGGGTTAACAGAAAGCAAACAAATATTGACACAAAAATGTATTTAAAATAATACTCCGACTATTTATAGCGTTATGATAATAGGTTTTTATTTAAAAAACAAGTTGTTATCGCCTTAGGATATTCCATAAATATTGTGAAAAATCTAAGTATTTGAAAATATCGGCTTTCACTACATTTAAATATTTCAAAAATTTGAATATAAATATATGCAAAATTTAACCAAAAAAATGGGGTGAGCATTCTTAGTGAATCATCCTGTATATTTTAGTTTGTGGTTTAAACAATACAATTTAGTTAGGTAATAGTTAGTATGTATAGTTAATGATTAGGTTTAAAATTTGGTATTTATATATGGGACTCACAGCATTATCCAACAGCGAACAACGTTTAGATCGATTCATCGTCCTCGTACACAGTCTACCACCTATGCACTAAAAGATTGTGGGATTTGTATCGGCCAAAAACATAATGAAACTTATCATATGATGTATCTACGTGCACCACACCCATTAATGACGGTTTTCAATTTCGGTGTACAAACAATAAAAAGGCTATGACACGCAACTCGCAAACGTGCCACACCTAAACATCGATGTAACAACATATTATAAATAGATGAAATGTCCCGAAGATTTGTCACAAAGGCCAACTCAAAAGCTATAATCAAGACCAATATTTCAATATCGATTTGAAAACCTAACAATAATTCGCTAACCATTCCTAGAGATATATTAGTCAATATAAATTATGATATGGTTATTATATAATTATGTGATTGTAAGTCTCCGATCTTGTATTTGAAATTTGACAAGATAGTGAACATTTAAAGAACTAAAATATCGAAAAGATGACATGGTGATGACTAGCAATAAATTTGTTTTACTTTGATGATTGAATCGTTATTGTCTTTTTATACAATTATGTGTAAAATATAAGATTCGCAAAGGACGGCTATACAAATTTAGACTGTATTTTTTTTTTTTTACTTGTTGAAAATGTTGAAATTGGATTTAGGGTGTTTATCTATATAAATAAAAATTTCAATGTTTTTGATTAATTTTGAAAATTGTAATTGGTAGACAAGATTACACTGAAAAAATAGTTGTAGAATACAATGTCGGAGGTATTTTTAATTAATTGAATTTATTAATTGAAAATAAGAATACTGTACACATGGATTACGTACTTTATAACTAAATATTTAGATTATAATCAATTAAATATTTTGGTTGTGTTGATAATCCATAGAAATGTACCAATGTCAGATAGATACGATTCGAGGAGTGAATAAAATGGCTCTGAAACCATAATGAATAAATATTATGGTACCTATAAATTACACAATTTATTTGTTATTACAATATTTATAATTATATTTAGGTAACTATACTCTACAGCAATTATCAGTTAATCGCTTTATTTAAGTTTAAAACTATATTAGATAAATTTGTGAATTGTGGTGACCATCTTAATTAATAATTATTTATAAAAAAAAAAAAAAAAAATGCAGTTAGGTAACTAAATAATAATTGTAAAATATTAGCTTCGGGGGTGAAATGTTCAAATATTCTGGAGATTTCGGAGCTATTTATAGCCATTTGAAATTGTCTAGTTTTTATTCCTTATTATATCTTGTTTTGGTCGAATAGAAATGCTTGGAAAATTAACACAAAAAATGTAGACATACTTCGTACGATGTGTCGACCACTATTGTAGGTAAGAAATTGGGAAGGTAGAATATAGAGGAGAATTTAATATATATCTGTACCCAACGAAAAACGATTCTAAACGGAATTCAGTTAGGTATATATTTTGATGAAAATCAAAAATATCACGGCCTTTAAAAAATGTATAATCGAACTCCGATTAAAATCGTTTTTCATTTACAATGATTAATCATTGCGTATTGATATATAATAAATTTTTTTCCATATCCTACCTCCCCAACTTCTCACCTAAAACAGTGCCTCCCGGCTAGGGCCGTAGCAATCAAATATTGTACCCGACGCAAAACTTCAAAATGTGCCTTTACTATCTACAAATAATAGTGATAACTCAAAGCTAAAAATGTTCAAATTAGTGATTTTTTGTTACATAATAATTTTGTAAACGCTTGTTTAAATCAATACTTTTTAAAATATAAATATATAATACATAAGCTACTTGTATTAATTATACGTGACATGAAAATATTTATTATGTTAATATATACATGATATTAATCACATTTATATTCCAATTTGTCTAATTTTGTTCCCAATGAAGTCTTCAATGATCCATATCCAATGTAATAATATGTTTAATGAACAAAATAGCTAAATTTTAGCTAGAATATAATAATTATCCTAAATATTTACATCACACATACAAGCGTGAGCGTGCGGATATAATTCATTTCATCATTTAATTTATAAATAAAAGTTATAAATGAATAATTTTTTTTGACAAATACGTAAAATGTTAATATTTTATATGGAATGGATTGTTATTATTACTAGAAATCCCGTTTTATCATTTAACGATTCAATAATGTTAAAATATTTTTCGATCATTTTGTTAAAATGTTTTATATGTTATATAAAATATTTTATATGTTCATGTTATATTTATACATTATACCAGCGATTCCCAAAATGTGCATATTACCATTTTGAATATTTAATGGTCTGAAAAAAAAATTTAAAACCCAAATGATAGCGAAACAGTGAGGTCGGTATCCTATTGTTTTCCTCAAAAAATACTTTTTCGGTTTTACCAAATGATTCGCACTGTATCTTGAAAGAATCCGGATGCTTAGTTACTTCATTTAAAAAAACGTGTAGATTCCTAACACTTTCTCTCTAAAATTAAAAAAAAAAAAATTATAACAATTGTTGAACTATCGGTACATCGGGTTTATTTACCTTTTGGTTACCTTATTTGCTACAAAATGGTAGAAAACCCGTGACTAATACTACTCCGATCAGAATAGGTTTTTGATTGCAATGAATTGCAAGGGTGCCTTGGAAAACGTTAATTCAAAAAGAGAATCATGAGTCAAAAGTTTGGAAAGCACTGTATTATACGAATTTAGAATATTAACTTATTATTTTAAATTTACTTAGTTTAATTATATTATATTAAAAAGATATTATAGGTAAATTGGAAAAATATTATGCATAATATTATATAGTACGGGAAATGGACAATCGACCGACAACTAAAATATTGACAGGACAATTGACCGACAATAGTATATAAAGCAGTAATTTATAATGTCATGCAACTTATATTTTGATTTTAAAAATCTACTCATAAAAATATAATAAAAAAATACTAACATACTTCGTACGATGAGTTGTCACTGTCGTAGGTGAGAATAATATAATATAATAATTTAGGTTTAGATATTTTACGTGCTGCGATAAATTCATATAATTGATTTTAAGCTAACCAACTCACTTGATCTACGACCACATATTGATATAGTTTGTATTAAGGCCTTGAAGACTCTTGGATTTATCAATAGGCATTAGGCAATTAGGCTTGTAAGGGATTATAAATTAGATTCGTAATTAAAACTACTATATTGTACTTTAGTTCCCAACCTATATATTGGAGTACGATGTAGTGGTCTGGTTTCCGGATATACTGCTTATAACTGGAAAGAGTCCAGTGCTGGTTCCTTCGTTCTGCTGGTTCTTGTTAGGCATTGGACATTCTCCACACGATTATTCTCCTGTTACTGCTAAATTAGGACTTGTATATTTAACCGAATGCAGGCGTATATGCTTTGCGTAAAGTTTCTAAAATAACTACTGTCTGGCCAAGTTCATTCATCTGATTTATTATCTTCAATCATTTTCGAGGTCCCTCCTCGTCAAATCTGTTCAAATATTTCTTTCTATGTCCTTTTTATGTTTGAGTAATTATAAGAAAAATGAGCCTAATAGACGTTTAATATTAATGACCAATGAGGAACCCTCTATTGATCTTTATTTATACCATATTTATATTAATTTGTTAACATTAATATAGCTTAATGATTAATTTTTACCATATTTATCTTAATTTTTAAAAATATTTAATTTACTTATCTATTACAAGTACTATTGTTGTTACTATAATTATGTAATTTGTTTGTAAATATTTTCAAAAAGGTTCTTAATCTATTCATTATAATAAAATAAAAATAAAGTAAACACATTATTCAAGTAATTAGATATTATTTACGTATTGTTAATAATTTTAAGTAAATATTAAAATAATAGAATGGACTGCCACACTCTAATAGTTTCATAACACGCATTTAATGATTATAATACAGATACAGGGACGGATTGAGCCATCGGGCAGAGTCGGAAAATTCCTAATGGGCCACTGAAGCAACAAATATTTATATAATATACAGTGTCGTGCTGAACATTTCTTAAACTAGAGGTAAAACAAAATAATTTGAACCCATTCACTCAAAACATGGTTTTTCATATGTAAATTATGAACTATGTAGACTATAAGGTATATTAATAATATAATATAAAAAACTAAGGGAATGTCTAATCGCTAAACTATATAGTTAATCTTAATCAACTATTCGCCTATAGATCGAACCATAGGTGCATCCATGGGGGGAGGAATATTATAAGGGATAGATGTTCCCCTTCTATGGCTTTTTTTTTTTTTAGCGACAAATAACGGGTACTTAAGTATTGTTACTTATATTGCTATTTGACAAATCTTTATCATTTTCTTTATCATCAGTCAGGTATATTACCATAATGAACATGGTCCTAAGCACTTCGTGAGAAATAAGTAAATAATATTGGCGAATTTAGAGTGGCGATTTGTCGTCTTTTTAATTACTATACAAAAATTGATTTGCAAAATAACTGATACCCAATAACAACTTATATTGAAATACAACTAATTGAAATTAAGAAACGAAACAATTATGCATTAAACAATTGTAGTTTATTTAAAATCATAAGAACAAAATAATTATTACAAAAGATATTATTTTGGATTATCGTTTAATAAATTCTCTTATAGGTAACAATTAACTATTAAACCATTTAAATTCTATTTGAATCACTATGCATAATATTCCTAATATATAATACTAAAATTTAAACATTCTAATAATTTTTTTAGTAATATGATTAGATTAAATATTACTTATAGGTAATTTACACATAATAACGATATAACATTTATGAAATAACTGATTAGTAAGTCACATAAATAATTCTAAAAGAAGAAATTCTAGTGTTTAATGTCAAATATTTTGAATTGAAACGTTAGACCTTTCACCTTTTAAATACATTTTTAATAACAAGTACCTTTTATTTTAAATTATCATGTTAGATGTATGTATGAATAGACTGAAAAACTATCTTAGGAACACAATGAGCGAAGTAAAGGGTAAAATAATAAATATTATTTTATTAATTTTATACGGGCATGATTCAAAGTACTGTAGAACTCAATAAATAAACATGCAGACAATTATTCAGTGGAAGTTATAAACGAAACCAGGTATTTAGGTATTGATGGTATTTATTAACCAAGTATTAGTGTAAAAACAAAGGGTGGACGTTAGCAAGGTGCATTATGCAGTGTATAGGATTGTTCGAACAATAATTGGTGGTGTGCAAACAGATTTCAAAAGCGGTGGCAGAGCGTGTCGGACGTGGAGGGACTCGAAAGTTGATGAGGGAAAGGAGCGATGGTGCGTCCCCAGAACCGCCGATAAGGTTATGGAAGAACTTCAAGTTAATGTCAACTCTTCAATCAGCCAGCGTTGATAAACCAAGCACGTGGAGAACTGAAGATTAGTCGTGCAATGCGTGGAGGACATTGAGCACATGGCCGGCATAAGATAGAAAACGTTTTTGATTTTGCTCGATGATTGCAGAGTCGGAGGCTGTAATGGGATGCCACAAAATAAAACCATACTCAATTATATGCTTTATTTTTCTTAATTTTATGAAATTGATAAAATCGTCTCAATGGATTAACATTACTAGCATTTCACAAAAAAACTAGATGTTAATCCGGATAAAGTACTTGATACTATAGCATAAACGTTGAGATTAATAGATTTTATTTTAAAATAAATGAATTTTGTAGAAAAATCTGAAGTATTATGATATATAATGCGTATTGAAATTCAATGAATACAAAAGTATTCATTTTCTATTGTTATTGTGCGAGTGAGTTAGCCCCCACAGCTTACTTTCAAAATAATTTGTATATATTCCCCTCAAAATAAATTCCTGAAAACGTCACTGGATCGAACACAGGTATGTGTGAAGGACTATATTGGGTTTGAAGAGCAAATTATTTTAAAGAACCCCTTTTTTAACTGATGTGTGTAGGCAACTACAACTACACATCCCCGACTTTATAATCATAGGCAATTCAACAATATTGTAGGCTTAGAGTCTGCAACCTAACAAGCCGAGCTACTTGGCGCACGCACTATAAAAAAAAATTGGGCATAAACTTTATACTAATAAACAAGAAATTCGTATGACTCAAGTTTACAGATATAGATGGGAATGTAATGCATAAATGTACGTAATGCTTAATCATTGCTAACAAAAAACTGAGCGGAGTTCGGTTATACATGTTTTAAAAGGTCATAATATCATTAATTAAATATTTATAAATGGTAATACTAACGATTTTTGTCAAAATTTGATATTAAATTCGTACAAAAAAAAAAAAAAAAAAAAAAAAAAAAAAAAAAAAAAAAAAAAAAAAAAAAACATTACGTTTTACCTACTTACTCAACATTTTCTTTTTACCCCTAAAAACAAATTATATAATGAACCTCCTGTTATTTTTGTTTAGTCTGACAATTTTATTCACATAGTACCTACCGAAAAGTATCTTTAACAATATTTGTTTAATATTGTGCCAATTTTTCCGTTTTTCCCATTTATTGGGAAAACTTCTGGAAAAATCAAAAAATGACCTTCCTAAAATACCTCCTTAGTTCAATTTCCTTTCAGTAAAAGTGCTACACTTAAAAATCAGAACACGATTCTTACAGAAAAAAAATAAAAATAAAAATTTCTGTAAAACCATAAGCTTATTCGCTTCACTCAAAATCTAATAGGAATTTGGAAGAATAATTTTGTGTTTTAACCTTGGTATTATTTACGATAGTGCAGCAATAGATTGGGGTGTATGGGACACCATAGGCACCTGAAGAGGGGGCAAGCTGGGACATTTCTCCCCCCTGGCTTTTCGGTAATTTTTTTTTAAATTTAATGTTCAAAGATAAATTACTATAACTATTTATTATAATTATATATAACAAATTGAAAGTGGTTATATGATTATATGATATATATATATATACATAGTTTCCTACATAATACATAATTTTTATCATATAATATCTACCTATCTAATTCTATTTATTATTATTATTATTTTTTCGAAAATATAATGAGCCCCGCTGAACAGGTTCATGTTAAGTGATTATTAATTAGTGATTACCCGTATAATATTATATCATTGTGATCACGAGTCGATCATATTCTTTAATTGTTGTGGAATTCGATTGTGTCAATCGTCTTTAAAACTCAATCGATGTATCCTTAGTAAAAATTAATGAACATTTTTCAAAAAGTATTGTTTTTCAATAATTTTAGAAAATAATTTAACGGTTATTCGAATTTAATAGAAAATGGATTTGAGAAGACACTTTAAAAACCTCGTTTAGAACTAGAACCTGAACATTGATATCTTGATTCATTAATATTATCCCTTAAAGAACGATTTTCAGAAGAAAATGAAGTACCTTATTCTATTTTTCAATTATTATCAGAATAAATGAGCAAGCTCAATAAACATCAATATAGATTGCTTAATGAAAAAATTTCAAAAAAGTATAGCTCTTTTCTAGACAATTTTGCAGCCGAATAAATGATTTGAATTGTTAACTATCGCTCAGAAATTCAGAAATCAAAAGATGTATTGGTTATACTGAAAGAATCGTTAATATTTTACCCATCAGTATTTTCAGCAATTTGTATTGGCCTTAGCATCCCGGCAACTACTTATACTGCTGAATGGTCCTTCAACACGTTGCAAACCCCCCACGGGTCTATGATAAATCTATTGTGAAAACCCTAATCGAACTTAAATTTTGCGTACGCTACTGGCTACGCCACTAGTGCTGCCGTCGACGGTTTTGTCGTGAAGACGTCAAGTATTTTGGCTTTTTGCCGGATAACAGCGCGCGGCTTTTTTTCGCGCACGCGTATGGCTACGCCCGCGCACACAAACGTTTACGGGCGTACCACCGGAAAAAACTCGATTTCACTGTCACCAGCGTCACCACCACCACCACCACCGACGCAGCACTAGGGTGTAGTTCCACTAGTTTCAGACTGATTTTTATCAGACGGGACGCGTAGACGTATTTCTTATCAGTTAATACTTAATTAATAATATTATTATACATAATTTTCTATGAAACAAAATATTTTGCCATGATATTCTGTGATTCTGGATTTGATTTAAAACAACTCGTTATTATGATTGTTAAATCACTGCTACCTAGAAGTAAACCACTACGTTGATCATGGTTGTAAACTTGCGGATGGATGTATAATTGATTGTTAGAAGTATGTTTGATAATTACAGAACGAAATCGGTTGTTGCGAACCAGGATGAAAACTGAAATACACTTTATTGAACTTTAAAACAAACGTTTATTTTTAAATAGGTATTCACTGATAAGAAGCTCGCTTACTCGTCTCGCCCGATAAGAAACTCGTCTACTCGCCTGATAAAAATCCATCTGGAACTACACCCCGGTGACGTAATTGCACATTACTACCACACGTACGCCGGCGATGCCGATCATTTTCCAATCAAATATTCACGCGGCCACAACATGAGATCATACGTCGACACACAATTAATATTATTATAATTGTCTTAGGCAATAGGTATAGGACTCAGGATCTGTGGACACACTTTGGGTACCTACACGGTGCGCTTACTTACCTACCGAACATTTTTAAATAACCGAATAGGTACTATAAGGTAATACGGCGACCACAGTACAAATATGTCAGAGGCTTGCGATGGTAACAACGGAACCGACGTCGTGGTCCAGGTGGACAGCCCGAACGTCCAATACTCCAAGGAGTACATCGAGTCCACCGTCGATTATCCTGTCAACTACGCCATCGATCAGGACAACACAATTGTGGTAAATACTAAATATACCCTTAGGTCCGTCGAGATCGTTATTATTATTAAGTTATTATATATTGGTTATAGGTACCTACACTAATAAAATATTTAAATCTATATAAACAACTTAATGGGCCTAGACCATCTACTACATTCGATAGTTTTTATTCAAATAATAATGCAATATTATGCAGTGTTTTAATGAGGGAACGGGGGAATATTAAATTACAAATTTGAACAAATAGTTTGATAAGCCAATAGTACTATCGAATCATTTGTTAACCTTGTTAACTTATCAAATAACTCGATAGTTTCCATTAAATTGTATATATCACTATAAACAATTGGGCAAGTTTTATAAACATTTCGGTGCTCGATTTGAAAAAATGAAAGCACAGAGACTATGAGAGATAAAAAATAATAAGCGTCCCTTGCAATTATTGAACTAAACCCGCCATGCCTCTCAAACCAATTTTAAAACGTAATTCTATAATTCACAATTTTCGAAAATAAACAATACCTACTGCAGAGTGTAGGCTAACTGTTGCATACAATATTAGATATTATTTATTTTACTATTTTAGATTTTAATATGATGGTTACTACTATGAATCTATTAGTTTTTTTTTTTTTTTGCAAGTGAACACCTTTTCTACCAGAAATCTTGCTCCAATCATCAACTTTAGAGGTGATGGTTTTTAGTAAAAATTGTTGTCTTGTTGGTGCAACAAGGAGGTTATTTTTTGATTTTCTTTGTAATATTATTAATTATGAGAAAACCCTTAAAATAAACATCGGGAAAACTTGTTTATGTTTTACTCTATTTTGTTTATTCATTGAAAAATAATCTTAGAGGTAGGAAATTTCATTGAGTATATTTATATAATAGATATAGTTTTTTCGGTGAATGAACAAATAGGACCCGGATCATTTAGATCCCAATCATACCTTTTGTAACAGTATCGATCTAGTTGTCTCGGGGTGAAATTATGGTGTCTTGATCTAAAAGTCCAGATATCCAAATAATATCAGTATGTACAATCATCATAATAGCTGGTATGTCGTAAGTATGTAGGTAAATATTTGTTTGAACTTTCAAATAATATACCTCTTTACAATAATTTTAACAATATGAACCTCGCACTTGTTAGAATCCTGAACTAGTGTCATTTTGGTAACACAATGTATTATATAGTCATGAAATTAGAAGAATAATATGGCATAAACGGTAAATTGGGCATTAATTTTACGCGTATCCAATTCTTTAGAAAAATATTCTCTTTTCGAATTTGTGTAAAAAGGTAGGGCACTAATCAAATTTATATTTATAAACCACAAATTGAGATAGCTTAATGGTAATGGCCAATATAATAAGGTAGGTAGTTAGGTGGGTAATTTTAAATTAATTGTACCTACCTATAATATAAAACATAAGTAATATGAATAAATACGAAATTTTGAAAATGCCACCAATATCTAATAAATGGATCCTTATGGCCAAGATCTAAAAATGTTGTGGATCTAAATGACTCGGGACAATATTGTCCCGAGATCTGAATGTCTCTAACCTGATATAAATTCTTATCAGAATATTTACCGGAGTCTCGATGACGCTGGATCTATTTGTCATGCTCTCAGTATTTTCCAGACATGGTAAAATTTTTAAATCATTCTGGCAATTTCTCAGTTTTAGCTATTTGTAATTTTTTAGTTTTTCAGAATTTTAATTGGTTTTCTGTGATTAAAATTGTTTTGATAAGTTACAATTAGTGAGAAAAAAATGTCTGTGTAATGTTGTATTTTTTTTTTTTTATAAGCGCTTAAGGTTCAAATTTGAATGAAAATATTACATTTTGATTTGATAAAAATGCAAAATATAGATCGTGTTTTTACGATAATAGGCAGTGGCGGATCCTGGCGTTATTCAAAGGGGGGGGGGGTATTTTATTTAAAAAAAAAATACATATTTTGCAAACAACTATTGAAGAATTTAAGAAATCCGTAAATACATGGTCCAAGGGGGGGGGGAGCGGGGTAATCGCCATAAAACAGTAGCACTTACATTACAGTATTATTGAAGACGAATTATTCTCGGGGTCATATCATTTGAAGTTAAACAACTAGCGCCCTCATGGCACGCTATGGTCAAATATACCTCCAGTGTTTAAATTGTATCAACAAACCAGTACACGCATTACGGCGTTCTATACAAAAATATAGCGTTAGGTGGGGAAAATATAAATATGAAAGATTAAAAATGAGACAAGTATTCTAATAAAACAAACCTAATTTAATAAAAATAATTAATAATAATTAAATTAAATGTTAAAAATACTATAATTAATTATTATTATTTCTCACAGAATATTTATTTTCTCCACTGTCAAATTCCCATGTTTCCACAACATCATCAAATGTACAGGGCAAATTTTAGAATTATTTTTTGATTCTATGCCAATTGCCTTTGGCATACGATGGAATGCCAAATATTGTCTGTTTAGTTGGCACACATATATTCGGCGACACATAATATTTGTTTATTATTTTTGGTAGAAAAACTAAAAACAACCAACTTGAATAAAATAATGTATGTTTTGTAGTTTCGTACATGAAGCAATAGGCACATTGTAGCACGGTAATAGAATGTAGAAATGTACAATACCCGTGGTATATCTATAAAACGGTGCTTTGTAGTACAAAACAGACTAACCGTTACTATTAACCGCTAGGTGTATAATTTGACCATAGGTTCGAGTGAGAAATTTTCGTCTTCAACTGATAAGCTTTTGTTCCGTATTCTGCATATCTTAATTCGTAGTACCAACCTATGTATTTAAAAAAAAAAAAAAAACGATAGGTACATTATTATATTTGTATACACTATAGCAATGCAACAAAAATTTTATTTATAGTATGTTTTGTATTTATTAATAGATTATAAATAGACGGTGTTTGTGCAAAAGGGCTCAAGTACAAAAACTTTTACACTAAGAACAATATTGAATTGAGCTCTTTTCACGAACTAAATTTAATTGGGTATCACGACTCGTGAGAAACGCAAAATATTAATAATTTGAAAACAGGCCTACATCTAGTTTAAACTAGAAAATTCTCTGATCAATCCCACATGGCGATGACCTTGAATCAAATTAATAATTATGATACCCAAAGCGATAATATCTGTAATTAATCAGTAAGTAGGTATCTTGGTGACTACTTGACTAAGTACCGGTGAATGGCGCTTGTTCGAAAAATGATAAGAACCATTTTCGAATACTTCACCCGGTTGCATATTAACATACCGTACTGACAAACTGCACTCAGGGCACACGAAATAAAATACGACTACGTGATTTTACACAAGAAATCGGAGTTTATTTTTGACTAATTTTCTCCATTTGCTTTGGCTCCAGACGAAACAATCTTACAATTAAATGTAGCATTATGTAGTATTCAAATATTATAAATTTTAAATACCTATAATATAAGGTGATCAATCTATACACGTAACACACTCATTATCTTAGAAAGTATTAATTTTTTTCGGAATTTGTTTTATTAGAACATTTAAGAAAAGAGAAACTCTACAATTTTAGACATTTTGTCTTCTTAAAGTACTACCCCAGTTAAATTTTCTTTCAGAAAAGAAGCAAAATGTCTGGTTGATCAAAAAATTGACACTATTATAAAACCAATACATTCCTCGTTTTGCTTAGAAAATAAAATTTTTTGCTAGGGTCCGGATTTCAAAGCAAAATTCATTTTTTTTTTTTAGTGATAGACAATGCTTTTCAACTACATAATTTTAGTTCATGTAACAGAGACTTTAAAGGTGAAACATTTGTTTTACCTTTTTCATTTTTTAGTCTTTTATTCGTTTTATTGCATAATTGTACAACATACAAGTATAATATAATATAGTATTTGTACATAATATGATTTTCGTACCAAGTTTTAACAATTTAAGTTTAACCAGTTCAAAATATTACTCATGTTTTTCGGGTTTTCCAGTCAATCAGTCAAATACAGCGCCTCAGTCAATACTATCAGTCACAAATCAAATTTTTCAATTTTCTGTTTTTTTTTTTTTTAAATAAAATAAAATTTTTATAAATTAAACGTTAAAATAAAAAAATTAAAAAATTTACATGTCATTTCTTAAGGATATTTTTAATGTAAAATGTATTTTTTGTTTTTTTGATGATTTTGAGTGCAATTATTAAATCCGAGCCCTTGTTATTAAATTTGTTGAATTGTCTTGTTACACAATATATAGCCAATATTTTGTTGATTAATCAGAAAATTGAATGTTTTGGTTTTGATTAAATCAATTTATAATATGTTGAATATCATGTGGATTAAATTGGGAATGGTCTGCCACTGATGATATATGGTTGTATAATGAAATGTGTATTGAAGAAAACTGCACCGCGAGAAATGTTAAATAAACGCATGATATATTCTGTGCTTGAAATTCATAAGTACAAACAAGTGTATATATCTAATAACTTAATATTATTATTAGTATTAGTCATTAGTAGATTATTGGTATTAATAGTTCTTTTATTAATATCTAGGTACAACTGATTATTATAATTAGCAAAGAAAGTATTTATTTTACAATTTTTAAGTACTAAAGTAATTAATTTGGGACTACCTATAGTTGCTTTTTTACTACTTAATTGTTTATTGTTTTATTATAATTAGCAAAAAAAAGAACTTACCTATTTGTTTTAAATGATTATAATAAAAGTTGTTAAGCTGACTATATTTTATGTGTTATACATATTGTTTTGATTTTATAAACTTTTATATATATTACTATATAAGGTAATAGATGTATACAACTATCAATTTTATATTGCCTAACTTTATACATTTGTAATTATGAGTTACAATTTAAAATATAATTAAATTTTGAGCAAAAATAATAATTTGTTCACTTACATGATTAACGTGTTCATTCACTAGGAAATGATTTTTATTTTTTGTTAATTTAATGTCTTAAAAACTAATTATAATACAAAATATATTTTAATAACCTAAACCACCAAAAATGACTATTATATCACTATGAAGATTGAAAAATGTTTGTTCATTCATTAAGAAGTTTAAGGAGCTCTACAAATACTCAAGCACAATGAGAAAAATAAAAAAAGAAGAGTAGGTACTTTAGATTGACTGCCTGGTGTAAGAAAAGAACTTTTCCAAACCTGGTACATGCAATTTGCAAGCAGGTAAAAACTGCTAAGACATCCCAGGTTAAGGTGGAACAATCAAGTTATGTTAGTTATGAGAAGAGTGGAACCCGATACTGATTGGTGAGTCTTGGTAAAGTGATAGGATTGCGTGTTGTTGTTTAACTGTTTGGTTTTGAAGGCATGTAACTACAAAAAGAAAAAGAGAAAAATGATTAATTCTGATATATTTGAAAGTTTCTTAAGCCAAAAATTAATTTCTGTTAATTTTTTAACCACATAACTTAAATAAGTTATTTTGTGAAAAAACTAAATTACAATGTTTACATTAAAATTTTTTAACCTAATGATATTATCTTTTACATGATTATGTTTAATAAGTTAATTAAGTTGATTTAAAAAATTGAATCTAATAAAATGTTTACATTTTTGGTAGATCAAGCCTACTATAACTAAAATCAAGATTCGCACCAAAAGAACTGTTCCTAAAACCGGGTTAATGATGGTAGGTTTAGGTGGTAACAATGGTACTACTTTAACTGCAGGGATCTTTGCAAACAAATACGGTTGTTCATGGGAAACAAAATTGGGTGTCAAGTATCCAAATTGGTTTGGTTCAATAACCCAATCATCTACAATACGTATTGGTATGGATGCAAGTGGCAAAGACGTATATGTTCCATTAAAAAGTTTAGTACCCATGATCAACCCTAATGATATAGAAATTGATGGTTGGGATATTTCATCTATGGACCTAGGTCAAGCCATGAAGAGAGCAAAAGTAAAATAACAAAATAACTATTTCTATTTAAATATAATTAAAAATATATTTCATAATTTTGTATTTATTGTTTTTTATTTAGGTGTTGGATATTGATTTACAAAATAAATTAATGAAATTTATGTCTGGTATTAAGCCCCGGCCATCAATTTACATTCCTGACTTTATAGCTGCTAATCAGTTAGACCGTGCTGATAATATAATTAAAACCGAAAGTAAATCAGAAGCACTAGATCAAATCAGAACAGATATCAAGGATTTTAAAAAAAGTAAAAATTTGGACCAGGTGATTGTTTTATGGACAGCCAATACTGAACGATTTAGTGAAGAAATCAAAGGACTTAATGACACATCAGATAACCTTTTAAAATCAATCTGCAAAAATGAATCAGAAATCTCACCATCTACATTATTTGCTGTTGCTTCAATTTTGGAAGGAGTATGAATTTTTTTTTATTGAGTTTTAAGAGCTGATATTGATTTATTTTTCTCTTAAAAACTTTAGTGTACTTATATAAATGGATCACCATCAAACACTTTTGTGAAAGGTGTAGTAGAATTGGCTGAGAAAATGGGTGTACATATTGCTGGGGATGATTTCAAATCGGGCCAAACAAAACTGAAATCTGTTATTGTAGACTTCTTGGTTACAGCTGGCATTAAACCAGTATCCATTGTAAGCTATAATCATTTAGGAAACAATGATGGTTATAATTTGTCCGCTCCTCAACAATTCCGCTCAAAAGAGATTTCTAAAAGCAATGTGGTCGATGATATGGTTCAGTCAAATAGTATTCTATACAAACCAAACGAAAAACCAGATCACTGTGTTGTAATTAAGTATGTGCCATATGTTGGTGATTCCAAAAGGGCAATGGATGAATATACATCAGAAATATTTTTGAATGGTCTTAATACATTAGCCATACATAACACATGTGAAGATTCACTATTGGCATCTCCGCTTATATTGGATTTACTTATACTGGCTGATGTATTTACCAGAATTGAGATTGGATCAGATAGTATGGACTATACACCTTTGCATCCAGTGTTTTCTGTGTTGTCATATTTACTTAAAGCACCTGTTGTGCCAAAAGGTAAATCAATCGATAATAATGTTATATTATCAACAACACTAAATAAATTATATTTGTTCTGTTATAGGGGCTCCAATAGTTAATTCACTTTTTCGTCAACGAGCATGTATTGAAAACATACTCAGAGCATGTTTGGGATTACCAGCTGAAAACAATATGTTGTTAGAATATATGTTACCAGCCAAAGTTTTTGTACATTTTGAAAAAGAAGACCAAAAGAACTCAACTTCTAGAAAATGTTAATAATAATAGATTATTAACCATTATCAAAACATATATTATTTTATAAAATACATTTTAAATTAAAGGAAGGTGTTGAAAAAAAAAACAAAATAAAATAGTTCTTAAACCTATAAATTATCAATAGATGGAACAAAGTGATCATAAAAAGATTTAGTATAATCAATTGATAGATCTTGAGTACAAACTGGTAATTGACCAATTTGTATACCCGGAGAACCAGAATAATGGGCAAATGAGGGAACTACAGTATCAGGTGCGAGTACTGTATTATCTCCAATCATACAACAATCTTTTAGTATACACCTTTTACCCTGAAAAAAAAAAAATTGTACAGTAAAATATTAATAATACCAGGACCAGCTAAGCACTATCAAGAGGGTGTAATATTATTTAAGACGCATTTAACTGCTTTGATGTACAGTGTACATAATAATAAGTCTCCTACGCCAACCACCACTCGAGCTTGCATGTCATATTCTAAAAAGTTATTATTATTATTTATATATAATAAGTGTTAATTACCACTATATAAATTATTCACAAAAAATAACATGCTCTTTCAGTACTTAAAATTAATTTAGAAGGCATTTTTAGATTATTAAACAATCTATAATTGTTAAATATTACTCTTATCTAGTTATTATCTCAATCAAAATATGAATGATGTTAAAGATAAGATGTAAACTAAATATTTCTGGGTAATTTTTTTGTATAGATAATATTTCATTTTGTGCTATGTAACTATTAATATGCTATAAAATATGTGATAAAATTCATTTTATTCAAGATATGAAAAATAAATATGCGTATTATTCAAAATAAACATGCAAAATATAAATTGTAATATTTTCATTAAAATAATATTAATCACTAAAACTTCATTTAGACATAACAATCATACTGTTGCAAAAAAATCCTAGGCCTAGTTATTACTATTTTAAACAATACTTACAATTACAACATTTTTTCCTATGTGAACATATGAACCAATAACAGCTGCTTGAATAACACTTTGTTCCCCAATGTGAACATGATCTCCAATTTGAAGAGCAAAATAAGTAAACCTGAATTATAAATTATTAAGTGGATTATCATAATTAATCAAGGACAAGGTAATAATTCAATTTAGAGGAATTTAATAATATATAAAACCATATTTGGAAGGTTCATTAATACATAGTTAAAAACACCTATAAGCAGCAGAATTGTCACTGGAGTCAAATTCTCTCCTCCTGTCTATTTTGTATTAACTATAGAAATATTCTTTGTTAAACAATAAATAACCCAATACTATATTACACTACTACTATATAACTTCCAAAAAGAGTGGTGAAATGTGATCTTAAATGGTACCAATGATAATATAAGTAATTGGTGAGGTGAAACCCTTAAAAAACATCCTTGATACTAATGCCTTCGATATTCAACAATATCTCCTTGGTTCCATTTGGGAAGTCTCAATAAAGTATTCAAATCTAAAATCCTTAACTAGCATCCTCTTAATGCAATATAACAAAATTCAACCCAACTTCTGTCATTTCATTTACTTAAAAAACAATTAAAATGATAAAGCTAATTTGGTAAAGACGAAACCACTAAAAGCAGAGAGAAAAATATAAATACAGTAGAATCCGCTTAATTGGGACACATGAATGTAAATTAAATACAACATTTTTAGGGTACCTAGTCTATCAAATGATTATTCATCAATACTGAATATTCATAAATACTGACTATACAAAAATATTTTTTTGTAAACTTCAAACAAGATACTAAAAACATAATAATTTTATTTTTTGTATTCATCCAGTTATTTTATTCCAATTTGTAATTTAGTAGTCAAGTATCAATATATAAATTATAAAAAATAATGATAATACATAACATTACCCTCCACTAAATTTTTTGCATGGTGGTCTTACAACTGAACCTCGGCCAACAAAACAGTACCGTCCCATTTTGACACTCGCTAAATCACCTCGTATCATCACACCTGACTGTAGTATTACTTTACCATTGAGTATGATATTCTGTGAACCATAAATTTGAGCTTGACGGCTTACTTTATTACCAGTTGTCTGTGATAATATTAGAAATAAATTTAAAATTTCACATTTCAATTAAATGGTGATAAACCAAAATTACTTACCGTTTCCACATATTCAGATTTACTGTAGAACGAATCTTGAAGTTCCATTTTCTGGAACCGCAAATCATCAACAGTAATTGTTATTAAGACTACATACACACTTGGTACATATAACACAACAATATTTATACCCTATGCCGACTACGTCTGAAAGGATCAAAATTTATTTTCATAATTTTAATATAGATACGACCATGAACATATTAATCATTAACAACAAAAATTACTAATCTTGCAAATCAAAGTGTGAGCGCTATCTGACGGCGTGTTTCGCCGCGTAATCGAACCACTTAAACGCCACAGTGGAGCAGCAGTTTAGTGCTCCTTAGGCTTTTCTGTAACTGCATGTTAAATTATGAAATAAACTCTCGTATCGTCTTTCCTCGCGTACAATCGTGCTCGTGTTTACTGCCGCCACTACTGTATACTCTTTAGTTTTAACTTCTAGCTATTGTAGGATAACACCAACAACAACAATAATAATAAATGCATATTATATGATGACAAGCGGTCGATTAGAAACGATAAATCGCGTTACAGTGAGTCACGTCCGCGTATGCGTCCTTTACCGATAGCTGTATATAAAATTGTTTCTTTAGTTTTTCAATAATCGCTGTTTCGTTAATCGTCTTCAAATTTGAGAACTTCCGACGTACAAGGTCGTTTTCAATGGGATTTCCACACGACATTTTGGTGAGTGAAACTTTGTTTTCTTATCACGGGCCTTTGAATTGTTTTATTTTAAGAAAACCGAGACCGTAGTATGTAATATGTATTATAAAATCGCACGCCCTGTTCATCTAGTCCTCGGACTGATATGGTGGCGACATATTCTCCTATCGGTTTAGTAGGTACACACAGGTTCATATATAAGGTGTGGTATTATGTATACAGTTTACATTAGTTGACAGGGTTCGGTCTTGTCAGTTTTTTATATCATATTTTGTAAAACTGACTTGGACAAAATACAAAATATCAAATCTTTTCTGTTGCATGCAACTCTTGTTCAGTTTGAATTTTTTTGATAAGTAACTACGTTTACTTTGCTTGATCATATTTCTTAGTATTGATAGATATTTGATGAAATTAATATTTATTCATAATATTTACTAAATTATATATTCTCAATTATGCTTATTAGGTATTAAGCCTATCTTATTATAAAATCAATACTGATATTTTAGACCTTGAGATTTGATTAAATAATGGCCTTAAAAAATATTGTAGGTTTACCAACATTTAATTATTTTTAGTAAACTTTTGAACTTTATTTTCTGATTTTTGTGTAGGTATATCAACGAGTATAGAAACTTAATGATAATGATTATCTTAGAAAATATATAATATAGGTAGTGTTAAAAGTAACAGTAATTATTTTTCCTAGAGTGACCTTCATTTTATTTTTGGTATTTCAGAATATGAAGGGGTACCTATTACAATATATTTTAAAACAAATTAAAATTTTTTGCTCTTATCAGTTAGACCATGTACAAGAATAATCAGCTTTAACAATATTCCCCCTGATCATTCTTAAGTTTTTTTTTTAAATTATTTATCCTATTCAATTTGTATATATGACTATAATAATTATCAATTATAATTTAGATCTTGACTGACATAATCCATGTTTATTAGCTTTTAGACAGCTTACTATGTACTGGTTTATGAGTACCTATTAAATAAAAAGAATTTAACTAATGTACTGATACACAATTTGTATGCAAATAGGTACTTACTTTAATTAAAATTATATTCAATTTTTTTTATTTTAATAAAATTCTGTTTTGAGATCATTAAAAATATGCTTTAAAAGTTTTTTTTATTTGTTTAGGTGTCAAATTTACAATGATTGTGCACAATGGATATTGCCGACATTAAGGTTAGGGTTCTTTATGACTTCGAGTACAAGACTAGAGAAAATAAGTGTGTATCAATTAAAGAAGGCGAGAAATTACTGTTGTTGAAAAAAACTAATGATGATTGGTGGCAAGTTATACGTAATTCAGGCCGGCCATTTTATGTTCCAGCTACCTTTGTTAAAGAAATTCCACGAGCTCCTAGCAGGCCTAGTTTATCCAAAGGCGAGGAGAAAATTAAAATAGAAAAACCACAAGTACTAAAACGTACCATTTTTGAAAAACCTTCCACTCCGTCCTATGAGAACATTCCTTTAGAAAATACAACTGTTGTAAGTGTAAATGACTCAAATGAGTACATCAATCTTGTTGATGATGTAACCAGTGATATTAAGCGAGTCGATATTCAAAACGAAAACAATATATTATCACCAATGGTAAACCGAAGAAATAAAACTGTGGTTACAGTTAACCAAGAAAATTCTGGTTATTGTCAAGTGAATGTAAAAAAATGTGATACTAAGGAACAGCTTTCATTGCAATTGTCTAGCTCTTTAGAAGAACTTGCTCAAGAAATTGAGTTAAAGTCCATGCCTTTGAACAAAAACTCAACCACTTGTCAGCCATCTACTGTTACAAATAAGGTACAAAACTTACTAGACAATCTTCGCAAGCCTTCCATAGTGTCAGTTAAAAATTCAACAGACATTGAAACGCCTGATATAAGCAATCATGGACAAACTCTTAAAAACAAACTTTGTTATACTGGTAGCTTTAAAACAAAACACGAACGTGATAAATGGGCTAAAAATATTATGACTAATGGAAATATTATTGAAGAAAATAAACCAGATGATGAAGAATCAATTATGATGAGTGATTCTGTTGTCTCAAAATCAATATCTACACCTGATGCTCACAGTACTAGTGCAGATCTCACAGGTGGTTCTACTGATAGTCTTTTAGATGGAGATTCATTAGGTATTACTGATAGTGATCAAGATTCATTGAGGATGCATGGATCAAGAAAACGGACATCTTTAGCCAGAAATCGTAGAGTAAGAATAATTCTTCCATTTCCTAAAGAATTGTTTTATTTAATTTTTATTTTACATTGAAATTAAATATCTACCCACTTTTATTGCAATATTTAAATTGGAGTTTGGTAAAATGTTTGGATTTTGAATATTTTTATAACACTCAATAGGGACATAAGAGCTACAGATATTGTTAAAAATTATCAATTTAGAGTACCAATTTTTTCAAAAAGCATTACATTCATGATTGAGTTGTGAGAATATGACTGTAAATCTTGTATTTTAAGGAAATCTTATTTAAAAACTAAATATTTCAATAATAATTGTACCTATTCTAAAATATTTTCAAATAAATTAATTTTCTCTGGTTGCATATTTTACAAAAAAAGAAAACTGTTATAATATGCTAATAATAATTAATATCTTGTTTATTGTGTAACTTAATTTTTTTAAATAGATACAATAATACATTAAAATAGATTAAAAAACTGTTAGCTTAACATATTTAAACTTAAACGATTAAAAAATAAACATACTTATGTGTAAAGCCAATATTGGAGATCTATTTTATTTACTATATATTTTGTTTTTAATGTTGAAACCACATGTACATTAATTATTTCATACACACAAATAATAGATTAGGTTGTATTGTTAATATATTTGTGTGTTTTAAAATAGGTATTAAGATATTACTATTCTAATATGTCAAGTGCCATAAAGATTAAAATAATATAATAAAATGCTTTTCAAAAATTACTTTATCTCATATAAATCTATACCAAACCAAATACCAAAAGCTATGTATACCAAACATATTTGGATAGTGTTAATACAAAATAGGGTTCAAGTTGAAAAACTAAGAACATTATTGACTTGAGCAACTTTTCACAAACTAAATTTAATTAGGTATCATAATTTGTGATGAAATACATACATCAATAGCTTGACAAAATTTGTTCAAACTAGTGGTACCAGTAGACACGGTACAAAATTGTATACTAAACGTTAATATGAAATATGCACAAATTAAGCTCTTTTAAAGAAGTAATCTTAGGTAATCTTAAGCTCTTTTGTACAAACACCGTCCATTTAATTTAAAATTAATAATCCACCAAAGTATTAAAAATGTATCTAAACTACCTAATGGAGAAATAATGTAATATTTTAAGATAATTTTAAGATTAATATTAGTTGCTAATTAACTAGATGGTTAAATACAAGTTTTCTTGGTATAAGTTATAAACAATATTTTGATAATTATTTATCTAATATTATAAAGTATACAATAGTACTTTAACCTAGTATAATATTCTGACCAATTTTTTTTTGTCAGTGAATACGATTTTGATCTAAAGACTCTGGTCAAAAATATAATAAATAGTTAAGTTAGGTTTCTGGTTGTATTTTGGATTTAGATGGTACTTGAAGATAAGGTTATTTTAAAACATTCCTTATTACATTTCTTATCAACAAGGAAAAACATGCAAACTATGCAACACCTTAACAAAACAAACAGACATACTTTGCATGATGGGTGGGCATTATTGTAGATGAGAAGTTTGGAAAGTAGAGAAGAAATTTATTGTATATCTGTATGCCTTTTCATTGCTAGTGAAAAACGATTTTGAACGGAGTTCAATTATACATGTTTTGAAAAGCCGTTATATATTTATGATTTAAAAAATTAATTTCGTAAACTTTCTTGGTTTTTCCCATTTATTATGAAAACTCCCGAGAAAATGACCCCTTGATAGTAAAATTTTCCTTCAGAAAAAGTACCAATCTTGAAATTCGGAGAAAAATTTCTTGTAGAAAAGTTATTATTTTTTTATGTAACTTATAAAATATATGAAATATTGAAGCCCATTAGTTAAATATTATTCAATAGTTTTTTTTTTTCTTAGCATAATCAATTTTGTCCATGGTTTTTTCACTTATAATTTCCATTATGTGTTAAACCGATTGTCTAATGAAAAAAAACTCAGAAAAACAGTATTCACCTAAATTTAATTAACCGTGAAAATATATTCTATTATTTTCTCTTGAAGTTATTTTTTCTTATAAAATGCACTGACCCAAATGTTATTTCATTTACACTTGATTTCAGTTAATTATTTATTATTTGCATGAATTGTCAGTAATTATACTTTATGTCTTATGTTTTAGGTAGATTCCTATTCTAAAAGGTATCCATTAAGGAATGCTTCTTCACCAGTTCCTGATATTACACTAGGTCATGGTGAACATTTATTTGGTTCATGGTATAAGTATTCAATTGAAGATGGTAATAAAGTATTTTATTACAATTCCAAAACATTTGAACGAACCTGGTCTTCTCCCAAACGCCGTTTAATTGATGTATGCTATGGATTTTATATTAATTACCAGGATTTGGAACTTAAATAGCATTATAAAATGATTAAAAAATATTAAAATAAGTTTAAAAGAAAATCACTTTCAATATATATATTTAAATTTGTAACATGACTCAAATTTCTATAGCACTTTTCTGGATTTAATGTCAAACAAAAAAATTTAACAAATGCTATAAGTCTCAAACCCTGATTATTACTTATTTATTTATCCTTAGACAACTTAAATGTATTATTTAATAATTTGTATTTCACTCATAATATAGGAAGATAAGATAAGTCGCCATAGTAGCGCTGGAACAATTAATTCAGGTAGCCAAAGTCAAAGTTCATCACCATTGGCTGAATTAGATGAAGAATATGAACCTAATGATAATACTCCACCACTTAAAACTAAAGTTAAACCTCTTTCTGAAACACCTGTAGGATGGATAATGCAAGCGGATCCAACCTCTGGATTACCATGTTTTGTAAATCGGTCAACTGGAGCAAAGGTAAAAAAAAAGTTAAATACTGTATATTTTAAATATTAGTAATTAATAATTAGTACTTTTTTTTTAAGTACTATAAATTAATTTTTGTAGTAAGTTAAAATTAAATAACTTAATGTATAAAATACAGACTAGAAAATTAACAAACATTGGTCTTATGTATAGGTGCCCGGAGAGAGATAAAGCAGATCATTTTTCCCTCCTTTTTAAAATCAATCACTAGATGTAAATATAAAATTTCCAAAAAAAATATAGGTGGATTATAGTTCAAGGGGAAAAAAATACTAACAAATTAAATGTATTTTTTTTTCTTTTCTTTATTGATTACAGGGTTAAATGTTGAAAAGCAAATCATTTTAGACCATAAATAATATTTATAAACCTATTTTTTTTGTTAACTAAGTTTTTGTGTGAGTATTGAGACAAAAAGTTATAATAAACAATTGACCATTTCCAGTTTCACTCATTCTGAGCTGAAGATAGTTTCAAATCTGATTTATAGATGAAGTTAGGTATGATCAACCTTGACAATAGAGTTGTTCTGTAAAACTGTCCTTAAATTCAGTTACTCAAACATTGTGTTTCTGTCACAAATTACATACATCGTTCAACTACCTGTGTGTGAACATGGGAATGTCTAGAATGTTACATCCCAATTTAGTGACTGAATCACTTTGAATATCTTTGTAATCACTTTTAATCTTATTTTTATTGATATCTTTTAACAATAAGGGCAAAGTTAAATCGCACAGTACATTCAGTTAGTTATTTTCTAAAAATCTTAAACTTAGTAACTGAATTTTAAAAGTATAAATGTTCTGATAGTTTTTCTTTTTTCAGTTCTGATCTGTCTTGCCATTAGAATTCATCAAATTTTGCATTCTTTTATGTATTTTGTATAATCGTATGTCATGGTTAACTATGAACATAAAACATTTAGTTAAACAATTAAAACAATAAAACAATTTAATTATTCATTAAACAATTGGTTAATTTTTATGTTTTTAATTCGTAAATTGGTTCATAAATAAAATGTTCTTCCACTCCTCCCTATCTATAGATAAAGAATTACACAATTTGAATAATATGATTAAATTTACATTTAATGGATGCATAAAAAAAGTTTAAACATTGTCGTATTTATTCATCATATATTTTAATTACATTTTTGAAAAATAAATAGCGGTTTTAACTAACATGGTAGTTTTTCTACTATTCATGGTCATGAATCAACAAATGTTAAGATAATATTTATTTGAAAAAAAATTTACATATTTAAAGTTGTCATCCCATAAAAATAAAAACTAAATTGAACTATTACAGTTTTAAATAAACATAAGTTTAAAAATGTAATTATTGGTAAAAGTTACAGATTTGAATAGTTGAGTTTTGAATTTATATTAAATTTATATAAATAAGAGTTTAAAGAAAATTATAACATATATTATTAAACGATTAAAATAATTATATTTTAAAATTACCGCAAAGGTAGGTTTACATAGATCACATACGATTGAACGACTGTATCAAAACTATAATGTTGGCACATTCAACTATTTGTTGGTGACATTTTAGTCGGAAACTTAATAAAGAGAACAAATAAAATGGCATCAAATTCTGTAATAAATGTTGGCGTATTATTAATTTCTAATTTAATATGTAGTATTATAGATAGATAACATAGGCATGGTAGTACAGGGCAAATCATTTGAAGAAATAGAACATACATCAGTAAAGACATCGCAAAAATTAAAAAATATTTCTAATATTTGCAACTCACTAATGCAAACAAGTCAGCTGCAATTGCTTTTTATCTAAATAACTTCTTGTTGCATGGAAAAAAAATCAAGCCTTCCAGTATACGAGGCAAAGATATAACCGTCACCTAGACAAAAAGCTCTAGGAACTCTTTGAACTCGTGTTACTGAATCAACCATAGAGTCTCAATAGTTGTTGGAAAGATTTCTAAGTAAGGAACACTGATTAAAGACCCAACTAGAAACCTTTAGGACACAATTTTTCTTACACACTATGGACAGCATTGAATAGAATAAGAACTATCCATGGTAGGTGTAATCACTTACTCCATAAATAGCTTAAGATTGAGTCACTTCTCTGTGATCCTAAAAATACTTAAACACTAAGGCAAGTATTAGGCATAATAGACATGTTTGTTTTTGTAAAAAAGGATATATAATTTAAATAAATATATACCTATATATTATATTTTATATAAGTTAAAAAAACACATAATTTTGAAAAATTAACATAATAAATAGGTATTAATTTAAGTAAACAATGATAATAATATTATTAAGGGCTAATGTGATCTATTTACATAGCTATAGCATATTCTATAACTCATAAATATATAGAGCTTATAAATTAATGTCTTGGTTTTGTATCCATTTGACTGCATCTTAATTAGTTTTACTATTTATGTATATAATATAAATAACTTGCAAAATAATTGGCTGTGTGAATATAATTTATGGTGCCTTTGAATATATGAATCATGCATTCAGTTATTATGTGAGATTATTTGTGATTCATATCCTGATCAAATACTGATCATAAAGGAGTATAATGCACCTTCCATGGCCAGTCTGCAAATGATTTAAGGTCATAGTCTCTCCTCAAATGGTGAGAGATCAATTTTGGTCCATTCTTATATGAGAGCTTGTTCTCTTCAGATCTTTGGAAGAGCGATATTGTTTATTATTGATAGCCATTTTAAAAGGAGTCGATTTTAATGTTCCCTCTACAATCCAAAGTTGTTTTTATCATGAGATGTACCATGCAGATTTCAACTCCACGTATCATCATCAGGGAGCACCTAAATTTATATCTTCTGAATGTCCATCCACAACAGTGGCCTATCTGTAGTACGAATTATGTAAAAAATATGTTCCCTCCCATGAGATTTTAACCATATCTGTGAGTTTCAATTTACTATATTATTGAAGAATAACTTTATTAAACTTATATTCTATAGTGTGAAGAATGTCAATAATGTATTTTTATGAGATTGAAATCTATTATTCGAGTTTCAGCTTCTTATCTCATGGGTTTATACATTTTGTGAATGCCCGCCATCAGTCTATCTGTGGTACATAGTAGGTATGTCAAAAATATATTTTTTTAAGGTTACACCCTTTCTGTAAGTTTTAGTTAATTTTCTCATCCGAGGTACCTTAATCAAACTTGTCCCGAATTCCAATTCATTACAGTGGCTAAACTGAGGTGTGAAGTTTGTAAATAATTTATTTATATGTGATTTTTACCCATTCTGTGTCTAAGTTTTTTAACTCATAGGGAAGTAATTTAATTTATATCTTTTACGGATGCTCACAGAAGTATGCCTAACTCGAAAATGTAATTTCTTGAAGTTTACACATTTCATGTGAGTTTCTGCTCATCATCTTATTGGGGAGTAATTCATCACCTTTTAGCAAATACTCAGCCACAACAGTGACTTACCCAGGAGTGTATTTTTGGAAGGATTGATGGGGGCAATCACTTTCCTCCTGGATCTGTATTTATGCAACTATTTAGTATTTTAGTATATTGATTTTATATAGGTAGGATATATTGAAAAAAAGAAGTTTAAAATTGGAAGTACTTAATATATTTTTTTAAAAAAAAAAAATTATTTTCATGATTTATAAAATTACTAGTTTATCAGAATACTATGGTTGAAAAATATTTAGTTTATTTCAATTATACAATAATGATAAGCAGATAAGATTAACCACAGAACAATGTAATATTCGGTAACAAAAAAAAATCCCCAAAATCAACTTATATATCAAAAGCTCTTAGCGGGCCTAAAGTTTATAAACATATTAAATTTTATAGATATTTTTATATTTTTTATTTATTTGGTCGTTATAGCTCATTTCTTGCACTGTTTCGCTTAAATATAATATATTATAATGATTCATGTGTACGCGATAACGACTTTGGATATTACACACATTTTTAGATTAATATATAAGTATAAGATTACACTATTTGGTATGTTATTATATCAAACAAATATTTATAGGTATAAAGAAATAAAATGTGAAATTGAGAAAATAAATGTTAGATTATTATTTACTTTTTATTATTATTAATATAGCAATCCTTTTACAGTTAGTAATTCTCCAGTTCCTATAGAGTAATTTTCTAACTTTGATCTGTGTGACTATGCGAAATTGAAATTATTAAATCGATCCGAGGAAAGAATAAAATATGTTTAAATGGTTATACTTATGTATATCAAAAGGACTGTAAGTTTTTCATTAGATGAAAGTGTGTAAAATATTGTTTGTATAAATGTTGAGCTATTTTAAAAACCTCTCTTCAAATTGAAAATCCAAAGGAGATCCACAAACACAACTGGGGATAAAATGAAGGTAAAATAAGCATTGCAGATTTTTTGGCAGTTGTGTTCAACAATATAAGAAAACAAACTGATTTAAAAAAATATATATTTATTGTTTTTATTTTTATTATTATTTACTGACTGACTATAATATTAAGTATATAATATAATAATATATTATTATAACGATGCATATATTTTTTATTTTTTTTATCACTTAAATACTAAATAGTTGAGTTGTGGATTTTTTTTCCTAGATTCATAATATTCCTATATTAATATCAACAACTGTTTTGTTTAATGATAAAACATCGAAAACAGCCCACTCCGCATTGCGCAAAATTTCTTCATGGGAGGATGTATTAAAAAATTCTTTAATTATCTGTAAATAAAATATTAAGTATATTTACATGCATTTTTCATAAATTTTATAAAAACATGATGACAGCTATATATTTAAATTAATAGGTATTTATTAAGATATTTATTTATTATTAAGGAATACAATATGATTATTGATAATGATATCAAAAAAAGCAGTACATTATCATTCTCATTTTGTATATTATATTGTTTAACATATTTAGATTCTGAATGTATTGGTTTTACTAAGATGTTTATTTTGCTTTTTTTTATATACTATGTTCAAAAATTCTACCAGAAATATTGCTCCGATATATATGCGCGGCACCATTTCTGAAAGGGTAATGTTGTCCAGATGGTATTTTTGGGAGGTCATTTTTTGATTTTTCAAGAGGTTTTCATAATATCTGAGAAAACTAAGGATTTTTGTTTTTATTGTAACTTTGTAAAAAAAATAGTTACAACAATTACAGTTGAATTAAATTTGATTAAAGGATAAAAATAATTATTAAGGTAATAAACAAAATTTTTATTGTTCATACATAATGAGTCCAATTAAAACAAATAAAATGAAGTTGAAATATGATTAGGCACAATAGATGCAATAAGAAATATAATAATTAGGTAGACAATCAAAAATAAATACTGTGGACTAAAGAAAACCATAAGATGTTAGAAAAACGAGAAATTTAGCAATTTTACTAAATGGAAATTTCACTAAGGAAATACTTTAGATAAGTCATTTTTTGATTTTCTCAAGAGTTTTTCAGGCAAATGTGAAAAACCGTGATAAAACATGGGGAAATCGGTAAAATATTGAAAGCCTATGTAATTGTTTTACTATAATATGACATATTGTTGATAAAGCATCAGGTATATTGCCGATTTAAAAACGATTGTGAAGTCAGAATTAATAGGAGTTTTAACAGGGAATAAATAAAGTCGTACCTTGTAGTTAAAAAATAAAATTTGAGTTTAATGTAGTATTTTTTTTTGTTATAAATATTTCAATATCAAATTTTGAAGATCAACGAACATTTTACGGCATTTCAAAACATGTATAACTGAACTTCGCTCCGAATCTTTTTTCGTTACATATAAATGTAAATTAAATTCCCCTCTATACCCTACAATCGCAACTTCTTACCTACAACAATGGCCCACCCATCGTGCAAAGAATGTTAGTTTTTTTATATATATACACTTGCTAGTTGGGACCTATAATGATAATATTATTATAAACTGAAATTATAACAAAAATAAAAATATGTCTGTTTGTAAATTATAAATAATAATTTGATTTTATAAATTTAGAATAAGGTCTACAATAAATATCAATTATAGAAATTACTAACCAGTGTGGTAGTGTCCTTCAAGAATTTATTTTTTTATATTAATATTACGATGGTTGATATGGTTGTTATTATCAATTATAATATCTACGTATCTAACTACAAAATATTCATTTTTTACAATGTTATAATTCCGTGCTAGTACCTATTTTTTTATATATATAGTGTATTTCATTTAGAATGTATTAAATAATACTATCGGTATACTTCAAGCTTCTGAATCCTGGCTCTTCGTGGTATAGAATATTAACTACGCAGTTGTCGATCGAATACAAATCATTAAAACCTATGTTATAGTATTTATGTGATATAAGCATAGATAATAATTTAATATAGTGTATACTATCTATGCATATAGGTACTATTTTATGTTAATTTTGATGATTTTATAGCTAACCTAGTTGACGTAAATTATATTTGTAGTGACTTCTATTTCCGTAATTAAAAATTGTAAAAAAAAAAAAAATAATTATATCCTACAAAAATTGATTGATTGATTTTGCTTATTAAACTAATGTCATAAATTATAATATACGAGTATATTATTATTATTTTGTGCTACGGGTTACTAAATTAAAATTAATGATAATATCTATGAAATGATTATGTTATTGTGATAACTTATTGAGCAGTGTGTTACACTCATTGCTAATAGCTTTAATGTTCTGTACAGACATGTATACAGAGTGATCAATATCTCACTAGACACTCATTATCTGGGAAAGTATTTAATATTTATCAATTAAGTTTTTCGGAATTTTCTTTTCAGAAAATTGATTATAGATTCGATTTTCAAATGTTACATAGATTATATTTTTTACCCTAAATTTGACAATGAATCCTACATTTAATACGAACTTGTTATTTTTAAATAATTTATATTAAAAATTAAGGTATTTTTAGAACGTTTTAATTGAAATACATTTTGGTGTTTACATTAATCGACGCATTAATCTGTTTGCGTGATAATGTTATTTTATCATTAGCACTAACATAACAATTACTAAAGCTGAAAGCTAAAACTACTAAAGCTGAAATTGGTATATCTCGTCAGCTTATAGATTGAAATTAAAAAAGTTAACGAAAACAATTATTTCAATTAGAATGTTGTTGTTAAATTACATTTTCAATTTAAATCGCCATTTAAGAATCAAAAATAAATTGTTGAATTTTTAAGCCTTAAAACACTACGAGATAATAAATTTTCTACGGAAGATATTAATCACTCTGTATAGTTTAAATTTTTTGAAGTTGATTTTATACAAATATGCTACTTTAAGAAATGTATAATATATATATATTATATTTTAATACAAATACTTAAATAAAAAAAATAGGATTTATATTTTAATAGCATATTTTTAAAGGTTGTGAATATTTTAGTTTTTTTAATAATATAGGTTAAGGTATGACATTTAAATGCCAGCAAGTTCGTTCTAGCTACAGCCAATAACACGCATTACAGATCTATTTTAAACAGTTCTCAGACACCATATATAAGCACGCATATTGCTCATGTAAAGTGGTGTTCAGTAGTTGCCCAGTTTTAATTGTATGATGTCATAAAAGATAATAAATAAACGTTGCACTTGAATAGATGTCAACATGTGTCAATTAGTTTTATGCTATCTCTCAAACGTGTTGGTTTTCTTTGTATCACCCCATGGAAGCGGACGTAGTTAGGTGGTTACAATGCTTACGGTACACGGTGGCCGAAGAGTTGGAACCATGGAATTTATTTACTGTGTACAATGAATCCGTATTAGATTCGACTATTGATACTTTATTCGATTTTGACTCTACTACCAGTGTTTCGGATTTTGAATATTATAGTATGGACCAGCTTAATGAGAGGTTTTCAATTGTAGTTGATAATGATAAAAAAAAAACCCCAGTTCCAATGATGTGTCCACAAAATGACATTTGTGTTTCATTTAAACCTAAGTGGTATGATGTAATGGTTTGGAAAAATGAGTTAATGGATCATGCTTTGGATGAGACTTCGTCTGAAGATGAACAGGTGTTGATAGATTACGCAATGGTTTTTCTTAATGCAAAAAACGATTTAATTTGTTTACCTACTTAAATAAAAAAAAATATTAATACCTATTTAAAATCTATTATTTATATGACCTACATTATAAATGTTTTAAAACTACAAATTATATTAAATAACGGTACATAAACTTTTTTTAGTGGTTTTCATCAAAAGATTTTGAAGGTCGTTCATATTACTTTGAAGAAAATAGTAATGAATCTTCTTGGACATTGCCTGAAACAAGTAATAGCAATACATCTAATGCTAGCCCATCATCTCTAAAAGTTGATTTAGAAGAATCTTCTTCATTAAAATCAAACAAGAGTAACAGTGAAAAAAATGATTCTTCCAACTTGAAGTAATTTATTTATTTTATTAGTTTTTATCAATATATAATTTGTGTTTATATGTATATTAACTTTTTACATTGTATATTTATTGTATTTATTTAATTAATAGAAGCTCATCATTGCTTCAAGTAAATATTCCTCGAAATTGGCCTCAGTTATGGGATGGTCATATGGTAATTATTAAATTTTCTTAGTTTTATTCTTTTTTCTTTTTTTTTAAATTAATTTTACAACTATTTTTGTAGTGTGTATTAAAAGAAGGTCCTATAAATCGGACAAAAATGACTGAAAATGGTAAACGGCTGCGAAAAAATTGGACAACTTCACATGTAGTACTTACTGAACTATTTTTACTTTTTTTTAAAGACGCTAAATCATTTTTAGCAATGGTAAAATATTAAATTCTATTAGTTGAATTCTTGGATTACATATATTAATAAATATATTTGTTTAATAGAAAAATGGTAATGGCCGGCCAGAACTTTGTGTAGATTTAAATGGTGCTTTGGTTCATCCAGCTGATAAAGTATCCAGCCGTAAAAATGTGTATGTTATCAGTACTGTTCTAGGAACTCAAGTATTGTTTCAAAATGAATGTAATATTCAAGCTCAGTCATGGCTATATGCAATTCAAGCAGCTATTTCCAACTTGGTAAGAAATTTTACTAGGATTTAGTAGATTATTATTATTGTTATTATGAATAATATGTGTGAAATAATTTTAATTTTTGTTTTATAGCCTTGTACTTTTGACAGTTTTCCTCGAATTCCAAGCATTCATAACAATGACTCGCTTGAAACTGAAAAAAAAAATAAACTTAATAGAAACAAATCCATTAAATGTAAGTTGTAATTTAATAATTATGTGTGGCAAATTTTTTATGACACACTAGTTAATTTATTATATGTACTCATATCCTGTGAAGGGTCTAGATATTGAAACAGGAAAAACAGTTGAGTTTATCAATTGAGTTTAATAAATATTACTTAATATCATTTTTCATTCAGTGATTACATGTTAAATCTATTTTATTTTAAAAACAGTAGTGATATTTAAAATTGTAGTATATTATATCTGTAATTTAGTTAAAAAAAAAAAATGATTAGGTCATGGTTTTATTTAGCTATTGATAATTTTAAAACTATTTTTTCACTAGTAAAAGATGGAGGGAGTATGGAAGATTTAACATCAACTAATGTAGAGCGTCAGACGAAAATAAAAGCACGCCTACGTAAATTTTTTCATCGAAGACCTACAATTGAATCACTAGTCAAAAAAGGGATATGGAAAAGTATTATTTACTCATAATTTATTTAATAATAATTTTATTAAATGATAATTTTTTTAATTAGATGAGTCTGCATTTGGATGTTTCTTAGAAGAGGTGGCTGGTACAGATCAACCACGTATCCCAGCTTTTGTACAGCGTTGTGTCGCAGCTATTGAAAGCAGTGAAGAAAATTTAAAAACTGATGGCTTATACCGAGCATCAGGTAATTTATCTCAAGTGCAAAAGATAAGACTACAAGTGGATCAAAACAATCTGTCAGTGATTGACCAGGAGGAAGATGTTCATGTATTAACTGGCGCTCTTAAGCTATTTTTCAGAGAACTAAAAGAACCACTAATACCTTATCATGCTTTTCGTAAAGCTATATCAGCAGGAAGTAAGTGTAAAATATCATTAACTATTCAAAAATATTAATTTATGTGGTTAATGTGATAATTGCAATCAAACAGTTATTTTTATTTTTACTTTATACTAATAATAAGATACTTTAACAAAAGTATTTGGTTTATAGTCAGTGGTATTTCCATATGTGTACTCTCAAATAGTTACTGAAAAAAAAGAATTTATGATATATAAATACATATTTATATTATTTAATTTCTGTAATATTAATATATATCTTTATCTACAAACGGTTTAAAGTATAAACCATAAAAAAATATTAATTAACAGGGAAATTAACCCTGTGTATTGCACAGGATATTTGATAATATAATATCTTAAAAAAATTGAGTTTTCCTCTGTTTATAATATATTATTTTTTAAAAAATACCTAATTTTTTTTTAGCAAGTCATATTCGCAAAGACAAATTGTTATATTTCCGTGACATCACAAAATCATTACCTGGACACAATTATGACACACTAAAATTCTTACTTAAACATTTGCTAAAGTAATATAAAATAGTTATATTATATAATCGGATATTTTGTATTAATGCTATTGTGTATTTAGAGTAACAAGTTACAAAGAATTCAATCGGATGCACATACCAAATCTAGCTATTGTTTTTGGGCCTACCCTCATGTGGCCAGAAACTGAATCAACAAACATGGCTATTGACCTGATGCAACAAAATATGGTGATCGAGGCACTTTTAGTTGACTTTGATAATATATTCAGATAAAATACATTAAGTAAAATATTAAAATCGTATACATTGTAATTAAAACATAACGTAACATTCCCAATATTTCTATATATTTAAAAACAAATTATTTGTATTGATATTTTTATACACATACCCTTGAACCATGGTTATTTTTAGATAATTGTGTACTACACTTGTTACAAGACAATATTTAAGACTGACATGTTTTGACATTTATTGCAGGAACTGTTGGATAATTAATATGTATATTTTTTTAAGTAAAAATGCAAAATGTTTACCATTTTTTCTTTTATTAAAAAGACTACTGTATATTTATGTATGGTAGAATATTAATAGATATATATTTTTTACTGCTACCAAGTACCTAAATATAGTTATGATTAGAGTATTTTTTTGTTTTGCAATTTTGGGTTGTATTTTGTGATAGTTAACAAAATACTCTCAAATTGTATCCTATTAGTTGTTTTTTTTTTTTTTAATTAAAATATAGATTAGACTTTTTTGTTACTGTTTCTTATTATTATAGTTTTATTTTAAGATTTCTTTTTTAGAATTTTAACATTTTGTGAATTTTTTTACATGAAGTAATTATTATTTTTACCTAAATATGCACATATTATTGTATCAAATATATAATACCTATGTTAAAATAAATTGTTTTAATATGTTTGGCTAAGTCAATTCATACCACAAAATAAATATAGTGCCTAGACATTTTAAGAACATAAAAGAAGAAAGACATTTTTTTAGAAATCATATAAAACGTCAAGCCCGTTTTAAAAACACACATAATTGTTTTAGAAACTTAAATTCTATTCTTAAATGAATTTATGTTGTTTTAAATAATATAATATAAAACAAAATGGAATGTTTTTATTGCTTTTGTTAAGTGAAAATATATAATAATTATTAATTTATATATATATATAGGGGTGTAAATTTATTCTTTAATTTTTTGTTTCAATAAATTTAAATAGATACAATTTTAATCTCAATGATTAGGAAAAATTTATTAAGAATTATTCTGAGAATCATTCTGTTTTAAACCAGTATTTACTTAGACCTTTCTCTCTTTCAAGAGTTAGAGAGAGTACTTCCTAATTTATCTTAAACCTTGGTATCTTGTAAACTTATTTACACCTTACAGTTGATTGATAATTTTCTGTAGAATTCTAATTTACCGAAAATGCTTTGCCTAATAATAAGACTGTCGTGTTTTATTTTTTTTAAATTAACAAAGAGCACATGCAGATCCTGATTGAATTCCCATATTTTTTGAAATATTTGTCTAATAATAAAATTTGATCTATTATTGACTTGTTCATTTTGAAACCACTATGGTAACCTATTACGATACCTTTAGCTATAGATTTAATTCTATCCAAAATACAGTTTTAACACCTAATGTATACATTATATTTCCTAAGATTATTCCTTTATTATAATAATCACATTATTTTTTGTCCCCTTTAATAATGAATTGGATAGATTGCCACCCTATTCCAGTCTTCTGGATAATTTATTCGTTTCCCATATTTTTATAATTAATCTATGACTCGTTTTTACCATTACTCCATTTATAAATTTAAATAATTTTCCGTAAATTCCATCCTTTGGTGACTTATAATTCTTTAATCTCTTAATTTGTGATTTTATTTCTTGTACTATCAAATAGTATAGTTACCTATAGTAAAAACCTTTAGTCATTTTTTGAATGTATCAAGATTTCTGGTAAAAAAGATTATCATACAAAAAAAAAAATACGTAAATATATTTCTTACTGCGCTCAGAATCTAAAATAACAGAATTTATAAAATATTAAAATAGAATAATTTAAATCAATTAAACTATTGATTGAAAATAAATTTAGTGAATAATTATTAAATTAATGCTAATAATATTGACCTTTATTAGGGCTAAGTTGATGTAATTCATACAAACATTGAATTAAAAAAAAAAAGATCAAGCATTTTTACAAAAAAGGTTCAATATTAATTTCAAATGCAGAACATGGCATATTTAGTTCATAAGCAGTAATCACTTCTGGATGTAAAACACCCATTAATCCAATTACTTTTCCACGATAAATGATTTGTGCACATCGACCAGGAAAGTAAGTTTCATCTAAAATAAATTACAGCATTAATGTAATTTTAATTTTTTTTATTTGTTTTTTTACCATTAGTTGCTTTGATCTGATAAGTACTATCACTTTCTGCAGAATATGCTATACCTAACACTTGCATTAATCTATCCATGAGACCATGGATAATTTCAAAACCTGGTGTTTTACCATAATATAATGCACACACACGTCTTTCATTGCGAGCACCAACTTCTATAAAAAGAAAATAAAGCTATTAGTAGTAGTAGTGATGCACAACAATATCGATATCAAAATTTTTTTTTTCATATTATTTTATATTTAACATTAAATTTGTGTTTTTAATATGCATAATATAAAATTAAAAACAATTAATGATACATCTGGATGAATAATAAATAATTCAAATAATATATCTTTCAAAATTGTTTTTGATATAACATAAAAATTATATAAATCCTAAAAAAAAAATTGTACATTTACTAGCTATTAGTTTAAATAACCAAATCACTTACCACTGTTGGAATCTTTAAGCACCACATCAGTGACTTCAAATAATTTCATAGGTAATGGCATTTTTTTATTAGCTGAAGTTGTTTTTAAAAGCCCAGACAAGAGATTAGTACGCGCAACTTGAAACTCTAATGTTTTTGGGTTACTAATTCTAACAGTACATTCACTATTGAATGGTTTGTTAAGTTTTGTGGACACATCATCCTTTGAACACTAAAACAAACCAAAAACTGTTTTTTTTACACATCAAAATCCAATTACTTATTTACTCACTAAAGAGAATGTCAAAACTTCATTGAAACCACAATATGCAATTTCATTTCTTAATTTGTCCGTCAAGGAATTAATAGGTAATTGAGAACCGATTGTGGCTGTTGTAGGTAATGTTTTTGGTATATTGTTGTAGCCATATGCAATAGCAACATCTTCGTATAAATCACAAGCATGAATTACGTCATGTCTTGTTGGCGGTATTTCAACAGCAACTGCATCAGATTCTTTTATAACTGATGATTTTAAACACATGGATGATAAGGCAGATGACAAATTGCCTAAATTTTCACTATAAAATTTGAATTTTTTAAAATGACCATCACTTAATTATCTTCAGGTCTACACAAAGCAAGTTTTTCACAAAGTATATTGTCACAAAATCTATATTATGCGTCATAATTACGGATTAGTCTGTAGTAAGAATAATTCCATCACAGTATGGATATTTTTTTAAACAATGATGCCTGGCATAAATCCTCCATAGCAACATTTATCAACAGTCAATAGAGGAATTAAAATATAGGGAGTACAAAAAGATGAAATAGGAGAACTGGATTATGTGTGTAGTACACAATATATATATATGATAATTAAACACCACAAGATGAGTATAATTGGTAACAAAGTCACAGTTGGTAATAGTAAGTAGTGATGGACACTATCAAATAATTTCTATCAAACTATTCGAATAGTTTTTCTGATTATAAGTATTCGGTCACAGGATAAATATTTGATAGTTCATTTAAACTATCTGATAAAATATACTATTCAATAACGCCATCAATAATAGAGAGAAGTTTAAATAGATTATGCAAGGAATACTGTGGAATTCAAAATCCAATTTTTGTTATATGAAAGAGCACTATGATTATTACCCTAATAATATAATAAATTTTCGTTGGTAGCCATGTCAACACAGATTAATGAATAATGAATATTACCGTGGAAAAGCCCTGTATTGTGTAAACATGTTCATGTCATAAAGTAAACTATGCCCCTGTTGCAAGTTAAAAATTTGTCTCGTGTGAACCCTTCTTTATAACAATATTATGCTAGTCTTATGATACCTGATCCCTAAATAATGATTCACTTTCTTTCGATTCACTATTTCTTTGCGATATTTGAATTCTGGGTAGTGTTTTACCAATCCATCTGGATATACAATTTGGCATTTTTCTGCTGTATATTTATTTGAACAATACTTGCTAAACATACATAGAATTGTGTCCAAAACAACATTTGCCTATTTTATAAAGTAATTCTTAAAAATGTTAATTTAAATTTTGGTATAAAATAAGTACCATACTTTCTTTAAATCAGTTGCTGTACACTCAATGAAAACATTTTTTGTGTTTAAAGTTATTCTAGAATGATAACCATTGATAATTGGTGGCATAGATAGGACTGTTCCAATATTATCTGTAATTACAGGATACACACTGCTTTCTTTTATAATACTCAAATACTGTTTCAATTGAGCATGTGTCTATAAAAAAAAATTAAATTAAATCTCAGGCTAATAAATAATAATACCCTTTAATTTTGTAATTACCGAATAAATCTCCATAAGCTCAGCAGCATTGTGTACTTCGGTTTGATTCAGAGCCTTAAATTTAATATCTTCAGGTGATAAAGCATCATATATGAATGGTCCTTGAATTGTATCTAAATCATGAGTTCCAATAGCTACAAGTGATCGTTTCCTACAAATATTTTGATGCAATTTATCTTGTAAATCAATAAAACTAGCGTATCTATCTGGATTAAATGTAATATCTCTCAACACAGCTGCGACAACATAAGGTCGAATTTGTTTAGTCTATATAAAACAAACAAATTTATAATAATTTAATGGACAAAATAATTTTAAAATAGAAACATTATGCTTGTATCAAATAATGCACAGCTGAGAGCAATATTTAATGAGCTAGACTTACTGGGGAATCAAAAACAGAAGGTTAAACTGAGTTGGACACGCTTGGAGAGCTAAGGACCAAATATTGAATAAAATCAAAATGTTGAAACTAGACAATAAAAGACAGCAGTGGATAGATAAAATCAGATAAAAGTTCAAGTTCCTGACAATAAAAGATGGAAAAAGGAAACAACTAAAAACAGGGAACCATAGAAGTGTTGTGAAAAAGAAGATGGCACTACAAGGCTTAGAATAAGCATAAAAAATATATAAATTAAATATTACAACTCTCCCATACAAATTAAAAGTAGTACTCACATTTGGCTTAACTATTAGTTGTATAGGTTTTTTAGCTTGTAATGATTTAAAACGAGGTACTTCCAACCTATAAAAAATGAAATAAAATTATTAAACTCACAATATACTTACAAAAACCAACAGTCTATTATCTATGATATACAATTTACTTTTTTTGAAACACAAGTAATGCATCCACCAAACCTTCCAGACATAATAAATCATAACGATTAGCTGGTATGTCGATTCTATAAATTATGTCATCAGAAACACCTTCAGATTTAGATTCACATTGTTCTTTGATGACCATTTTCTTTTCAGAAGTCTAAATAATATTTTGATGTTATACATCAAATATTTAAATAAGTTGAACAAAAATATTTAAATAAGTTGAACAAAATATTTAAGAACACTTACCACCTCGTCAAGCTCTAATCCATATGAAAGGCACAAGTCTCCAAACTCATCATCGGCTGAAAAGTTAAAAAAAATTATATAAAAACATTACCAAATAACTATTGAAAAGAATATTACAGTAAGTCGTTCCTAAAGCTTCAAAAAGCAGGTCCTTTTTAATATTAACTGTAGGCATACTTTAGTAAAGTCAATTCAAAAAAAATATACAAGGTTATACTTCTAACGTAGTAACAACCACTTTTTTATGGAGTAAATCACAGATTTTAATATTAAAATCTAACAAAACCAAAATCCAATAATTGAGTTATAAACTAAGAGGGTTATTTAAATATTATTATCATTTTCATAATTTTATCACGTGTACAGAGTTTCTATTATCAGCAAAGTTATCAGTGTGGCACACGATTTAAAATAATCTTAAGTCTAGTGGCATTGAGACCGTGGCATTATGACAGCCTGGGCTGCGTTCAAAAACTCAGAGCAGAATCGGAATGAGGCATAGAGTAGTATAGAGGTAGCATTCTTAATACATATTGATGCACAAGTACTCTTTTTTCTGTGTGAACATCTCACCAAACTTAAAATACTGTAACAATATTATTTTCTGTATAAAATAATAATTATATATATATATATATGTATTTATTAATTTTAAAATATATTAATAATTAACATACAATTATTAAATGTTAAATAAAACAGTTTATTTGTAACTAATAGTATTTAATAAAATAATAAAATAAAACAAAATTATTAAATGGTTAATACTCGTAAATAATAGGTACCTATATAAATTATTTATTTATATATATTTGTAATTTTAATAGTGTTTTCAGGAAAAATAAAACCATCATTGGAAAACACAAGCTTCTTCGTTCTACTCACAATCTAAAAAGTACTAATGTAAAGAAAAATATAATTTATTAATTTTAGTTAAATAAATAGGTTAAGAAACAAATATACTTATAAATAGGTAGGCAAAGTTTATTGTATAAATTAAAAATACATAACATAAACACAAACTATTTATTAAAATAATAAAGTAAAAACAAAATTGTTAAATGGTTAATAATCGTAAATAAATAAGTCGCCTGGTGTATTATGAAATGTGTATTATACGACCCGTTTTAAATGAAAACTTCATCGTCAGGTAATATCATAAATTCAAAAAGTAAAACAGGATCTAACTCAGTCAATATTTGTTAAAGAACAATGTGATTCAGTAAAACAAATGTTCGTAAATATACTTCTTTTTAGGGTCAATGACCGACAGTTTGGCTTCGGCCCACTGAACTTTATATTTCGAATAAACAAATCTAAATTTCACACACAACTATATATTATACATCTCAATTTTGAAAATTTTGCCTAATAACACCTAATAATTGTTTTGTTAAAAAAAATATATATTAGTCGTTCTCTGACATTGATAAGAACTTCTAGAAAGTTAATGTCTCCAGCGTAATTAAGATAGGGTTAATATATTGTTTTTTCTTACAATTTTTAAAAGCATCGTTTTTGGTCGCGGACATATATGTTTTTGGTCCAAAAGTTAGTAACACTGGAGTAATAGAAAATTATGTTTGAAGATTTTTGCATTCCAGATTTGAATGGTACATATTTCGATAACCGTAAAACCCTAACCCTGGATTCAAATTTGTAATTATATGGGCCGGGCCGCTAGAATTCCGCCAAATTTGTTGTGGATTATTGGTGTGTATTTTGATAAATTATACATAGTATTATTCACTACTGTTGTATGCATCTTGCATACATCTTGTTGATTATTAATTAATATTTGATTATATTTTAAGTACTAATAATTGTCTTTAAAATATGCCCAATAATGCATGTTTATTTGAATGTAATAAAAATAAAAAACTCAGTTTTTTCTATTCCAAAAAAAAAATGACAATAAAATTGAAGTCCCTGGAAGCCGATAATTTATTTGAAAATTTGTGAAAAACATTTTCGTGTTGATGATAAGGCCGTGTACAATACTGAGATTATAATGTGACATACGTATTATATGCTTGAAATAGTCGGGTACCTATGGTGTTTAAAACGTGTAAGTACCCTCACAAAGATATAAGTAAGCAATGTGTATAACATGATAAAAATAATCTATTTTGTCATAGTATATAATACCTACCTATATGGCACATACATGGTTTTTCTAACTCGACAGTGCAATTATATACATAGGCACAAATAGGAGTGCGGGGTATATATTAACAGCTAAAAAAAATTAACCCTAAAACGGCTGTACACTTTCCCGTGTTTTCTAAGTTTTTTCTCAATTATTAAGAAAACTACACGGGAAATGTAAAAAACAACTTTTTTTTGCACAAATGTTGAATGATTAAATTCTAACAGAAATGCCCCGTAACAATAAAAAACCGAATTTTTTGGTCTCTTCCATAAAATAAAAATAAAAAAAAAGGGAGGAAATAATACGACCCGTTTCAAAAAAAAAACTATATATACTATTGTTCAAAATGTATAATTAAGATAGGTGCCGTAAATTTGATTTCAAAGAATTTTAATAACATTAAAAAAAATTGTAAAATAAAATATCCTTACTGGTATGGCACGTAGATACACTACTTCGATCGACTGCTTAATCGAAAATGACGGGCGGCGGCTACATAATATTATAGGTACCTACTACCTAATTGTGTTATAAAATACACATATATATATATTTTTTGTATTATACCCTTCACTCTACATACTCTTAGTACAGAAAAAAAATAATCATCACTGCCCGTCAAGATGCCCCCTCGACCAGACCATTATCGAATCCTGGACGAAAAGTCCGAGAACAATAAATCAGACAAAAAGTACGAAGACTTATTTTTTTTATTGATAGACAAAATGTTCGAGCACATTTTTACATTCTACAATAATATTAATAATTTAAAATAAGTTAGGTTTTGAAAAATAATCAATATAGATATTACAATAATAAAGATGATAACAATTTTCAGCTTACCGTTGGAAGTTACTAAAATAGCCGAATATTTTTTCGAAATTTTATTTGAACATTTCCACCGAATACTCGAAGCAAGTTTATGATAAACCGTATGTATACGCATATCCATTAAAAACAATTTTTTTTATTTTCTTAATATGGTATAAATATATAATATAGTTGAAAAATAATTAATTTATTAGATGTAGATTTATCTAAATCGTGTGTAAAAGTAATAACAATAAGAAAAATAATTGTGTGTATTTTGGATTTTTTGCCTGAAAATAAAAAAATAAACGGACATTTTGTCCAACTTTTTTCAAAACGGACTTTTTGCCCGATTACCACCATTACCACCATCCGGTTTCTTGGAAGAATATTTTAATTAACTCTTCTGTATCACCATTTACCATGTTCTTTTCAGAAAATATAAAGGAACTATTAATTTATAAAATTAACGATGATAAAAAATTGTACGTGATCTATTTTCTAAGATCTGCTGATATGTCTTGAAAAACCTACCTCTATCTCAACTCGTCCCTTCAAAATCATCTTTGGCTCCTGTGATGCTGCTTCTGCTGTTCTTTCGTCTTATCATCTAGCTAAAGCCCAAAATATGTGCTTACTATCATTCACCAGCCTTGTACGTGACAAAACTTCATTTGAATGTCAACTTAGAACCTGTCATTTTAAGATGGACCGTCGTGTTGTAGCAAAAAAAACATAACTTGTCCATTACTTTCAAAAGTAATGTATTACACGGTTTTCCGTATGTTGTACTAAAAAATTCATTCCAACAAAGTTAAGCTGTTTGCTAAATATTTTTCTTCAGTTTTCACCAAGCTATAAAATTAGCAAAAGAAGTAGACTAAAGGTAGGATACAGACGGGAATTTAATACATATATCTGTAAGCAATGATAAGCCATTGCTAACGAAAAATAATTCTAAGCGAACTTGATAGCATTAATTATAAATACTATTAGTAGATTTATAATCAATGGTTGATAGTAATACTTTGTCAACAATATATATGTCATATAATAGTAAAATAATTACAATGTATGTTTCCATGAAAACAATAATTGTTTAAACATTTTTTAATAATAATAATAAAAACTTAACAATAATAAATAATAAATAAAAACTGTTGTCAATAACCACCTTATTTTTAATCTTTTATTTTTTTTTTAATCTAAAGAACCAGGTTTTCCTCATTATCACGAATATCAATAAGAATTTCAAATAATAACCTCATTAAAGTACCACTCAGATAACGTTTCTTTCCAGAAAATGTGCTATACTTGATTATTAGAGTATGCTTTCTAATAAAAAAATTGCTCACATAAAAAAAAAATAATTAACATCATTGTGAAACCAATACATTCCTCACTCTAATCAGAATCTAAAAATTAAAACAAATAACAATAAATATTTCTGTTGTAAATTTGCATTTTTTATTTCAACCTAAATATACAAAATTAACATTAAAAAAAAATGCATAATTATACCTAATTAAAAACGATTACATTAAAAATGCATAATGAATGTTCATGACCCATTTTGTAAATCATTAGATGTTGCAATAGGAGTTTGATCTTCAGAAATTTTTTTCTTTTTTTGTGCTACTTCATATTTGCTATGGGACCTTTTTTCAGATTTTTTAAGTTTTTCTTCACTTTTAACAACTTCAGATTTATTTTTGATCTTGTATACTTTAGGATTTTTGTTGCTTTGATCTGTGTCTTCTATTGATACTGATTGTGCTTTTTTTACTTTTGATTTTTTACTTTTGCTATCATTTAAATTCTTAGAATCTTTTGGTTTTTTGTGTTTACTTGATTTACTGTCAGACTTGGTTTTGTCTAATTTTGTTGGTATTTCAATTGGTGATATTGAAGGTAATGTTTCTATAGTTATAACATCATTTTTAACACCATTAACTACTTTAGGAATAGATTCTTTGTTTTCTGTATTACTAGGACTTTTTATAGAAGTTTTATATTTTTGAAGTTCATTTTGTAAAAGATATATTACACTTTGCATTCCTTCTACATCCTCATCTAAGTCTTGTAAAAATCCATCCATTTCTGGTAAAATATAAAATATTATTAAGTAATAGAATATAATAAATATATTATAGATACAGTCAAACTTGTTTAACTTAATTAAGTCAAAAGCATTGATACAGAGATCATTTCCCTAGTCCCAAGAATTTCTTATTTAAATAACTAATTAAATTAATCAGTTTAAGAACCTATAAACAGAGAGTGACCACTCAAATTTTTATCAATAGATACATTTACACAGTGATAGTACTTCCATGACATACTACAACAGTTACTATCAACTATTATGATCTATTATCAACTATTATTTTATTATAATATGTTCAATTAAATTTTAAATACAATTAGATACACATTATATTAGATATTAAATACTATACGTTAAAGTAAACATGGCAGACAATTTGGATGAATACAATTTTAATTATTTTTTTAATAATTTTAATTATGTTATAAGGTTTTTTTTTTGAAACAGTGATTTTTTTTTTAATATATGCATTTTTAATATTATAGAAAACTTGAATGACAATAGCTATTGACAATCAAATTTTTGTAGAATAGAACTAGACAAAGATTTTTATATTTGTTTCACAATTGTAAGTTCATTAATTAATTCACAGGAACGAAAAAAAAAGACAATGTTTGTGTAATGCTAAAGCCGGGATCACACGGCGCGTGACCGCGCGGAGTGCGGTGTGGTACTGGCGTACAGCAACGCGCCATCTGATTGGTGTTGCGCCGCGCGTTCCTTCCCGAAAATTGAAGGGTCGGCGGGAATAACGTACTATGTAACACTTTTTCCGATTTCATTTTTTTTTTTGCGGAATAACGCGCTATGATTTCTATCTCAATATATTTATAGAGTCAGAAACTTCCCAGAATATTCTTAACGTACATAAACATTGTGTATAAACTCAGAAACCGGCGATTTGTTGATAGTTAAAACGTGCTATGTGCGTGTCATTCACAGTCAGTTGACACGCCGCGCGACGTATTGACATCGCGATCTTATATATTTTATATTTTTACTATACTATAAAACAATATATTATTTTTACGGAATGGCCAATACGAATAATATTAATTTATCCAATAGAATAAAAATATGTTTTTTTTTTTTTTTTTATAATTTAAGTAAATTAAAATTGTTATGTTATCGTTAATAGTGTATATGATATACAAAAATGATTATGTTTAAAGTTGAAATAACGTGCTACGTGTTGTCCAAATAATATTTAAAAGAAATAATATAATATTTATTTAGTTTTTACTTGGTACTGTAAAATTTAAGAATTGCTACTTAGCACGTTAATCTTGACGACCCTTCAATTGTCGGTTTCTGTGTCACGCGCCAAAGGAAAATTGGCGCGGTGAGTCTTATCAATCCTACGGCGTGTCGCTGTTTTATCATTTTTCATACTTCGAAACAATTTTTCCTATAAATATATTATTATAGTATTTGGATTCATTTTTCAAATGTTCAATACAACATTCTGTCCCGAACAGTTTGATGTACAGTTTAATCCTACATCATTTTTGTAGTTGTATGAAGGTGAGCCATCCATATGGAATGCAAATGATCTAAATCACAAACTTCGGAACCGTGTACATGATGCTTGGGAAATCACGTTTCGTCTGATCACACAAAAGCGCGGAACTTTGCGCGGTATATACACGCTTCACACGCCATGTGACGTGCAACGTGCCGTGTGATCCCGACTTAACACGTTAACAATTCTGTTATAAAACATGATGATACTGACGATCGGTTAAAGCAAAAATAAAAAACCAATCATAAAAGAGAAAGGGTAAAAAATGACAATATAATAAAGCTGTCCTAGGATAATGGGGGTCGGATGCAGCCACTGTTATAAGTGGTAATTAAATGTATACCTGTAAACAACGATAATTAATCATATATTTTCTGTAATAATATTTGTTTGACATGCAGATTTTCTCGTTTTTCAAATTTGCTGGGAAAACTCTTGGGAAAATCGAAAAATAGCCTCTCTTAAGTACCTTCCCAGTTAATTTCCTTTCAGAAAAAGTGCTTTCATTGTAAATTTCCAGTAGAAAAGTTGTTCACAGAAAAAAAAAAATCACAATTAAATTATGGTATCAGTATTCAGTATTACAAATTACAATTAACGCTAAGTGATAACAAACATAACACAATAACAGCATAAATATTAAAGAATGGATGGGCTATGGCTGTACCAACAAAATAAAGGGAAATTTTCCAGAACTGGAAGGGGGAGAAAAACTTTTTATCAATGCCTTTCACTCTGGCAGAGAAATTTTGACTAGATATATTCTACGATTATTATCTTTGCAAGACGTAAATATTAGAGATTATAAATCTTATAATAATAATAAAATTGTTATGAATATAAATTATTTACTTTATTAGTTTAATAGGGCAATCATGGCTTGTTTAGCCACGAGTTAAATATTATATTATTAATAATTCATTAAATTCATTATACTCTATTTATCAATTGTTTTGACAAATAAATTGTCATTTTCTAATACTGTTATTTATTTGTATTAAGACCTCTATAATTTTTATTTTCATGTTCATTCCCGTATGATAAGCAGAGATGGCCTATCCATTCTTTAATATCTAGATAACAGTTTATGGTACCTAGTTAGTAGTTACTGGTACATCCATAGACCTTATACGTATAACATCTATGCTTAGAACATAGACTAGTTACTATTTTTGTTATAGTATATTATGACCTAAGCTATCGACCATGAAAACTAGAATAATGAGACCAAACTCCGCGTCTGATAACGTCCCGAAATGAGTCGCACGATTAAACGGCCACAGGCTATATCACACGAATATCCGATTGCATATTTATTTATTTTTGTTTATTCAAGGGTTACTTTGGTGTTGCGGAAAAGAAATCTATTATAATTATTTGTATTACTATTATTTACACTGTTGAAATTTCACAATAGAACACATTTAATCCGCCGAAGATGGACTACCCATTTTCCAAGATTTCGATTTTCCAATAATTTTACAAGCTATGCAATTTATAATGGGTCATACTTCGAAATAATGCATATATTTTCCAAAAAAACACGAATGATCCCTAAACTACGTGGGTTAAAGTAGCAACCCTGGCAGCGTAGCGTGCCGTTTAATTGTTCGACTCATTTCGTGACGTTTTTTCACGCAGGTGGCCGTACAAGTTTATATAGTCTCTTTATTCTAGTCTTTACGCTGTCAACTATCTAGCTCAGTTTGATAGAACTGTAATACTGCCACACTGTCAACTATTACTAAATGATCTACATCAGCAATTTTTAATCTATGATCCGCGATATTAATGTCGGGGGTTAGCGAGGGTTTTATCGGTAAATATTAATTATGATAACATGAAATATTTTGTAAAAAAATGGTATAGAAAGGGGATTCGTAATTTCTAAAAGCCTTTAGACAAAAGTCCGTGGGCACCAAAAGTTTAAGAATTGCAGATCTATACAACAGTACCTAATTCCATGACAGCGACTACTGTAAAGGGGACTGCTAAGCTACACTCATACAACGACACTTTTATAACGAAATAACTATTTGATAATAAACTTTCAACGAATGAATAATTATTTACATTTCTATTACAATTATCTAATTTCTACGATACAACAGTCATGAAAATTCTTGCGCTAGTCTGAACAGATTCAAAAGTGCAGATAGAAAATATAATACATAAATGTGAATGGTTTAAAAAATTTCAAACAGTTCATTCACGGACATTCTAATGAAATTTCTTAGTTGTGAAAGATCTTTCATTCTAAGTTCTCTTGCTAAACCAGCATATGCTCCATTGTTTTTCTTCTTTTTATCCAATTATAATCTCATAAACTTCTTATTTCCATTTATTTTTATTCTTATTCAAATGGTTGATAATTGCAACAGTAGCGACTAACTTTTTACTTATGGAAATCATTTTTATTAAATCAAATTTAAAATTAATTAAAAACATGTTGATACAAATGATTGAAAGTTGAATTTCAATACTTGTTTAAAACTGTAAACTATACAAATTATGTGAACAGTTCAAATTTTTCTGTCAGAAAACTTCAATAGACTAATGTCTCATCAATATTTTTACATCATGACAGCAATTATCAAAACACTTATGACACTAGTATACATATTCATGACATATATTTCATAGAGTTGAAAATTGCTTCAAAAACTGTCATTATGTGAGGACGGCTTAACTGTTACTGTAAATGGACCTAATGGATAAAAATGGCACAACAAATAGTATTTGAAAACTTTTCTAATAATATTAAAATACTATTTGATAATATTGTTTGGACAAAAATTACATTATTAATAATGGGAACCAATTAGAAATGATGGCATAAGTGGCCACTCTCTTACTTTAGGCTATTTATGATCCGTGATATATGAGTTAATCATCTATATATGTATTTTACTATAGAACATTATGTCATTAGCATTATTGTACAGATCCAGTTTATCAAATTAGTTTACCATTCAATAAAACGATTAATTTATCTACTCACATACATGTACACTTTAGTGCTCTATTACGTATCAATGTTTACAATTTAAGAATTTGTTTTCATAATGTCAACATTTAAAACTAATATATTTAAGAAAGGTCAATAATTCAATTTTTTTGGTTCTTTCAATTATGAGTTCAAAAAGTTCTACTGTAGTATTTTGTTAATTATTTATACCTGATTGCGATTTTTTAACTTCTTCACTAAAGTTTTTTTGCAGTGCTAGTTCAGCTTCAAGCTTAGCAACTCGGCCACTGTTAATTACTTTACCGAGTTCTTCATTCTCTTGATACAATAATCGACACTTGGCCATCAGTCTTTTTCCAGTATTACTGTCAATGTTTAAATTTTATACAAATTATTTTCAATTATTTAATTTTACATATAAAAACTCACCTATCTGGTGTAAATTTCCAAGCATTAAGTTCACTCTGAGTTTCATCTAATTTAGTTTTTGTAGCACTTAAATCTTGTCGTAGTCTTTGAATCAGAAGATTTACTGCTGGATCTTGTAATGGACAACTTAGTGAAGATAGTGTTTTGCTTTGAATAGAATTTTGCATTGCTGACAGTTGGGTCTAAAAATAATATAATTATATCTCGATTATGATTATATTTTTTAAGAACTAAACAAAGAACTCTCATCAACAGTTTTAATAATTATACAAAATTAATTTATTATTATCAATAACTTTATCAAAATAATAAAGTGTATGTTCCTAATTTTATCTGTGATTACTTTTGATTGAGGAGTTAATTTGGTTTTATGAGGATAACAATGGTTTGGCAGATTAGAAATTCTTGAATATTTAATATGAGGTACATCATAAGTTGTATTTAATGTTTTTCAAAATGTGTTTAAGTAGAGTTTCCTCAGAATAATATTTTGTCAGGAAAGATTTATTATTGCGTACAGATATAAATCAGGTTATTTTATGTATCCTGCATTCTTAACATCCCACCTACAATAATGGTATATCCATCAACAAAATCAGTTTGTTTTTTTTTTTTTTGATAATTTTCGGTAAATTCTGTTGTTTATATAATTCAAATTTTCAACTATCAAAAACTGAATAGTTATGTAGTGGATTTTCAATATTTATAATTGTGTTTAATTTCAAAAAATGCTATATTTTTAGTACTAAGTACTAAATTTTAAACTGGGGGAATTAGCAGACATTTGGGGATCAAGGCCCTTAAACCCCTATTTGCATCAATGAAAAACACTGATAATGATGTTCATTTATTCATTGTCATCACAAAATAATTAGGAACTTACAAATCATTATTCAAAATTCAAATATAATTAAACAGTAAACTATTTTAATGAAATGTATCTTACAAGGTTCCAAAGTTGCAATATTTTTATTTAAATTTATATATATATATATATATATAATAAATTAATATAATTAATGACATTATTTAAATCATACTATTAAATTTTTATACATAGGGTTTCAAAGTAGAATTCTTAACTTTATTAAAAAACAATTCCCACTATTTATGAATTATTGACAAAGCGTTATTTTAATTAAAATTATTACATTACATTTCAGTATTAACATAATACAACACCATTCAATGTAATAATATATTACAACCTAAATGCTGAAATTAGAAATGAATGTAAAATTATAATCATAACTGCATGTAGAATGTAGTTTAGTACATAGAATATAAAATTTTGATTTTCTGAACATTAAATGCAAAAATATTTTTAAAAAATACTATTGATATATATTATATTTTTTAGTCTTAGATCTACTTTACCAACATTGCTCACAAAATTTTTAATTCTGTTTTATTTTATGCTATTGTAACATTTAGACATTGGTAATAAAAATAATGTAAAAATTAATTTGCGAAAATAATTAGTTCCAAAGTTATGATTACGAGCTCGGATTTCAATGAAAATGCATCTTTTTCTTAGTAATATTAAACAATGCTTCCCAAGTATCTACATAATTTGATTCATGTAACAACTTCAAAGGTGAAACTTTCATTTTTAGAACATTTTTCATTTAATTGCAAATTTGTACAATATTCGAGCTTAATATAATATTGTATTTGTACAGTATAATACAAAATATTCCTCATGTTTTTCTGGTTTTTCTAAACAAATTATTTATAAATCTTTCTATAATTGCAATAACATCTGTATCTTATCTTTATTTATAGGGAAAATAGCTTAATATAGAATGTATATTTTAGAATGTTTAGAATGAATAATCATTAACAATAAAATAAACATTTTCCAGTTAAATACAGCCCCTCAGTTAATATTATCACCGCTAGTCATAAGTCAAGTGTTTCAATTATCTGTGATTTTTTCAAATAAAATAAAGATATAAAAGATATAAAATACCCAATAAAACAATAAATTAAAAACATTTACATGCTATTTTTCAATAGCATTTTCACTTTAAAATGCATCTTTAGCTCATTTTTTAATGATTTTTAGTGTCTTAAATTCAGGCCCTAGTTATGACACTTTGAAATGTATGTGCTTGTAGTATTTCTTTAAATGATCAATTTAACACTATAATTGAAACATTTAATTTTGGTTAAATGAAATAATGTGCAGACATTATGAATAGTTAAATTTTTAATCATAAGTGGTGGTATGTAAACAGATCCATAATAAATATAATATATATTCGTATAAAAATACTGAAAAAAGTTGGTTAACTTTTGGGTAAGAGATAGTGTTCTTTAATTAGATTTTAACACATTTGTTTATTTTTATTGACATATATATATTTGTAAAACCTATTGTTTGTTATTCAAATGTACTTCATAAACAGGTTTTCATTACCTGAGATTCTTGAACGGTTTCGCACAACAAATCTAGGGTTACTTTTGATAAAAACAAACCGAAAATGCAGTAAAAATGCATTAGTTTTCTCTATGTTACATACCAGACCAATTTTTTTTTACAAAAAATTTCTCTGATTGAAGATTTAAACTCGGTATTTGTTGCATCATAGGTACAATGACTACAACTAGACCAAAAATTGGATGTAAAATGTTATCCAAAACAAACTAAATAAGTAGAGTGGAGTGAATCCTTCTAAAACCATAAATTTGAAAATGTTTTGAAAAAAAGTTGATACCTAATTTGTAAGGGTTGGGTAACCCCATATCTTCGATTTATTTTAATACCTATCATAAAATATACAAATTCATATAAATAAACCTAGGTATATAAAATTAGAAGAAAATACAAAATAAGAACTGTTTATATCACAGATATTATATATAAATACATTTTAATATGTGTAATATAACAAATTTAAAAATTATTATGATTTTTGTATTTATAAAATGTTTGCTTCAATATTTTTAAAACTGAAATAATTTTACAACAAATAAAATGAAAAGTTAATTATATTAGTATTTAAATACTGTTATAACATAGACAATACTTACAGCATAATCTTGTAGTTCTTGTTCTTTAATAGCCAATTTCCTAAGTAAAAATTTTTCACGTAACAATAATTCTTGAAATGCTTGGTCTTTACCTTCTCTCTTGTCATACCTATTGTTACACTTACTACATATTGTAGCTGAAAAACGGTTCATTTCAAAACAATTATGTTTATTAAACAATAATAAGGTATGAGCTGCTCATCTGTAGACAGATTAAGACAAATAAACAACGATTTTTACAATTTTTTACTTACTAATATCGACTCCCCAAAAAAAAAACACTTGTAATGACCTACCTTTTAAAGGTAAATACCCACAGTCTGGAGAAAGAATTTTAATTTGCAGTCATTGAGATGAAACAAGTCTTTTTTTTTTTTTAGTTCTTATAGCATTTATTTAAGTATTAAGCACTTTTTCGTATCAATTCAGTTCGTAAATAAGAATGAAATAATGACATTTTTTGTATTCAATTCGCAAAGAGAAAATAGTACCTTCGTTCGCCTTAGCTTCTAAAACGCGAACGCGCGACATCGCTTTTTTATACATATCGATAATACGCTGTCGAGGCAATCGAAGAATGTTGTCATCGTCAACTATGTCCATTTGTTCAAAACCTGTACGATTCTCGTCAACCATACTTTTACGCACAAAAACGCACAAAATAATAAAAATGTAATATATACTACTAATATTCGAAACCACTACAAATGAAACGAGTAAACACTTCCAACGACAAAAAGACGAATATCGGAGTCAGTTTATAGAAAATGTGTCGGATGCATAACATTAATAAATGGAAACCAGAATATGTGTTTACTCATTGTTTTATGAGAGAAGTTAAACGTAACCGAAATGGTTTTTCATAAAGACGGTAAAATGTTACTCATTAGTTAGTTACAAAATTAATTCATAATAAATAAATAACACACACCGGAAAACTTTGTTTTGAAAACAACCCAACAATAATAATAGGTATACCAATGCAATTATGTATTAACCATAGAACATCATTCAGAATTCTGTTTTATTTTATTATCAAAGTCATTTTCAGGCTGAGCCATAGTTGTGTATTCGGGTTGGGTATTTACAAATTACCGTATGACCACCTCACACTGTCACGATCTATATTCCCTTAGAAGACATTTTAATTTTTTTATGAGATTTCAGGTTCTCATTTTCTCATTTTTTGAAAATTTGAAAGTACCTAAGTAAAAATATCAAATTTATTATTCTAATTTTATTTTGCAAACACCATAATAAATTGTGTGCTATGTAAAGTTGATGTTACTGTACACATATGAGTTGACGTTATCTTATTTTGCCACCATTTTTTTTTATTCTCGCCACTCCCCTTCGACTAACAAATAGTATATAGTAGTATACCTACTACTAACTCGTAACTTTTTGTACCTCGCAAATAGTAATTGATAAGGAAATTCTCTGCTAAAGATTAACACAGAATCTCGTGGGTTTTTTAATAATTCGTTTGTTCGTTCACGTTCTCACAAGCAAAGTAAGTACATTTAGCTTACATAGTTTCTCACACTACTATTTTTATTTGAGAAAATGGCCAGTAGACGCTATTTTGCTACACCTTTACATTTTTCAATTTATTTTGGTATTAAAAACCTAACTCAATAACATTTAATATTATTATCATTTTAGAATGGCACACGAAGAAGGAGATCCTGCTGAAATCGCAAAGTTGACTGGCTTGAACAAATACTTCAATAGTATAACTACCAAGGGACGAGTTAATGTAAGTGCTTTTAAAAATTATTTCTATTCAATGTCAATTCAAGGTCAAAGGTCAATTGGACCTGTACAATTCGGTATTTCTATTTTAATTTGATGAATTAAGTGCACATGTTTTTTTTTTTTTACAATACTGACATAAAGAATTAGAATGAATGAAAGAATTAGAATTAAAATATATTTTATATAAACCTATAATTTATTTACTTTAATTTTAGATTGTTTATTGATTCTAAGTAAAAAATATATATATTTTTACATTTTTATTTTTTGTATTGTGTATAAAAAACTCTTCAATACCTAGGGAATTAAAAATAGGTGGTTATTTAAAGAAGCAATTTTCATTTTTAAAATACATTCAAAGAATTTATAAACAAATAATAAAAAACTAAGGTATTGTAGCAGTTTTTATTAATGGTTTAATTTACTAATTGCTATTATATTGTTTTTAGGTTTTAATCTGAATATACTTAACACATACAATTATACAATTAACTATAATATAGTTTTATTTATGTATATAAATATAAATAAATATACGACAAAGCAATAAATTTAGTTATTTTATATTAATATAAAGTAAGAATTTAATTCTTATTGAATGGCATAATTTAAATTTTTTTTAAAATATAATGTTCATACAATTTAGTTCTAATAATTGTATAACATATTTTTAAGTTAAAAAAAAAAAAAAATTAGAATTGAAGAAAAGTTGACTAAGTTACAGCATATAAACGTTTTTATTTTTATTAAGAAATTCACAATTCAATCAGGATCAATTAAAGCATGTGATTCATGTTTTGCTAACATAACTTGTATTCTTATGAAATCTAAAACTTTAAATAACTGAACTTGATCGATTTTTAATCAAAAAATAATGAAACAAAAACTTGAGCATTTATAACACTAAATTGCATAAAATAATTTTTTTCTACTTTTTGAATCAACAAATTTAAAAAACTATTCAATAAGAATTATCTTAGCAATTACTTTAAAAACGCACATTTAAATATATGCAGAGATACTCTGGGTGATAAGCACTTTTGAGACATGCTATAAATTTTAAAACTAGAATTATTTATTTTTCTCAATTCACTAAATAATGCATTAGCCAACCATAAAAATAATCATATAATATAGTCATTATTAAATATAGTAGTGTATATTAATTTACTAATATAATATTTAAATCGCAGTTCTCTACTTAATGTTATTTCAAAAATGTACTCAAATATTAAAATTTTCCTTTTTTTAATGTGTAATACAGTCAATACAAACTATTAGGACTTTACACGCTTCCACCAAGATTCTCCAACCAACTCATTGATTAGCCTATATCTGAAATCTTTCTTTACCCTTTCTAACCATCGCTGATGACATCTTCCACTTGATCGCTTATTATTGGACTCCTGGTCAAAACATTCTGTATAAGTTTTTCACTGGCACGCCAAACATGATCAATCATTTGCTTTCAGGAAAGACCTGATATCTTCTATATCATTCTTTTTTCATCTCTCATTTTCCCCATTTTGACTTTACATAAAATTTGTAAATTTTGTGTAAACTTTCCTTTCAAATGTGAGTAGTTTCTCTTTGTCCTCTGTGTTGTGGAACATATCTCACATGCTTAAATTACTATCGGGCACAGAATGGAAATGTGTACAGTTTATTATTTGTTACTTTAAACAATAAATTGGACCTAAAAGTTTTCTGTAGTACAAAATAGCATCTGTTTCCAGTGTTTATCCTTGACTTTCCTTAAAAACTTTTTAATGTCTTTGAACTTCATTGTTTAGTTTTTTTTGTTGTTGTTGTTTACAGTTAAAACTATTAATCAATGATAATGAATGTTTCTATGACTACTGAAAAAATTCATAAGTTGGTTTTCTAAGTTTATAATTACATGAATCTGACTATTACAATAAAACAGCTAATCTAAGAAAAATCATAATAATAACCTTTTTTATTTAGTATAATTTGTACTCTATATAATTTATGGTATATCCAAATATTTTCTTGAAAAATTTTGTTTTATTATTTTTTATAGACATTATTCAGCTCTATATTTAAAATCCTGTACATTTTTATGCTAAGTGTTATAGTTTTTTTTTGCTTAAATTTTAAAAACAACTAAACTACCCCTTCTGCCATTTTCAATCCTAAGTCTGCAGCAGAAGAGGTTAAGTAATGTCTTTCAAATTTTTTTCATTGTTTTTATCCAAACTTTGGTTCAGACCACCCTCACAAATACTGACAATAATATACATTATCTGATATTTAAAATAACATTTTTTAAATATTTAGTATGCCTCTGCACTATAGTTAATTGATTATAATTTTTGGTAGTTGAAACTTTTGTTTAAGTATGTTTTTTTTTTTTTGAAGTTTTAGCAAATATAAACATTTTAATAGATTCACATTTTTAAAAATGTATGTTACAAAATAAATATTTAGAATATTTTTAAAAAAAATCTTAATATAATAACTCTAGTGAAGAGGCACTTATTATTTATTATTTAAAATATATATACAGGTAATTCACTATATGTGATCATTCTTTTTGGTTAAATTTTTCATATTTTTCTATTTATCAAATTCTGAGTTTTGGCATTTTTAAGTGTAGTTCAGCAGTTTCTAAACTATGCACTGCAGTGACTCAAAAAAATGATTTGTAATTTCATTTTTTAATTTTTGTTAATTTCATAGTGATCTTATAAAGCAAAATGTACTTAGTTGGTTGTTGTATGTTTAGAATGCTTATATTTTATTATATTCAGTAAAATTATAAAAACTGATCATCATTGACAATTAGTATTGATTTTTTTCATGTATATTACTTACAGAATGTCACCTTGGGTGAATTTAATCCAAAAAAGGGCACCGCCGGGAAAAAAGTTTAGAAACCGCTGATGTAATTAAAGTCGATATTTTCAAATACTTAGATTTTTTACAGTATTTAAAGAGTATCTTATGCTAACTTTAGTTTTTTAAATGAGAACATATATTAAAAATTCCATAAATAAACGGAGTATTACTTTAAATACATTTTGGTGTCAACATTTTTGATTTCCATCAATCTGTTGGCAAGATATTTCACTTTTAAGTTTTGGTAGGGGGAGAGTAGTGAAGCGCTAATAAAGCAATACTTTAGCTGCAACTTTTACTTTTTATTTTCCTGTTAATATAAAATTGTAAACTAAATTAAATAAATCCTGTATTATATTATAAACTGCAGTAAGTATTTAAAATTTAATATATTGTTATATTTTTGTTATAGATTGTATGTGCCACTTATGGAACAATAGCTGTTGCATATGTATTATATAAACTGCGCAGCCCATCTGCTGCAGTTGAAAAACCAAGCACTTCATCTTAAATTTTTTTTTATTAATTTTAGAAATGCATCTTAGATTTAGGTTGTATGTTTTGATTATTATTTAAGATTTCATTTTTGTAAAAAAACAAAGTTTATCAAGGAATTATTTTAAATGCAATTACTTGTATGTTTTTTATATAGCTTACAGTTTCAAATTTTATTATCTTCAGTTTAATTTGGAAAATAATGTTATATTTACAAAAAAAAAAAATATACATGTATGTACTTGGCATAATTATTAAACTGTGAAACCAATAATAGACATTTAAAAAAAATACTATTAACGTTCGTCCATTTGTTTATCTCTGGTTATAACATAGTCTTCAAATTTAACCATGTAAGTTGTACCTTTGTGCCAATGTGCAGTAACTTTGGCATTCTATAAAACAAATAAAAATATGGTTAGTAACATTATTGAAATAAACCACCATGTTTTTCACTTGTATCCCTACTCTAATGTTTTATAGTACATACCAATTGAAAATGGCAGTGTAAAGGGTGCTGTTATGATTATGATTGATTCAAATTTTGGTACTTATTTCCAATTTTCCCGCACATAATAGAAAACCAAGATTAAAATGTAAGAGTTTAATAAATAAATGGTTCATTTTAGATTAAATATGAATAAACACATCAGCCGTACAGCCATGGTATATTAGAGTTTTATCCTTATAATCTTACACTGCCATTTTATTTTTGATTTGATAACCAGTTTATATACAATAACCTAGAATATTCCAACCATGGTTAGTACTAGGGATGGGACTATATAGTCGTTCACCTAACCACTTAGATGAACTTGTTCATTTGATATCATTTATCAAATGGTGGGTGTGACTACCACAGCGCTGTACAAGTGAATAATTTAAATGTTATCTATTTTAATTTTAATGAATTACTTGGGTGAATGTAAGAGTATTATTGAACGGTATAAATTAAAACGAAAATGTTCATGTAAGTGTGAATTAGTTCAAATCATTCACTTGTGTGAATAATTCAACTGAACTAATTTTTTTACAAACAACACATTGCTTAGTATATTAATTAAATTTGCTTGAATAATAAATACTAACAAATAAGTTTTTTGCATTCAAAGTACTTGTATGGTTTTTTTTTTAGAAACAAAAGTAAAGAATATAATAACTAATATACTCGATGAAATAAAATAATAATTTACAAAAAGATCTGTACCTCAAACTAAAAAAGGGGTATGTTTCCTGTCATATATCAAGACTTCTGCTCGTATAATCCTGGTAAAATTATGGAAGGAGTATTTTATTAGACTTCAGTTATTATGGCTCGATGGAAAACATATATTACATGCAAAAAAGTCTAGTTTTGAGAAAAAGAGATAATCAATGTAAATTAATAAAATATCTATAAATCATTTAATTGATTGATGCATTTAAAGTGTGTTCAACACTTATACATTTAGTTATAATTATGAATATGTAACTGTGTAAGATTTTATATTTTATGATAAATATTTTAAAAGAATGTTAAGGTAATAAGATTCAGCTTATATTATACAATGTATGATTTATACACCATTACTTCTTTTGAAAAAATGTGTAAAGTAAATGTTTTGATGTTTTAACACTGGTGATATATTTACACTATGTAATTGAGTAAGTAGAGTATATTTTTCTGAAACAATACTTAAATTGATCAGCTACTTGCTAATTATAATGTTATTAGCATTAACAGCATTGCAAATTAGGTATGTCTACATACCTACCTATTCATATTATATTAAAGAAAAATTGATACTTACAAATCCTGATGAATTAAGTATTCCTTCAATTATGCCACCGACAAATATGGCGCAGTTCAAATTGCCTTTATCTTTAGGAACAGAAATAAATTTATTTACTAATGGTTCTTTTTCAATTATATAGTAAGTAGAATCATCATCATTTGAATGTTCTAATTTATCAGCTTCACGGCCAAAAAAACTCTGATAGTTCAACAAAAGAGGTACAATTTTTGCTTTAAAGACATATACATCAAGTTTATGTGATCTGTGGTTTAAATTTTTTTTTGGGACAAATCTTGTTTACTGGGTACCTTTTATTTATCAATTTTTTTTGAAAATGTATATTTCAACACTGCGGAAACCAAAATAATTTCATTATTAAGGAAGTTATAGAAGTTTGAAGTTATTACGGTATTAATATCACTGAACTTTGAGTGTTTTAAATGAAAAAAATACTTCAATAAGTTGTGCAAAACAACATTAGGTAGGTAACAGGAAAAATATTGATTGGGACAAAATCAAAATGTTTAAATCAAATTTGGAGATTAGACGCTTATTAATATACAAAAAAATGTAACAATTTTTTTAAGAACGGCATATATCAAACTTTATGAACAACTAGGTACTAGAGCAAAACCGTAATAATGACAAACTCCTTTATCTTCTTTAATAAGTTTTCTCAAAAAGATTTAAACACTTATCAAAAATAATCTGTCAAAAACACTTATTTTCAAAAAAAAAAAAAGGGGCCAGTAAACTAAATAACTTTTTTTTTACATACTTTCCAAAATGTAGATTTTATAAATAATAACATGTTCAATAATTTTATCTCACGTTTACTGTTTTTTTCACGTAAAAAATGCAAATCTATTAATTTTGTACCAACTTCTTGCCCTAAATCAGACAATCTACAAACAAATATTATACATTAATTATTTTTAAATTAGTGTAGTCTTATGTTTACATACCTTGTTTGTAATTCATTAACTGTATGTGCTTTACCTTGACAGTATTGCACCAATTCAGAAAACATTAATGCAAAACAGTTCATGTTTATTTCACCTTTACCTTTGCTTATAGACTTATCGAGTATACTTGTTTTTTGTCTCATATTTGATATTTGAATAGTATTCATTTTTAATATCTAAAATAATAATAGAATTTTGAAAATAGTAAGAATATATGACTGCTTGCCATAAAATTGCATTATCAATTATCATATCGGGCCATGAAATTGTACGAAAATGATAAGGATCTATGAAACACGCAATTCAAAAACAAAAGTGTATTGCCAACCTAAAGCACGACAAAACGCCACCAGACAAAACGACAAAAAACCGTAGACCTATTAACATTGATAACATTGTTACGGTTTTTTTTTTGTATACATAAAGCGCATTCTTTATATTATGCATATGACTTTTGTTCTCGTCGTTCCATCATGGAACCTTAGGTTTATTAATTGTAGTTTATCAAACTACTGGTTGATATTTCTGCTGTTAAGATTATGTTAGTTAATGTTTTTACTGGGTTTTCGATATTTAACGATCGTTATGTTGAATTTTGGTGATTTCATCTTCTACAATATTGCTGAAGGTTTAAGTTTGGTTAGGTTCCCTTCCAACGTGAACTATCTTGACGTGGGGAGGTTCATGACTGAAAAATCGTGCTAAGCAGTCCCACAAAAAATTATGGTCCTAGTTCTTAAACTAATTCTACTACCCAGAGAGCCTAGATAATAATTATTTAAGCTCTCTAGTACTACCAATTTACTCGCAGCACTGGTCCTTGTGGTATTTTGTACCTAAGCTTCGGTTAGCTAGAAAAAAAAAAATGTATTTTGTTTCAAAAAATAAAATAAATGTTATGTAGTTTTTATTTTTATACAATTTAAAATCAAATTTTGACGATAATCATTAAAATATTACAGTCTTTCAAAACATGTATAATCCATAGAATTTGTACTAATAGTCGGAACATCCGGAGTGAATGCAGATGAGTGATGTGTCTTTTCTGGTGTCATCAATAATACCATTCCTTGCAACCAAAAACATTGTTATTAACACTTACCTACCTTAATATTGTAGTATACAACTTAAATATACTACAAATTATAATGCATTAATATAGAGACACTTACAATACTTATTAGTTAGTAGTTAGTTATATTATGGTAATGATTAATTTATTATAATTTATAGTGACACTATAATGTATAATAATATACTATTTTGATAAATGACAATGTTCAGTGGTAGGAGAGTTTAGTAGAAACGGAAAAAAGCATAAATATGATCAAAGTAAGAAAAAAAGAAAAAAGACGTCCTAAGATAACACACTCGGATGCAGCCACTGTTATAAGTAATTTAATGTATATCTGTAAGCAACGATAAACCATTTCTAATGTAAAAACGATTCTGAGCAGAGTTCAATTGATAGTAATGTTTTTTATAAATATTTTATCATATTATTTGATGCCTTATTTGTCAACAATATATATATGCAATATTATGGGAAAATATTTAAGTAGGCATTATATATTTTCTTTAATAATATTTGTTTGAAATTATACCGATTTTCCCATTTTTCATAGGTTTTTCATGGTTTTCATATTTTCTGGAAAAACTCTAGTTAAAATCAAAAAAATGACCTTCTCAAAATATCTTCCCAGTCAGATTAACTTTAAGAAAAAGTGCTATCAATGTAAATCGAAGCAAAATTGCTGGTAGATAAGTAAGTTGTCCATAGAAAAAAAAAATCGTAATATTTTATTAATATATTCTGAACATTTTCTCGTTTTTTTGGAGGGGTTATTCACATTTGTTGAGAAAATCGAAAAATGAACTCCCTAAAGTACCAATTTTCTTTTAGAAGAAATATATTTCAAATAATTATTTTAGATATAAACAAAAAAAACATCATTGTAAAACCATAAGCTTCTTCGTTCCACTCAAAATCCAATAAAACATATTAACATTTTGCATAAGAAAAATAATGAAATCCTTGTTAATAAAACACATCCTTACTGGGACCAAATTCAAGGAAAACTTTATTTTACTCATCGTCAGTTTTGTTATTTAGTAATTTGGACACCACAACAAGCCATAATCAGGGCCTAATTTAAAGAAACTGAAATCTTGTGCACTATACATTTTTGAGGTCCTATTGAAATTAAAAAAGAAATTGGTAAAAATTAAAAACAAAAAATGTTTTATACATTTAATAAGTGTAATGATTTTTATCTATTATTAATCTAAGATAATTTATATCTATAACAGATTATTAATCACAATTTTTTTTTAAAAATCTACCAATAAAGATTTCGAAACAAATGATGACCAGTAACGGTAAAAAAATTATTCAGTTTTATTTTAGTTGAGGAAAAAAACATTTAAATTTGTATACGTTTGAGTGTAAAATATAATAGATACGTTAATAGATAACATTTTTATTCGTTTGGATCTCTTAGATCATATACTACGGAGTTGAAAACAAAATTATTAATGAGAGTTAAGGGGAATGATGTCTCTTGCGAATGTGTATCAGTACTCGTTGCATATTTATCGTATAATCGTTATAATATTGCTTCAAATATTTAGTCAATAGCTATATTTAGAGAGTCTAGATAATATTATCCAGGATCTCTGGCTCTATCCATAGTATATGATCTAAGGTTGTAATGATGGCGTTTTGTCGAATGACTTTGTCGTTATCATGATTAAATAAATATACAGGTATAATCCCAACTGTTTATTCTATAGTTTTTCATGGAGTGAAAACTCAGGTAGCAGTGATAAACTGATATTTATTATCAGTTAAATTGAAATAAAACGGGAATCACTGCCAGTGATGGCTATTGTACCTATGTATCACAAAATTGTGATCATACCTATATATTTATCCATGGTCGTTATCTAATGATTTTTGGTAACATTTTTTCATATACAATTTATAAACGTGATAACAAAATTTGTATTCTTGTTCTAGTTGTAAGGTATAATTTATAACGAAATTGTTTACTATTTTACCCGCCGACCAGTTAACGGACTTCGGCGTTCATCATAGGAAATCTTTTTTTTCTTCAGAAAATTAAGACCGAAATATTGGTGCAATGTTCTATCATGTATGTATAATTAACATACCTAGTAATAGATGTAAAAGGTGTTATATTATTTTTAATAATTATACAAACATTTTTCTACTAACCAATTTAGATCGCTTTAGAACACGATGTACTACTTCATCCTCGGTATTTTGGTCCACAACTTTTGGACACTGTTAAACAAAAATTGTATCGTGAGGTTGAAGGAACATGTACTGGAAAGTAAATAATGTAAATTTTATTTTACTGTATTGTTAACTCTAAAATAATTTAATGTTTTTAAGGTATGGATTTGTAATTGCTGTAACTCATATTGATAATATTGGTTGTGGATTAATTTTACCTGGTCAAGGATTTGTTGTGTACACTGTAAAATATAAAGCTATAGTTTTCCGTCCCTTTAAAGGTGAAGTTTTGGAAGCTGTCGTTACCCAATTAAACAAAGTAGGGATGTTTGCTGAAATTGGACCCCTATCTTGTTTCATATCCCATCATGTAAGTTGTATATTATTATAAAATAATCCTAAGTCAGTATTATAGTAACATTGTGTCTCGTGTGCCTTTTTTCATATTCTGATTAGCCATTGTAATCTTGGTAACAATCATTAACAAAGACCTACTGGGAAATTTCCAGAGTAAGAGTAAATTCATATTTTATTTTCTTTGGGTTACAGACAATGTTCAGTTGATTTTATGGTGTTATCAGCATAAATATTTGTTGAGACCATTTAACATTTTAACTAAATTGCTTTAGATAATAATTTTTTAAAAATTGAATTAATGATATATTTTCTAGTTTGTAATAGTTTAGATTTACTTTTTTTTTTTTTAATACAAATAATCATAGAGTAGTTTATCCTATTGAAAATGTTTGTTCATAAATATAAATATAGTGTCACTTTTTAATGTGCATTTAAAGCATTTTAATTAAAGTACCTATAACTATTGAGTATAAATCTACTGTCTATATTTGATACTAATACCTATTTTAAATTTATTCAATATTCTTCAGTTTCAAGAACAATCTAAATATACACATATTTTAAGTTTAAAATCATTGTATTATATTTTAAATGTATTATTCTTATAATAACTAATATTGATGGTTTTTTCAAAAATACATCATATTTTAAAATCTTCATAAGAATGTTAATTAAAATATTTTATTTGTTTCAGTCTATACCATCGGAGTTACAATTTTGTCCTAACACATCACCACCATGTTACAAATCAAAAGAAGAAGTATGTAGTGCATAAAATATATTTAAAGATACTTGGTATTTTAAATACAAAGAGTATTTTGTTTCACATTGTTACTTATTATTTTAAAATATACTTGTTATAAATACACCCTTATTTTTCCATTCAAAATGTTATTAAAAGAATAGGTTTTGTCATAGTAAAAATGATACACAAAGAACAATAAAGAAAGTAGCAAATTACATCTTGGGTTTTGAAGAGAAACGAACTAGGAATGAATGGTTTGACAAAATTTGCAAGAGAGCAATGGACAAAAGATATTTTTGCACGAATAAATATTGATTCAAACTTCCATTGGAAATAATAAGAGGATATTGGCAACCAGATAGAGAATTATAGCGTACAGTTAGAAGAAAATAAATTTGGGGAAAATAAGGATAGAGACTATAGATGATAGCTACATAAGTAATACAAAACTGTTCTTTGAGAAAGCTCAACAAAATCAAAGCTGAATTCATGACAAGATCAACAATTATGAGAAATGATAATAGTTTCACTTATTATAGAAAAGACAGAAACAGACAGCTAAAGAATTCAAAAACTTTTTTGAAAGAATATTTAATTGTTCAATGTTAAGTGAATCAAGGGAAAGAATTATTACAGTTAGGCAAAACTTAGAAGAACCCCTAGTGAAAGAAATTGAACAAGTAATAAATATGCTCATGATCAGAAAAGCACCGGGGACAGGTGGATAGTGGAGTTGGTGGGATACATAGTCATTTAATTTATACCTGTAACTAATGATAAACAATTGATAATGAAAAACGATTCGGAGTGAAGTTTGGTTATACATGTTTTGAAAATTTTTAATATTTAAGATTTTAGTTAAAATTTGATTTTAAAACTTATCAAAAAAAAAAAAAATACTACATTACACTGAATTTTATTTTTTGAGACAAAACTTATTTGTTTTTTCACCATGACATTACAAATCCACAATAAAGTTATTTAATATAAAAAAATATTATAATATCTGCATAATATTAGAATTTCAAAAAGCTATGATTTAAAAATTAAACTGATCCGCTTAATTCTAGATTCACCATCATTCTTAAATCGGCAAAAAGTAAACATATGATCAAAAAAAAACAAATTAAAAAATTTGTATGGACCAGTAGATTTGTTCCATATAATTGTTTTTTCAAACCAGTAATACTTTTGATAGAAAACATAAGTTAAACAGATTAAAATAATTAAATCGGGATACTGCTCAATATAGTTAAACCAAAAAAGTCCCTTGTTGATAACTATATTGAAATATAATTTAATATTATACTAATATATATATTATTATTTTTTTTTTTTTATGTTATTAGAATATAGCAATACAACCAGAAGATACAATAAGATTAAAAATAGTTGGTACCCGTGTCGATGCATCTGGAATTGTATGTATTTTATAGCATAATATTTTTTTTATGCATTAATAATCTAAACTAATTACCTATTTTATTTTATAGTGAATAAATTAATAAGTAAATGATTGTAATGTTCTAGCAATGTTCAAGCAATAATAATTACCTACAGTGGCAGCTCGCACTATGGTGCCTAAGAGCATGTCTACTACTTTATAAAATATTAAAAAAAAAAAAAAAATCTATTGTAAATTATAATTTGTTATTAGGCACTATCATATATACATTATCCCTTTAATGAAAAAATTATTTTTGTAAAAAAAAAAAAAAATGTTTTTGCATCTTTTGCCATTGATAAGTGTGTCAATTAATTATTAAATAATTGCAGTGCAAAAATTTTGTTTTACTCCGGAAAATTATACAAATATTGACTAAATGTGTCAGCAGTAAAACATGATCTATTGAAGTGCATTTAATGCGTTCATTTGACCTATTTTTATTGGGCTACACTGTCAACATCCATTATTAAAACATTTTAATTTTACCATATAAAAAGCTTGAACAAATTGAATGTAGGCATATTATTTTAAGTATTTTGAGCACCTATAACTTATAATAATATTAATTTAAAAATCTTCAGTTGGAAGGACATTTAACAGGGTACCCTATTATGTCACATATTTAAATGTGTATTCATGGTCTTTATTTATTTTAATTTTGTGCTATTCATAAATATATTACTTATGAAAAACTATAATAATAATTTGAAATAAATGTAATTTAAATATTTTTTTAATAAATAAAACCCAAAGTCCATAAAAAGAACATTAATTTTGGCAGCAATATTAATGTTTTGTAAAATAGGTATTTATTTAACAAGTTAAAGAATTTATAGATTTTGTATTTTATACATAGTTATAAAATAAAAATATATGTTATAAAAAAGTCTCTACTTTTTCCATTTATACTAAATTACTTGATTATAAGTAATTTTCTCAATTAATAATCCTTAATAATTTATCCTTAAAATGTGAGTATTAGATTTATATCAGAACACTACACGGTGGCTGTTATTTTCATATGTTCTACCTATTATAACTAATTGTAATGTACTTGTTTTTGTTTACAGTTTGCGATCGGAACATTAATGGATGATTATTTAGGTTGGTACAAAATCAAATTTCATAAAATTATGGACAATTTTAATAATAACAATGCGTGGATTTTATTTTTCAGGATTAATTCACTGAGAAATGAGCTGTGGTTAGAGTAATTATTTGTTTGTCTTTATAATGTGTACAATTTATATTTAATAAAAATGAAATATTTTGTATAATGCGAAACTTTAATTATTAAACCAATAATATAATGTATATAAGATGATGTAAACATCTCCTGAGGATGATACATCAATTGTTGATATTTAGACTGTCTTTAACAAAAATCAATCCATTTTAACGGTTTGGGTAAGTTAAGAGAGAAAACTGTCTTTGGTTATATTATCATAAATAAATATAATATAATATAGCTTATAGAGAAATATTGTACACGCTTAAATTCATGGTTAAGTAGGCATGCTTAAATTATTGACAGTAAACGCTAAAACTGTTTAAAATAAAATTAGTCTGGTTATTTCTCAAATTATATAAAAGATTGAATACAATTCAATAATGTCCACTAAAATTACTCAACATCAGTCATTACAAAAGTATATTAAAATAAAAATAATTATTATTAGATCTTAAATAAAACTTTTTTTTTATAAACGATAATAAATGTGTGTATCTGGCAACTAATGAAGTTGTTAAGTTGCAATTAAGTTGTTTGTACGTCTGTAGTTTATGCACAAAATAAAGTTTATGTGTGTATCTTGTGCAAAATGATTTAATTAAAATTTTTAACATTAACACATCTTTGAATGAGGATTAGTACTCTAAATAATGCCCTTCTGGTACCAACTACGTTAATAAACCCAAATTATTTTTCAATCTTGCTCCAAGTTTAGCATTATAATCGCTTATTATGATGTTTATTTTGTGTTGATGTATTGCCTCTTCAACATTTTGATAGAGTTTCTCTACTTCATATTGAATAAATCCAAACATTTTTCATTGCTGTAGAATGGAATTGTATAATAGTATTATACTTATATTTCCCTGGTTAGTTTGTATATAATTGTGGTTATATACTCTTTGATACTATTATGAAATTGGTGACAAATTAATTTCCTTTTTACTAAAAATCCAACTCTATATTCAGTTTTTTATCCAATGAGCCTGAGTAACAGGTATTCTGTTTCCTCTTTAAACTTCCTGACTGGCCGTCCATCTCACTTATACTCATGTCAATATTTATTTCCTAGATAGCATTGTCTATTTTCCAACCTCTTGCCATCGTTTTATATTTTAGGTAAATATTTTTATAAAGAACTTTTAACTTTAAGAGTTTTAACTGTCCACCTGGAGAACCGATCAAAGGACTTGGTTGAATCTAAATGTTCAAATGAAAAAATGTACCTATATAATATACTCGATCGTATTCATGGTTGTTTAAGTGTTACTTATAACTAATTTTAATGTCACTTATGCACATTTCCATAAAATTGTGTTGCACAGTTACTTTTAAAATTTCACTTAAAATTCAGTGGTGGATAGACTACCCTTAGCAAACCCCTAACTAAATTTAGTTTTCAATAATTTAACATAAAAATAATAATTTTATCAATTAACTTAATTTGATTTACACTTTTGTCGTGACACTGTGTAAATACCAATTAAATATATATTTTTTAAATTTATTTGCAATCATTTTTTTATCTACCTCAATGTGGATGAAATATTCAAATATATTGACTGTATGTAGTTTGTTAAAGATGAAAATAATGCACCTGAAAGATACTTTAATATAATTTGATTATAATTAAAATGGATAACCACCTTTTGAAATTTATTGATTTCATTAAGAAAAATCTACCTAGAAGATAGATAAGAGATTTCGAAAATCCATTCAAATAGTGAAAGAATATGATCTTTTCGCTCAGTGGTGGATCCAGGATATTTCTATGGAGGTTGCTATTTGTTAACATATTCTGTATAGTCCATCCTGATTGTATGAACTGTTTTTGTACTAAAAAATTAATGTACTTAATATTCAAAAAGATAAACATCAGTGCAACCTTTAAAAACACACATCTAAAACAAATTCTTTTATTTTAAAAACATAATCTTTGCAATAATAACAACAAAAAAAATAAATGTTTAAACGAAAAATTAAAACACATATTCATTATAATTGGTGAACGAAACATCAATAAAAATTATTTGGTCATTTTTACCAATCTTCTTAGTCCATCCTTCAATATTTTTGCACAAATGTGGCAATAACTTAGTTTATATCTATCAATATCTGTTTGTGTATGTTTAATATGGCCAAATCATTTAAACGTAATTCAGGAATAGTGGATCTTAAATAATTTTTAACCTTTTTAAAGTTGAGAAAAATCTTTCCGCTGTGGCTGTAGAAACTAGTAACTTGGTAAAAAAGTATTTTGATGTTGAGGAAAAGTTCACTGCAGTGTTCTAATGCTACAATTGCAATATATGGATTGTTTTAAATATTAAACTACTTAATTTTCTAAATCCGAACACTTAATATCTTTACAATACAATTTGATAGGTTCATAGAAACATGCCGAGCCTTCCAAAAATACATGTGTGTATTGTGAATACCTATAGTATTTGTTTTAACCATATAATAACATGCCAATGGGAGTGCTATAGCACCCTAGCACTCCACTCTGGATCCGTATCTATTAGGGCTCGTATAAGTACGTATGGTATTCATTCAACAAGTTAATACAATAATATTGTTTTAAAATATCTTATGATCATAAGAATCGAATTGAAATTCGGTAGACAAACATATTCGTAAAACCACTATCATTAAAAACACTGGAAATAAACCAGGTTGCGGTTTTATTGGTTGGGCGAATTTGAAAAAATTCATTAGCTGGCAACCAATATCGCGGTGACCGGTAATTTAATTCGTGGCAAAATTGTTACCCATCTCGATTTAAATCTATAGGCTTTTGATGATGGATGTAACCCGTTTGTCCAACAAAATATTTGTTTCACAGTACTTTTGTTCCGACGGACTTATGTTTCACAAACATTTTTTCTAATGGACATTTGTTCGTTGAATATTTTGTTCTACGAATTAAATGTGGAAAAAGTGTTTTTTTTTTTTATAATAAATGGTCATTGAAACAAATGACTTTGTAAGAAATGTTCACTAATTATTAAATATTATTTTTCAATAACCCATTTATTCCAGAGATGTCATTTGTAGTACGCAGAGTATATATTTGCGTACTTAAAATTTCGTATTACAATAATTTTGACCATTAGGAACAATCGCACGGACTGCGCAATCACGGTACAAAAAAAAAAAAAAATTCCAACAGTGGCACAGATATACTGTATTTGAACACTTCTTCCAAAATCATTTGTTCTAATGACTATTTATTCTAAAATCATTTGTTCCACAAAATAGGTATTTCTTCTGCACATTTCGTATGACAAATGGTCTTTGGAACAAATATTATAGGCCCTTTGATGATAACGAAATTCGCCATTTATCATAGATAAATAAATATAATATAATTATACGTCTATGCCGTTAATAGCCTTAGCCTAGTAGCTTCATTGGTCGCTAGATATCAGCGTATATACACTACATATTAATTATAAGCCTGTATTTTTCATAAATTATATTAAATTTTAATAATAGTGTAGGAATTTTTACCGTGAGTTCGATATATGCACGGGAGAATACGTTTATAAAAAATTATAGGTTAATACACTAAGTGTTACTCAGAACCACGATGTATAGAACATACTGTAGATTTATTTTACATCGTGCTCAGAACCATAGACACAATATTGACTATAGTTAATATATATCTATGCTCAGATGTCAGAACTCTTCCTGTTGACCTATAGCTCTCTTGTTTACTGGATATCCGTTGTGGCTGGTGGGATCAGAACGTTTTGTTAGCGGCGGCGCAACAATGCTCCTTTGGGGGTAGGTCTTTCAGACTTTCCCGCGTTATGGTGTCGCGGTGTCCGGGCAAGTGATCATTCCCGCGGAAACGAAAATGCGCGGGCAGACACAAGTGGTTGTTGTTTCCCCACGGCCTGCAACCACAGGTGTTCTCAGCGTTGCAACTTATCGTGCAACCCCTAGTAGGGTCGGAAAACGTTATCCGTATCTTTTGAATTCTGTACCGCTGTCGTCAGTCAAGGTGAAGTCCGCTGACGGTACCTGCAGCAGCTGTTCCAAACGTCGGGCTAGCACGTGACGTCGTTACATTGCTGCGCCGTATAGTAATATTTTTACCGCGTTTGGCCCGCTCGGCACTTACTACAACGCCGGAATTTGACTGGTGTGTGTCTGTGTGTGTGTGTGTGTGTATGCGCGCGCGCGCGCTTAGTTTGTCATTTCATTTGCATAGTTTTTTCGGCTGTCAGAACAGCAGTATCAATATTTTTCTCTACATTCGTCCCTATACCTATATTTTGTTAAATAGATCTAATATTTTTATTGTCGTTGCACGTTAACACCACGCTCACCAAAGCTAATTTTGCCCCATTCACAATATTTTACTTTTCGTCTCATTGCTACGCCAGAAATAAAATGGTTCCTGAAGTGGCACTCGTTGGTTATTGTGATTCAGTAACGGACAGATCCCCGGTGGCGTTGTGAAAAAGAAATAATGCTAACATGGGCAAGTTCAGATTTCTCGGTAAACCATCCAAGTCGCGACGTCCGAGGACGATGGTCCGGGTCGGCGTGTCCTCCGATTTCGTGGACAACGAGGCCAAGAACGCACAAATGTTATCCATCTCGTTGAAAGCTTTCCGGGCGACGTTCGAAAAAGACGGAGAGGTTTGTGCAGTAATTAGCTGTTGCCTGTCATTGCTACCCCCAACAAAAAACAACTGAATTATTATAATATCGTATATGCGTTATCATTGTCCTGCAAAAGAATTGTGATAACGTGATAGTATTCATTTTTTTTCGTTTTTTGTATTTAGCTGGAAAGCTTTAAAGGATTCAGCATTGACTACAGTGAAGCAGCCTCAAATTCGATCTTCAAAAATAACACTAAAGAAGAATGTATGCTAAAGCCCATACTTAATGATCAACAAACTAAACACAATTTCATTTCGGACGTAAGTACCTGTTGCCTGAGTTGTTTATGTATACCTACTCAGTTTATTATAATGTATTATTAACACACTCATACATATTTTATTTGGAATTTGTGTTTACACAAATCAGAAGTAAATCCAATTTTTTTCTGGGAAAGAATGCAGTTAAGCTCCCTAGTGATTTTTCAGTTTTTTTTTTCTAAAATGTGAGTTTTTACATAGTTAATTTAATGTTCAAAAAAAGTCTCAAACCATATTTAGAAGTTATAATCAAAAAACTTTAAAATGCTTGATTTTTTTAAATATCGTGTTTTTGAGTTTAAAATACCAAACATTTATATTCATGGAATTTTTTTTTTTTTAGAAATAGTAGTTTTTATATGCTTAACATTTTGGTGAAATCAGAATTCACCCATCGTACTTACTTTTTATGTTATTGTTAATAAATCATGCAAAACCTAATTTATAATGTTATTTCAATCATTTGCATATTAAAATAACTCAAAATTGATTTTTTGGCCTTTTTTATTTTATTCGGTATGTAATAATAAAAGAAATAATGAAAAATAGCTAGAAATAGTGGAAAAATGTATTTTTTCTTATGGTTACCTAAATATTACATTTTACCTTTGGAAAAATATAGTTTATTTAATACAACTTTCTTTTTTTACTTACTGAAGCCAAAATAATTTTAAAAAAACCACGATGGAGAGCTGAGAGGTATGGTGAAATTAATACAATGATTATAACGTTAAATTATTGTTATAAATTTATAAATAACAAAATATTAAATAAAATTTTAAAATTTACTTATTTACCATGTGAATTCTCGGAATAATCACGACATCTCCATACATACCTGTCAATGCAATAAACTTTAAAACATAACTTGAAAGTATGTCCAAGAACACATTTTAATGTATTTTGTTTGGTAATTAGTGTCCAAGTCTGCAGTTTTTCAATTACTGCCAAAGAATCAGCCTCTTGGCATTTCGCTCAAACAGCTCATAAATATCGAAAAAATCTTAGTTCAGATTTTACCAAACAATTTTTTATGTTTTTACACACCAAATAGAATAAAAAGTCCAAAAAATCAATTTTGAGTTATTTTAATATGTAAACAATTGAAATAACATAATAAATTTGGTTTTGTGTAGCTAATTAATAATAACATAAAAATTAAGTTGAATAGGTGAATTCTAATATCACCAAAATGTTAGGCATTATATAATTTCTACCATTTCCAGAAAAAAAATTTCAAAAATATACATTTTTGGTAATTTAAACTCAAAAACCATGATTTTTAGAAAAATCGAGGTTTTTGATCAACTTTTTTTGAAAGTTCCATCAAATTAAGTATGCAAAAACACATTCTGAAAAATGAAATTCTAAAAAATGCTTGGGAGCTAAACAACATTTATGCCTTTTTCTGATGTGTATAATTAAAATTTGATCAGATATTTAAAAAAAAAGGAATTTACCTTTTGTGCTCTACCGATTTATCAATGCTTACTTATAATTAGAGTAGAAGATTTGTAGCATTTGCATATTTTTTTTGCATAATCATAAAAAGAGCAGAGTAAAATAGAAATATGTTTTATGTTAAGATAAAGCTAGATTTGTAATTTTATTTTGCATATAAATGCATTTTTGAGTTTTTTTTGTGTTTTATAGCATATTTCTCTCGTTGTTTTATATTTTTAAAGATATTTAATTAATAATTCTATTCATATTTTCACCATTATTGTTTTATTTCATGTAATTAGGTATAACCATAATTGTTAAATTTAAAATAATTTATAAATGTTACTGTTCACGGACGTAATTTTTTCTTAGAAGCACTTGTGAATTGCCAATAAGATTAATTTTCCGTATATTTATTGTTGGATGATTGTTTATGATGTAACATACCACCTGTATAGGTACATTTACATTTAAATTTTTGGTGTGTTACTAAATAGTTGGCTTTACATTCTGTTTATAATTTATTTTATTTATGTAGTTATTTATTTTTATAAAATACTTTAAGTTCTAACACTTGTAATAAAGTCAAATAAATTCAGTTAAAAAATAAATACAAATATTTGTATTTTTAATTTAAAGTATATATTTTTGGTTGCATATTTTAGGTATTTATGGGTATATTTGGTTGACTTTAGGGCTACAAGTCCTCTACTACCTTACGTATAATTCATAAAAAAATAAAATTGTAATCAACTAAACAATTGTTATATAATGTATTTTATAACTCATAAAATTGTAATATTTTCAATTACTATATATTATATAATTATCAATATTTTCAGGTACTTGATTGTTAATAATTAATTTTTATACAAGCATTTTATATTGTACAATATATAATACTGTTTAAACAGGGATTGCATACATAGTTCCCTTTTCACTTAGAATTAAAAAAGTAAATTTATAGTTTACTTTATTGTTATTATCTCATTTATTGTTGTTTGATATGCAGGTGTTGTTATATATTTATAATTTTTTTTACATTTTAGACAAAATCTAGTGATATAAGTAGTATGGATTGTCTACCAGTTCAACTAGATTCAGAAATAAAATTTGAACTTAATAATTCAAATACAAATTCGATTTCAGAGTCAGTTGTTTCCTGTTGTGATGATAATCTTAATTACACTTATGCATTATCGTGTAAAGGAGGTATTTACTAGTTTAAAAGTACTTAATTAATAATTAACCTTTTTTTTAATTTCCAAAACTATATTTTAGGTCCATTGAATATAAACCAAACTAGTGGTGAAGTACAATGTGGAATTTGTGGTGTTATTCGTTACTACAAGTCAATAGCAAAAACTAAAAGATATGGCGCTTACAGTTGTGATTCTTGTAGAAAATTTATAGCTAAATTAATTGAAAATCAAAACACTTTTAATCGTTGCAATAATGAAAGAGGTGATTTTTAATTTATTTTGTTTGATTATGTTTTTATTAAAATATATTTTTCCCATTCAGGTATAGGTCATTGTCGTATTCCAATTGGACTCAATTCTCAAAAAGGAGTGGCAAGAATTGTATCTACTGATTCTCGGTGTAAAGCCTGTTGGCTTCAGATGTGTTTGAAACGGTTAAAGTTACCAGATACAATTGTTGAAAGATTGTTAGACACACTTCCTAGAGAAATGACACCAGTAATTATGTGGACTTTAAAAAAACCAGATCCATGGACCATAAATATAGGAAGTTGTCTTGAAAATAAAATTATAAAAGATTATAAACTTCATAAAGAAATTATTAATTGTTTACATGGTAGAGTAAAAAAAAAAATATTTTTTATTACTACTATTATTTGTATTTAAATTAATCATTGTTTCAGATGAAGATAGTAGTGGAAGCTTTGAGGAGTTATATAGTAGTGACAATGATAATGACGATATTAATTATGAAACTGAACACACCACCACCAAAAAATCATCTAATAAAAAAAAACTGAAGCTAGAAGAGAAGACAAATAATAGTAAAATTACAAAAAGAAAGAGAACAAAAAAATTAGAAATATGTAGAGATATTCAGTCAAATGATATTAAAAGAATTGCATTGTTAGGACCCACAAGTGATACAATATCTAATCCAATGGAAAACCAAGGTTTGTTTAGTTATTATGATGTTGATTAACAGATGTAAAGTAAATTCAAATTCTCTATAAATTACATAAAAGCTCCTTTAGTTATTAACTATAGTACATATATGTTTTTAACTTTTAATAAAGAATTCAAGTCTTTTAACACAAAAGGACCTAGAATTAAACATGTATGTCGCAGTGCTGAGTCTGTTTTGGGACAAACTCCTGCTACATTTGAAAATGTTTTAGAAATGACTGAAAATGATAACTTTAGTAAGTGTTTAAATTAAAATGATTGTAATATCTACATTATATGGGTAGAAATTAACATTTGTATTAATTACTTACAAAAGAAACTGGTTAAAGATAATAGTTATGTAATAAAAAGTTTTGCTTAGTTCTATAATTGGAAAAATAACTTTCATAATTTACAACATTTTTTACTTTTACTTATTTTAGTGTTACCGGTAGATATAAATAAATCACAGTGTACTAGACCTAATGAAGATCTATCAGAAAATATGTCAAGGTATAATATAAAAACATATTCCTGAATAATATTTAATAATTGTTTATTTTTTTTTTTTTTTTAATTTATGTGTTGCACATTGTATGGATTCTTTTAGTATTTTGAAAGGTTCAAAAATGACATCCATTGTTAATGAACAAGATCCTCATTTATCCTATCAACCAAATGTCAGTATCATTAATTATTCCTGACAAGAATTAAGTTTTTTAACAGAATATATTTTATGTCAATAATTTTAACATATTTAGAGAACTCTTCAAGATCTAATGATGCAAGATTATTTGAATTCAAGTATTGACAATTTTGAAGATGACAAAACTATTAATATAAATTTTCAAGAAAGCTATGACCCAGATAGAATTGCAGAAAATGGGTTTGCTATTGTCGGAACTGGGCCATTACCAATACCTCGGCGAGTAGTATGTTATTTATGTGGAAGTGCTGGAATGGAGAAAGTAATTGATCTCAATGTTATTTACTTAAATATCTTGTAAAACTTGTGTTAATTATCATTTGTTTTAGTTAATTCATTGTGTGTCTTGTTGTGAACCTTACCACAAGTTTTGTGTTGATGGGGTTGGTATTGGAATTTCATCTCATGAAAGTGAATGGTCAAAATTTAGTTGGACATGTCCTAAGTGTAAGGTAAAGTAAAAATATAATTATTAGAAGTTAAGTTATTATTAGTTAAATTTGTAAGCAATAGTTATAAAATTAAATGTGTTTATAAATTGTTTCATTAAATTTCATAAATATCAAACTAATTAAGTAATTCTATTAAATATTATTAAAACTAAATTTTGATTTATTTTGTTATCAGGTTTGTAAAGGTTGTCAAAGTAGAGGCAAGACACGCCCAAAATTAACTTGTCAAAGATGTAAAGATTCTTATCATGATTATTGTCTTGCTGACAAAATAAATTATGACCGAAACAGACCATGGGTAAAATTGTTTATTTTTAAATATTTTAATCAAGTTATTTGTATTGTATTATTTGTATTTTTATTGTTTCCTTATAGACTTGCCCTCCTTGTAGAAAATGCAAAAGTTGTCAAATGCCTAAAGTTGATTACTTTGTTGGTAATTTGGCTTTATGCTCTATGTGCTTTCAGTTAAGGCAACACGGTAATTACTGTCCCTTGTGTCAAAAATGCTATGAACCTGATGATTATGATACAAAAGTTTGTGAAATAATGAATTATAGTTTCAGTTTATGATTAAAATATATATAAAATATATTGATTTTTATTATAGATGATGGAATGCGCAATATGTGAACATTGGGTTCATGCTAAATGCGAAGGCTTATCAAATGAGAAATACGAGGTTTTGAGTACTTTACCTGAAGTTGTTGAATATGTTTGCAAGTAAGTTAATAGCTAACATTTTATTTGTGTACATGTATGCAATTTAATTTGAAAGTTGGTAATGGTTGTTTGATCTAGTTATTCATTTATGGAATATACAATTTTCATTCAATTAGATTTCTTATAAATTAATTAAAAGTGTTCACATATTATACTATGTGTAAAATATAGTATTTAAAAATTGGCTTTGACTTTCCAATCAAACTAATTATTTATACAATGTATAAATAATTTAATAATAATAGTTTAAAAATAATTTAAAAATTTTTTATTTAAAAATAATAGTTTTATATATAATTTTAATATGTGTTTTTTATTAATTTTTTTACAGAAATTGCACCACTGATAATACCATTCCATGGCGGGTTTATGTTGATGATGCTTTAAGGAATGGTTTTATGACTGTTCTTATAATTCTGGGCAAAAACAAAAAAACATGTGATCTTATAAAATGGAGTCCTCAAAAACAATCACCTGGATGTGTTTGCAAGAAATTCATTGTACCTAAATGTCCATCTTTTGATGGACCTAATATTGTAAAATCGCAACTTACTAATGAAATTCCTAAACAATGTGTTTGTCACGGATTAGAGGGTTGGTCTAAAGGTACTCCAACTCTGGTTACAATAAAGCAGAAAGTAAATAACAATGAATATGAATCTCTTTGTCAATTTAATGATGATATGATAAGTACTATCAATAAGTTTAATGTACCAGAACTTCGAGAAGAGTATAAAAAAATTATAGGGGATATTTTCCCTTGGTTTAACTCTGATTTTGAAAATAATACTCCCCGTAAAAGTTCCTATTCTTCTACATCATTACCAATTATAAGTCCACCTAAGTTCATTCCAAAAATACCATCTTATTTTCCTAATTCTAACATCAAAGCCCCACAGGATATCATTAGCAACAACGAAAATAATTATTATATTACACCAACAATTGATGACACAAGAATTTGTCAGTTTTGTAAGAAATTGGGAGAAGGTATGCCAATGCGAGAAGGAAGACTTCTTTATTGTGGTGATAATATATGGGCTCATGCCAATTGTGCTTTATGGTCTTCTGAAGTATTCGAAGAGATTGATGGATCATTACAAAATGTTCAACTAGCTCTTTCAAGAGGTAAACTTGTTAGATGTGTAGTTTGCAATGAAAAAGGAGCAAGTGTTGGATGTTGTTATCGAAATTGTGTCAAGACTTATCATTTCCAATGTGCTAGAAAAGTATTTTGTGTATTTAATGAAAACAAAACTGTATATTGTAACAACCATGCATCTGATACTCGTTGTAGTGTTAAAGATTTTACTTTGGATAGACTTATTTATATAGAACAAGAGTATACTAAACCAAAGCGTACAGAAAGCTCGGAGATTCATATACTAATCGGTTCATTATATATAAGTTGTATTGGACATTTACACCCTTTTTTATCAGATAGCGTCGAGTCTATATTGCCTATTGATTTTAAAGCAAAACGATATTATTGGTCAACAAAAGAACCATGGAAACTTATCCAATACAATTGGACTACTAAGACGGAAAATTATGTTGAAAAGCTAAAATTTGATGAGCTTAACTATACTATTGATCACAACAAACAAACAAATCCTATTAGTTTTATTAAAACTGAAAATTATAAACACAATGTAGATATTAACTTGTTTACTTCCATTCAGATGGATAACTTACAAAAGTGTTATGAATCATTAAAAAGAACATGCCATACCGATAATACTTTTGAAGCTAAACGTTGCAAAGTGGACAGTATTGACTGTTTTGTTTACCCTAACTATGATACAGATACCGAATTTGAATCTACAATTGATGAAACTTGTAGAATGGAGTTATTTTCCAATAGTTATGGATCAAAACCAAAAATAATTCCACAATTAGATGGCTTGTATGATTCAAGTGACTGTGAATCTGAATTTGAATTATATCAACTTGATAATTTAACAGATGCAATTGATGATTGTACAAATGATCAACCAGTTAAATGTAATCGATGTCATCGGACATATAGAACAAGTGTAAGTTATGAAAGACACTTAATAAATTGTAATTTTGATTACGACATTGGCAGTGACAGTGATTTAAGTGATGATGATAAGTCTGACAAAAAACCTGAAGTTAATTATTTACCTCTTAAAGAAGAACAAAGTTTACTTGTAGAGCCTTTAAAAGAAGATGAAAATTTTTCCCAACAAAATTTTGTTCCTACTGCCATTTCAGTAGGGTCTGCACACCAGGAACAACAGCCACCATCTACTGTTATAATTCAGCCTGTCCAAACTTCATTTGTTCAATCTCCTGTGCCTGATGTTCAGTATATAACAATAAACAATACTCCAACTCAACCCGTGATGCCATGTTTCCAATATCAAACACCACAGACTGTTATAGTTCAACCATCAGTAGTTGATTCGACTACAGTTGTGCTAAACAATTCTTCAGTGGATATGTACGTTCCCCAGAATAACAACTTACTATTTAGTTCACAACCAATGTTAGTAGGTTTGGATCCATACACCATGTCTTCAAATTACACCTTTACACAAACTTCTCAAATTTACCAATCACCAAAACCTATAGAACCCATTTCAAATCAGTATTATATTATTAATTCAGAGCCAACAGTTTCAAATGAATGGTCGTATAATATAACATCTGAGATAAAAACTGAACGGAATATTTTGTGTACACAACCGAAAGTATATACAAACCGTAAGTTGCGATCAACTGAACTTTGTTATGATACTAAAGAAAATATACCTAATAGTTTAGTTCAATCTGTAGAAAATCAGGCTTATGGAGTGATGACCATCATGAAAAATGTAAATCCAGAACCTTGGAAAAGACCAATTATGAAAACATATCCTCCAAAAAAAAATGATGAACACAAAATTTCACCTAAACGAGTTGAAGAGAAAAAGATACTTCCAAAAAATATTGAATCAGATTCATGCAAAATATCAACTTCAATAACCATGGCAGATAATAGAATACATTCAACAACTGTGGTGAACACAGTGATCTCTACCTCAACATATACAGAAAACTTACCATCTCCAATTAAATTGGGTTATTCATCACAACTTAATTCTATATCTAATGGTTTACTATCTCCACAAAATTTTAAAAATACTGTATCATCACCATTGAAAACAGAATTTAAACCTCTGCATTCTACTGTAAAAACTTTAAAAGTATTACCTTCACAAAAAATAACACAAGAAAACAGTCCAATAACTTGTTCGTCGGTATTAGAAAAATCTGGTTCTTCATTTATAAAAGAAGAAAATCCCTGTTCATCTAATATACAAAATTTAGATTGTTCATCATTTTCTACATCAATCTATAAAAATATTCCTATTAATATAGAAAAACCATCCCTTTCTCAGTTACCAGATAAAGATGATACATTTTTAAAGGTAAAACAACCATTGAAAATAGACAACTTGTCATCATCTATATCAAAATTAGAAAATGCACAATCACATACACTGAAAGTTAACACGGATCCACCTACATTACTTATAGGTAATATGGACATGATTCCATCATTAAAAGTAGGTAAGTCATCATCAAATGAGGTATTATTGACTGTAGGAAATTCTTTAAATCAAGAAAAGTCTATGAAAATAGAAAACCCATCTAGTATTTTTGTAAATGATATGTTATGCGCAGAAATAAATTCTTCTAATAACACATCTCAAAATGTTTCATTAAATATTCATAATGGTATTGCTGATCAAATTCAAAAAGTTGTTTTAAACGAAGAATTTAAATCTGTTCAAGAAAACTCTCCTCAAATAAAAACGCAAACAAGTGGCTCTCAAAATGATTCAGAGCATCAATGGTCTACAGCTGTAGCAGAACGTGAGCACACAGTTTCCCATCTTGTATATGAAATGAGCTCTACCGACGGTGTTTTCTGTAAAGATCGATCTCTCGTTGAAATTTGGTCTAAACTATATGAAGCTGTTCAGCTATCAAGGAGTGAACGTAATATGCCACAATTATCTTCGAATAATCCTTATGCGACCGATGTAACATCAGCAATTCGTTCTTTAGGCTTAAGCAATAATTTTTTGAAGTTTTTGTTAGAGCAACTTACAGGTGCCAAAGAGTTTATAAAATACAATCCAGTATTCCATAAAGGTGTTGACGTTGTTGGCTCTACTACAGAAGATCATTCAGGTTGTGCTCGTACAGGAATAGTGGTTAGAAAAAACAAATATGACATGTTCAGCTGGTTAGCATCTAGGCACAGAAAACCACCAAAGCTATTAGCAAATAATGAAGATTTTGGTGGTCGCCGTGCTAATTCTTTACCCAATGAGATGAAGTATAGAAACATGAATAAAACATTAACCAGTACTGTTGGTGTTTATCGATCAGATATACATGGCCGCGGTTTATTTTGTTTAAGGGATATTGAACAAGGTGAATATGTCATTGAATATACTGGTGAAGTGAGTATTAATAAATTAACATTTTTTTTTTAAATAAACATTAGGAATAACATTGTATTATATTTAAAAATAATAGGTTATTCGATCAGAGGTAAGTGATGTACGAGAGAGACTTTATAATAAAAAGGGGATTGATTGTTATATGTTCAGAATCGATCAAAATATTGTTGTAGATGCCACAATGAATGGCAATTCCTCCAGATTTATAAATCACTCCTGTGAGGTAAATATATCTTTTCAAATAAAAATGTAATGAGTCATGGTCTTGATTTTTAACTAACATTTTGTATTAATAAAATATATTTACTTAACAGCCCAACTGTCAGTCTAAAATTGAAACAATTCATGGTAAAAAGCATATAATGATTTTGGCCAAAAGAAAATTACTTCAAGGTGAAGAACTCACATATGACTATAAATTTCCATTAGAAGATGATAAAATCACGTGCCATTGTCTTTCAAGAAAATGTCGTAAATATCTGAATTAGATTCTTTTTATTTAAATTGGTTATTTATTATTCTTATAACAATCTTTTGATTGACTTAAATTTTTTAAAATTATTGTTTAGATATTATTATGTACTTTATAGATCAAATAGATTATATTGCTCCTTTTGAATTCATTTTTTTTTTCCTTTTTTTTTTTTAATTTGTACTTATTTTTGTTACATCATATAATGATTTCCTTAAAAATTGTTGTTTTATTGTTAATACCTATATCATTTTGGTTTTGTAAATTAAAAACTATTAGCAATATTTACCTTTTAGTTGTTTACATCACACATTTGCATTAACCATACATTTGAATAGTATTTTAAACAATTTGTTTATTAACTATTATTAATTTATATAATAATTGTATAACTTATGAAATTAATAAATGGTTATTATTAGGGTTAGGGACTTATTGCACTTAAAATTCACAAAAGAGCATTTAAAAACATCAAAATACTCATTTCAAGCAAATATTATTCGACCAAATGGTAGAAGAGTTTAAATGTTAAATGTCCTCCTTTTAAAGGCTTTTACTTATTAGATACAATCTTCTAACGCTACACAAAGTTATTTTTCTTATAATACGTACAATTTTATTTAAATAGAATACATTTTTGATAATAATTTGTCGTGTGAGAAAATTATATTTAATAATTTAGTCGTTAGACTGAGGACATTTAAAATCTACCATTTGGTCTAATAATATTTACTTGAAGTGCATTTTTTGATGTTTTTAAGTGCTCTTTAGTGAATTTTAAGTGCTAAAAGTCCCAAACCCTAGTTATTATACTAATAGTAGCTGACCTCACTTGTGTGATGTATAGGAATAAAACACAAATAAACAAATTGTATTTCTATTTAAATGTTAAAAAAAATTATAATGTAAAATTATGTGATAAATTTATATCATGTTATTTTAATGTATTTTACTACCTCATAATTTATTTTTATACATAATTTGAACACTAATTTAAGATTTATTATATTTTTTTTCACCATTACGTTAAAATAATTTGTAATTATAAAATTTATGAATCAAATTGAAAAAAAAAAATTGATTTAAAAATTACAAAGAAACATATTAATTGAATATTGTGTTATTTTTTATCAAAACATTTCAGAATAAATAAATACATTTGTAATTTAATTGGCTATGAAAATACTTTTGCACCATTAATGATAGAAATCAATATTTAATAGTGATTAATAAAGCTCGGAAGTTATTGGACATAAAAAGGGCAAAATACGCACAAAAAATGTTAAATATGAAAAAATTATTCAGTTTATTATTCAAAAATATATAATGACATTATTAATATGCACACAAAAGAATGATTAAATGCAAATCAGTATTGTCATTAAATTAATAGTAGACTGAGATGATAAGAAAAAACAATAACAAACTACGTTAAATAATATTGAGTTTTATATTCAATATTGAATAATATATATTATTTAAAATACATTGGTGAAAAACAAGAAAAGAACGATTTTTTTTTTTACTAAATATGCGAAAATCAATGAAATATGCACTTTTTCTCTAAAATTAACGAAATATGAATTTTAAATGTTTGATTTTTAAAATCTCTATTGCATAGAAAAAATTTCAAGCTTGGTCTGTTATAAATCCAATTCATACAGAAAAATATGCAACTCCTATAACTTCCGAGCCCTAGTGATCAAGTATACGTTAATTATTATTAAAGAATATTGTTATTAATATTTTATATTTTGGATAAATACCTACAATTCAATTTGTTAATGTAAAAGGTTCTAATTTGCAGAAAACAGAATTGTTGGTTGAATTTTTTTTTATTATTTACATTTAAAATAGAAAAATCCTGATTATTACAAAGAAAAACAAATCATATTTGATGGCTTTAGGTACTCGGGCCTAAGTTAGTTTTCATTACCTATATTGGTACTTATTTAGATCGTATTTTCAAAGTTTTTTCAATAACACTATTTGCTTCTTTTATCGATAATCTGCTGTTCCTGATCAACAAACGCTTTTGGACATCCGTCAAGTCTTGGTGTCCAACTAGTAGAGGCTGAATGCTGTCCATTGCACGTCGAACCGCTAACAATATTCTATTGTCTACGTCGTCGTTAGGGCAACTAAGTTTTTTTCTTTTCCGTAATAAATATTCTAACCTACAGACGACCTGACCAATTGCCGAAAAATCCGGGATATCTTCGAGTGATAGATTATTACCGCTCCATGGAGGTTCAAACTGGTGATCCGACATTGTGGTGCGGTGATCTAACTTATCTATCTATTATAAATATCTTATAGTATCACGTTTAAATCGCTGTACAACTGTACTGTGCTAATGTATGGAGTTTTTTTATTTAATAGCAGCTGACAAATAATTATAGGTACCTAGGAAATCTTAGTAAAAAGTTATTGTTTTGTGCCAGTTCAATAATATAAAAATCGAATAAAAAAATAAAGACTTATTTACCTAGGTAGATTCTTAAACAAAGGACTCATTCTATGTATACAAAACAAATTTAAAAATTTCCAAATTAGTAGGGTCCAATCCAACATGACCATGATCTCTATGCACCAACTAGAGAAAATTACCTTAAAGAAAAGGTGCTACACTTTAGACATCGGAGTAAGATTCTGGTTGAAAATTTGTTCATAGACGAAAAAAAAATACAAACCACACGTCATAGTAAAACCAATAGAGCCCTTGCTACGCTAAAAAGAAAAGGTAAAGGCAATAACAGCTAATAAAGGAACACATTAATAACATTTTACAATCTAGATAATTAAAAAAGACGCATCATATACTTAGCACGACGGGTGGATCACTGTTCAGAGTGAAGAAGTGAGAAGGGAGATTAGAAGTTGAGAAGGTAGGACATAGAGGGGGAATTTATTGTATATCTGTACGCAACGATTAACCATTGCTAACCACAAACGAATCTGAGAGGAGTTCGGTTATACATGTTTTGAAAAGCCGTAATATTTACGATTTTCGTCAACATTTTTACATAAAAAAAAATTGTACCACAAATTACGACCTATAATAATGAATCACCTGTTAAATTTTCAAGCGTTTCTGTTTGATTTTACAATTTTATCCATAGAGTATCTTTTACTTATCGAATACGAAATACGTTGATAAATTCGCAAAATTGAAATGTCTATAAATAGCTCAAAAATGGTACAAATTGTTTGAAAATTTTATCACGTCAAGAAAAATCAAATATAAGTTTTGTATCCAAATTTCAAGTCCACGAATATTTTTAACTGAATCAATAAGAAAAAAAATTTAAAATATTACATTCGTAAATTTTCCCGTTTTCTTACATTTTTCTCAATTATTTTGAAAACTGCTTGGAAAATCAACAAAATGACATTGCTAACGTACTACCCAAATAAAATTTGCTATCAGAAAAAATAGGCACTATACTTGAAAATTTGAGCAAGATTTCTGGTAGAAAGTTGTTCACATATCTACATACCTTTATGTTATGCGCGTGGTACATGCAAAAAAAAAACACTTTTTTCCGTGGATTTTTTTTTTCCTAACTGAAAGAAAGTATTTAGAATGACGAAATACACTATAAAATGTTTTAAAAATTACAAGCAGTGAATATGGAGGAAGGAAAAGTAATTCCTATACCGGATATCGTAGTTTTGCCACAGCGGGTAAAACTTATAATACAAACTATTTTCATATGGTCTGTGTTTATAATATTACGACCAACTAATAGTAGAAACCGGATTTATGGGCATTTTAAACAATACTACTAGGTACCTACCTATATGAAGAATATTGCATCGTCTTGGCCTCTGAGAAAAAGTATAAGTAGGTACCTAGGTAATAGGTATTAATTAACTATCGCTTGATACTGCTATTTCCATAACTGTTTTGTTTTATAAAATTTGGTCAAATTAATATCTATTCTGTGTTGATACTTAATATTATAACCAAGTAGAACGATTGGAAACGAAATTTTGTAAGTTGTATAAATCATCGTTAGAAACTACAAATTATTTTATTTTTTATATTACTTATTAGGTATCAATATTGTAACATAAATTTGTATACTTCTATTGATATAAATGTTCATTAAAACGTTAATATCAAACATTTTATATAAAAACATATTAAAACAAACATTAATATACTATATCAACTAGCTAAAAAATTGCGATTTTCATTTGCCTCATCAAAATATTTATAATGTCAACTATGGGTGACTAGGCATGGACGTAAATAGGGTCCTCAAATGAATACGGCTCGAGCCTAAAAGGACCATTGATCTGAATAATAATAAAGGAAAATCTATTTAAAGGTCAACAAATACATAGATCGACAATTGTTAATCAAAACTAGGCGATAACGCATATCGCTAATATTGGAACGTTACACACAGAAAATCCAACGAAAACCTACCTACATATTATTACTATTATTATATTTATAGCTATTACCATCGATGATGAATTCTATACAATTCTACGTATAATTACCATTAGTTATAAATGTGGATTATATGTATTATAATAATTATTAGCTCATGACCGTACACTAAAATATCTTAGGGAGGCCCAAGCCCTCCCCGAGCCCCTCCCCTATTTACGTCCATGTAACTTGGCAAGTGGACATATCATTTTGTTTTTACTGGTTATAGCCTATTAGGTAAATTATTAAGTACCTGAGTTTTGTTATTGTCACTATTGTCAGCTTTTACAATCAAAACTTTCGGATATCTACAGAAAGTCGATAGACAGAATTTTCAGAATCGGGTTGTTTTCAATTACGACGATGAATATGTTTTTATAAGATGTGCGGATTGTCTTCACCTTTAATTAGTTTAATTTCTATTATTGGATGCGGGTTTAATTTAATTTTCTTAATTTAATTTAACTTTTAATAAAAAGAACGGCAATTGACAACGGAAATTTGATTTTCTATAAAAAAAAACACGTGACACTGTTGAAAACGTTTTACCTACTGAATGTCTATTTCCTTTGTTTTTTTTTTTCTCAATATTTACTTAATATTTATACCATCCGGAACTCTTAAATTCTAATTTTAACCAATCGGAACGGTAGCAAATGTTGATATTACAACCGGAACGCCGTTCCAGTGCGTTCCGGTCCATCCCGGACCATTGTCAATGAGTGTATTATAAGTGTGCGTGTATTGTCTGTGGTCAATGCATTTGTGTGGTGCGAGTGTGTGACTGTGCATCCTGTATCTAATATATACATATATATATATATATATATATATATAGTATATATAGTATATAGTATAGTATATAATATAGTTCTATAGTTGTGTTAGTAGGAGGTATTCACGATAACGCGGTTAATTCACTGACGTGTTTCGTTCATTCGTTGCCCGACAACCAGAAAGAGTTCGAACTCCGAGCGCCTGCCGCCTGGGGTAATGACAATTGATAACAGTATTCAGTACGTGCTGATAACGCGAGTGGTCTGATTGTTACTTAGCGGAGTTTTGCGTCGTTAGTTCCGATTTTGAATTAAAATAAAAGAAAATGAATCGTAATAATCGTTCATAGACACCATCGACAAACACGCTCGTCCATAAGCTTAAGACATAAATCGTTCTCCTGATTTCGTTACAATGAACTACAGCGAATGTACTGCAAAATTTTATTTGATGACGAATGACCGTTACGATAGCTTATTAGTTGCTGTCACAGCATCGTTCGTAATTTGACAGATAAAGCATTTATCGTTCGATAAATCTACCGGTAAATATCCATAAAAATGTTACTACAAAGTGCAAATTGTGTTTTTATGCTGGTGATTAATATATGCCTCTACATGAGCGTCGTATGTTTCTTCTCATCGTCCAGTTCAATTGTCAACAGCCGTATCGACAATACCTGGTTGAATGAAGTAAATATTATTAATGTAATTTTATGTTTTCCTTGTAATTTACTAAACGTGTTATCGTACGGTCCGATACAGTATTTATGAAAGAAACGTGATGTTCTGGGTAATTGTATCGATAAGTAGGTCATTTTTTTATAATTTATTAGTTTTACCATTTTTCTTAAATTTTTCTATTGGTACATATATAGATCAATAATTAGTTCAGTGATATTCTCCAGTTTAATTTTTTTTTTTTTATGGAATTTTATAAATTAGGGATAAACTCATTTGAAATGTATAGAATGGCAAAATGCTCTAATTGAAGTATGTTTATAATATAAAAAGTTACTTCATACATTTGTCTAAATTTGTTCATTGTCATTCTAACTGATAAATTATCTCTTTTGACATAATAAATAAATAAATACATTACTACTACTTGACTGGATTTTAAATGATTTATTGTTTTAAGGACATTAATTTACAATTTTTAAAAAACAAATTGAGAGGATTGGTCATTAGATGGTCAAAAACACTAATATAATACACAAATGTTTAAAAAAATGCTGAAAATAGTAAATTAGATATTACTATCTAAATATTTATTTTAGTAATTAGATGAGGAATTATTGCTGATTTTTAATCTTTTATCTTATTATTTAGTTTTTAATTTAAAAATTGCAGTTCAAAATACTTATGTCTTGACCTATGTATTAAATATTATTGAGTTATTATGTGAGGATATTTTTTTTTTAATTTTACTTAATGTTTATTTGTTAATATATTATTATATTTTAATTGTGTCAACTGATGTGTTAGTTTAACCGGTGTTTAGTGCTGTTGTAATTAATTTCTTCAGTACCTATGTACATCAGTTAGTTTTTGTTTTTAATATAAGTATCTGTATGACTATACATACTTAAATATTTGTTAATATAAGATTTTTTAAAAAAATAGGTACATAAAACAGTTTAATATTTTAAGTCAAAAAATAATGTATACAGTTACATTTTCATAAATTCTGTAAAAAGTACTTACATTTTATAAAATATGCACATTTGGTATGTATCAAGTGTTATGATTGTGTCTTATCTTGGTATGATAAGTTGAATTGACGTTTTAATTGTATATATTTTATAATATAAAATATTATAATGTTTTGCACTGCCTCATGGCCCTCATACATTAATTGCATTTAGATGTCTCCATTTTTAATATTTGAAATTGAAATTGGAAAAAATAAATTTAATATTATAAGGGTATAAATTAAAAATTAAAACAAATCCAATCAGAGGTAAAATATAGGCTTTACTATAATGTGTGTTTTTTGATTTTATAAGTAGTTTTCATTATAATTGTAAAAAACGTATAGGAAATAAGACTAACATACTTTGCACGTGGGCGGGCATCTCTGTTAAAGGTTGAAAATTGGGAAGGTAGGATATAGACGGGAATTCAATGTAAGCAACAATTAACCATTGCTAACAAAAACATACGATTCTGAGCGGATTGTTTTGCTTTTTAAACAATATTTATGTCATATTATGGTAAAATAATTAATAATAATTATATATGCATTATATATTTTCTTTAATAATATTTATTTAATATTTTATCGATTTTCCCGTTTTCCCATGTTTTCTCCCGGATTATCACATTTGCTTAAAAATCTCTTAGAAAAATCGAAAAATGACCTCCCTAAAGTACATTCGTAGTCAGATTTTATTTCAGAAAAATTGCTACACTTGTAAATCGGATTAATATTGGTACCAATCTGGTAAACAAATTGTTCACAGAAAAAAAACATCATTGTTTTATGTATATAAATCATATGTATATGTCATATGCCATATGTCAACCATAAGCTCCACTCAGAATCTAAAACTGATAAATTAGTTTAAATTTGAAGTTTCATTATTTTCGATTTTTTTAAATTTTATTTTTCTACCAAAATTCTTGTACCAAGTTTTAAGATTATTATCTTGTACAAAAGAAAATGTTGTCTAGTTACTTCGTAAGATAACCATTTTTTGATTTTCTGTATGGTAATTAATAATTGTGAAACAGGAAAGTTAACAGTTTTATTATTTTTGATTTCGGTTTTTTTTTGTCGTAATTTGGTTAAAAATCATTTGAACAATATCTATTTAATAAAGATTTTTAATTTTAATTTTAACATATAAAAAGTTTACTTTGTCTCCGAATAATTTGAATTTTTATCATCACCCACTAAACGATAAATAAAATAAAATTATTTTGTGAATTATGGTAGTTATATGAATACATTTTAAAAGCGTGTACATATGATTCGAAAAGTGTTTAATTTTCAAATATTTGTATTTTAATTAAATTGCTGTACTTTGTTAAAAAAACTAAAAATATTTTTATTTACAAACTTTATTTTATTATTTTCGAAAAAATTGAAGATAGCAATTTTACAGAGTTTGTTCTTCTGAAATTGTTGATGTTCCGACTTTTTTTTTTTTATTAAATTCGTAAATTCTAATAATTTTTCGAAAGTTCAAAGAAAAGATTTTTTTTTAAGTTTTGTACCAAAACATAAAAAATTAATTAAACATAAATATTATATTCCTTATCTTCATGAATAATATTACATAAAAAAAACAAAACAGAATTTGATTATCTTTATTATCTCCGGAGATATTTTTGCAATAGGTATATATATCTAGGTGTGTATATCGCACTGACATTAGGTATACGCAATAATGTGCAGAATATTGTTTTTTATTTCTAAGTAAAGCCCAACAATTTACTGTACTGATCACCATTAATCATCACCGAATTTCACGCCACTGATTTATACTACTAGGAGTTTTTATTTATTCGGTTATAGTGATTTCGTGTATTATATTATATGTATTCTTACTAAATATAAATAATTGAACGTTCAGTAGGATATGATATTCATTTTTTTCTCAAATCGTAACTACAATTCGCATAATGTAACGGTAGAAACCAACCTTGGCCTTGTGAATGGATGATCCGGTGAGTGGATCATGGGCAGCGCTAAGAATTTATGATTTAACTACACTATAGTTTCACTCCCTCCTGTATAATGTTGATCAGATTCGAATATGCCAATAATGTAATTTTTGCATGACGTGTTACCGGTCAAATGCTGGTAGTAGAAACTTTCGAATGTTCTATATAAAATACGTTTTTTTTTTTTTTATATACATTCATAAAACTCGTAATTTTTTTCATTTTAAAGCCTTAAAATTGTTATACAAGTTTGAAAGCGTTATTTAAATTATATTTTGAAAAATGAAATTTAATTTCCTATAGGTACTTACTGTAAAACATTAGTTTCACAATTTAGCACAATATTATATTTTATAGGCAGTTTAGATAGATGCTTTAGTTTGATGAAATGTTTAATTTTGAATTTAAGACTTATACAAGACGGAAACAAGATTCTTCTTACAAAATTCTTAATACGTAATATTCGTTTTTTTCCAATCTAACTGTGATAATATTTTTAGTTTAATACAATTTTCTATGTAGGATCTGACATTTTATATTTTAAAACAACGTCGTGGGTATAACATAACCTTGTGTTATTTCAATGTTATTATGTATATTGTATATTGCATAAATTATATAGATATTTGAAAATGTTTTATAGCACAATTTTGTCTTTACGAGCACTCGATATTTGAAAAACGAAGAGAGTGCGTAAAAACTTGGAATGTAAAAATTTGAATGGTACAAAGCTGGAATATTGTATTTTGAAATTCGTAAAAATCTGAATGGTAATAAAAAATTGGATGATGGAGAATTATACTTGAATATTTAAAAAAAGGTTCTTTATAAATTGTACTTACTGGTCGTTTTTTTTATGAAAAACCATTATTAAGAAAGTTATGGAAGTTGGAAGTTTGTCGATTACGCTATTACCTTAAATACCTAGTTGATTCCTCGCGTTTGATCGTGACTAATTAGGTAACGCGTTGAGTCGTAGAACCTGTGGTCTAAGGTTTAATCGACCTATCTAAACAAATTTTTGCAAAGTTTGACTTTTAAATTTTGGTTTTTGTTTTTATGAGCATTAAAAACCAAAGTTTGACGGAAACCATAAAAGTTGCGGCATTTCAAGATATGTCTTATCGAACTTCGCTTTGAACTGTTTTTTCGTTAGCGACGGTTTTTCGAATATCAGTACTTTTTTAAATATTAAATTCCAAATTTATACCGTCCAGATTTTTACGGATTTCAAAATTTTATACTCCAAATTTTTACCGTCCAGGGTTTTATATTTCAAGTTTTTACGTGGACCTAAAACCAATACAGTAACAGAGATTTGTTTAAAATCGTTTTTTGTGTGAGACAAAATGTTTAAAACATTTGAACCATTTTTGAGATATTTTATAGACGTTTTAATTTATCGTGTTTTTTTACGTAAATTTTATTTAGTTGGTACACTGTGGATAAATTGGTAGACTAAATAAAAATGTTTGCAAATTTAAAAGGATGTTTATTATAGTTTTTACTTAGTGGTAAAAAAAAATAAAAAATTGAGTATAATGTATTACTTTTTTATGAGATCTTTAATATTACATTTTGATCGTAAATAATCATAAATATTTTAAAACATGTATAACCGAACTTCGCTCAAAATTATTTTTCCATTAGCAAAGGTTTATCGTTGCTTACTGATATAAATTAAAGAACTTTATGTTATCTACTTTTCCATCTTCCCACCTTCAACAGTGGCACACCCGTTACTGTATCGTACGTATCTACCCGAATAAAGTATTGGATCAGTTCTTTCTAAAATTTGTTTTTTTGTTATTCAAAGAAAAATATTCTCGGGGACCTGAAACTTTCACCGAATATCCTTAGCCTATAGGTGTATTGAGATGATTTTCTATAAGGGGCTACAGTCCTTACAAAATTGTTAACATACATAATACATATACATACTCGTGGGTGCCGTTAATTCCACAGTCCACACCCCTTAATAGTATTAGGTTATTTAAACGCGAACGTAAATAGGATTTTGAGAGTCTATAATCTCTGAAATATAAAGTGCTTTATAAATTGTAAAATTAAAAAAAAAAAAAAAATTGTACATTATTAATCAACAGTGATTTAACAATAATATTTAAAGTAAATAAATGAATCGATGCGTCGCCTGGAGAATTATGATAAGTGTATTATACGACTGGTTTCGATTAATACACTTATAATACTCCAAAAATATGATATTTTAATACATAAATGTAATAACCAATATTTATTTCATGGGAGGCAAGTGCCCCATCTTGCCCCCCTCTCCACGGGTGCCAATGTTTGGAGTATAGAAAATATAGGTATCATATTCGGTTTTAAATTAGGTATTACCTTATATTTTTTTGAATTTCTTGGAATTCATCAAAAAGACACTTCTCACAACTCATTAACATTTATTTTTATCGACGATCTAGAATATAATAAGCCTTTGGTGAATTAAAATATACAGATTTTTGTAAAATAAAAAAAAAAAGGTCAACGAAAAAAAATTTGTCATTTTTCAAAGAATTAGGGAACTGTTATGGGGCTATAGCCCCCTTAGTCCACCAATTATAAGCCTATGCGTACACAAGACATAGACGAGGTAAAATTTTCAAAATATTCTGGCATTATTTGTATAGTTATAGCTATTTCAAATTTTCGAGTTTTTATATTTTTGGTTTTATGTTAATAAAACATTTTTAATTTATTTTTATCAACGTTTAAATTAATGATAATTTATCTTGTGATTACAAATTAATACCATGTTCAATTTAAAAATATCAAAACACTTTTGAAATCATTTATCGTTTGCAATGATTTATTGTCACATACACTAAACATAAACCAAATCGTCCTATACTATACCTTCCCAATTTTTAAATTTTAAATCGATTATTTATTATATAGATAAACAAAGATAGAAATAAACGTGGAAAATATATGTTTGCTCAACATCATTATATTGTATATTTTCGGGATATTATTATTATTATGTGACTCATGTGACTCATAAGGTCTCAAACACTGCTTTTTGTACCTACAAGTTTTTTTTTCTTGTCCCAAATATTGCAGCGTTTAGTCGATTAGTCAAATGTTTATAATTTAGTATCTATTTACCAAGTTTTTAGATGATACAATGTACGAAGCGAAAAACGTTTATATTTAATTCTAATTTTAAAATGTACATAACACACCGTAAACATCCATTATTTTTACGTTTTTTAAAAGTATTTACACAATTTCATAAGTTTTTAAATTGTTAAATATAGTACATTTTTAGTGACGTGTAAAAATCGAATTATTTTTGTATATAGGCTTCTGGTACGCGTGGGAAATTTTGCAACGTTTTTCATTTTCGTAAAATACAATTTAGTCCATTAATATTGTTATAGTTTTATGAGTTATGTATTGACGTGTGACTGAAGTTTCCAAAATTTAAAAGAAACTCGAAAACGACAGAATTTAAAATTGCATTATTATTATTATTATTATTATTATTTTAAATATTGGTTATTCGATACCTCGAAAACTCTGATACTTAAGATACGGTATTAAAATCTAGGGAATTTATGGTATCGATTTCGATATTTTCTTTTGCTTAAATGATTAGTGATAACGTGATCATCACGTTGTGATTAATTAATTGAGATTAAATAAATTAGTATTTTTGTTGTTGTGTAATGTGTTTTTACATTCAAATTCTAAATAGTCGCTTAAATAGTGTTTTGTAATATAGTATTGTGTTAAAGCGATTAAGTAATTAATTAAATATATTTTGCTTTTTTAATTCCTGACCATCCTTATACCTATTCAGAATCGAGTGTTGAATATTTAATTTTAATCTATGGTATCGGTCATATTTTATTTGTACCATCAATATTTTACCTAATACCATAATAATTTTTAATATTACAGATATTTAATAATCTAATAAATTGTTTTTGCTAATTTTCTACGTCATTTATAAAACGAAAATCCCACGGGCGATAATAATATTACATCGTATTTTATTATATTCGTATTATTATTCGTTAATAATATAATCGGTACTCTTATGAATGTACCACGTCCACGTTTTGAAATAAGATTTCAATATACAATACATTATACCAATATATATGCTTATACACAATCAAATTTACATTATATTATTATCATTTTTATTTAACTAAAATCGTGATCCAAAATGTATTATATGTATTTTTTTATTCGCAGTGTACCTACTTCTATACTTCTATAAATGTTAAATACATGTATTTATTTTCAAATAATACTACCTATACTTATATATTTTTTAACACTATCTATATCTATGTCTTATAAAACTAATATCAAATAAATTTATTAATTCCTCTATGTAAAACAAAATATTATCTGGCACAAAACAAGATCCGAACCGATTGATATAGTCGTGCTATAAATAGAAAAAAAAAATCGGTAATCTGTACCGAAGACACGCGTATAAATTATTTTATGTTAACGAAATACCCAATACCAAGATAACACTTGAATTAGATAATTCAATTTTTTTTTCGAAAATGTACTTATCGACGGCATTTTAATTTAAAGGAAACAAATTCTCTATAATACTCAAGCCCGATAATCGGGGTATTTTTTGTAACTGCTCCAGGACGATTTCAAAAATGGATTTATAATCCGAGTTGTCTTCCAAATTAAGTGAAAAAAACGGATATTCTAAAAAAAAAAAAAAAACCAAATTTAAAATCTGCCTTGGTCTGACATCAAAATATTACTATATTAGTATTCAGTTATGATGGACTTAGTAAATTATTGTATTGGGAAAAATGGAATCGGAAAATAGATACCTAACCGTGCCGAAGCTATAATATAATAGGTATATGCGTTTTAATAAATGCATATTTTTCCCTACTTACATAATTATCTTGTTCCCTATTTATATTGGTATACTTTAACTCGTACCTTTATGTCAATAATATGTAATAATAATATGTATTGAACAAACATTTTTAATTTTGTTTAGTGAAAATCGGTCGTCGTATACGTGTATAACTATTATGTTAATTGTCTAATTAGAATTGTTAAAACAATGCGTGTAATTTTTTTCCTGAAATGCATTGGTGCATGGTAGGTTTACTTACCTATAATATTATATAGGCAAAATAATATCTGTAATATTATATAGTTGTTTTATAAGTTGTGTATATTATTTACAAAACATAATAATAATTGTATAGTGAACTTTTTACAGTGTTATTCTAAATTATGAACCGGGAAAAAATTAATTATTTTTGTTTTTTAATAATTATATTTTTTCAATGACATATTTATATATTTGATTTTAATTATAATTATACGCATTATGCGTGTATCATTGATTTTTCAAATAGACTATACATATATATGTAATAAATTTGTTATAAAATCAATAGTTACCTAGGCATATATTATTATGTTACAGTTATTGGAAGTATAGTTTATTTTTTAGTATAACTTGGTAAATCTTTTTTTTAGTTCATTTTTTTTTATTTTAAAACTAGACGATATTATAATTGTATGGTTTCCTCGATACAAATTTCAAAATAGTGTACTATTACCAACGAATCACGATAAAATATAAAACTTATTTTCACAGATGTAAATACGATTATTGGTTCTGTTTGGCTGGTTATAATTACAATTACAATTGTATCTATTATTGATATGTATGCATAAACCTTGACGTGTGTGTGTCACAGTATAGACTCGTTTTATCCACTATAGACAATATAGTGTATAAAATTGTAATATACAGGCTGTCCCACGAAGTTATACCCCCTGAATATCGCCAGAAATAATAAAGATAATCAAATTTTGTTTTTTTTTTTTTTTTTAAATATTACTTACAGGGACTACAAATATTTATATTTGAATCCCATTTTTTTTTTAAATTTAAAAATAACTAATTTATTATTTTCGGAAAATTTTAAACGACTGTAACTTAGAAACTATTCATTGGATATAAATGTGTGATACATTACAATTTTCAGAAAAATAAATTCTATAGAATGGCTATCTTAAAATTTTCTGAAAATAATAAAATAAAATAATTTTTTAAATTTAAAAAAAAAAAAATGAATTTGCTTATCTTTATTATCTCCGGAGATATTCAAGAGGTTTATCTTCGTGGGACAGCCTGTATAATTTTATTATAAACTACATCATGCAGGGTTCGGAATTGTAGCATTTACTTACTTTTTTGGCTTCAAATTAAAAATCTGGCTGATTGCTCTCGATTTTGATGTCATGTTACGAGTTCAACTAATATGGATGGGTACTTAATATGAAACACCAAAGTGTTGTTTTTTTTTTAATATTTTTTAAGTGGTTTTTTTAGGGCTTATAATGACTATTTTAATTTCTTTTTGTTGATTTCAAGTTCTGAACCCTGATTTTAAATAACTAAAGCATACCACACCAAACAACTTTTCGACCAGAAATCTTTCTACTATCATGAAAATCATGAGTGCTTTCGGATATCTAATTTTGTCTAGTTTGTATTTTGAAGTCATTGATTTTCCTTGTAGTTTTTTTTTAATAATTGGAAAACAACGGGAATATTTACGCAATAGTGGTTTCTGTTGTCTGAAAAATTCACGTATATTAGCATTAACACTATCAAGATATTGTATAATTTCCGAAATATTTTGGTGTTTATTGAATTATTTATACCTATTTGACATCGTCTAGTTATTTTTAGTAATTATTTTGTTTTATCTGGATATAATTGTATTGGAATAGTAAACATCGGTACAAGGTTTGCCATAAATTGTAGTAATTTTTTTTTTTTTTTTTTTTTAAAAAAAAAGTTAAGAGTATAAGTACATAAGTGTTTTAAATTTACTGTGCCAGTAACGATAGTTTAGGAATTTTTGTCATGGAGGAGATATCGATTTTAAAATCGTATCATACTGTGTATCGCTTAAAGAATTTATATAAAAAGAAAGACAACTTCGCACGATGGGTGGGCGACTGTTGTCGGTGAGAAGTTAGGATGGTAGAGGAGAAATTTAATGTATATCTTTATGCAACGATTAACCATTGCTAACGAAAAACGATTCTGAACGGAGTTCGGTTAATACTGTTGTTTTGTCAACAATAGAATATATATCATATTATGGTAAAATAATTACATATGCATTGTATATTTTGTTTAATAATATTTGTTTAATATTGTAGCTATTTTCCCGTTTTTCATACGTTTTATCCCGGTTTTCTCATTTATTATGAAAAAAACTAGGAAAGTTTTGAAAATGATATTAAGTTAATGCTTGAATCGGGTGAGCGCTTGGGCCATCTTACGTTACTTCTCAGAAAGACGAGACGCGTCTTTCGGGAACATCTGAACATCAAAAGTAGTAGGATGAATTCTCTGTGTTTATCTGTTTGTATATATCTGTGTATAATATTTGAAGATCGAGTCGACAAAAGTGTGACAACTATTTTTTTTTCACAATGGCATCAGTGCAATAACATTTTCCACAATTATAGCGGTAAATTATTATTGAATCCTATCGCTGTTTTTGCATTTTTATTTGTATGTATTGACAAATGACAATATGTATAATATATGATATGGCGTGTGTTGTTTAGTAAAATTTTTAACATTATAGGTTTATAACCATAATTAAAATTAAAACGTTAATTGGGTTTATCTGCATCCAGAAAGGTTAAAATATCAATAATTAATATGTATTATTGTTATTGGTTTTCACAGTTAAAAGGAAGCATCGACGAAACAAACAGTACCGTAGAAATAGTCGATAAATTTAACAACTATCAAATATACCCTCGTATTATCAGTATTGTTTCGAAAGATTATTTTAAATTTTTTAAGGTAAGCGAATGTTAGTTGTTTTTAAGACCTTGACTTTAAATTTTTGTTTGTATCATTTTTTAGGTAAATTTACGGAGGACTTGTCCATTTTGGTCAGATGATAGCAAGTGTGCAATGAGACATTGCCAAGTGGAATCCTGCCAGTTGGTAAATATAATAATTAATATTATCTGGATTACTTATATTTAGTGCACTGTAGATTCAAAATAATTTAAATTTGCAATAAAAAAAATAGTTTTTATAATATTGTACTAAGGTAGTAAAGTAGGATGTAAACAAATGTAAAATAATAATAAAGTATCCTATTTTCTATATGTATTAAGAGTATTTTTATTAAACAAATTCATAATTAATTTGTTTGTGTAATATTCAAGCAATGTATCATATGTTTCTTAATTCATCTATGATTTTTTTTTAGTTGTAGGCCTTTAAGAACAAACTGACAAACATATTTCCGGCTATTTAACACTATTTCTTGCCTAGGTTTGCTTTTCTGTATTTGATTCTGTAAGCTCCACATCTAATCTCACTTAGTTTTCCTATCTCAGTCTAGGGCGTCCTGTTGGTATTTTTACTGTAGGATTATTGTGTAGTTCCAGGTGTATGAACAAATCTTCTTTGCGCTAAGCTTGACCTAGCAAGCTGACTATGCTAAGACACCTATAAAGTTCTTTAATTTCATAAATTTTTCGGATTCTCTGCTTTCTGGGGCTAATGTCTAGATACGGGCTAAATATTTTTTTTAAAACTTTTGTTTTGAATACTAGTAGGTTATTTATCTAAGTTTGGTGCATTGTCCAAGTTTCACTTCCATACATTACTTCCATAGGTCTTACTAGTGATTGATAAAGTTAAAGCTTTAGGCGTTTGGATAGTAATGCATGACCCCATATAAGAATTCTTGTACTCTTTGAAATTTATGTTCTTAATTGATAATATGCAAATCACAATATATTATTTTAGTTTCTAAGGCTATGATTAAAATATGTATTTTGCTATTTTTAACATTTTGTAAAAACATAGTAATTAATAATACACAATCTTCCTGGTCTTCTTTACATTGTATACATTGTTATTATACTGTATTATTTTTTGCAGGATGATTTACCGATTGGTCTTAAAGGTAGTCGTAATGGTTTAGTGGCTGAAGATATGTCAATAAAAGTGAGTATCTAATATATTGTGTTAAAATATTTTAATTAATATTTCAGTAAATTATGTAAAATATATTTATGTAGCTTCCTATCCTTGCTCAGAATTTATAATGAATATTTTCAAATATGCTTTCCTATTACTGTGTTTCCTAGTACGGCTGTCACTGCTGTTCCTGTGCACCAATTTGGACTCAGTTATTCACTAGGAAAATCATTTACGTAATCCATTCCACATATTCCTTTGTTTAAAAACACTCAGTGCATTTTATTTTTTTTCTATTTGTATTTTAATGATAAAATTATAATATAATTTTTTCTCTGTATAGTTTATGGAAGGACCTCAACAACAAGAATGTGAAGAAGCATTACAAGATGATTTGGGTTACATTAATACAACCATAAGGTTAGTGGCATATAATATGCAGTAATATAGTTATCATTTACCATAAGGGAAAATGTTTCGGGGTGTCAAATTTGGTTGGTAGTGTAATTTAATCCCCCATCTCTTGGAAACCAACACAAATATGTGTATTATTTGAATTTGCACCAAGACACTTTAACCCTACCTCAGCGCTAATAATATTAAATAATATTTAAAAATTAAATGTTGTTTATTACTTGCATTTATGTTTAAATTTCATTTTTATTTGATATTTAGAAATAATAACACACGGGTTAAGACAAAATGTATATAGTCTAAAATCTATTAAATACAGTGTTTGAATTGGAGGGAATGGCGGGCCAGAGATATTCTATTTAATTTTCTTTTTTTAGCCAACTCCCTTATTTTACTATTCAACACCAGTACAACAGTATGTTCGTCTTTTTATTTAATATTTGTTATAAATATTTATTTTATTTAAAAAAAAAAAAGAATTGCAAATATTGATATAATAAGCTTACATAAAATAGCAATCATTTGGTATATCCAATTTGTATCTTTGACTTTACAGACTACTTTTTTTCTTATTAGTTATTATCATTAATTTCATACTAATATGTCTTGGAATATCAAGATGCTGTAGTGATGTATAACAACGTCATATAATAGATATAAATAATAAACTTTTTTATTATCTATATCTGTAAGCAACACCAACACATTTTTGATTTACTGTTGGATAACATCTTCAATAAAGAATAAGAAAAAACTGGCAACTGAAGAAAACTGTTCATGTTAGGGATTCATCAAAGGAATGAAGGTAGTTGAAAAAAGTCCATACGATTCACTATAGAATCTAATAATAGATTAAAATATGATTAAACATATATATATATATATATATATATATTTATGTTTTATAATTTCATTCAGTTCTTGCATGTTAATTAGGTACTATTTAGTTTTATTAAAACAACTGTAAGAAAATTCTTTTTTTAAATTTTATTTATATATTTATAATTTGATTATAGCCCTGATTCAAATTAATTTTTACATTTATAAAAAGATTTGTTTTAATATAGTTTTCAGAATTTTGAACGTAGTATTGTTTTATTTTAATTCTATATTTGATGGTAAAATTATGGGATGTGCAGGATAAAGTTCCTCGCGGATCACTTTTCCTACCACGTATTTAAATGCTAATTTCAAAATTAAACCTAGAATCTCCTTTATTAATTTTTTTCCAATTCAACCACTGATTAAATATGAACATGTCCATAATTTTAGTCTATAGTACACAAGTGTTGATAGGTTTTATAACCTTTATGAGGTTCCATTTGTTAGGTAAATGTTAATTAAAATTAATTCTATTGTCACAATTCTTTACAGAAACATTTCAATAGACAAACAGATTTGATAAATCCAAATAATAAAATATGGACAATACTTATATCTGTTAATTATATATATTTTTTAATTTAATAAGTAGTCTCAGTGAAAAAGTGGATTTATTTTAGCTGAATCAAGTGTTGTGCGATTGCAGTCTATTAAAACTCCTTACATGTTGAAGTAGATTTCATAAGCCATATTATTAAATAATTAATTTATTACCACTAGCCATTTTTAAGCTTTAAACTGTTTTGCCAATGTTTTTTAGTAAATAATAATAATAATAATGTACATGTATACATCTTTATTTTTTACATACTATTGAAACACTGAGCTTGATATGAAACCTAAATATGTAATATTTGCCACCTTTTTCAAACAGAGTCAATCCTATCTACAAAAAGGACAATTCCACTCATAAGTATGAAATAACTAGATTATAACATTTAAAATTGAGTTAAATTAAAAACAGTTATAACATAAAAACTTAAGAATTCTTGAGCTAATTAGGTTAATAAAAATTTATTTTTTGTAAATGTTTAAAGCATCAATTTTTTAAAAAATCTTAATAATTACATTTCAAAGTATATTTAGCGAAACTCTTTTTAGAATCATTTTTGTTAGCAACAATTAATCTTTGCGTACAGATATAAATTGTACACCCTATGTACCCTCCGGCCTCCTTTCCCAACTTTCCTCCTATAACATTGGCCTATCTATGAGCAGCATCTTTTATGAGGAACTTAAAGATAGACTATGTATAAAATACCTGCAATATGCTGGCTTTTTTTTATTTGTTCTGGGTTTATTCATTATTGTGTTTATATTTTCTGAACTTCACCTCAAATCTGTATTTCCTTAATTCTTTAATAAAACAATACCCAAGTAACATAAATAAGCTTTGTTTAATATTTAGTTTTACAACTATTGAGCTAAATTTCTAAATTTGACAAAAAGCTGATTTTTATTTTATTATGGAATTTGTGCATGAATATATCTGTTTAATATTTTTATATTTGATGATTTTTTTTATTTAATAAAAGTCCAAACTGTAATAAATAATTATTAGAGGTTAATGTGCAATTGATTTTAAATTTTTTTTTTTTTTGTACATAGTGTATAGCTATTATTAAAGGTTTTTGCCATATTCATGATATGCACACAATTTATTGTTCATAATTATTTCTGTGGTGGTTAGAAACGGATGCATAATACAGAACATTATTCATTTAAATCAGTGATTCCCATTGTTGGGTGCGTTACTACACCCTTGTGGACTTTTTTAATTTTGATGATTTAAATTTTAAATCATTGAATTAAATTGATTGAATAATAATTTTTTATAATTATACTTAGTAACAATAATTATTATTTACATATTCATTACAACTATTTCCATAAATATTTTTAGTTTGTTTAAATAATTTTATTGTATTTAGTGCTGCGGCCATGGAAGATTTTGCTCTTTGGCAAGCTCATGACGATTTACAAGATATGTACTGCACTTTACCTGATGATGATGGTGAGGCTGAGTACGTTGATTTGTCATTAAATCCAGAACGATACACAGGATACAAAGGACCTTCAGCTAATCGTGTTTGGAATACAATTTACATGGAAAACTGTTTTAGGTGAATATTAACTGTTGATTAACTTAGATTGAAATTTGTAGTACAAATATACAATTTATACAAATTAATTTATTATTACACAAATTTTGTTCTAGACCAAAAAATTTATTTGAAGTTTACATTATATCAGCAAAGTTGACTGGTAATTATTCTTTAATTATTTTCATTCATCTATTTAAAAAACAAATAAATTGCAGGAATGTGTTTGGAGAAGCGAGCATTTTACCGTGCTATTTCTGGTCTTCATGCGAGTATCAATATCCATCTTAGTGCTCAATATCTATTATCAGGTAACATAAATTAATATTTACTCGGTTCGTTTTTAAATATGTATATTGTTTATTCTCCTACTAGATAAGGGATCCACCTTTTTGAACCCCTGTGGCACTGGTTTCTGGGGCCCAAATGCTGAAGAGTTTGAGCGAAAGTTTGGCCCAAAGTCCACTAAAGGAGAGGGAACACAGTGGCTAAGAAATTTATATTTCTTATTCCTTGTTGAACTGAGAGCTTTACAAAAAGCTGCACCTTTACTTGAACAAGTCAAATATTATACTGGAAATGATAAAGAGGATGAAGCCACTCGACTTGCTGTTAATAATTTTTTAGAGATTATCAAGTTAGTTAGCTAAATTCTTTGGTTTGAATTTGAAAATTGTTTTAATTACGCATGTTTGCAGGAAATTTCCACAACAGTTTAATGAGCAAACTATGTTTTTGGGCGGACAACAGGCACAAAAATTAAAAGAAGAGTTCCGTCTTCATTTCCGTAATGTATCAACAATTATGGATTGTGTGGGCTGTGATAAATGTAGACTCTGGGGTAAACTACAAGTTCAAGGATTAGGAACTGCGCTGAAAATATTATTTTCGAACAAAGCGCGGACAAATGTATCTAATGAATTATCTACCACTTACAATAAGCACTCATTACAATTAGAACGTAGTGAAATTGTTGCACTTTTTAATGCTTTTGGAAGGTGAGTGAAAAAAAGTTTTATTGAAATTTTATTAGTCAAAGTCTAAAACTGTTCAAGTTTATTTTCAAATTAATTTTTAAGTAATAATTTAATACTTTATTTTTACAGAAAACTTAATGATTTATGATTTTAAAGTTTTTAAGTACATTTAACTTTTCGTGTATATATTTGTATACTATTTTTCAAATGAGAATTTACATTGGGCGCCAGACCGGTTAAATTCGCAAAAATTTCCTGCATTACGCATTTTGATATTAAAGTGTAAAAAAAAATAAATGTTTTGTAGAGTGTGATAGTATAATACAGTAGATAATACAAATATAAAAATAAATAGGCATAATACATTGTCAATAATTTAATTAATTTAATTCTCTATATGTACGGCGGAGTCGATAGTAGCTAACCAATGGCAATCAATATAATACTTATTCTGTGGGAATGGAGTGTTGTTCCATCGCCAATAACGATGTTCTATGTGGTGCACTCTCATTTGAAAATTAGTATGGTATATAATAAATACAATTTCTGGTCACATTTTTAATGTATACGTATTGAACCTGTTTAAACATTTTTAAAATTATTGTATTTTTATTGGCATTTACAGTATAAGAATTATATCCCTATCACACTTTATTCCCTCTTATCATAATTAAATCATTACTTGAAATGCCTATCGTTCAACTATTTTCAACTGGTTTTTTGCCTTTGTTGGTCATATACTTAATATTGAACATCCCAGGTAACATTATGACACTATTTCTTTGAAACTAAATCTATTTTCACTTGAAGCTAGACGCGATTAACTTAAAATTAATTTGAGGTTTTATAATCTTAGAATACTTAGATAAATTTCAAAAACCACAACAGAACCACCTGATCAAATGATATTTTCTATATATCTACTCGATCAATAAATTTGTGTATACATGACCCATTATAGATATGAAGACTCTGAATTCTAATACTAATTTTATTGACTTCTTCCAATGATTTTTATTTATTGTTGTATTTATAATATTTATTGTTAACAATAACTAGACATTTATATATTTTATTTGTATCAGTTGTAAAACATTTCTATTTTTTCCACTTTATTATTATATTCTTTTAAAGTTAATTTTATTATTTAAGTTATACAATGTGTTAGGTTTATTAAATTAATAAAAAAAATAATAATCAATCACAACTACATTTTCAAAAAATTAAGTAAACAATAAAATTTGCCATTAAAAACAAATATATATATATCATGGTATTTAGTTGAATAAACAAATTTAATAAAAACTCAAAAGTGGAAGGTGTAAAATATATAAATTACGGAATGCTTTAAAACTTTTACCTCATTTAAAAAAGGTTTATCATTAGACAAGGTTAAAACAAATTGAAAATAATGAAATCTCCATATACTTTCCCATTCTTTCTAAATTTCTTCCTGGTTTTATATGGAAAATCAAAACATAACACTCTTACTCCTCAACTAAATCTAAAATGCAATAAAAAAGGTCTCTTGGAATTTTTTGATTGAAGTTTTCTGGTAGAAAAATTGTTTTCATATAGAAAAAAAAGCATGCATCACAGTAATAAAATGTTGAAACTAAGGAGAAAAATTAACAACAATTTGTTTATATTCGTTACAAAGTGTATAAACTTTAAAAGAACACAGAAATACTAACACCAATAACCCATTAAACATACTTCAAATTTGGAGAAAATGGTTAGTTTACAATAAACAAAAATTATGTATCCCATCTCTATTATCTACTGTTTATATATGTGTAAGATTTATTTTAATTATAATTTTATTTTAGGTTGTCAACAAGTATATATGAAATAGAAAAATTTCGAAAAATTCTTAGGTGAACATATTGGAATAAAACAAGAAAAACATCACCACTAATTCTGATTAACTACAAATGTATATGTATAACAAGTATGCTACACTGTATTGACTACATTCCCTCTCCCACTTATTTATTTTTATGTTTTATATAACAGAAAGTATGTGATTTGTTAATCAATTTACAGTATGTTTATATATTTACTATATACTATATTATCTAATAATTATGGATAAAACTCCTTTTGGTGGTATTGTTTTATCGATTTTATAATTGGTTGTAGGTACCAACAAAGTTATGAAAAATTAGTTTTTAAATGCTCTCTATATAGAACTTATAAAACTATGAAGTGTATTATTAATTTATTAAAGATAGCCAATATTTTTTTAGTCTAATAAATAAGTTATACCTGCAATAGTCTAGTCCTTTTAGTATATTTAATTTTTTTTAATGTCCGTTATCTATTTGTTTGTGTCAAATTCTGTAAACTAACGTCCTCATAATTGTTACTTTTATTTTTAATTTTATTTTTACAATGTTATATTATTTGTGTTATTTAAGATTTAATCTCAAATTTAGTATTACTAAATTAATTAATCATTGTATGCACAAATTATTTTTATTTATATTCATATTATGGTGCGAGGTCATTATTTATTTAATATTTAAATGTATACTAACATATATGTGTATTATATTGTCATTCCAAAAATAATTGAAAATGTTCAACATATTTGACAAAATGGTATAATAATATTATGGATTATATAAAAGAAAAAAAATAGTATCTACTGTGATATGGTATGAAAGGTCTGAACAAATTAACCATAATAATTTATTATGTTTAGTCTAGTTTTGTATGGATGTTGTATCTTGTTTATTTATGTATGTGTGTGTGTGTTATGTATGTATTTATTTATTTATTTATTTAATATTTTTAAAAAGTTTATAAGCTAATAACTATTTATTTCTGATACAATTAAATACTAAATACTGTTAAATATAATACAAAAATATTATTATTGTTGTTTTTATCAAATATATAATACAGAATACAGATTATTGATTATTATTATTTTAAGTCTATTTTATGTTTAAAATATTTTACCAAACAAATAGTTAAATTACATTTTAGTAGATATTTTGTATGTACTAGGTTCTTGAATATAATTCAATTTCAGTTATCTCAGCATTAACAACTTATTGGATTAAACAAAAAGGAGGCATATGTTTGCTAACAACCTAAAGCTCAAACTTAATTAGAACACTTATCAAACACAAAAGTATTCATTGGGGCTCTTCAAGGCCCAATATTTATAAAATATTGTCATTGAACTACTGGCTGTTTTTTGTTGGGAGATTAAATATATATAAATATTATTGTTACACTTCAGTTGACTATTGCAGACTGCAGTAAACTAACAAGATATAATATTTAACTATCAATAATTTAGGGTCCTATCACTGGATAGCTTCCCTTCTAATTGTCCCTTCCCGTCATAAATTGTTCTCATATATTTGCTTATTGTATTTGTTTTATTTATGTACAGATTGTAAATGTCATATATTTTTTTTTTTATAAAAAAAAAAAAAAAAAACTATCAATAATTGTGTGAGCGAGTATATGTATACACCAATTACTGAAAACTGAAATATAATATAGTATATTAAATATGTTTACGCGAAATCCATTGTTATTTTTTAGAAATATTGGCCAGAAAAACCGACTTTCTATCCAATATGGCATTGGTTTTCATGGTCTTAGAACTTTTTATCAATGGAGCCCCTAAAATCCTAAAATCAAATAATCCAGGGGCTACTGGTGTACCAGACCGACACTTGAGGTAGGTATATTACAACAGTGTAGGTAGGTATATGCCATTTGAAATTAGGTGTGACCATAGATAGTACATATTATGTATTATGTATTATGTATTGTTTGTTATGTATTACATATGGGTGTGACTGTAATACTGGTATAGGTACTGATTTGAGGTCTATATACTGATATAGCGTTATCTTTGTTTAAACAGTAAACTGAAAATATCCAATATTGTTACCAATAATATCGATATTATTGAAATACCAAACCATTGACCATACACTGAAATTATTTAATCTATTTTTAAATTATATGAAAATAATAGTTATAAATATAATTATTAATAATTAATAACATAATATTACTATTATAGTTATGATTGGCTTACACACATTATGGTTGTGCGAATGTAATACGATTTTATTTAGTGTTGTATATACATATTTTTAACGTTTACAACTTAGTTGTTGCTTTAAATAATAAAGTAAAATCAAAATTATTAAAATGGTTAATACTCGTAAATATATATATAAATAAATATTTATTAAAAGACGGTACACTGAACGTCTTTTGCTACAGATTATCAAAATAATAAACTTTTCACACGCTGTATGTAGACAAGCCAATCTTGACACCTCCTTTTCTAACTTTAGTTAATTGTGTTACTTAGACTCATATGTATATTTTAAATATATAAATTCCGAATGCCTACTGTATTATATTTTAATAGGGCTTCCACTCATAAAATAAAACAAAGTTAAATAAGTTAAGTTTATCATTGTAATTAAGACTTCACTCTTATATTGTATATTATTATCTTAATAGTTTAAGGGTTTTCATCTTTTATTTAGGAATATTTTTTATAATTTTGCCTAAAATTATATGTATTTAGGGTGCACTATATTACAATATTTACGAATTTATTTTTTAGATTCAACCCTAGTTATAGAATTTAAATGAAAAAAAAAAAAAATGCTTTTAAAAAACTATTGATTATAGATACATAAATAAATACTGATATTATTTTTGTTCAGTTAATGTATTTTAAAGTTCTTTAGATAAAAAAAAATTGAACAAATTAAAATTGATTTTTTCATTTTATTTCTATATTTAAAAAGAAAATTTTTTTCTAAAAATACACTCTTTAAGTGAAAAATGTAAGCTAAGAGAACTTAACTTAGGGGATTATTATGGTTCTGTTTTAGATTATTGACTCAGAAAACGAAATAATTGTTTCAACAGAAATTAATATTAACATTTTTAAAAAATCTGATAATACAAATTTGCACATATTTTTTAAATCTCATCCTATTTAACCACTAGAAAATATTTTAGTCAACCCAACTAAACTACTACCGTGTACAAATCATCGTTATATTCAATAGGGAAAAGTTAAGTTTCTATAAAGAAAATGATAGATTGTTTTGTTCTTTCTGATTGGCGTTCAGAAAATAAGATAATCATTTCACTGTAGGATGCTCTTCACTGTCAAGTAATAATCCATACTCCTGAATTAAAAAAAACTTAATTGATCTATAATATAATTCATGAAAATACAGTAGTAGTGAAGAATTTCTATTTTTTTTCAAACTCTAATGATATTCAATCATGACTTGATTCTGTCAAAAAATTTTAAAATAAAGGAAGAAGAGCAATTCTCCAAAGATTTATTGATGCAGTCAAATTAAATGGAACACGTAGACTTAGTTACAGAGGCGCAAAAAATGTTGAAGCTGCTTATTCTTTGAATGACTCATCATTAGATCACGGAAATTTTTTAGCGTCCAATTTGATTCCACACAGGATCTAAACATTCATGACCAATAATTAGTTATTATTATTACATTTGTTACAAATGACATTCAATAACGTCTTATAGCATTAGTGAACTGTACATTTGGTGAGTACTGGTGAAAATGTATGTAATCTAATATCAGTTTCGGAGAATACCGCGAACGAACATCGTGACTCGGGATTTGTAAGTACAAAGATATTTAAATTCCAAGTAAAACAAATAAGGTATTCATTGTTTTAATGATTTGTAATTTTTTTTTCATAAGATCTAATTTGGTCATTCAAAACGTACTAAAACATTCACACCGTACCTTAAAAGATGCGAGATTTTTTAGTAATACTTAATTCAATTACATTTTTCTTGTTTCCCAACAGTTTCTTAATCTTTTATAATATAATTGCATATATATTGTATTCATTATTATTTTATTTATGTAAACATATTCATAGACGTGTTTTTATTCACATACCGCGCACGCTACTTCACATACACTATTATTCATACTGTTATTTCGAATAAAATTGAATAGAATAGGATACATCTAAAATTACAGTAATTATGATAATTACTCTGCAATTTTAGTTTCTGAGTGGAATGAGGAATATATTGGTTTTACAATAATGTTTATTTTTTTTTCCTGTGAACAACTTTTATTTTTCTACCATGAATTTTGCTCCGATTTTTAAGTGTAGCACTTTTTCTGAAAGGAAATTTAACTGGGGTGTTACTTTAAGAAAGCCTATTTTTGATTTTATCGGTTTTTCCTAATAAATAGGTAAAACCTGGGAAAAAATGCGAGAAATCGTAGGAAAAACGGGAAATTTTACGAAAATAATGCTTTTATTAATCTCAATTTTGGTTTTCCATTGCACTTTAAGTTACAATATTCTTAGAGACTTGAAATTTTGACAGAAAATTCATACTAACTTTTTCTAAGTGATAAAATTAAAAAAAAAAAATATTTGAGTTATTTTTTTAGCTATTTATAGACATTTTAATTTTGCAAGTTTTTTACGTAATTTTCATTTGATAGGTATTGATAGACTTAACAGAAGTGATTGAAAATTTAATAAGTATTTCATTATAAGTCGTACTTAGTGGCCAAAAAAATTTAAAAAAATGGAATGTAGAATTTTTATTTTTATTTATGAGTTTTAAAATCAAACTTTGAAGAAAATCGTAAACAGTATTACGACCTTTCAAAACATGTAAAATCGAACTTCGCTCCGAATCGCCTTTCGTTTTCAATGATTTATCGCTGGTTATAGATATAAACTAAATAAATGTATGTGTCCCACTACCCAACTACAACAGTAACCGTTCCATTCCCGTACCCATTCCCAGTATCAGATTTTTTTTAATTTGACAAGATAATACTATTAATTCAACAAAATATAATGTTTTGATTGTACGGATTCGTGTTGGATCCGTCTTCCTTGAAATTATCGTTGTAACGGTCGCACGTTTGGTGCATGTTAGTTGTTACATGACTTCATATTGTACCCTATTCAGAATAATGTACCGCATTACGCATCCACGTGATCGCCTTATTCTGTAATTTTATACTTTTGCCTGAGCTTTTTTAACTGTGTTTACTCGTAAACATTGTAAACATTTGTTACAGCATGCATACCCCTACTACTGCACTTGTTAATTAACGCTTACGTGCGTCGTCGATTGTGGCAAGCACGAATGTCAATAGTGGTGTGCAAAGTGTACATAATGTTAAATGCTATCTTTGAAAATAATGCAGATTCGCAACACAGTATACTAGCATATACACTATAAATAGAATCACTAATGACACGTGCCGCCGTGATTATTTTAAATTCGAAAAAACCAATAAAGTATTGAATATAGGCATTAATATAATATTATATCCCAGAAATAATATCAATTATCAACGATCTCATTAAATTTATTAATATATATTAACTACAAACTGGTATAATAAACAACATATTTGTTATATCATTTTTTATCAATTTATCAATTTTATATTTATATTTAGATGATGTACAACGATAAGGCTACGACACATGGTCATGGTTTTGTTCAATAAACAAAACTTAATGATTAGTGATATTTATAAAGTTGATTATAAATTATTACCAGTCAGCGAACTTAAGACTAATTACCATTATCTTTTAGACTGGAAATCAATCATAACCATGAGCTCAATTTAATTAATCGTCATAATATATTATCATCATTTTTTTACTTTAAATACCTTTTATTTAATTCTCATATTTTTAGAATCATCATAATTTTCACTATTTTAATGATGATATTCGGAACAATTTATGACGTGGTTCTACATAGAAAATAAATTAAAAAACCTGATAGTAGCAACATACAACTCAGTTAAAATAATGGTTAGTTAACTGCGAGAAAAAAAAGTAGTCTAGTGTTCTGATTTTTCTCTCATTTATTTATAAGATACATTATTTTTTTTTTTTTATTGATTTTCAATAAAATTCAGTGATAATTAATTATGATATTTCCAACGATGTTGATAAACAAAAACAAAATATTTTTGGTGAAATATTCTTATGTTTCTCTGCCTATACAAACATAAAACTGGTGTTTCATACAAACGAATGATCAGACAGTATAAAGTGTATTTATGGACTCAAATGTATTTCAACAATCTGTATTATACTTTTTCACGCTCAAGTGTATACTGATATATCTTCTGGTAAGCCCCAAATAGTATTATAGTTTTTTAATTGTTTCGAATTTTTTAATTGATAATGCTATTTAATAATACATTTTTATAGATAACATATATATTTACACGAAAGGCCATACAAGTTTATTTGTAGAAATAATTGATAAAATGCATCTGATAGTTGATGTATTTTTTTTCCTTGGATGTTTTCTAAATGTTTATGCATTTCACGTGCAGGAAAGAAATTATAAAATTGAATGAAAGGAAGGATCCAACTAAACTAAGATTTTATTCGCTGTTCGAGGCAATTTACAAAAGATTTATAAGGTATATAATATAATATTATAATATTCCCATTTCCCATATAATTGTATGTATTTATAAAAAAATATTATTTTTAGATTAACACCGACTTATATGATGACGATGGGTGTCAAATTTATGTTTTTCTCATTTTGAAGATGCATCACAACTTATTATTTCTAACAATATTAGGTATAACAATCAGCTTTACGGTGACAAGGAAAATTGTGATAATTATTGGTGGACTAATTTATTGTATATTAGCAATTTAATCAGCTTTATGAAAATGGTATGAATACTATAAATCATAAATTTAAATAAAATTGAATTTATTATTCATTATTTTAATTTTCTAAACTATTGTTCTATTAGAAAACTTCCTTCATAGTATATAACTATAGACTACATGGGCGTATCCAGAATTTTTTTTTCGGGGAGGGTTGATCAAAATGTACAAACATTGTCATACAGTAAAATAAAAAAACTGTCCTAGGATAATGGGGAAGAGTACAGTCACTGTTATAGGTAATTTAATATATATTTATATCTGTAAGCAAAATTTAACCATTGCTAATGAAAAAACGATTCTAAGTTCAGTTGATTGTGTTGCTTTGTTAACAAAATATGTCATATTATGGTAAAATAATTACATGTGTATTAAATATTTGTTTTAATAATGTTTGTTAAATATTGCACATATTTTCCCGCTTTCCTAGGTTTTTTCTCATTTATAGAGAAAACTCTTGAGGAAAATCAAAAAATAACCTTTTAAAAAACCATTTTTAAAGTACCTCTTCATTCAGATTTCCTTTCAGAAAAAATTCTATCAGCAATATTATTTATAGACAATTTTTTTATAGAAAAAAAAATAAACATCATTGCAAAACCGATACATTCCTCGTAGATTGAAAACTGACAGTTTTTTTACTATCAGTTAAAACTGATTGAAATATGATTTCACATATTTTTAAACTGAAATGACGGAATTTTTCAGTTAAAACTGTGTATGTGTAGGTCAATCGCATCAGTTATCAGTTATTATTATCAGATTATTAAAATTATTTTATATTAAATTATTAATTTATTTAAAAAAGGTGATCAGTGATTAATTATCTGTGATACAACCGTGAAAAATGTAGCAAAAACAGTGGTTGACTGAATTTATAGAAATATATAAAAATGAGCCTTGTTTGTGGCAGAATAAAAGTAAAGATGATCGAGATTTTACATTATCAGCTTATAAGATACTTCTAGTCAAATTTAAAGAAGTGGACCCTAAGGCAACTATAGATACAGTGAAAAGTAAAATTAATACTATTCGTTGCACATTCAAAAAAGAATTTGGCAAAGTAAAAGGTTCACAAAAATATGCATATACATGTATATATATAGACAATATAGAAAATTCCAGACGAACGATAAACGTAAATAACAATTAAATTATAGAGTTATAACGTGGGAAAATTGAAGAAAATTGCATTATAAAATTTAATAGGCAGAATATTTTTAGTATATATCGGCTATATATTTAATCAGATCTGATTTATCTTAATTGCAAAAATAGTTGCAATATCAATTAAATCCGATCTTCAGTTATAATTTTATAAGTAATTTAATGTATACCTCTAAGCAATAATAAACCATTGCTAACGAAAAAACGATTCTGAGCGCAGTTCAATTGACAATGATGCTTTATCAACAATATATTATATGTCATATTATGATAAAAAATTTAATTAGACATTATGTATTTTCTTAAATAATGTTTATTTAATATTGTACTGATTTTCCTGTTTTTCCTTCGTTTTTCCTGGTTTTCCCATGGTTTTTCCCGGTTTTTCCAATTTAATAAGAAAACTTCTGAGAAAATAAAAAAAACCTTCCCATTTATATTTCCTTTCAGAAAAATTGCTATCATTATAAATCGAAACCAAATAGCTTGTAGAAAAGTTTCTCACAGAACAAAATAAGACCGTAATATATTTTACTTAATACCTACATTTCGTACATTTTCCCTTTTTTCCTACGTTTTTTTTTTCAGTTTTTCAAATTTGACAAGAAAACTCTTGGAAAAATCGAAAAAAGACTTCCTTAAAGTATTTCCTCCCACCGATTTCTTTTTTAGAAAAGGTGCTACACTTAAATATCTGAACAAGTCTTCTTGTACAAAAGTTGCGCACAGATAAAAATAAAAAAATAAACATCTTTGTAAAACCATAAGTTTCTTCGCATTATTTAGAATCTAAAAACAGACTAATATTATTAAAAATACATACATAATTTTTTTTACTGACCCGTTGAAAAATAACACCAAAATGACTTTTTTTTTACTGCTTCTGACAGAAAGTTTGATTACTGGTGCCTGATATACAATTGATTAATTTCTGCCATATGGACTTCAATAAAAATCGTAACCTAAACATAGTAGTATAATCACGTGATCGAAGTACGTCATTCATCCTTGGTGTACATGTTTGGGTGTACTACCATTGGAAGTGGCTACGAAGAATACATAAAATTGTTTGATTTATAATTGTTCTGCTCTGTTTATATTAGCTGTAACGAATGTAGTTAGGTTTCTAAGAATTCTTTTCCAAACTAGTACAGATTTTGTTTACGACGGGTTACTTTATTTTAAGTGTAAAAAGTAGACAACAAATAGGCGTTGTGACTTTGCAAATATTTTAATCGGCGCGAAGTGGATACGCCGCTTATGGTGCACCACTGGCTTTCGTTGAAGACATTTTTATGTTGCTCAATTTGGCCTCCCCGTGGCTTTGTCGATTTATAATTTTATTTTTTGTCAGTGCGAAATTATACGAAGGCCACTTAGGCGCGTGGTACCAAAGTCGTTTAGTCCATGCAAATACCCTCTACAGAAATAGCGATACTGATCAGTAGAATTAATTGTACTATTAACAGAATTAGTTAATTAATAGAATTAATTAAAAGTACTATCATTCTAAATCGGAGCAAGATTTCTGGTAGAAAAGTTTACACATCCAATCGAGAGGTATTTTTTGATGACAATTGTCCGAGCGAGCGATAGCTAGGTCTCTAGACAGGGACGGATTGGGCACTCGAGAAATTCCTGATGGACTGCTTGCTAACGAATCAGAATGGACTGATGGATTACAGATTGTAATTTTTTCCTCCTTTAATAAAAAAAAATAGGCTGCAGCAATAACATTATTGGCTTTATAATTATGTTTATTACTTTTTTTTTGTACTAATAAAAATAAAATATGTAAATTTATATAATATAATCAACCAAAAAAAAAAATTGTAATGTTTTTGTTGAAATTCAGTTATAAATATTCGTATCGAATCTATGGACTTGAAATTAGGAGAGAAAATTAAAATTTGTCTTTTCTAGACGTGGTAAAATTTTCGAAAAATTCAAGCCATTTTTGAGCTTTAGACTTTGAGCAATAGACATTTTAATTTTGCGAGTTTTATGGTAGTTTTTGGTAGGTACTTTGTGGTAAAATTGTTAGACTTAACAGAATGCTTGGAAATTTAACAGGAGATTCATTAAATCGTACTTTGCCGTAAAAAAAAATTTGAGTTTAATGTAGTATTTGTTTTTATAAAGGAATTTTGAAATTTAATTTTGATGAAAATTGTTTGAGTAAAAAATTAGGTGGAACAAATATAATTTTTTGAATATATACCTGAGCAAGATTTATAGTCGAATTTTTGTACACAGGATAAAAAAAAAATAAGCATCTTAGTAAGACTTAGAATCTAAAATATAAATTGGAACTATTATACTGATACAATAAATATATATTATAATTAATTAAACATAAATGTATAACAGAATTATATTTTTTTAACAGAATTGCTAAATGTTAATTATGAAATTACCTATATATAGGGTTATGGGCTTAGTTATAGTAATATATAAATGGGCTACGTGAAAGGTACATATTCCGAATAAAAATTATAATCAAGGATGACTGGTGTACAAATCTATAGTATGGGTAACAAGTGTAGATGGCGTTTTTATAAAAAAAAATTCTCGTTTTAAACGTCATACTAAGACATAACGTTTACTTATTTATTATGGTGTATGAAATAGTATCAAACTTGAGTTGTACCGGCACACGTGTTTTCCTGATACAATGTTTGATTGAACAATATTAATACTTAAAAATTATTATTTTTTTAATATTGTAATAATTAATTCGCATAGTATGAACAAATTCATTTTTTAGTTCATTATTGTATTCAATTTATTTTAATCGGTAGAATAACACAAGATGACTTACGATGTTACTGTGATAGGTGCTTATAAGAGTTATGGAAGTTCGAATGTGCTCAACGGTTTGACGATGAAAATACCGACACGCTCCATGTAACTATTATTATTATAATTATTATTTCAATTTTTTCAATAAACAAAATAAAGAATAGACGGGTATACTACGCACGTGGGTGGGTCACTGTTGTAGGTGAGGAGTTGGGAAGGTAGTAGAGGGAAAATGTAATGTGTCTGTACGAAACAATTAAACATTGCTAACAAAAAACAATTCTGAGCAGAGTTCAGTTGATAGTGTTGTTTTGTAAATAATGTATAATATATCATATTATGGTAAAAATAAATAATTACATGTACATTAAACATTTTGGGAGCACGTAAAAAAACCGAAAAAATTTCAGCCGAACCGTAGTGGTATATGAAAAAGTTCAGTTTTGTGAAACTATTAATAGCTTTTGCCATTTATAAGCTTTTAGGTGAAAACTGTTTTTTTCATGTTTATTAGTATTCTATACAAGGTGTAAACACAATATTTAACCTTCAAATATTTTTTGTTTCACAATCATAAGTTGAAATTTGTTCAGCCTCTGTGCGTGTGGTAATAGTTGCAAAATAAGAATTAAATTTATTAAACTCTTCCCTTAACCGTTTAGGTCTAGAAGAGGTAAATCCTTAAATCAATTTCAAAAATGTCATGTATTACATATTTAGAATAACTATTATTATTACTATTTATTTTGCAAAAAAAAAAAAAAAGAGATTTTATTTGTTACAAACGATATTATCTTAAACTGGACTAAAGAAGAATTTTTAAGGGGGCTTAGTCACCCTAGTTCTCCTAAATTGCGCTTATATGGGTGGGAGTGTGTCGTCGTCCGCCGAGTGAGTGAGCGGAGGTCCTTGCGCGTCGTATTTTTGCGAGAAAATCAGTGACCATTAGCATTACTGACGATCATTTGGATAATGTTAGGGGAATTTTTGATGTTTAAATTTTTTAAATTTATTTATTTATTTTTTTTGTATAACTTGTACCTTATTATTACCTTATATTATCCGATTAAAAATTAACGTTTAAAAACGGTGAAAACGGTCTTTAAAGGCCTACCTGCTTACTTTCCCAGACGATAACAATCACTTGTTTGTTATTAGGTATTATTCTAACGTTAACAATTCACAATACACTTAATGTGTTATAGTTATAATAAAAATATAAAATAGCCGTGAGAAAAAGAAACCATTTGTTATTTTACGTAAAAACTTGCCGTGATGTTAAACCATGAAGACGGTTTTGCGATGCGTTACATAAAAACCAAATCTAAACGAGATGCCATAAATTAATTAATTTGGTAAACACGGTCGACATAAATTACGTGGTGAACGTAACTATTGGTGTTCCATGTGGAATGATCCCACACGGAACCCAATAGTTGGAATAGAAAAATATGGAACGGGAAAAATCTGGAATGGCTATTTAGAATAGCAAAATCTGAAATAAATTGTAATTTTAAAGACAAAAACTGAAACGGAAACAAAATTTAATGGCAAAATCTGGAACGCCAAAATTCGGAACGACTCTTTTCTCATGAAACATTTTTGAATTTTTATTAAAGGTTGTTCCAAATTTTGTCGTACTATTTTTTGTGATTCTTGTTTTTGGCATTCCAGATTTTACCTCCCAACTGTCCCTATTTAAAATTGAGAGCCAGCATTCCTAGACACATGGGAAATTTTCAATAGTATGAACATTTTTTTCTTTATTTCGACACTGGTTATAAGTTTTTCAGCTTTTGCATTAGTTCTTTTTCAACGAAATATATGGATCTCCCTTGTGATTTCGTCTGCAAACATTCCTACCTTGAACACTGTTAGGTAGTTTTTTGTTTATATTAAAGTTGGCACGAGATAATCATATTTTACCATTATTTTAACAGGCGTTCCTCGATGAGTCTTCTCGGTTTATGTTATTCGATCATATTTTTTTATTCAAGGTTACCCACACTTATCTGTGCCCTGCAAAACTCTCGCGGCTAATATTGTGTTACCGTATGTTACATCGTAGGTAAAGAATTATATATTGTTAATGTTTTTTTTCTTTTGATAATTTAAAACTGTACATCATATAGATATAGATATGTTGATGCGAAGTTATTATCATCTATATTATTCATCTCTTGCCATTCACCTGCCCCATCACGTTTTTTCGGACCGTCGTATTCGGTGTTATACGAACATAATGTACATTGATATAAAAAAATTGACAACTTGTTATTTTGTAATTCGAAATTATTATTTACAAATATTTAAATTTGATCATAAACCAATTCACTATATTATTAAAAATAACTACACTACTGCTTAGCAAAAAAGTCGTATGTTTGTAAGACGGAGACAACAAATGCATATGCAGCGTTTTCTTTATTAAGTTTAAAAAATGAGTGCCTACAAAACTAGTCTCTAATCATAAATATGGATTATTTTGGCATATTATATTACCTATGTAAGTATATGTAAGTATGTAAGTACCTATTAAATAAAATTATGCAGTATACGTGTGTACCTATACTTATTTAATATACCAACCTATAATTATCTGTACCTATAAAATTTAATAGACGCGTTTTTATGTTTAACTAACTACTGTCTGACTAATATACAGTTTGTCAATTTTTTCGTACCAAAATAGTAGCTAAATACTAACACATAGATATTTAAAATAAAATGCTGTATAGAATATTAGAATCCTACTAATAATGGTTTTATATTTATATTTTAGATTCTGAGTAGAGTGAAGAAACCTATGGTTTTACAGTTTTTTTTTTTTATATCTGTGAGCAACTTTTATACCAGTAATTTCACTCTGATTTACAACGGTACCACTTTTTCTGAAAGAAAATTTGACTGGGGAGGTACTTAAGGGAGGTCGTTTTTTTGATTTTCTCAGAAATTTTCTTAATATATTAGAAAAACGGGAGAACAGGAAAATAGTTACAATATTAAACATGTATTATTAAAGTCAATAATTAATGCAAATGTAATTATACCATATTATAACATATATATTGTTAATAAAGCAACATTATTGACTGAACTTCGCTCAGAATCGTTTATTCGTTTGCAATGGTTTATCGTTGCTTACAGATATACGTTAAATTTCTCCCAACTTCCCACGTACAACAGTGGCTGCACCCACGTGCGAAGTATATCTGTTTTACATAAATTTAAAGTTTACTGTTTAAAATAACGATTTCATAGAATAACTGTTTATTTTTTGATTATGCTAATTATACTATAGTCATTTTAAAATAATTTTTTACTATTTAAACAATTTTGTTTTGAATTCTATAATCTTAAATTTCATCTTGTGATTATACGCAGTTATAAGAATTTTTCCTTCCATGTAAAACATTTTCTTTTATAAAAAATAATTTTTTTTTTTTATTTTAGCTATGGCCTTCTAGGCCCAAGTGGTTGTGGTAAATCAACACTTATTAAATGTATTTTGGGATCAATACCATTGGATTTTGGATGTATCGATTTGAAAGTAGACAGTCTAAAAAAAGTTGGATATATGCCTCAAGTAATTTTAATTTTACATAAAATAAATAAATAAATAAAATTTATTGATTTTATTGATTGTATTTAAAAAAAAAAATAATAAAAAATACAGGATACATGTTTGGAAACCACGTTGACGATAAAAGAAACTTTTAAATACTACGGGTCACTTTATAGCATGAATAATACAGATATCGAGAACAGAATAGACGAACTCAACAAATTCCTAATTCTACCAAACTTAAACACTTACATAAATAAAATAAGGTAAACTAAATTATAATTTGTGTATAATAATTTATCATTAACAAAATTCATAATTATATTGTACATATTAAAAAATGAAGTGTGTTCATCTCTGCATAAATACGTTTAAATAGCATATAGTGTAAAATTATTATTTATAAAAAATTGTTCAAATAATATAATATACGGATAAAAAAATCAAAATTAGGCAATTTGACTTATGAACAATACTCATTCAAGTTAACATGAATAAGCAAATATTAAATTTGTTTAGATCAACAATAGTACAAGAAAATCGAAATTTGATACAGATAATATGAGAGGGTATGCGTTTAATACTGTTTATTAGAAAAATTATAATAAACTGGCAATTTTCAATATTTTAGATGGTGTAGCCGATATAGGTATACAATACAATTTAAATACCCTATCGAAAATTCATAATCTTAGAATTATTTTTTGTTTTTATCTAACACAAAACAATTTAAATTTATTTTATAAAACAAAAGGAGTAATAAATTGCATTATTTTTCTCGTTTTTCCCGAAAACTATTGAAGAATATTTAAAAGTAAAATACGCGCGGAAATTTACAATATTACATTGTGTGTGTTACTTTAGTGTTTCAAACTGAATAAAACCTCTGTACCAAAAATTGCATTAATTTGTTTAGTATCCAAAATTGAATGTAAGTACGTAGGTACATAATTATATTGTATTATTATAAAATATTATGCGTTTTATTGATGTAACCCATTTAATAAATAATTAAAGTTCAATTTTTACTTTGATAACAGTGGTGGCCAATGTAGAAGAGTGTCTCTTGCAATTACCTTATTGCATGATCCAAAAATTATTATATTCGACGAACCGACAGTTGGAATAGATCCGGTGCTAAGAAAAATGTAAATATAATTTTGGTTGAATTAATTTAATTTTTGTATGACTGCATTTTAATAACGCTAGTATTATACAATTATTTAGAATTTGGACTGAGTTTACAAAGATGGTCGAAGAACAAAATAAAACAATTATCATAACTACTCATTATATTGAAGAAGCGATTGAAGCTAACCATGTAAGTTTTAATATACATATATAAACATATATATTATGTACTCGAGTAAATATTAAAAGGTACTTGAATAATAGTATAGTACCCGCTTAGTATAGAAATATAAAATATTGTATAGTTTATACGAATACTGTGCACTTGACGAGACATTATTTGAAATCTCTATAAAATAGACCGTCAAAACTTCAAAGTTATAAATCCATTTAAACGAGTGTTGTACTTATAGACGAGTGATCTGCAAAAATTTCTATTACCTACAGCAAATATATTTACATTTAATTGAGTATTCGCATAATAGCGTATAATAAATTATTTTATATAAAACGTTGAACTGCATAATATTTTGATTAAATAATTAAATTTATTGTAAAAATTAAATAACTTAACTTAAATATTGGTATAAAAGAAACACTCAGGGGGAAATGTTTTTTTTTAAAATAAATAATTAGGTATTCAGTTAAGCAGAACAGAAAAATAATTGAATAAATAAATAAAATATTATTATCAGTTTAGATACGGAGTGTAGCGAAAGATCTATTGGTTTTACAATGGTGTGTGTTTATTTTTGTCAGTAAATAACCAGAGAACTAATCCAATCCAATCGAAAAATAACAAGGGAAATTTTTTATTGAATTTAGGATCTAGTTGATACAAAAATGAGGTTTTTTGATTTTCCGAAATGTTAACTTCTTATTAATTAAGAAAAACCAGAAAAATACGTAAAATGAAAACGGAGAATTTATGGCGTAATGATTTCATATTTTAAATGTATAAAATTTATGTTTTCTACTAGAGATATTGTTCCAATAGAAAAACGATTAGAGACCTTTTTTTTTGAATTTTTAATCTAGCTGGTGAGCAATTAAATCGTTTTTTGACTTTCTTTGCAGTTTTCTTAATAATTGAGTAAAACCGCAAAAAAAAAAATCGTAAAAAGAAAAGGAAAGATTATGGAACTAATGTTTCCTTATTTTAAATTCTGTTTTTTTGTTCAAATAAAATTGTTGAGTTATTTATAAATATGTTTGACAATTGATAAAAAAGAAAAATAATTTTTTGTATAACAGTCATAAGATCAAATTCGGATGAAAATCGTAATATTACGGCAATTTATATTATGTATAAACAAGCTTCGCTCAGAATCGTATTTTATTAGCAATGGTTTATCATTGCTTACAGATACTATTTAATTAACATTATTTATTCTATCTATTCAACTTCCCACCAATAACAGTAGCGCACCATCAGTTCCAGCTTTTTTTGTTAAATATATTTTTTTTTTTTCATAATTCGTTTACTAGTTTTAAAATTATTTTACCGTTTACTTGTGTCAGTATTCAATATCTATGTAGTTTAACTTGTTTCATAAAGTTAAATTCATGAAATATTCTTCATTTTATTGAAAAAAAAAAAAAAAAAACCATTAATGAAGATAATATTATTGTATATTAACAATCCATAGGGAAGTATATTTTATAAGCTCTATAACATACATTGTCGCAACCGGTGGAAGGGAGTATTTTTAGGGTCTGTATATCCTTTTTTATCCGTATTATTATTATTAGAGATATTAAAGTGTGTTAAAAACGTATATTTTTTAAATGTAAACACTCCCCCCACTCTTTACAAAATCCTGGTTGGGCCACTGACGACTTGCAATTGTATAAGTAGGTACTTATATACCATTACGTTATCCAAGTATTTAAGGTCATATTTAAGTTATTTGTACTAGAAAAATTGAAAATACCAAATCTATAATTATTATTTTTATTTTGAATCAAATAGATTTATAAACTAGTATAATTATTAATCAAACATATTTTAAAATAAATTTTGTTTATAATAATTTATTTTTAGTCAAGCACATGGGTTGGACTACCTGGTAGGTAAATTATAATAAATTACTAACAAAATCATTACCAATGTTAAAACTGTTCACGATGAACGCACACATAGAAAAAATTAAAAATAAATACAAAATAAATAAATCGCTTATTCAAAACCAGTGAATTTAATACCTAAATTAACTAACCACACCCGTACATGTACACAAGTATAAGTCGGAATAATTTGAATTATTTTTCTGAAAATGATTACTGATTAGTATCACTGATTATTTATTGATATTTTATTAAGATGCGAATCACATTATACCAACAATATTTATATTTAGATTAGAAATTTGATCACAAACGAAAATATTATTGCCTAAAGAGTTTCTCATGACCATATATTAAACCTGTGTTCTCACCAAAAGCAACTGATGACGGTAACGCGATAGAGATTCAAGTCTAGTTTTAGTTGAGTTGCCTAGTTGTTCTCTTATACGAAACTAATATGAAACTTCAATGCAACTTCAATGCATATTCAGTTATCAAAATGTCTTCATCCGATGAGGATATTGTTGTAGCATTTATGTATTTGAGGTATAAAAAACAAAAAAAAATAAAAAATTGGGTTCATCCATACTATTCACTCAACGTCAACCACAGTTCATTTATACTAACGAGAGAATTAGACCAAGATCCAGCTAAATTTCATGATTTTTATAGAATGAGTATTGAAAGTTTTAAAATGTCATTCCATGCTTTTCTTTTATATCTTGTCGAGTGTAATTAGATGATGTTATATCATAGAGACATGGATGACTTTCTATAAGTTGTACGAAAGCTATATTTTCTGCTTGTTCATTTGCCATTTTAAATAAATTATTAACAAAATATTAAATTGATTGTACCTTATTATAAACCAGAGTAATAATCAAATAATTGAAATATTCACAAAATCGCAACTATTCACACTAGCAACTAGACAGAGAGACTGACACTTCGAGTCGCTCAAAAATAGTTTTCAAACAGTTGAGTTGTTTTCCAGTCCGGTTGCGACCTGTGAGAACACGTCAATTTAATAATACATGTCGCGTTGCGTCGCGATTGCGTTGCCGTCATCAGTTGCTTTTGGTGAGAACACGGCCTAACAGTTATAATGGGTTGTCCTATCGCATTTCCACAACAATAAAATTGTAATTGAAATTTGTGATTTTCGTCAAAATTTGATTTTAAAGCTCCTATAAAAAAAAAAAATTAACTACACTGAATTTTTTTTTTACCAATAAATATGATATTTAATGAACTTCCTGTCAAATCTTCAAGCTTTTCTCTTTAACCTAACAATTTCATTCACAGAGTACCTATTGAAAAATCACGTACAAAATTCGCAAAATTAAAATGTCTATAAGTAGCTCAAAAATGGCTCAAATTTTACCACGTCTAAAAAAAAGCAAATACAATGTATCCGTCCAAATTTAAAGTCTCTACAAATATTTTTAACTAAATTATATTAAAAAAACAAAATTTAATATAATAACATAATTTTCATAAATTTTACTATATTTTCTATGTATCAAAAAACGACTTTCTTCGTAACTAACTAGATTAAAAATTAAAATAAAGTGTAATAATTTGTTAAATACTGAAGAATTGGTCTTTGAAAAAAAAATATGTATTTTATTGTATACTGTTTGGCTAGTCATGACTTACATTTGATGTACAAATTAATCAAGTACCAAATTTATAAATTAAACATTTATTGCTACTTACTTATTTTTTGTTTTCATTTTTTTTTATAATATATTATAGGTTGGTTTAATGAGAGACGGAATAATAATAGACGGAGGGTCACCAAGAGACATTTTCATCAGACATGGTACAAATACGTTGGAAGAGGCTTTTTTAAAATTGTGCTGTGAACAAAAAACGAATACAGTACGCACCTATGTTTAATACTTTGATAGTTTAATGTATATGAATATTTTACATTTTTATAATGTATTTTTACTGATCTATCAATCTTTGTTTCTTCATGCACTAATATCTTTACTTTTCACATATTCAATGGAGCTCACAAGGGTTAAGGAAGCGGAAGAATTTATCATAGATAATTGCCATTTTGCTTTTGATTAGTTATTAAATCAAATCATTTAAACTACGAATTATTGGTTCATTAATTATAAATGTAAACAATACGAAAACAGAAGCTTTTGATGTCTAATAGAAATTTTGCCAATTTTGGTTCTTCCCCTTCCCTTGCATTTTTACCTGTGAGCACTTTTGGCTACATTATCCATGCGACGTTTTCTTTTTTCGTTTAGACTGATCGCAGTAAACTTCACGTAAATGATAAAACCAAATCAAATATATTATTAACCCACCAATTAGAAAATAAAATCAATTTGCACAGAATTAAAGCTCTATTAGAAAAAGATTACCTCGTGTGTTCTCGAGATTACTTGTAAGTAAAATTAATGAGAATAAAGTATTTTGATTCTTACTCTTTCAACATTATCACTATTTAGCTATAAATTTTATATTTTTATAGGCTTATATTTACAATGATCGTATTACCCATATTACTATGTTTCATTTTTTGTTCCTCTGTCGGAGTAAAATTCAAAGACATGAACATAGCTATTAAAAACGACGAGGTAAATAATATTTTAGATTGTAAACATTTTATTTTCGATGGATGTATTTTTGATGAAAATAATAATAACATAACAATGAGCTGTGTTGTAATGAACTACCTCGAATCACATGATTACAAATTAGTAAGTACTCAATAATTTGGTTTTAGAGCGTTCTTTCTGTAAGCGTTAACACATAAAGAACGTTCTCTAATATAAAATAAGAGACTTCCGAAAAATAGGTATTTTTAAATGCAAAAATTAAATGTACAGGTCGAAGTAAAATATCGTGAAGATGGCGAAGCAAAAATGAACAGTCCAAAATTTATGGGATTTCTAAATTTTCCGAAAAATTACACTAAAGATTTAATCGAATACATTAACAATCGCGAAAATTATGATAACGCTTCTAGGAGTTTTGCTCATTTGACTAAGGAAAGTAAGTTTACTACAATAATAAATGGGTCATTAAATAATATTTGCAATGTTGCATTATGTTTTATTATTTTTAATACTTACATAATATTATCGTTTACGTGCATCGTTCTAGATATGTTATTTGTAAATCAAATCGAGACCGACGTTATAGACGCAGTAAACGATTTATTAAAGAACATTGCAAATAGTTGCTCCTATAATGTAAAACAAACCAGTATGACGGCTTTGGTAAGATAAATAAAAGTATATCAAATTAATCGAATTTTATCTTTAGTATTTTCGTTAAATACTCGTATAATAATAAATTATATTATATTTTGTTTGAAGGTAGTTGGCACTGATATATAATTTCCTCTTCGTAAATTAATACAATTTTATATAAATTTCTTTTACGTTATATTGATTATTTATCATTATTAACTATTAATCAATGGTGGTATAATGATAAAAAGTTACCAGTTTTACAACTTATCTTTTGAACATAATAATATATACTTTGAGGTTACGATGGTTGTTTTTTTTTTTGCAGGAATTCTTTACTGTATATGGACACAATATAAAGTCATATGTCAATAGTACCATAACTATTTATATTGCAATGTAATGATTATTGTTTTTAAATATTTTCTATTAAAAAGAAATTAATTTTATTTTTGTAAATATTAAATGACGTAAATTATTAATTATTAAAAATGTATTGATTTTTTTTTTTTAGTTTGATAAATTATTGTCCTAGTTTGTTTGGAGTAAGCATCATGTTGTCAGCTAAATTGGACGGAGTTTTGGGTCGATCAATGTTTGCAGGTATTAGGACTATCTAAAATTATGAACCAATATTATTATAGTATTTTGCTTTGAACGTACTAATTTATGCTAATATTTAATTTATTTCAGGTGTAAAAATATTCGAATTTATTATCTCTTTGTTTTGTATTATCACGGCGTTGATCCTGGTCCAAATGTTCACCACTTGTTTTATTGCTTACGTAATACTAAACAATCCGATTCAAATAACCAGCGGGCTATTTGCGTTTTCGATATTATTATTAATTTTGGGTTGGTTAGGTTTCTTCTTCGGTATGTATTTAGTAATTGATTATTTGATTGAATACACGTTCATAACACAGGGGTGTCATTTCAGTTCCTATTTATTTTGTGAAACTGACAAATTATCCGTTCGCATTCCTACGTTACATTTCCATAATCAAATACCTACTATATTTTTTGATATCACAATGTCATTGATACTAAACTAAGATCATATAATTTAGTTTATTCCACAATAACTCATAATACCACAATTTATTCCGTGTGTCAATGCATCAGTTTCGATGCGCACTGTTGCCGAGATACCTAAATATTAAGCCACGGTATAAACAATTAACCGACAATTAACATCTCAGACTCTAGTAGATGCCATTGACAGTGGCTCGATAAGTACTTTTTTTTGCATTTTGCATTTTATTAACGAGGCGCGACGGCGCAATTATAACATTTTATGCATGATATTTGATTTTTATGCAGATATGCAAAGATATGTATAAACAAATAAGGCTGCCAAAGTATAGTCCGAATAACTCAAATGACGCCCCCGTTATAACAATAACATCAGTTGGATGCATAATAATTTTACGTTTTTATATACTAAAATACATGTATACTATATGATGAAATAATCGTTTTGGATACAAATTAATTATATTGAAGCTATTTATTTTCATTACAATTCAATTAGCAACATAATTTTTTGTTTTTGTTTAAAATATTTAAATTTGAAACACTAAGTAAAAATTGTTGAAATGTATGATGACAAAATGAGAAATTTGTATTTTATCGTATACATTTTAAGTCTAAATGTGGACAAAATAACACATTTTTTCAAATAAATATCATTTTTTAAATTTAAATAATTTTATTTATAAACTACAAAGTACTGAAATAAATAAATGGTCAACTTAACATATTCTTTCAAAAATTATTTTCCGAACAAAATAACTTTCTTTTCTCAAAAATGTCAATTTCTTCTATACTTTCCTACCATGATTATGAATTATTTCAAGAACTGACGTTTAAATTTTTTTTTATTTTCTTTATCAAACATTAATCATTATATTTATATTAAATTTCTTTGATGCTTTGATTTTAGGTGTACTCAGTGCTATATTTTCGACATCATTCGTTGGAGGATGTAATATTATAACTGGATCATTTTTTACTCAAGTCTTATTGTCAGGTAATACACGCGTATTTCTGTTATAGTATAGGTGTACAATTTATTAATTTCAAGTTTTTTTTAATAAAACCTGTCGATGTTTATTTTGGCTTATCTATAATGACTAGCTGTCAGATCATTTTAAAAAAATTCGAACAATTGTGTATAATTTTGTAATTTTAATTTTACTTAGGTATGTTATGGCCTTTCGAGGGACAACCGAAGTTATTAAGAATTGGATCCGAATTACTTCCTGTGCGTCTTATAAGCAAAACGTTAAACGACATAGTACTGAAAGGTTTTGCATGGAATCATTCATCGATAATAAAAGGAACTTCCTCGGCAATTGTATATTGCATGGTAATCGTGCTTGTTCTAATTGTTTTGGGCAAATATAAAAGGCACTGGTGGATAGTACAGAAGTAAAAATATATTTTCCTATAATAATTTAAATTTACACAAAATGTATTTTGTTTGATAATACATTATATTTAAGTATAATGGAAGAGGGCAGGAGAAATTTTATTTTTCGATGAAATCACAAATATATCTAAAACGAATGACTATAAGAATGTTTTTTTCAAGAAGAAATTCAAATAGCCCAAAGTTTAATGGGAAATTAGTACTCAAAAAATATTTGAGTTTGATTTCGAAAATTATATTGATATGTATATTAATATGCGTTTGCAATAATTTTATTATGTGTGTAGACTTGTAGACGTAGCTTTGATATTTAAATTAAAATAAACAAATTTCCACACCTTTGATGTATATAATAAAAAAATATAAAATATTTATTGTTGTTCTTTTTTACTTTTCTTATTTCATTATTACGTGTTTCAACTAAAATTGACATGTGTTCAAAAGAAGTTCCAAGAAAAAAAAAAGAACTTATAGCTCGAACAGTCCGAACAAAACTTAAGTTCGATCCATCACTATTACTATCACTATAATAATAATAATTAAAAAATAGCTAATTTCTATAGTAATGACAATAATGATTTCATAGAATTAGATCATTGACCAATAACCATCTCTTTACAAGCAATTTGTAATTAATAATTTTTTTACAATTTTTTTTATATAAGTTGGAAGTATTTCATAAATTCTCAAACTCGTTATCAGATATCTTAATATTCTTGGGTGTTTATTTTGAGAAATATTAAATTTTTAGTTCTCATTTCATATTTATGGATTTCGGGTTGTATTAAGTTTTTATTTTATATAAGTAGCATAAAGTTTTTTTATAGTATAATTTTTGAATGGGTATGATTTTCGATTCTGAGTAGAGTGTTTACAGGGATAAAGTTTAGGTTTTCGAAGAACAATTTTTAATAAGGTATTCGGCTTTATCTGTATGTATTTTACACGAGCTACTATACCATATTCAATAACTGATTGCAACAGACCAAAGTAAGTATTTCTTCAGGCACGTAGCTAGATAATTTCTACTAGGAGGCCAATAATATTTGGCCCTTTTATCATTTTCCATAATTTTTCCCAATGAAATACTTATAGGTAGCTTCTCTCTCACTCACCTTTAGGCGGTATGCTGTACGAAGAATCTTATTAATTTATAATTTAAATTTGGTTGGTAGTTGATTAAACAATTTTTTTTCAAAACAAGTATACCCATTAAAGTAATAAAAAAAAAAAACATATTTAGAAAAAAAACTGATTAAATTTCCTAACTTCTATTTCAAAATATTAATTTATATCTGAATATTAATCAAACATAATATTGATATTTGATTTTTAAATTAACTATAATTTTTAAACAAACTTAATTTATTTAAAAAAAATTACATATCATACAAGTAGAAAATGTTAATAATACAGTATCTATTATAAGTACTTGTATAAATATTAAACAATTCAATATAAAATATTATTTTTGTTTTTGTTATGTTTTTAAAACAATTGTAGACAAAAATTTAAATCTAGGTTCTTAGAAATGTTTTTTCTATGCTTATTGAAGCCAAATTATTTAAACGATCATTTGTCAATAGATTCCTCATCTAATTTTTCAGTTGTCTCAGATATTAAAAAGCTCTTTCGCATGCAACCTGATTAAAACAGGTAAAAAAATCCGAGTTGCGGTCGGGATCAAAACAAATAAATAAAAATCTGAGTTGTGGTCGGAAAATTTGTTCCACATAATTTTTTACTAAAAGTATTTTCGTCAAAATTTGATATTAAAATTCTTTTATAAAAAAAAATTGCTACATTAAGCTAATTTTTTTTTTTTCACCACAAAGTAAGACTTTTAATGAATTTCCTATTAAATTGTCACGCACTTCTGTACGACATTTAGTCGTACACTTTTACCACACAGTACCTACCGAATAAAAATAACATATACAATTCGCAAAATTAAAATCTCTATAAATAGCTCAAAAATATTTTAATTTTTTGAAAACGTCTAATGTTTTACTACGTCTAGAAAATGACCTTAATATAACCTTTTTTTATGTAACCTAAAGATTTATATAAATTTTCTGTCCAAATTTCAAGTCTTTACGAATATTTTTAACTGAATTACAACAAATAACATTATTAAGAAAATAATAAAAGCATTATTTTGGTAAATTTCTTGTTTTCTTAGGTTTTATCCTGGTTTTTCCCAGATATTATGAAAACCGCTTGAAAAATCAAAATTCCCTGGACAATCTGGATAATATTTCCTTTCAAAAATGGTGCCACGCGTACATATCGGAGCAAGATTTCTAGTAGCATTTGTGAGCACAGTATAAAAATAAAAAAAAATAAAAAATAAACATCTTTGTAAAACTAATACATTCTTCACTAAAAACAAACAAACATATTTCACACGATGGCTGGACCACTGTTTTAGGTGAGAATTTTAGAATGTAAAGGGGAAATTTAATAAAATAAATATTAAAAAAACATCATCACAAAAAACCAATACACTCCACGCTTCGATTAGAATCTATAAGAGCTGATACTGAGGACGGGCGCGGTTACTGTTATAACATAGCACATGTTTGATGAAATTGTGATAACTTTAATATTAAAATATCAGATACTGATTAGTAATGAGTAATGTATCATACAATTAATGTTAAACAAATATGTATTTATATGTATCAAAATAACATCCTAATTATCCAAGCCATGTAACTACCACCCGCCACCCATTAAAATGTTAACGCTGCTGCGTCAAATTTGAGCCCGTCAGCCATGGGTTAGTATCTAATGAATCACCGGTTACAATCAATAATCTCTTTAAAAATATTATATTAATTTAAGTAAAACTAGTTTTCTCATACCTGCAGGCTTTATGAAATAAAAATATATCTAATTGTTCTATAGTTAACAATCACACGGTAAAATTAAAACTGACGTTCATGCAGTTTTAATAATTATTTACAATAATAAACAACAATTTTTTTTTCAAAAATAATAAAATGATAAAAGTAAGTAATTATTTTAGCTCAAAAATACGTGGTGGAGTAAACAAAAACACAAAAGTTTTTTAACGAAAATTTTTCTTCACTCAGAATCATATCGCATCGAAAATCAAATAATGACTTGTTTAAAGTACAATTTTGAAACAATTTAAGCTTTCAGAAAAGTTGCTACACGCAAAAATCGGCGCAAGTCTACTTGGAAAAAACTTGTTCACGGACTAGAAAAAAAAAATAAAAAAAATAAATATCTTAATAAAACCAATAGCTCCCTCACTACGCTTGGAATCTAAAATAAACATTATTGTAAAACCAATAAAAATATACATTATATTTTATACATTGCAAACACTAATGTCTAACTCTTATAATAATTATTATAATGACATTTTCCCAAACGACAAATAGAATTTTATTCGACTTTTGACTAGGAAGGAGGATAGTAAAGACTTCGGAACTGGGTCTACAAATACATACTAAATATTGAAAGAAAACAAATTCAAATTTTCAAATATTCAAAACGTTTTTGGAGGAAGGATAGGTGGGCTATGTTCGTTAATCTTGAATTTATATTAAACTTACATTTTGGTATATTTAAGATTGATAATACAGCCCCGAAAGATATGCGTATTAGTCAGTATTGAGAGCAATTGATAGTACCTATTATCAGTTTTTTGTGATAAAAAAAAATATTTTAAATTACATAGTAAAATAATAAATTTAAAAAAAAATTGCAGTACAATGCATTTCTTAAGATCTTATTTATTGTTTTTGGCTATTTTTAGAGCAAAAAAATTTTTCAATGGTTTTGGAGCATTTAAATTCTCTGGCCTTGCTTATTATAATATTGATATCAATAATACCCATTGGTGGTTAATAACGATTAATGATCAATTTGTTTGTATATTAATGTAAAATAAATTAATACAAAAAATACATTTGTACTGCTGTTACTGAAGTGAAACCTCTCACTTTCTTCTCTTAATACTCGTATTGTATTAATTAAAACGGTGAATAATATTTTTTAATTTTTGTTTTTTAAATTTCGAGTATTTTCTCATTACTTGGTATATGATGTTCCGAAAAACTGTGGAGTTGACCACCTTGAAAATGTTCAAGTAATAAAATATTTATATGTTTATGCTAAATAATAACAATAAATATGATTTATTACAAATTATAAATAAACCGGTTTTTCCCGAAAATCCGTTTTACACAAAGTGAAATTGTACTTTGCAATATCATAAATTCATAACGTTATGTTGATAGGCAGTTGGAGCCATGGGAGGGGGGAATCAATGAAAACAATACGAACATGATTAATTCAAAATTAAAAAAACAAAATAAACTTAAAATAAAAGAGTTAAAATTGTTAAAGTTAGAGTTAAAATTGAACGAGAAATAAATTTAACTTATTAAGTTTAAACAAGTTGAAATGCTAAAAAATCGTTCACTTAATCCAGATGAAAAAAAATAGGTTACTATTTGGTTATTTTGATTACCTGAGTTTTTTCGGTAATTACAATCAAAGATGCAATCAGTTTAAAGTTATTTTGTTTTTTATATCAATATTTTTAACTGTTTTATAAAACAACAATTTATAATACGTACAGTGATCTAATTTTAAAACGATGTTCATTCGTGGTAATTGTGATAACCAGATTGAGACACCCATCGGTAGTCCACAATATAATAAATTAAAAAATAATGTTATTATGAAATTTAATTAAAATGAATTATTAATAATATACAGGTAGTTGAGAAAACCGTAAACATGATTAACCGTAAAGTAGGTATCACAAATAGTTACACTATAGTTATCGGTCACTGTTGAAATAAATATTATATTACGAAACCGGTTACCTACATACGTCGCGATACGTGTGTGGAAATTCAAAATGACGTAATTTTTTTATATTTTGTACTACAATCAACAGATGGCTGACAATATTGCCATCATAGACGCGCTATAAATTATAAAGTGCATTAATTTTAAATTACAAAACATTTACATACATAAATTCAACATTATATTATAATGGTTAATAATGTTGAATGAGGTATACTAATTATTCATATATTTGTCTTTGTTTCCCTTCGAGCACGACATTGACATTATAGTATTATAAATTTATAACGACTAAAAAATGGACACGAGTAAAATTCCCAAAATGTGCAAAACCGTTCAAAATTAATTATAGTATATTATTTGGAATTAGATATTGGAGAGTAGTAACCAACTATAACAACTAACAATTTGTTTAGTAAATATAATACTTCATAATATTATTAATCAAATATAACTATTTATTTCATATTAATATTATTGTATTTAGTAGCTAGGTACCTCTATAAATAAAAAGAAAGACATACTTTGCACCTAGGGTGAGCCACTGTTGTAGGTGAAAAGTTAGGAGGGTAGTAAATAGAGGGAAATTTAATATATATCTGTACGCAACAATTAAATATTGCTAACGCAAAACGATTATGAACGGAGTTTAGTTAATAGTACCTATCGCTTTTTCAATAATGTGCGTTTTTTACACAAATTTATGATAGAAAACATAGGACGTATAAATTTAAAATGAAATCATTGTGGTGTAATTTAAAAAAATCGTATTTTTCATCTTTTTTGGTTCATCACAACTATTATGAAAATTACTTTGAATATAAAAAAACTTCTTTCTTTATCGGTGGCTGTATATTCAAATAATCAAAATAAATCTCTTGTCATTTTAGATTCTGAGTTAAGCAAGTTTTACAATGCTATTTATATTTTTTTTTTTATTTTATGTGAACACTTTTTCTACCAGAAAGCATATTCCGATTATAAAGTATAGCACCTTTTCTGAAATGAAATGTTCTTTGGATGGTACTTTAAAGAAGTCATTTTTTTGAAATTCTCATTAATATTCGACAGAATGAGGAAAATGTATTTATTTTTTGTTATCTGGCAAACCTCCCGATACTCCATCATCTTATCGTCCAATAAGCTTACTTCCTTTCTTTGCAAAACTGTGTGAAAAAATGATCCTAAAACGAATATCCAATATAATTANGAGGCTTTCGTACTTCCCCATTCAATGGAAAGTATCCCTTATAATCCTAATTCCCAAGCCTGGCAAACCTCCCGATACTCCATCATCTTATCGTCCAATAAGCTTACTTCCTTTCTTTGCTTTTGCAAACTGTGCGAAAAAATGATCCTAAAACGAATATCCAATATAATTAACGACAAAAAAATTATCCCCTGCACGCAATTTGGCTTCCAAGACAAACATTCCACTATCCATCAGGTACACCGCCTTACTGACTCAATTGCCTACTCCTTAGAAACGAAGTCACACTGCTCAGCTGTCCTACTCGATGTTGCCCAAGNGCAAAACTGTGTGAAAAAATGATCCTAAAACGAATATCCAATATAATTAACGACAAAAAAATTATCCCCCGCACGCAATTTGGCTTCCAAGACAAACATTCCACCATCCATCAGGTACACCGCCTTACTGACTCAATTGCCTACTCCTTAGAAACAAAGTCACACTGCTCAGCTGTCCTACTCGATGTTGCCCAAGCCTTTGACAGAGTCTGGCATCCTGGTCTCTTACACAAGCTGAAAATAATTCTCCCTCCACCGTATTATTTATTTTTTAAGTCATATCTCGAGGACAGATTCTTTGCCGTTAAAGTTGGCTCTGAAATCTCAAATTTGGCCCCAATCCTTGCTGGTGTTCCTCAAGGCGCCATCTCTTCTCCCATATTGTTTAACATATACACATCGGATCAACCAACCACTTCTCAAACTTCTGTAGCCGACTTCGCTGATGATAAAGTTATATATATTTCCGAAAAAAACCCATTTCTTGCCAGCCAATATTTGCAGAACCATCTAAACCTACTCTCTGATTGGTATTCCAATTGGAGAATTAAAATAAACAATGACAAATCATCCCACATCACCTTCACTCTCAAACAATNAAAAAGTCTAATACTTACAAAATCCAAGCATTCCAATCGACCTCATTGCGAATGATTACAGGCGCTCATCCGTATGTTTCAAACCACACCTTACATTCAGACTTAAAAATTTTAACTGTCCACGAAGAAGCCAAAAATGCCTATAGACTTTTCCGCGCGCGTCTTACAAACCACTCTAATCTACTAATCCGTGCCCTAAACTCCAATTCCATTCCAGGTAATCCACCTAGAAGGTTAAAACGTAACTGGAACCGTGACCTATAATAGCCCTCTATAGTCAGTAAGTGTTGCCGCTGGGTGATTACTTCCTCATGTCGATCTCGCCTTTTTTATTTTTATTTTATTTATTTTTTTTTTTTCCATAATTCCTCAAACATGCTTATTGTAAAAAGTATTTACAGATTGTATGTATTATAATTAAAATTAAAAAAAAAAAAAAATTGTTTGTTATTATTAAGTTTTTATTATTTTATTTTTTTTTTAAATAATTAATGTTGTCACGGAAACGCAAATTTTTTTAACCATTTTATCATAATATGACATACAAAGTAAATATTCTGGCTTCACCTGTGTGGAGTTTTTTTTTGTGTTACCTGCAACTTTTATTTATCAGTTTTATTATCACAGTTATAGAAAAAGGATAATCGACAATTGTGTTAAAAGTGCCCCCACCCGGCGTTTTTTTTTCTAAAAAAAAAATTTGTATTTTTATAATGGTTTTAAGATCAAATTTCATATCACTTTTCAAATCATATCATTTAAAAACAAACTTCACTCAGAATCGTTTTTCGTTAGTAATGATTTATCGTTGCTTATAGATATAAATTAAACAACTTTATGGATCCTATATTCCCAACTTCCCACCTACAACAGTGGTGCATACATCAACAGTATTAGCTGTTTTTTTTTTCTTTGAATTGTATTCCTTTTAATAACTCATAATCGAGACAATATTTTTTGTAATATGAAAAATCAAAATTGTTAAATATCTTGATAACAAATTTTATTTTATTTCAGAAACTAAAAACAAATGCTATTTGATGTCACAAACATTTTCCAATAATCCGTGACAAGGTTGTAACATTATAATGTTATATTTATTACACATTTATTATGGTACCTACGATAAATTTGTTTCCTGATAATTTAAAATTGATGATAAGTAAATAAATATATAATGATCAATAACAAGGCTATGGTACGCAACGGCCAGTAGTCAACGTTTTATTAAACGGTCAGTATAACTTCTTCCAATGTAAGTTTTAATAATAAATATAATTTATATTTAGAACTAACCGTTACTCATTATAACTTTATTTACGTGAACAAAAATCTTGAAATTATACTATTGTATTTTAATTCTAATGTGATGCAAAAACTATTTATAATGACTAATGAGTCTTTCTTTTTTTTTAAATGAATTATGCTATGCACGTTTTCAAATTGAAGAGGAAGTATAATTAGTTTTTTTTTAATAAGACTAGGAAAAAATGTTATGTTTGCACCGATGAAATGTGTAAAAATATATCACTGAATTAAAAATAACACAAATTAGGAATTAATACATTTAAAATATGAAAGTAGTAACTTAAGGTTTTGGAGGGTAGAGCTCCTCACGGGCTTGTGTTTAATAAATGTACACGTATCTTTTAGATTCGGAACGTAGCGAAGAATCTATTGTAGTTTTTTTTAACGGTTTTTAAACAGTAAAACATACATAGAAAAACGCATTTGTTTTAACACACCAAATGTTAATCTAATACACATTGCACGTCGTTTTTTGTTTAAAAGAAAATTGATATTGGTTTAACTACAATATATTGGTAATACATTGAATTTATGGTAAATGCTTGATGTGTACGCTCACTCTAATAAGGGGCAGATACAACAATAACAGTGTTTAAAATAACTACGGTTTGGTATTAAAACTACTAAATATAATTTTGAAAAAAAAATCTTTGTAAAAAAAAGGTTTGGTGTTCTGCAAATTTTCTAATCTCTCGCGGTGGGATCGAACTCCCTATCTACGAAATCCTTCCTAATGCCTAATCCCCCCATCGACTACAACCTACTTTGTTATTTAACGGTTATTTAAATGGGTATTTAATTGTTGCTTATTATTATTGATTTTATCATATCTAATATATAAAAAACAATACTTGTTTGATTGTTTGTTTTGTATGTTATGTATTTCAAATCTAATCGAAGAAATCAACAATAAAGGTCCCCCATAATAGGTCAATACATGAAATTTAGGTTTAAGATTAATTCCAGATAATAATGAATAAAGTCTACTATGTTCAGCCACAATTTAGTCCAATAAATGAAAACATTCAAGTTGAATTGTTCTTGCNAAGAAAAAAAAATAACTAGATATTTTTAAACAAATTTAACGACGTCGTACGATTTTCCGTAACATATCCTCATCTTGGATCAGTGCGATGTCCGGTTCTAGTTCCACTGGCATAATGTTTAAATAGGCCTGCGCTCTATAAGTTAAGTATACTGAATCTCGGTAAATGTTACTACTAGTAATTTATTGATGAGGTTTCAATGAAAAAACAATAAATGAATGATTTTGTGTGTCACGTAAATACAACATAGTTGCAACGAAAGAAAAGAGATAAGTACAAAATTAGAAGTACAATGCGACAGACGGTTCCAATTATATCTACAGATAATTAATATCGATGCATCAAAACAGAATTGTAATAATAAAGAATTGTCTATATCAAATCATTACTGCAATAATATTTATTATAGGTGCTGAAACTAGTAACTAGGTTTGTTTGTAAATATATTTGGAATTTCAACGTATAATAATTATAAAAATAAAAAACAAGGACGACGTAAGTATATGTAATGATAAAAAATAACTTGTTCAATATTAAATTAATTAATTTAATTATTAATATTATTATATTATATTTCAGTACCGCCGAAGTAGTTTAAACATACCCGGGCAAACAAGGCAATACTGTATTATATTGGCCTTCTTTGAATGTAATATATTATATTACTTATAGTATTATTCTTTATAGTTATATTTTCTACAAATACTACTTATACTATGTATATTTCCCCCCACTAGCATCACCCGTCCATCCACCACCAAAATATTATATCAGACGATCGCCCGACTTGTATCCTAAGTTCGGCGCTACTGAAATATATTAAATGTATATGATAATACTTCCAGATAATAATGAATAAAGTCTACTATGTTCAGCCATAATTTAGTCCAATAAATGAAAACATTCAAGTTGAATTGTTCTTGCACAGCTTATATCAACAATTTTTCGTAATGCTACATACAATTTTGGTGTTGATATAGAATATAGATGCACATCGGTCGGAGTGCAGGAATAGATGATGTGATATCAAAATAAATGAAATTGCAAAATTCATCGAAAAACGTAATATCGATAACTGAACAAAAACATTATACTTGGAAAAAATGATTTTCTTGTGGTCAAGTCTAAAATTAGATTGCTATTATCATCTCAAAAGTTACATTATATTTAGATATCCAGATATAACACTAAATGGTGTTGATTTAATAATCATATCAACTGCAAATTTATTATCAATAGAACCGGTTGTTTGAATTAGTTGTACAAATTTTATTTTAACACTTTTTATAATTTATTATAAACTACAAAAAATTAAATTCAATGTGAGGACACATAAGCTATATTATATTTAACTATACACTTAAATAACATCAAACTTATCAGATATCCAGATACAACACTAAATGGTGTTGATTTAATAATCATATCAACTGTAAATTTATTATCATTACAACCCATTGTTTGAATTAGTTGTACAAATTTTATTTTAACACTTTTTATAATTTATTATAAACTACAAAAATTAAATTCAATATTTGTGTATTGAACTCCTCAATTTAAGTAAAATTAACAACACAATTACTAAAACTGAATACTTACCTAAAGTCGATTTAAATATAATCTACTCTTGAAATGGTTTTAATTTTTGGTTATTTAAAAAACATTGTTGTTGTTAAATAATATTATTTAATTTAACTCTCTGTTTCATTATTTAAACCACATTAAAATCTTAATTTATTTGTTATGCATTTAACACCTTAACATAAGTTAAATCAACTCCAATATTTCTATGTGTGCATTTTTACAAAGCATCATGGCGTTGCCGTTTTCATTATTTTAAATTGTTACGGCTTATGTTTTCTACTAGAACTAATGCGCTGATAGAATAACAACAGTTGAACAGATCTTGTTTATTGAATTTTTAATCTAGTTGGTAACCAAGAAAGTCAATTTTCTCTGTAGTTTCTATAATAATTTAGCAAAACCGAAAAATACGTAGAAAAAAACGGAAAAATTAATGAAAATAATTTTTGACTATTTTAAATTTAATTTTAGATTCTGAATGGAATGAATAAGCTTATGGTTTTACAAAAATGATTTTTTTTTCCGTGGACAACTTTTCTATCAGTAGTTTTGCTCCTATTTACATAGCACTTTTTCTATAAGAAAATCTCACTAGGGAAGTACTTTAAGAAGATAATTTTTTAATTTTCTTCAGGAAAAAAAATGGGAAAACCGTTTGCGAAACATGAAAATAGGTACAATATTAAACAAATATTATCAAAGAAAATATATAGTGCCTATGTAATTATTTTACCACAATATGGAATACATATTGTTGACAAAGTAACACTATTCACTGAACTCCGCTCAGAATCGTTTTTTCGTAAACAATATTTGTTCGTTATTTACAGATAAATATTCATTTTCCTCTCTACTAACTTCCGAACTTCTCACCTACAACAATAGCTGCACCCATGTTCAAAGTTGCCCGGCTTTTTTTAATATAATTTAGTTAAAAAAATTCGTAAAGAATTTAAATTTAGACAGAAAACTTATATTTGCTTTTGTAGACGTGATAAAATTTCCAAAAGATTTGACCCATTTTTTGAACTATTGATGGACATTTTAATTTTGCGAGTTTTTCACGTAATTTTTATTTGGTAAGTACTCTGTAAATAAATTGTTTTACTTAATAGAAATGCTCGACAATTTGATAGGAAGTTCATTATAAATTGTACTTATAGTGTTCAAAAAAAAAAAAAAAAATGTATTTTAATGTAATATTTTTTTTTTTAAGAGTTTCAAAATCAAATTTTAACGAAAATCATAAATATTTGTACGGCTTTTCAAAATATGTATAACCGAACTTTGTTCCGAATTCTTTTACGTCAGCAACGATTTATCATTGGTTATAGGTATAAATTAAATAACTTGGTATATTCAGCTTCCCAACTACTCACCTACAATAGTAATCACATCCATCCCCAGTATCAGCTCTTTTCTAAATTTATATTTAAGTTATCTTTTTTCAATTTCTCTATTCGATCACTGAATATAACACAAACAATATTATAAATAAAAATAACCCGTTTTTCATCTTTTCAATACATTTTATTACCATAATATATGACATATTAAAGTTTAATATTAAAATATTTTTGATTTTTTAGCACATGTGCAAAGTTCCCATAAGATAAACAAAATAATTAGAATCGTTTTAAAAACAGCGTTACAGCGATCCATCAACTCTATTGGACTAAATGCTCTTGTATGTGTTATGTATGTTTTGTTTATCTTAAAACTTGTAATTGGGTAAATCCTGTATTGAAACAAATAGATTATTAGTTAAACCAATTTTGCTGTTGACATTTTTAAAATAATCTATATAATCTATAAAAACCATTTTTTTGAAAAAAAAAAAATATTTTATGGAAAACTTGACTATAACATGAAATATTACAATATTCTTAAATGTTTATCATTATTATATTATTTAAAGATTTAAATGCATCTATTAGTGTCAATATAGCTAGCACGCCACTTGATATGGTAAAGCAAAATTTTGCCAGTGCAATCAATTGGCCATTAGAAAACCTAACAAGTAATACTATTTGGGACCATAACAGGTCTCTAAATTATGAGGAGCAATAATCTTTCCCGGTGATGACAGGTGTAGCTTACGGATTGCTACTGGACACAATAGTACCTGTGTGTTACGAGACAACGGCAAATGAAAGTTATGACGACATGTAACTCAACGTTACCAGTGCTTCATTATCAAAAAAAAAAAAAAAATGATATTGAACTTTTATTTTATAGCTTATAATAATTACTTGCTATTATCACTATGGATTTTATTTTTGTTTTTAAAATTTCTTTTTATTTACATTGTTTGTTTAGTAATTGCTAAAACCATAGGAATATACGAATATTTGTATTTATTAACATAGGTACAAATATTAAAATAAATAAGAAAACAATTAATTTGGTAAACATATTCAAAAGAAATTAATAAATTGAATATACGAGTATTTTTGTTTTTTAAAATATCAGCATAGAGAATAGATATATCAACTTTCAAAAATGTTCTACCTGCCTAAACATTTGAAACATCATTTAATGTTATTAACAAAAATTGTTTTCAAAAAGTTGGTAAATACACAATAGAAAAGAAATACTTACTTTTATAATCCATGATATCATATTATTAATATAAAAATAAACTCTTTTTTAACACTTATATGCAGATGTGAGGACACATAAGCTATATTATATTTAACTATAGACGTAAATAACATCAAACTTATCACGTCTAGTCAGACCAAAAATTGATTTGATCACACTTGAGAGGAGGGGTTTGTACAAATTTTGGAGTTGCTGTTACAAATTTGTACGAATTGTATAATACATTTTGGTATCAGTTTCGAGCAGTATTTCTGACCTGCGGACGCCAGCGACATACAGCACATTTAATTAATTTTTAATGTACAAAAGGATTACTATTATATATGATTTTACGAGTTTCGTCAAAATTTTAGCTTTAAAATACTATAATATTATATTATATTACAAAAAAAAATATCTGACACTGCATGGAACGAGTGAAGGCACTGTTGTAGGTGGAAAATTGGAAAGGTAGGATACATAAAGCTGTTTAATTTATATCTGTACGCAACGATAAACATATTATACCGAAATAGATAGACGAAAAACTTGGCCATTTTTATCATGGCCGTTTTTGTATTTAATCATTTTTATCTATTACCATAATTATTTAGTATAACTATTAAAAACNTCATAAATTATAATCAAAGTACAATAGACAATAGTTAAAAATAAAATTTAAAATAATTATAAAAATTGTCTTCCCACTGTACTAAGTATCTTTATTGATTTATTGCCTACTGTACTTCGAAAATATTATTATTTTTACTTATAATTAAAATGTAAATACAATTGATAATACAATATATTATACTAATTTAGTCTATGTAATAATAGCAATTGAAAAAGTGTTCAATTTGTATAGTCATTTTTGTATTTATGCATAATTTTCTTTTTGGGCCACATTTTTCTCTGGACATATTTTCCTGTGGCTAAATTTTCTTTCAGCTATTTAAGTATATGAACATTTTTCAATTGGCTGTTATTACCTAGAATCATGGAGGATACTCATATAATATTTTAGTCAGAATTCTAAATTTGTTAATTTTGAGAACAATAAATAGTTACATAGGTATATTCACCTTATTAGTTACATAGTACATCATTATTTAAATATCCAATATACTTGAAATACAAAACAAACAAAAAGAGCGATACACAAATTATGAATCCAAAACAATCTAAAAATAACGCATAATAATATATGAAATCAAACAAATACGATTTAATATGGAATTAAAATTATACCTTCGATTTTTGGCTAAAGCTTTTTCAAGATTACTTTGATCTTCACCTAATATATACGATCGTATTCCAAGCATATACGATCTGAGATAAGATTTCCAATCAAATCCTTCAAAGCTAAACCAAAAGCTTATACGATCTTCGTCACTTAACAACGACCACAATTCTCTGGTATTGCGATTATCAAGTGTCCAATCTTTCGATGTGAACTCATAAAGCAAATCAGTCATGATATCCATTTTTTTATACATCTTCAACATTCTAAATGAATAAGAAAATATGTTTAAATCCGATGTCCATATAATTCCTCCCCCTTCCGCTGACTNATTTTTTTGTGATAACTAAAAATATAACAACAAAATTGCATGAAGGTAAATCATCAGAAGGTAAAGAGTAAAAAACAAAGTCCCATAGATGATTAGAAGAAGATCAATATTACAAAGTTATTAGCCACGAATCACAAAAGATTCAACAATTTTTTTTCTAGTGTAACTTTAATTTGATGATTTATTAACATTTTATGATTATGATTTTATGAATTGACAACCGTCAGGTTTTTTATAATACTAGATATTGCTAGGCATTTCAAATCATAGTAATTATTAAATAACTTCTAAAAATACTATATAATTATTTACAAATTATAACTGTTTATGGGCTCTAAACTTGTAAGTTGTAACTATGTAGCACGTATAAGACATAAAACTTATATATTTGCCTTTTATAGATGTGGTAAAACTGTAAAAACATTTAAGGAATATTTGAATTATCAATTTAAAAATATTTTAATTTTGTGAATAATTTTTATTTGTAAGTACTTTGTGGATAAAATTATTGGACTGTTTATTCTGTCTGTAAACAAATATTTTACCAGTAATCTTGTTCTAATCAAAAAATGTCAAAAGCATTTTTTATATTTACCATACATTTTTTTATAATTATTAGGAAAACCGTAAAAGAAAAATTTAGAAAGTTAGAATTTCATTAATGGAGATTCTTATTGGAGCGAAGAAGCTTATGATTTTACAAGTTTACAGATTTTATGTTTATTTTTTTTTTACCTGTAAACAACTTTTCTACCAGAATACTTGCTCGGATTTTTAAGTGTAGCACCTTTTTTGAAAGTAAATCGGTGTAGAAAGGTACTTTAAGGAGGTCATAAAAAGCGTTGAGCCAGAAGGATTAGTTTCCCCTATATGTAATATATGTTCCTCTGCAAGTAAAACATTTTACCAAAGTGCCACCCAGTAAAAATTGCTTATAAAATGCTCTGAATTTTAATGGGTTAGTAAGAAAGTAATTTTTTGATTTGCCATGTAGTTTTTTTAATAATTAGGCCAAACTAGAAAAAACCGTAAAAATAGTGGGAAAATTTACGGAAATAACGGTTTCATTATTTTCAATTTTGTTTTATTATTGTAATTCAGTTAAAATATTTTTAGAAACATAAAACTTTGACAGAAAACTTATATTTGTCTTTTATAAACGCGATGAATATTAAATAATTTACAACTTACTTTGTTTTTTTACCGGTAACTATTAAATATAAATCACCCACTAAAGCAGGTATCCAGTGCAAAAAAAATCTCAAAATTTTAATACCCCATACATTGGTAGTGTTGAAGCAAAATATATACCACACCGCACTCAAAGGAGGCATTTCAAAGTAATTATTACGCATTTCATTAAAAAATCTATCCCACGTTATTGGGCTTTCGACGCTCGATACGTAATTAAATATTTTAGGTTTAATGTTTAACTGATTAGTATTTTGATATCTGAAAATAAAAAATGTATATTGTATATACTATACTGTAAGCATGATATAATTTTGGCATTATTAAACAACTTAACATTGTTATTAATTTCCTATTACCTATTAATTGTGTCCCACATAACACAAATTAACGCGTTTACAGTGTAGTCTACTGGGATTATATCAGCTTTTTTGTTTTCAGAAAGTGCAGTTATCCTTAATAATCCTAATATAAATGGAACAACCATAGCAATCGGTCCGTTCATACCTTCCACCCAACCAGGTTGAGGTTCGGATTTCACGCATCCGACTAAAATTACAATTGTCATTATAAGTATTATTTATTTATTTATAAACTTACGGTCGAATAAAATTAATACGATTATAAATATATTATTTTTGATTTCTATGGATAACAGCAGTTTCAGCATTTAGACACATACTAATCGACGGACGAAATATTGATATCGGCAAATGATTTTCGTTTGAAATTGCTAACAAATTTTCTGCAATTGCTTTAGTAAATGTGTACGTATTAGGCCAAACTCCTAAAATTCTTTTATTTATATTTGAATTAATTAGACACTTAACAAAATATTGACTATTAACAAATAATAATTACTCGGTTAATGATTTATTGGCACACAAATTGTTTAAGTCATTATTAGCCACTTTTGGAACAGGATAATATTCTTCGCATATTTCTTTTCTCGGACAATGTGAATAAATAGTCGAAACATGTACGATACCCTGAACAAAAATATGCCTTTAAAAACCTACATATCATATATATATATATTTTTTTTTACAAAACCAATGAACTTTGTGGTTTAACTATTCGTTTTACAAATATCTAATGCAAATACACATAAAGAGTACGAAATTAATTTATGAATTCATACCTATAATATTTTTTCAATAACATTTTGATACATCCAGGAGGAATCTATTGGTTTTACTATGATATGTGTGTTTAATTTTTTTTTAATTCAAAGATACAAATGTTTTACTAAACAGAAATGCTTAAAAATTTGACAGGAGGTTCATTATAAGTCTTATACGGTGGTAAAAAAAATAAATGAGTGTAGTGTAGTATTTTTTTTTTATGTATAAGAATTTTAATATCAAATTTTGACGAAAATTGTATATAATATGTCTATTAAAAATATATATTATATATAAATATGTACAACCGAACTTCGCTCTGAATCGTTTTCCGTTTGCAATAGTTGATCTGTCTTGGAGTCTTTATAGCACTATATTTTTATGTTAAATTTTAGTTAAAAATAATTATTTAAATTTTAAATAACGAACATATATTATGGTGCCAAGGTATTTATCTAAAATGTATTTATTAATCGGCCCCGTGACCCTAGCCAAGCTAATATAATGGCTACCGGTGCAGTTGCACTACTTCTTAAGTTACATAGTTTTAAGTTTTCCACTGATTACATTAATACATTTTTAAAAAATATTTTTAGAAATATTAAATTAGTATACTTTCGTTTCTATTACCTTAAGGTTCATTATTTTTTTTGATAATAATAATAGTTTTTCAGTTCCATGAACATTTATTTTTGTCGCAAGCTCAAGAGTTTCGTTAAATCTTACAGTAGCTGCACAATGGAAAATTAAATTCACATTTTCAAGTATCCAGTCAAAATCAGTCTTTAATAAGCTCATTAACGGATCTTCTAAACATCCATCAAGCACTTTAATTTTGTTCATAAAATCCGGTTTTTCTCTTCGAAGTCGATCAAATAACTAAAAACAAATAGTTTAAACTTTTTAAGAATATTTAGTCTCTTTCGTCCTCTTCTCATATATCCCTCACAAGTGCTCTTTACGTCTACCAACCGATCACCAGTTTCTTGTCTACTACATATGTTCTCTGAACTTCTTCCCTAATTATCTATAACCACTTTTTGTTTCAACTTTTCAAATAAATCTTTGATGTTAGTTCAGTGGTTTTAGGAGAACCAAAATTAGAAGAAGGTCATTCCCCAAAATTCTAAAAAAACATCTAATCATACAATTGCACTAGGTAGTTTATGTTATTATCGTTGGCTTTTTAGAAGCAAGTGTCATTTTTAATGATTTTTTTACAGTTTTTCATTTCATGTTTTAGAAGAAAAACTTAAGGTATTCAGTGAAATGTACAGTACACAGACACGAGAAAGTTTCCTAGAAAGATATAAAAACGGGTTTGGTAATAGTGTATTGTTCTAAAAAAATACAACTTTTAATTATCTTTAATGAATTCATTAACCAATGTTCTTATTCGTTAACAATTTTCATTTATGGCATTGTTCAATTTTATTACAATACGTTCGATCCCTGTACAGTTTAGTGTACCTATGATATACAAATACTCGGCGGTATCAATGCATACAAATGTACGAAGAAATTGATGTTAAAATGGCGGAATCGATAAAACCCATTGAACCCATCAAGGGTCAGATCAAGAACGATCTGTGTTAACAATTCAAATATATAATATCTGGGGGTACGGAAAAAAAAAAGCAAATGGGAAAAAAATCAAATGAAAAAATAACAATACGTTTATTTTACATATCATAATATACAAAGTAATTATTGGTTAGTATTACATATAATATAGTACCATATAATAGGTACCTACACCATATTTTAATACTTTATTTGTACTTACACTACAATAGTAGTTATTTTGGTTACACTCGGTTATGAACTGCAGATATTTTTATAAAAATGTTTAAAATATTATCATTTAATGTAATATAATAATATAGTCAAAAGTATTAAAAAAGTATTCCTTTTTTTACCACTTGCTTTTTATTCACTTGCTTTATTTCCTAAATTCAGTATCTCGTATACATAATAACACAGTAAAAAAGGACACTTTTCTTAGAATAACATTTTTCAGCCTTAATATCCATAGCAAATACGACTAAATTATGGTTGCTTTAATTTTGAATTTTTTGTCTATGTACTATTACAAAATTATTTTTTTCAATGTACTTAAATTTTTAAGAAAGTTTCTATACTCACAGGTTGTTTATAGATATCTTGGACTCTTTGTTCAGCAGTAATACCTTTCTTACTTCTTACAATAACTGCAACATTTCGTATGGGACACGACCTGAGTAATTTCTCCACGAGTACTTTGCCCAAAAATCCTGTAAATCCTGTAATTAACACTGTCTCGTCTTTATAAGTCTCGGCTATACTATAACGTCTCGACATTTTTAAGCTGATAGATAATATGTCCCAAAATAAAAGAATAAAAGAAGTCAAGTGATTCGACCGCGAGTTTCACACGGAAATTAAACCCAACTCTACGAATAAAATGAAAAATGAAATCTTAGAAATAACATATATTAATGACAGTATTTCGTCTTAAGTTCGGTCAATTTATAGAATATTATTGTATGGTGGGGCGATATTGTTTAAGTCAAGGTTCTCTATCTCTCTCTTTCTTTCTCAACTATAAATAAAAGTCTGTGTTGATGTATTTTGCGTTATGTTATTTTATACATTATAGTACTACCATTAATACTAAGTTCTCACAATACATATATAGAATAAGCAGATATTTTATAAAAATAAGAACCAGTATTTCCAGTTGTTTTTTTAAAATAACATTATATGTATGTTTATTGTATCGGTATTAATCATTAGAACTATGTTTTTATTTTCATTTATAAACATTTCGTGTAAAATCATATTTTTTCTATGTGTTTTAGATTAGGATAGCTTACGGAGGGATTAGTTTAACTATATAATGTGTTTTATTTTTCTGTCTGTGAACAACTTTTCTACCAGAAACCTAGCTCCGAAGTATAGACTATAGCATTTTTTCTGAAAGGTAATTTTCTCTAGTTGGTGCATTGGGGAGGTCATTTTTTGATTTTTGGTAAACAATTGGGTAAAACCGGATACAAAATTATAGATAAAATGGCACATATTTACACGACGCGGCGTTATCGTTTACACTGTTTGCATAATGTTTACACGGTGTTTTCTACCAGAAATATTGATCAATCCAAAAATGACAAAGGATCAATTTAGTTCTTTTGAACACATGGCTACTGATAGAGAATGTCTTTTTGTAATATCTAAAGTATGTTTCATAATAATTAAGAAAAATTAAAAAAGTCGATTTTTCCAAATTACGGCACAACTATTTTGATATTTTAAGTTTGTACGGCTAATTTGTCGACTATTGCTTTCATAAATAAATGACAAGAGACCCTTTTTTTGCGTTGCATTTATAACCTAGTTCATGAGTAAGTTGTTTGTTTTTTAATCTTCTCTGTAGTTTTATTAATAATTGAGCATAAACGATAAAAAACGTAGAAGTACGGAAAATTTTATGAAATTAATACTTTTATTATTTTCAATTTTGTTTAGATTTTGAAGTTAACGAATGTATTAGTTTTACAAAGATGATAATTTTTTTTAATATAAACACTTTTTCTACTAGAAAGCTTACTCCGATTATCAAGTAACCTTTTCTGAAAGAAAATGTTCTTTGGGTGGTACTTAAAAGAGGTCGTTTTTAGAAATTCTCAATAATATTCGAGAGAATGAAGAAAACCTGGTTCTTTAAATTAAAAAAAATATTGAAAGATTAAAAATAAGGTTGTCATTGGCAAGCGTTTAAATTTATTTTTTGTTTATATTAAGTTTTTATTATTTTAATATTTTTAAACTATTATTGTTGTCATGGAAATGCACACTGTTTTAATCATTTTGCCATAATATGACACATATATTGTTGTTTGAACTCCTCTCAAAATCATTTTTTCGTTAGCAATGGTTTATCGTTGCTTACAGATGTACTTTTAATTTCCGTCTGTATCCTACCTTAATAACTTCACACCTACAGCAATAGATGCACCCGCATGCGAAGTATGTCAGTCCTTTTTTTTTCATTAAAATCAGGTTAAAATATTCGTGGGGACTTCAAATATTGACAAAACACTTATATTTTTGGGCTATTTATAAATATTTTTATTTCGAATTTCATAGGAGGTTAATTACAAGTCGTACTTAATGTTCATAAAAAAATTGGAAGATAAAAACTGTATGTAGTATTGCAAGCCCCGCTTCCGAAAACTTTTTTGGCAAAACTACGTCAGATAGATAATTTGGAAATAACAAATGCATTTTGTTTCAAAAAAGAAAATTGTGTGTTATGTAAATTTTTTAAATTTTTATTTAAAATAACATAAGAGTCAAAATCAAATTTTGACGAAAATCGTAAATATTACAACATTTCATAACATGTTTAATCTAATTTCGTTCTGAATCGTATTTTTTAATCAATGTAATCATAAATTAAATAATTTTATATATCCCGCCTTCCCCATTACCACCTTCCAGCAGTGGCCCCGCCCGTCCCTAGTATCAGCTCTTTTTTTTCGATACAATATTGGAAATATATTCAAGCGCATAGTCGTTTAAATATAATATAATCTCGTAACACCTCATCTCCCAGTTGTATGATTATTGTTTTTCATACAGAACAGAATTTTACTGTATCCACAAGTACAGTTATTACTATTTAGCATATACATAAATATTATCATTGTCAGAATATTATTGTCAAAATAAATACCGTAAATAACATCCCTTTCCTCTTTTCAAATAATCTTCAGCATAGTTCACTGAGTATCTTCAATACAGCTTACTGTTACTTATATAGTATGTAGTATATAGTTTTGTATCGCTCACCTATTAATTTATTTATTCACAGAGATATTAATTATTAACTTCAATTTTAATACCAATACTTGTTTAATGTTTTTAACCAAAAAAAAAAAAAAAAAATCACGTTACTTTTTATTTTATCTCTTATAACTGTCGAATACTGTATTTACAATACTGTTACATTATCACTCTAACAGAAATTATATAATAATTATCAAATCATGAAAAAAATCTTACAAAACGTTTTAATAAATAATTGTATTGTATATTTTTTAGTAAACAAAAAAGCAATGATTCGTCGTTACATAAAAAAATTAATTGAATTCCCCTCTTTATCCTATCTTCTTAACTTCTCACCTACAAAATTGGCCCACCCATCGTGCGAAGTATGTCCGTCTTTTTTCGATCATATTTCAGCGTTTAGTAATTATCGTGGTTTAAAGTACCGTAAATCCCGAACCTGGTTTATTAGTTATGAGTTAATAAATTTAAGAAACGTATTAAAAAAAAACTCATCATTATTGCTATTATTAAAAATATCATAAATAAAGTGATTTGTATTGTTATATAATTTTAGCCCCCCTAATATTTAAGGTCTAGTTGTGCCTATGAGTAGTATTCTGTACGAGTAGTATAGTGACCATGTATAAAACATCAGCAAATACTGCCAACACAATAGCTTTTTTTTGTGGCTATTATAAAAACTAGTTGTCTCGTAAAAAAATTATTTACACAGAAATTATTTGAGTATATAGCCGTTATGTAAATAATGAAAGAATAATACTCGAAAAAAATAATTAATTCTTGCTAATTGCATTAACTACAGACGTTAGTTGATAATACTTACAGGATGTGTGTGTGAAAACTTATTGTTATATAAATATAAAATTAAAAAAAATATGTTCGCAACATAGATATTTGTACATCAAATTTTCGTGGCAAAACGTCATACTTTCCTACGAAAAGGGCATAAAACGTAAATTATGGTTGTGAATTAAACGTGTTACAACGTAGTAACATTTTGCGTAATAATAATAATAGTTATGGTAGTAAGCACGGAAGACTTCTTGTTGCATATGCTTTTAGGTCTTATCAGTAATAGCTGTACACGTCCCGACGTCCATGAGATTTTAATAATATTAATTTTATAATTGTGGGATTACTCTACCAATGTCCAATAGCTTTATAGTGCGACTGTGTGGTAATCGCTTATAATTCATAGTTCTATCAATATTTTTCGATATTTTAATTTTTATTAAATTCTTATATTCTATTAAGTACGATCGAATATCTGAATCATCATATTATATACAGAGCGATCAATCTACATCATAATCTCCAAAAGTATTAAATTTTTTCGGAATTTGTTTTATACAAATTTTAAGAAACAAACAGCTCTATAATTTTACAATTATGATATTTTTTTCACCCTTATTTTTGGAGGTAAAACCATTACTTTTTTTTGATTTTCAATTGGCAAGCTGCATGAAAAATTCCGCAAATAGATGGAATATTAGTTAAAGTAAATGTCGGTGCTGAGATTTGTGATTTCCGTTAATCCGTTGACGAGATATTCCACTTTTAAATTCAGGTCGTAAGAAAGTGCATTATTAAAACGCCGCGCCGTACCGCCCATANTCAGTACCAATCTATTTATGGTATTTTTAATGTAGATGCCATTTGAAAATCAAAAGTAAATAGTGGTTTTATCCCAAAAAAAGGTTGACAAAGAATTAAATGACTGTAAAATTGTAGAACTGCTGGTTTATTAAATGTTCTATGAACCGAATTCCGAAAAAAGTTAATATTTTCCGAGATAATGACTATCTTACGATGAATTTATCACTCTATATATAAATGAATTTATTGATATCTATACATTACATTTCTCCAATACAGCGTTAAAATATTTTGACTGCATATTTGACACACTGTGACTGTGCTCGAATTCCAAAAATTAAAAGAAGAGGGACTATGAGACTTATCAGGCAGATAATTAATTTCTCTTACAATAATTTAAATTCAAATTAACAAACGGTTCTGAATCTACAAATAATAGCTACTGGAAAAAAACATAATATTTGCGTAATACTTATTATTGGAGAGTAATTAACAATAAGAAATTAAACTTGTTTTTTTTTTTATAGGCATCCTCTTGGTACAATTTGCATACCCTTTATGATTAGTGCTAGGCGTGGGTGAACTGGAATTTTCGGTTCATTTTCCGGCTCGATCATTTTTTAATTTTCTAAGAGGCTTCCATATTAATTGGGAAAAAACGTAAAAAAAGGAGATGGTCATACCTAATATGATGGGTGGACCTCAGTCGTAGATGAGAAATTGGGAAGGTAGGATGGAATTGGAATTTAATATATATATATCAGTGAGCAAAAACGAAAAACGATTCTGAGCTGAGCGCGATTAATAGTATTGATATTTCAACAATATACAGACTGTCCAACGAGGATATACCCCTTGAATATCTCCGGAAATAATAAAGATAATCGAATTCTGTTTTTTCATATTACTCACAGGGAAGAGGACTACAAATAATTATATTTGAAATTTTTTTTTTTTTATTCATTTCGGAAAATTTAAATATATCACATAATTATATCCGATGAATAGTATCTAAGTAACATTCGTTTTAAATTCTACTAATCC